AAAAGAAAGAAAGAAAAAAAACTCACCACATCGTCGCCGTAAACAGCACAAGCCCACACACAAACGGCCTCCGCGGCAACAAATCCCCCAACGGACACAAAAACAGCAACCCCGCCGCATAACCCGCCTGCATCACTGTAGGAATCTGCGCCACGTCTTCATACGCGACGCCGAAGTCGCGCGCGAGGATGTTCAGGATCGGGTGGCTGTAGTACAAGTTCGCGACCGTGAAGCCCGCGGCGAAGGCGAAGAGGACGTTCATGCTCATGGAGAACTGGGGCGGGTGGGACGGGTCCCAGCGGCAGTTCGGGGGCGTCCATGTTAGGAGGCGGTAGAGTTTGCGGGTTCGTGAGGGTGGTTTGGAATGTGGTGATGTTGGGGTTTCTGAGACGGTGATGGGTGGCTCGTCTGTCCCCCCGGGTTTTGTATCAACGGGTGGCATTGCGGGTATGTGTGTGTGTGGATTTTCCCTGCATTTACACAGGACGGGATGGTTCAGGGACGGAATGCAAAGGACAGACAGATAGACATGGAGAGACGGAAAACGGCCATGCAGGACTGGACTTTGTCATGACGGGACTCGGTTTTGCACTTATCGTACTCCGGCATTCGAGAGGAGCCGAACCGAATTACAGTGACGACGTTGTTAAACCCGTTATCACCACCAATCAGGCCTGGATTGCGGCTGTGGCCGACGATCTGGTTCCGCCGCTAGGGCGAAGGGTGAGCGTGCTCGGCGCCAGATGTGTGAGCGCGAGGCTTTCGTTTTGTTGTGTTGCCGTCAGATGCTTAGCAGTTAGTATACACAAGCCAAGAACCCTCGAAACCAACACCATCGAATCCCACAGTGCGAGATCTTCGCTGATTTTTTTGTGAATTTCGCGGTCTAATTACTACTCTACTGTACACGCTCCTACAAAAACAGCGCCTAGGAAGCTAGAAATCCCCACCCACGCACCAAACCCTCACTCGCCGCGATCCGACAATTTGTAGCCTGCCCAAGGAAGCCCGAGCCCCTTGATACTCCTGCTGAGAGAGCCAAACTGCTAGTGACCCAATCGCGCATTGATAAGCTCCTCGGACGGCATCTGCGGCAGGGGCGTCAACCAGGACTTTGCCTTGTCGAAGCTGGACACGGCTTTCACGAGTCTAATAAACGTCTGTGTGTGGACCTTGTCGACGCGGGACTTGAACTGTGCGATGAGGCCCTGGATGGTCATGCCCTGGGGCGGCAGGGCTTCGTAGATTTCTTTGGCTGTGGGCAGGACTTTTTCTGGGGTGGGCGCCGAGCTGGCGGCAGGGCTGGAGGGCTTGGAAGAAGCGTGTTTGTCCTTCTTCTTCTTTTTCCGGGACGACTCGTTGCCGCTCTCGATGTCTGACCCGGGACGCTTCTTGCTCTTTGATTTCTGGTCGCCTGGGAGGATGGTGAGGGGCTTTGGGGTGCTGGAACGGGAGTTGGAGGCTTTTGGTGTGCTGGAGCCTTTCGGTGTGTTGGTCCCCTTGGTCGATGCTCCAGAGGTGCCTGAGGGGCCTGCTTCCGTAGTGGTCTTGTCCTTTTCGGCGGCCTTCTTCTCTTCCTCCTTGCGCTTCTGCTCCTTCTCCTTCTCTTCGTCCGACTCGGACTCGGATTCGCTGGACGACAGATATGGATTCTCACGATCACTGTCGCCAAACTCGTCGTATCGCTTCTCATGCTTCAACAGCTTCTTCGTCAGAAACTTCTCCTGAGACTTGCCATCCTCCTTGTCCTTGCGGTCTCGCTCTTCTTGCTGGCGAATCTTCTCCTCGTCAGGTCGTTCCCACAGAGCGGCTTGGAGTTGATCGCGCTTGAGCTTCTCGGTTGCTTCCTTGACATCTTGCTCTTCGCCCTCAAATAGACCGTTCAGCCCCTCTTCGTCGTCAGCAAAGTCTTCGTCGAGGTTGAAGTCGATGTCGTCGGCGTCTGCCTCGCGCTTGACATGGACATCGTCGTCGTTGCGCGACCTTCGAATTCTGCCCTCGTCGTCGGCTCCACCACCAACCCGTGTGCTCATTCCATAGCGCGATCGTGACTGTTCTTCCTCCATTTGCCTCTTCTCCGCGCGCTTCTCAATACGGCTGAGGAAAGAGGGCACGTTCTCGACCTTGTACATGACCTTGTCTACATCATCGCCCACGGACTTGACTTTGCCCTTGACACTGAATCTGTACCAGCGCTCCATGGGCGCCAGTTGGATGGCGCCGTGTGGATCGTTGGGATTCTGCGTGAGCATAATATGTGCCTCGGACAGCTCCGACTCGTATGTGCCAACCCATGTCTGCTTGTTCTCAAAGTCCTCGAGATGCCAGGGCAGCGTTTCCTCATACCGCAACAGCTGGCGCTTCCTGGCCTCGGGGGTGTCGTCGGGGCGGTACTTCTGCTCCGTCTTCTTCTGGAATGCTTGGGGCTTTGTCTTGCCCGTGGGCGCAATCTTGGCCTGGTTCTCCTCGCGAACCTTGCGGCGCTCTTCCTTGGCCTGCTCGATGCGCTCGCGCTCCTTGATCTCTTCAATGTCCTCCTTTGTGTCCTCCTCCTCGAAGTGGGTGCCTGCTCCGCTGGGCGGGGCGCGCGGGTCGCGACGATGGAGGCGGATGGGGCCGGTGAAGTGGTCTGGGTTCTGGATGTCGAGCCTGGTCTTGCTCTGCAGGCGCATGACGTGGTGCCGCAGCTCTTTGAGGTCGCGTCGCGTGACGATCAGCGGAAACGACGTGGCGCCCTGCTGGAGGAACTCCTGTCGCAGCGCGTCCGTCGTCTTTGTGCCGTCGGCGTTGACCAGGCCCGGCGCGTTCTTGTTCTCGTTCATCTGCGTCAGCGACACCAGCGGGCGGGTGATGTTCTTGAGCGGCCGTCGAGGAGGGCGCAGGGCCGCTGACTGTGGAGGCGGGCGACGGCGGCGGACGGGAGGCTGCTGGCCATTTGCAGCTGCGGGCGCGACGGGCCTCGCAGCCGGGTTTCCGTTCATGATTAAAGAATGCAGTCGATAACACTAAACAAGACGCAGAGGAGATGGGGAGCAGAGTGGGAGAGAGCGTGGAGAGAGTGAGCGAGTGGAAGGCAACAGCAAGGCCGTTGAGGGCGTTGTGCACTGAAGACCAACGAGCAACAGCGATTGCTTTGGGACTGTCGTCACTAGCGCGTTGATCGGCAACGCCTTATGGAGCTTCCAAAACCACCACTCGTGAGATATGCGAAACCGCAGTCCTTTATATGATACCACAGACCCTGTGGAAAAGCCTTCGTCTCAAGTGATGCACTTTTCATTTGCTGACTGGGAATTGTTCATGCTAGGGCGGGGAGAGAGCCATGGTTCAGGTCCAGGCAGCCATAAACTACCTTGGTACTGTACTGATTTGATGACTGCAACCGGGTTTTACTCATAAAGATCCACCCTCCCGAAGAAATCCCAACGTTTTCCAGGGTTGAGAGACACTGTCGGAATGCATTGTTCCAGAGTTAGGCACTGCTGATTGGCCGATAGCTTATGACGAGTCCAGCACCCAACCAACCCACCCACTCGAAGCTGTACCACAACTTCCACCGACTCTCCATAGCGAGCTGTGACTTTTTGCAAACACGCCAGAGGTAGTGTCTTTGTTCCTGTTTGTTCGTCGGAATTTGCGACCATCTGTTCGACCGGTCCCCAAACACTGTCACGAGATCACGACCATCCACGAGCCTGCGCGAGCAAACAGTCTGGACTGAAATTACGCTTTGTCGCAGATATTGTAAGCTGCGAACAAGCTTACCTTCTGCGAGCGTGCGCGACTCTCCAACCGTCCCAACATACACTGCCACTGTCACCACCGGTTTGTATTCATCGACACTTCACTTTTGGTACCATTCACTCCAGCATCATGGAGCAGAATGGAGCATCGCAAACCAGCGGGTTGGAGGGGCAGCTGCGGAACATGATACTCGGCAACGTCACAATCGCCACTGGTCAAACTAACCAAGAGTCTCATTCATCACAGACCCAACGAGGTCGCGGACGTGGGCGTGGAGGCTTCTCTCGCGGCTCCAATAGAGGTCACGACACTCACCCTGGTCACAATCCAGGCCAAAACTTTAACGGACCTGGAACAGCTCCTCCAGCCACACGAGGGGGAAGAGCAAACTTCAACAATCACCCAGATGCCCGCTCTCGTCGGGCTCAGATGACTTCCAATGATCAGCCTGGACCTGGCCCATCACAGAACGGTTCCACAGCACATACAAATAGACAGTATGCTCCAAGGCCGCCTCGACAAGCACAAAACTACAACTCGGGGTCTCCTTCCGACTCACCTGCAGCAGCTGGTGGGCGACCTCCAAGGATCCTCCAAAGGCCTTTCGGTGATGCAAACATGCAAGGTCAAGGGCAACCAAATTCAGGAAGCCAACATTATCCACGCTCATTTGCACCATACTCACAGCGACCACACATGAATCAACAAAGAGAAAACCCAATGATGCAGGTAGAGCATCTGGATCATCTGGCGGCGCAAGAGATCCCCAAGGTTGAAATGACAGTGTCTGAGCATGATGAGAAGGAAGCGTTCAGGAAGCACCTAGAAGCACTCCTGCAGCAAGCCTTTGCCGGGATCTACTCCGAAGACACGGCGACCATCTCACTAGTCAGCTTTGGCAGTCTGGCTTCAGGATTTGGTATGCCTGGTTCGGACATGGATCTTGCGGTTGTATCCGGATGGAAAGATCCCGCCAGAGTGGATCAGGTTGGAGCAGATCGTGACATTCCGCGCCTCCTCGAACGAGCAGTGTTGGATGCGAAGATGGGCGGCCGCTTGCTCACAAGGACACGAGTACCTATTCTCAAGGTTTGCCAACATCCTATGGAGGAACTGTATGCCGCCCTCCTGGAAGAACGGAACAAGTGGGATGAGCTTCCTGTGGAGGAACAGTATCCTGGACAGCTTCCCGTGCAGGAACCCTCGCAACAGGCCAAACCGCAGGCTGAAGTAGGCGGAGAGAAGGCCGCGGAAGTGAAGCAACAGGCCGATGGCTCAGGGGTCGGTACAGATACTTCCAACACTAGCATTGGAAGTCCTGGAGAATCAACCTCGAAACCCACCTTGCAGACCGACGCAAGCCCTCAAGACTTGACCCCGAAACCAAACGAGACCAACAACAATGGAACCAACAGCACAGCTACTAAAGACCACAACCAACGCTCCGAGAAACACTGGGCACGCGAGAAAGTCCTCGGCCCCCTCGACTTCCCCAAGACAGGCGTCGGCATCCAATGCGACATCAACTTCGAGAACCCACTAGGAATCCACAACACCCACCTCCTCCGCTGCTACTCGCTCTGCGACCCGCGCGTGCAACCCATCGTCCTATTCGTAAAATCCTGGGCCAAAACGCGCAAAATCAACAGCTCCTACTCCGGCACCCTATCCTCCTACGGCTGGGTCCTAATGGTACTGCACTACCTCGTCAACGTCGCCCAGCCCCCCGTCTGCCCGAACCTACAACACGTCGTGCCCCCGTCAACAGATACTGACAACGACCCCCGCGTCGGCGCCTACACAGTCCGCTTCTGGCGCGACGAGCACGCCATCAGCCGCGCCGCGCAATCCGGCCAGCTGACACACAACACGCAGACCATCGGCGCCCTGCTGCGCGGCTTCTTCCAGTACTACGCCTCGGTATCTAGCTACGGACACCCGGGCCCCCGCCCGCCGCAGTTCTACTGGACGAGCGAAGTGCTCTCGCTGCGGTCCCCGGGCGGTATCGTCACGAAGCAGAGCAAAGATTGGGTTAGTGCCAAGACGATTCTCACTGCGGAGAAGAAGGTTACGAATCGGTATTTGTTTGCGATTGAGGACCCGTTTGAGGTCGATCATAATGTTGCCAGGACGGTTACGCATCGCGGGATTGTGGCGATTCGGGATGATTTTCGTCGTGCGTGGAGGATTTTGAGCGCGGTGGGGAGGGGCGTGCAGACTGAGGGCGGGTTGTTTGATCAGGTTGTTGAGGAGGGGCAGGGGGGGAAGAGTGAGGGGGGGCCTGTGGGCGGTGGGGGGAAGGATGGGGTGTAAGATCTGGCTGTGAAGAGTGTGTTGGGCGGGAATATGAGACGTCGAAACTTGTTGCAGGTCAAAGGGGGGATATAAGGCGGTGGGATTACATGTATCGCAGAGCGAAACCAAGTAGATAGTCTTCCGTAAGGCTGAGAATACCCTCCCCTCACATTTCCCTTCCATCATAACCATGTATTATGTATGCAGCCGACACGACCCATAGAGAACAATCAACGCACATGCACTCAATCTACTCAGTACGCGTAGAAGAGCGCAAAGGGAAGAACATCGTACTGTACTATCACATACATACACCACAATCCCAATAAAACCCTCTTCTCCATCGTTCATCATGCATTGCAAACTCAGTCTGCGTGCCTTTTTACAACGATACGCAAATGTGCTAGAGTGAGTGCAGGTGCGTACATATGGGAAGGAAACAGCCGTTACGACACACCCATCAAGCACTGGGAAGAAGAAGTCTAATATTGAGTTCTGATAAAACAAGGTAGTAGTATCGTATCCAACAGATTCACCGTCTTATTCAACAGCGCGTAGGAAAAAGCATATGCACCTGAACGCCTATGCGGTGGTGTATCCAAGCCCCCCTTTCCTTCCGTTACGCACACGCACATGCACATGCAAAGCCGACCAAGAAACGCCATCATCTCATACCTATGCAAAAGCGTCCAACACGAAAAAGAAAAATCTACCATTCACTCGGGCCGAAAGTCTCTCCGTTGGGGACAGTCTTATACGAGCACGCCTGCCAGTCACATCCCTACGCAGAATTAGCACAAACCACACAACAAGACCACCCATCTCATCGCAACGACATACCTGTTTATACACCTCCGTACCCCACCACTTAAACCCGCTCATCCAGCCCGGAAACACAATACCAAAGAAGATAACCACGACGCCAAACGCGAGCCCCGAATCCAGCGCCGCGCTCAGCATCATATTATACTTGCGCCACCAGTCTTTTCTACGATTTTTGATCTCGTAGTTGAAGACGTAGCACACGATAGCCCAGACGGAGAAGTTGAGGCCCGTGGCGGGCGGGATCCAGCTCAGGCTGCCGAAGACGACGGCGAGGTTGACTTTGCGCAGGATGGATTTGCGGTTGTTGCGCGCAAAGTACCAGAGGATGACGGGGGCGATGGCGCCGAGCAGGAAGGCCCAGATGAGCGGGCGGTAGAGCGCGCCGGGGCCGAAGAAGCGCGCGGGGCCGACGACGCCCCAGAGGATGCTGCCGTTGAAGTGGACGCGGGCGATGGGGCAGTTGAAGCCGTTGATGGCTTGGGGCGTGCAGATGCCGGGGATGAAGTTGAGCATCCAGTTTAGTACGCCGATTTGGGTGAGGCTGGAGATGACGGTGACGGAGAGCTGGAGCTTGAAGAGGATCTTGGGTGGGATTTTCATGTAGTGGCCCAGCTTGAGGTCGGAGGCGAATTTGAGACCTTGGGTGGATGAAATGTATCCGAAGGTTGTGAAGACCATGTTTGCGACGGGGCGGCCGGGGAAGAGGACGCCGCAGATGAGTTGGCAGATGAGGTAGATGCTGCTCTGCTGGTTCGTGATGGCCATTACGATACCGATCGGGATGAACAGCACCGCGCCGATTCCGAGTGCTAGCAAGAGACCGTACCAGGGTAGATGAACTGGGTAGTACTCGACTACGAACATGCCGACGGCGGCCATGCTAACGCCTGTCAATACGTACCATGCTATCGGCACATCCTCGTATTTGCGCATGAGTCGGTTGTGCACATCTTCTGCGGTCAGTAGATCTTCCATCTCCGGCTCTGACGTTGTACTGCTTCGGATCCGGTGCAGGGTGGGCGATGCGGCGCGTCTGTTGCCATTGAGATTGGTTGCCAAAGGCTCGTAGTCGGGTGACGATGTCTTGCGAATCTCGGCCCAAGAGCTTCGCCATTGCCTCCAAATATCCTTTCCGTGCCACAATCCTGTGTGTGAAAGCAGCGCCGTCAAAGCCGCAAATTGTAGCGCATAACTGAGTACGTAGGTGATCGGAAGAAACACCCGACTATACTCATTATACGCCGCCTCATCGAAGACAAAGTCCTTTGTCAATATCTTGCTGACATCGTACGGCTTTCCCCTGTTGTCCCATACGGCAGCCGACAGAATTGGCATGTATGAGGAGTACATGACGTTGGCATAATCTGCAACATGTGAGTATGTCGTGCATATGCAATGTTACAAGGTACATACACATGAGTGGCGCCATAATCCACATAACAACCACGAGACCGCCCAGGATGTTAAGGGCAGCCCAAAAGGGCGTGACAAGCGGAGATCCAATGTACGCGATTTGCGCCCAGTCGAAAGTCACCGGAAACAATCCAAGACCCGATGCAATTCCAAACTACGAGAAATTAGCATAAAATTTGTAATAGTCTGGAGGAAATTACGCACGAGATTGGCGACTACAACATTCTTAGGCGCAAACCAGGTAACAACGCTGAAGTAACTCAATGCCGGGAAGAGAAGACCGGGTAGGAAGTAGAACGCGACTGAGCCTGAGAAGACGCGCACGAAGAATTTGCGGGGTGCGATAGTCCAGCCATCAGCGGGCTTGTTTTCTTCCTTATGCAGTGCGGTAAACATGGCCGTGGATACCAACGTGCTTGGCCATATCATGCCGCTGGGCCGGACAAGGTAGCGTCGTGTGAGACCAGCTAGTGAGTATCCTAAGATTTGTGTAGAGAGGATAAGCAATACCTGGTAGAGTATACCAAGATCCTGATGATAGAACTTGACTTGTTCAACGATGACCTGTCTCCAGGTTAGTCTCGTACGACATGGGCTGGGAACGATGTACTAACATCAGTCGCAAAGGCAAATCCAAAAGATACGTTGCTGCTGACATAAACGCAGCAATGCTCCTTTGCGTTCCAAGATCCTTGGGCAAGCCAAAGCCGGAGTCGGCGTGCCCATGAAGCTTTTTGATGGGATGTTTGTGAGGTGTGAACGGACTTTTGTAGGTATCCGTCTATGAAGAGTTGTTCGGGGTCGTCTGGTCGTTTGAGGAGTCGGTCCCAGAAGAGACCAAGAGGATGGACAAGTAAAAGAGCAATAATAGGAGTAAGGCTAACGCTAGGGTATCGTAGGGAAAAAAATAGGTTGGTTGAAGAACCGGCAATAGCAAACAATATCGACAGGAACCACATGCGTGGGGTATCAATCGACAGCGAGATGTCGTCCGTAGCAGCGACGGAAGCCCTGACTTGGGCGTAGGGGGAGTTGTCTAAAGGATTACCCTTCACGTCGTGCAAATCATCGTCGTCAGAAATCTCGTCCTCATCGGCATCGGTACAGTCCGACGATGTCCCATTTGCATCAAGGACGGACGCTGCGCCAGCTATGGAAGGATCCAAACCGCTCGCGTTAAATCGGGCCTCGAAATGGGTTCCTTCTTGACCTCCGTAATTTTCGTCGAGCGTCTGGCTGCTACGATTCTCGTCCCTTCTTCGTAGCGATTCACTGTGTATCGGTTCATCAAACTTGTGGTTCAGGGACGTCCGTGATTGCGCATTCGCAAGTCGACTCTTCCCCTGCTTCTTTCCACGATGTGAGATGTTGATCACATGATGCTCGTCAGACTCGTCGGAAGGAGAGAGCATCGGTAAGCCGCCATAGGATCCTAAATATACGATCAGTTCGGACCCTCAAAATACTGCAAGGTGCCTCGATATATCTGATCTAGTGCGCACTGCTTCAGACTTCATCAAGCAGCCTGAGAGGGACCCTAACTGAGTTTACGAGCGCGTTCCTTGGCTTACCTGTGCCCTGCGCCGGAGACGATCGCATAAGGAGCGGGACGCGAGACATCGCGTTCTTGATGGACGGAGAAGGACTCTCTGTGGAAAAGCCAGGAGAGTCGCGGACGTCATGAGGCCTTGTTTCGGCTGTGGCTATGTTCCTTGCTGCTCCTGGAAGGACCTGCAACTCGAATTCGTGGCTGCCTGAGGACGAATAGGCCTCCACGTTGGCGTCACCTGTATATAGCGTGTCAGGCGAAGAAGTCACAGAAGACCCTAACTTGCACGCGACGTCCAGCTCCATAAGTAAATATGATGGCGTGGCCACCAGACAACCACACGCATGCAAGGGCTCGGGAAACGACACCGAAAAGGTTCAAGTGCGTCGTGCAATGCCGGGTATTAATCAGATGATCAGATAATCAGTCAGAAACGTGGGATTGTAGGCGGCTAGATCTGGACCTGTGTGGGGGGGTTCAGGGAGGGTGACGACGACAATTGGGCAGAGTTTAAGCGGGCGGTACGGGCGCGCCGCGCATCACAAACATATTTTCGGGGCGTTTGATCCTTGATCCTTGGATGCTTGGTTGACAGCTGCATCTGCACACAAAATTTATATACACCGCATTGTTGCTTTTTGCAAACATGTTCAAGGTTGTTTGGAGTGATGTCATCTCTACCAGAGCCCGATCATTTAACGTCCACATGCCCAGCTATGCCCACATGACCCTCCAGCCGTTTGTGACCAGCGGTGAGGCCCTCTACCATACTAATGGCGCCTTCGACATCGTCCTTGTTGTAGAGGAATAGTCCCTGTAGCGCTGCCGTGCTCACCGAGTCGATGAGGCCCAACTCTTTGACCTTGGCCAAAAATCTCTGCTTCGCATGACCGCCTGCATCGAATTCGGCGTAAAACCGGTCCCACAGCTGCTCGATCTGGTACTGGGTTGCTTCCCCAAGACGAACAGTCATGTCCACTCGACCGGGTCGGATGAGAGCCTCGTCTAGTCTTTCAACGTGGTTCGTTGTCAAGAAGATGATACGCTCTTCAGCACTAGCTACACCGTCAAGGGCATTCAACAGCCCAGAAAACGTTACGGAAGCGCTTGCAAAGCCATCTGGCCCAGGCGTCTTTCGATTCATGAACGCAACATCCACATCTTCTAGTAGCACTAACGTCCGTCGCGGGACTTTGGTCAGCAGATGGTTCAGTCGGTCGTCTGTGAGGCCTCGCTCGCTGACGTTCAGAATAGCGATATTGAAATCCAGATGCCCTGCCAGAGCTTGGATGAAGGAGCTCTTCCCCGTCCCTGGAGGGCCGTAGAGCAGATAACCCCTTCTGTACGGTATGCCACGGTCAAGATACCAAGTGCGCGAAGAGATGAAAGCCTCCATGTCTTCGACGATCCTCTCCTTCACACCACGCTCGAGTGCTACCGAGTCTAAGGGACGCTTCCGTTTGGGCTCTCCGAAAGGTTGCCATGCCGTGCCCATAGAGTTGTATATGATCGTCTTTCCCTCCTGTGATTGCTGGTAGAGTTTATGCGCTTCGGCAAAGATATCCTCGAACACACTGCGATGGGAGTACAGTGTAGTCAAACTTATTGTCTCGAAAGGCTCGCCACCGTTTATTTCAAGGGCATTCTGCTGTCTCTGTCTGTCGACGAGAATGAAGGCATTTCTGTAACGTAGAAAGTGTCTGCCAGGCCCGGGGACAAAGTGGAAATGCGCAGCGTGCGAAGGTCCGTCTTGGGGCGCTGATGTCCGCACCTGGAGGTGATGCATGCGCGGGTCGATGCGATTGAGCACTCTGTTGAGCACGCCGCTTTGCGCAACCGACTGTGTGCTAGTTTGCTGCGTTCGGTGGTAGGTGGTCATCCATTGGAGGAGCCACGGATAGGCAGCGTCGTGGCGCGTTATCTCGAGGTCGACGAGCATGCGCCGCCGTACGAATGCAGCGCCATGCTGAAGTCCTTTCTGGCCTGTACGCGCCGCAACCCCAAGCGCTGCAAGACCGAAGCCCTATGGAACTGTGAGCACACCACCGACCCGACAAATCAGCACAGATGTCCAGCGTACGGCGGCAAAAAAGGGATTCTCGCTGAATTGCGCGAATAGCGAGCCAGAGCTGCCACTATTGTTGGTGGTGAACTGCTTCGCGAGCTCTGAGCGAGGTGTGTTGGGGTCCATGCATCGAGGTATCAAAAGTTCGAAATGTCATCATACCCTCGCATACTAGCGCATCCTTCCAGAAACGCGACATCGGTGGTGCAAGTACCACACTGGATCGTGCCACTGACAAAAAGTTCGCATAATTAGGGAACGTGTTTTTCTGTGATGATTACACGTCGTCCACATGCTGCTGGCGTCTACAAGTCGATACTGCAGGCTGTAGAGGAGATCGCAGGGGGTGGTGGGCAGATCTGGGGAAACCGCGTCCGTGACGGCGCTAGCCCTTCCAGTATCGACCATCGATCAAGCGCCCTTAGACAGCCTTCGACCTTATCAAACGTTCTCCTGAAGCAGGTCGCAAAGAGCGTCTGCCTCTTTCCCTATACACGCCATGGCCACTGTAACCATAGGCAGAACCTACTTCGAGGCTCTCTTACGAAGGTGGGCACACTTGACTTGTTTTCTTGCACGATGCGACCAAAGGTGTTTGCTTACCAGCCTGACAGAGCCGAATTTCATAGCTCTGGACGAGAATTTGAGCTTGGTCCTAGTCTCTCCGACATCGTAACCGTCTCCAAAGCAGAACACGAGTATCTGCTGCAGGCCACGCGAGAGTACAATCTGCTCAGAAATGCTCTTTTCCGCGGGGGATTGACGACCGAGACGCTCGAGACTCTGTTAGCAGGCGAAAACGGAGCCACCAACGACGAGCCACCACAGTACGACTACAGCTCCGAGAAAGCATATGCCAGGCCAAACCATGTTCCAGTCATCATGAGTACGCCGCACTACCACGACACCTCGCCAGTCTCGGACAACACTGCTGCCAGACACGACCTGCAACCTAGAAATCAGCCTTGTCCTGACCATCGATCTCACAGCTACGGCCTGCCCGAGTCCTCCGATGACACTTTCCTGAGAGATGACGAGGATCATGAACAGGAGCGTAAACAACGTGGTGTTCCAGTTCACGATCAGCGCACCGTTCTCATCACTAACCTCTCAGAGCGCACCACGCACAAAGACTTGGCTAGCATAGTTCGTGGTGGAAGACTATTGGACATATTCCTTCGTAACGACCGATCAGCTACCGTATCGTTCGTTGAAGGGGCCACAGAGTTCATGGCGTATGCCAAGCGCAACGATATTTACCTACACATGAAACGCGTAGGTGTATTTTGTGAGAATATCTATACAAATCTTGCTAAGCATTCATCTCTAGCTCATGTTTTCCTGGAACGAACGTCAGTTCCATGTCCCACAACATGTTTCAAACAAGATCGCAAATGGAGCCTCTCGAAATCTTGTAGTACGGGGAGTTGCTGAGAAACTCACTGCGGACGAGATCCGCGACCACCTAGATCACATCCACAACCTGGTCGTCGTCGATATCTATTTCAAGAATGGTGATGCGTACATCTCCACCAATTCGATTCATAACGCACTGTTCGCTAGAACCTGCATGATGTCTCGCACGGTGTACAAGGGAATACGCATCGACTGGTATCCGGATGAGTGTGCCGCACCTCTGCCACGACCAAGTTCGAAGCCTCGTACCCCTGCCATGGCAGCTTCAATGAAACCTATGCCCGTTGCAAACCCATACGCGCTCCTCGATACCGGCTCTGACACGGACTCCGACTCTGATGAGGATGAATCCTATGGAAGAAATGGTGTCCGTGTTGATGGGCATAACTGGGCTGATGCCATAGTAGCATGAGCAAGTCCAGCGTAGGGACTGCCCTTGACATCGTCCTCCCAAACTCCATTTCGTCACGATGGCGCTTGGTCTCTCTCCCTGACGCCTTGTCGAGACTGCCACCTTCCATACCTTTTGTTCTACCAATAGTCCTATGACATGACAGGGTTGTTTGGTGAGGCTACGAGGCCAGTTTAGTGTGCATTGATACTGTATGGAGTGAGAACAGAAAGGCTTATTCGACATGGAGTATTCACACATACATCGGTCCAGTTTGGTCTACTCTATGTTACATCGGCGTTGTCTGGAGTACGGTTACTTCTTTACATACTTAGATACCCCATCAGGCGTAGTTCAAATCTTTGATTATCTTTCCTCGACTTTTTCAGTCAGCCACGCAACACCTTACAACCTGCTGTTGTCGTTGTTCCTGACTGAATACCTCGACAATGTGAAAAACAGACGATGATATCGAACAACACGTTGAAAGCCGGACATCAGGTAGTGGGGAACACAACGAGCACTACTTCCTACTACTTTGATATGAGTGGTACACGTGATGCGGCCAATCAGATCATACTGCTGCACAGTCCCGTGTATACCCAATCTTGAATTTCGACTTGACTTTAGATTTGAGGGCATTATACAATTGAGAGTGTTGGTCTTTTCTAAGTTTGTTGTCTAGCTCAATCGTCTTCCATCACGTCTAAAGTGGTCGTTCGGAATCGAAGCAAGGGTGGATCCAAAGTCGCGATCCAATCGTTGAACAGTCGCGCCCGCGTCGATAAACTCCAGCAGACATCCATCACCAGCGTGTCAACGCGCACAAAAGTCGAATCTCACCTCCACCGTCCAAACGTCATCGCCCCGCCCATAACTCTATCCTCATCATCCGTCCCCGGAGCACGCACGCTCTCGCGCAATTCACAAGACCTTGACTTGCGACAACAGAACCCTCGACTGTCGGTGTACTACTGTTTGCAGCCTCGGAAACATTCAACGCCACTTGGAAGGCCGCGACAGAGGTGCAATACTCCAACAGACCCGCCTCATCGCTTGTCCTGAGAGCTGTTGTAGCTGTGCGACCGGGTTGACGAGCACGTTCAAGGGCGGTCTGCTAGTTGGAGCTGAATCGCAGTTGCAGTTGCAGTCAAAGCAAGCCCGAACCAATCCCAAAGAAAATCCTACTGTGTCCGGGCCCACGACAAAATGGTGGGAAAGAAGTCTGGCAGGGCCCAATTGAGGGAGGAAGGTATAATGATCGCGCGTCCTCCACACAGAATCGTACTGACCACTCGCAGGCCTCGAGCGAACAGACAACAATATGGACCTTACAACGTGGCCCCAGGTCGGCATGATCAACCAGAAAAACTACTACACCGAATTCCTGAAGCGCGACGAGCAGTTCCTGGCCGTTCGATATCCGAAGGATGAAGAAAGGGCACGCATAGTACAAGAGGCTCGAGATAAAGATCGCGCGCGCGCCCTGGGAGCACCGACAGTCGCGGAAGGCACAACCCCTCAGGTCGATGAGGGCGTGGATGAGGCAGAGATGTCATTTGCATCTAGGACGGATATCTCGAAACTCATTGTAATACACCCGGGCAGCCAGAACTTGAGGATAGGGCTGGGATCAGACGCCTTGCCCAAGACAGTCCCCATGGTCATTGCGCGTAGGTGGAAGGAGAGCGAGTGTGAAGAAGATGGTGGAGAGCCTAGCCCCAAACGAATGAAGGTCGAAGGTGCAGTGCCAGCAGACGCTCTCCCTGAGAAATGGTTCGGAGAAGACGTATGTAATCTCTCTACCAATATGCGCTACGATACTAACATACAGTGTAGTTCGCCGATCAATATATGGCCATGTCCTCTGAGTTACGGACACGAATGCGCTCCAACAAGCGACGTGTATTGCCGAACTCTAAAGACCTTGTGACAAATTACAATCGACGTACACCCCCAGACATCATTTCAGAGCACAACGATATCAACCGCATCGATTTCACAGAGTTGCCAAAAGACCCCAACAAGGCACCCCACTTCTTCACTGGACACGACGCGTTGCGCATACCCGAGAAGTCAAAACCTCGATACAAGCTTTTCTGGCCAATCCGAAATGGCTGTTTGAACGAGAAAGATTACGACGACCGCAACCAAATATATCACGATATGTCCAAGATCTTGGAAGAATCCTTCAGGAAACAACTTGGAATCACGAGAATGAATAGTCTTGTGAACTACAAGTGTGTCCTCATCATACCAGATCTGTATGAACGCAATTACGTTACCATGATCCTCGACATCCTGATACGAGATCTGGGCATTGGCAAGGTCTGTCTGCAGCAAGAGAGTCTGTCGGCCACGTATGGTGCTGGATATGGTGTTGCCTGCGTCGTTGATATTGGCGCCCAGAAGACATCGATTTGCTGCGTCGATGAGGGCATGTGTGTCGAGGAGTCGCGAGTTAACCTGAAGATGGGCGGATCGGACATAACCGAGACGTTTGTGAAAATGATGCTCTACGGTCACTTTCCGTATGCAGAAATGAACTTGAAGCGTAGATACGACTTTCTGCTCGCAGAAGAGCTGAAACAGAAGTTCTGCTCGATGGACGAGGGCTCGGTGACGGTGCAGACGTGGGACTTCCACCTTCGAGCTTCTGGTCAGGATACGCGCAAGTACACATTCAAGACGTACGATGAGACGATGCTCTCAGTCATGGTATGTGAAGATGACGGATATAATCAGCATCAGTGACTAACTTGTCTAGGGCCTGTTCAAGCCTTCGATATTCGACAACTCGCGCAAGCTAGAAAAGAGACGAAGCATCGTACCTCGCTCAGTGGACCTCTACGACGGATCGCCAAACGACCCCATCACGCACGCCCAACTCGCGGTTCTCGAGGCCGCGTCCGGCAAACCCGCCCTGGCTGCCGTCAACGGTACCCAAGAACTAAGCAGTAGCGTGAACGTGCTCTCCACGCCTCAACGCCCCCAGCAATTCAGCCTACTCGGCCGCCTGAACGACAACGAAGCCACGCCCCGCTCCTCAGTCGCAGGCTCCCCCGCCCCCGACGGCACCGGAATCGGCACGCCCAACCCCGACCGCGACACCCCCATGGGCGACGCAGACGCCCCGCTCATCTTCCGCGACCCCGTGCTCGAGAAGATCAAAATCGCAGATGAGCGCGACAAGATCCTGCCCGTCATCCCGCTCGACAACGCTATCCTTGAGTCCCTCGCCCAGGGCGCTCGCGGCGACGACCGTAAGCTGCGCGACTTCTTCGGCGGTATTATGCTCGTTGGCGGCGCGTCTAAGACGCCTGGGCTCCGCGAGTTCCTGGAAGCGAGGCTTCGGGAACAGAGGCCGTTTTATGGTAAGGAGATTTTGGTGGGCCCCCCGCCGAGAGACTTTGATCCGCAGGTTGTGGCTTGGAAGGGGGGGAGCGTGTTTGGGCGGCTGAGTGGGCATGGGAATGATAGCTGGATTAGCAAGTATGAGTATGATATCCTCGGGGGGAGGCTGTTGAACAACAAGTGTACGTTTGCGTGGTAGGGTGGGGTGTTTATAAAGGGTTGTGTTGTGTTGTGGGACTCGGGGGTTTGGTATTTGGCGGTTGTATTGTACATTGGACTTGAACATGAAATATGAATATGGATGTTGTTACACTCCACTATCTTAATCTCAACCCCAACCTCCACTTCCAATGGCTTAACACCTTCTCAACACACCAAACCAGCAGAGAAAGAACAAGACTTCACGCCTTCACGCCCATCCCCCCAGCAACCCGATCGCAAAACTCCGCCATCTCCACATCCTTGACACTCAACCCCTCAGGCCGATGCGTAGTCCACTCGACAGTCACGCGATTATACGCATTCGACCAACTCGGATGGTGTTTCTGCACCTTGCATTCTTCCGCGACGAGGCTCATGAAGGTCCAGGCTGCCGAGAAGGAGCGGAAGGTGAAGGTGCGGGTTAGGCCTTTGCCGGAGGGGGTGGGGTGCCAGGTGGGGAGGAGGAGGGCGGCGCGTGGGGGGAGGGTGGGGGGTTGGTTTTCGGAGAAGAGAAGGGTGGTGGTGGATGGGGGGGCGGGGGGAGAGGTGTCGATGGGGCGGGGGGGCGTGGTGTGGAAGGTTGATGATGGGGTGGTTGGTGGGAGGGGGGACTTTGGTTGTGGGCGGTGGATTGAGGAGATTGGCCTTGTACTGTGGTGAGGAGTTGTTAGTTTGTGAATTATTTGGTGGTTTGTATGTTTTGGTTCTGGGTCAAGTGATGTTTTGTTTCTGGGGTGGGATGGGGATTTGTATGTTGTTTGGGAGTCAGATGGGATGGCGTACGGGATTGATTTGAGTAGACGTCTGGATTGTGACATTTTTGGAAGAGTTGATTTGTAAATGTATATACGTGATATGGTGCGATGTTGGATGCTGATGATGGATAGGGCAGAGTGTCAAGAGTGCATCAAGAAGATACGCTATCGTCGAATAATTGTCCAAGAGTCGACCAAGTCGTTCAAGACGTCGATCATCACCATTAATCACCATTCATCACATCAAGCACTATTCGAGAGAATCGATTCATGTTCTTCCCAGCACCAGTGGCATGGATGAAGCGGGGAGCTCCGGATCAGGAAGCTCTCGAACCAGCCAACAGAGAATGCTGACGGAGATTTCTTGGCAGCAGCTGTACACGGTGTTGGGACGCATGGAGCAAGATGGCAAGCAAGAGGAAGCGGAAATGATCAATTCCAGCCACCCGTGTAATTGCAGTGTGGTGTTGCATCTGACGTGGTGGTGCTCCCGAGGCCGAGCTTGCCGAGCGGCGGAGTTGTGTGTCCAGGCAGCTTCGTCTGCCACCAGTGCCTCGTCGCCCCTCTTCTTCCTTACATACGCAGCTTTGTAATCATCAACTCGAACATCAAGCCCCAGCCGGTATGCCCGCATCCCATCCATCCCATGAGGCGCGCACCCACGATGATTGTGCGCCCTGCTTGGCAGGCCGCAGAGCTAACGGGCAATGGCACGCAGACGTGCTCTTTCCCACTCTCCCGGTCGCGACTGACCTGCCTTGGACCCGCCCACGCCGCCCGACGTCACGGCACCCGCGCGCGCATCTTCGCCGACTGCAGAACACGCCCTCCCGCTGGCTGACTCCGAGCCCGACTCTGCCTGACCCTGCCCGTCCGACGGCTGCGCGCTGCGAACAGCCAAGCACACGACGATTGAATGAGCCAGCGGATCCTCTACCCGCAGATCCACAGCGATAGCCCGTACACGATGCAGCAGCCAGGCGCCCAGGCCAAGCCCACCATCGAGATGAGCTTACGAGAGCACCTCCTCGCCGCTGGGGCTGGCCAGCCTGTGGCGCAACCGCTGCCGCAGCACCCGCACGTCGCCAGCCCGCCGCACGCCATCGACCCAGCCATCGCCGGCTCGCAGTACGCGCAGATGGGCGGCGGCGACCCCAACGACGGCGACCTGAGCGAGGGCCGCAACAAGGGCCGGCGCGAGCTCTCGACGTCGAAGCGCGCCGCCCAGAACCGCGCTGCCCAAGTAGGTGCCTGTTGCGCCGCGCTGTGTGACCCCCGTGTGCTGACCGTGCTAGCGCGCCTTCCGCCAGCGCAAAGAAGAGTACATCAAGCAGCTCAAGGACCAGGTCAAGGAGTTCGAGCACCTGTCGCACACATACAACCAGGTCCTCGCCGAGAACTCGTCATTGCGCGACTATGTCATCAACCTGCAGGCCCGTCTGCTCGAGGCCCGCGGCGAGATCCCACCCGTCCCCGCCGGCATTGACCTCAACCGACCGCACGGCGAACCCTTGGGCCTGAACCACAACCTGCCGCGACAACTGCAGCCCCGCCCCTCGGACCCGCACCAACAGCAGCAGCAGCAACAGCAGCAACAGCAGCAGCAGCAACCAGAGCAGCAGAGCCCCAACAACAATAACGGGGGCCTGTCGGAGCGGCAAATCGGCGAGCTCCAGATGGCCGCCCAGGCTGCCGCAGCCGCACACGGTCCGTCTCCAAACAATGGCAAGCACCTGAACTCGGATGGCTCATACGACGCAGGTGATTACGCAGAGAAGCGCCAGAAGGTCGACGAGTCGCCAGTCCAAGCTCAGCACCCTTCGCCGCCCTCCATCTACCCCAACCCCAACGCCTACTAGTAGTGCGGGCAGGCCGTCTGTTTATCTAGGTCAAATCGGAGCCTATCAACGGCGACACGCGGCTTATGTAGTGAATGTAGGAGGACGATCGGCGTCGGAATACGCGGCGTTCGTCTCCGACCTCCAGCAGTCACGCACACAGGACGCTTAGCATACGCACTGTATCGCTCGCGAGATTATCTCTCTACTTTGTTCTGTTCGTTTGTTAGTCCCGCGTCATGCATAGGACTCATACGTGTTCTTGGGAAAGGTATCTTTTTTCTCTTCTCCTCGGCGTTCGATATGGGTGTAGGTGTAGGTGTGCGGAGGGACACCGTTGTACGCGCTGTAGTGTGTCTTGTGCGTTCTAGGGCTATGTGTGTTTCCATAACATAGTAGCCTCGTGTTTGTAGTCTATCTATCGTCGATTTCTTGTCCCAGAGAATCTGTGTTTTGTTGAATTGCACTCTCGCCTACACTCAGCAACTTGTTCAGCAGATGATGCTTGGACGATATCATGAACAGCCAATGGAATGGAGTGAAGTAACATGGTAAATCGTCAAGACTACAAGGTTAAAGAAAAAGTGACACGAATATCCTAAACCAACCATTCGCCCAGCATCAAGCGTACCTGAAAGCCCATCCCATCCCATCCCATCCCATCCAAACCCTAGTTGTATGTTACACCCCCCAATCCCTCACACAAAAACGCCGCGCAATGATATCCCAGAACCCCACGTATTCCCCTTCCTTCCCCTCCAAGCAAATAACGTGTTTAATTGTACTGCCTCCTCTTCGCCTGAGCCTCCTCCTCCTTCTTCGCCTTAGCCTCCTCCAACTTGCGAATCTCGCGCGCCACGCCCCCGGTAGCAGTCCACCACGTATCCGTGCCCCACCTGACGACCCTCTCAGCCGCACTCCTCGGCCCATCGACCGCGGGCCTGACGTCGAGGAAAAAGACGGGTTCACCCGTGGGCTCGGGCTCGCCCTCATAGTAATCAATGACATAGCGGACCTCCTCACAGCCCTTAGTATTGCAGCGATTAACGTACCAATCATGACGGTCAAAGGGCGGCGGGGTGCCGAATCTCTCAGGCGAGGCCCAGCTCAGCCACTGCATGATAGCGGCCTTGGGGGTAGGTTCTGTGGGGCGGCCGGTGAAGCGGACGAGGCTGGGTGGGGGCACGCCGTCGACGTCCCAGGTCTGCGTGTCGAAGGGGTCGTCTGCGGTGCCGAGGGCGAGGTTCGCGTTCTCCTCGCCGCGCTTGCAGATGCGGTATCCCTCTGCGACGCCCTTTGAGAAGCGGCGCTCCCACCCCATGATCTCGGCCCAGGCGCCCTCGTTGAGGAAGTTGTGCACTGATACCATGGATTCGACGGCGTCGACGGGCGTGTCTGTGTAGCCTTTGCGCAGCATGGCGTTGTACATTTGTTGCGGTGAGGGGTACTCCCATAGCGAGCCGTCGGCTTTGGGGATCGTGGATGCTTCGCGCGAGAGGGGTAGGTCTTGGGATTGGGCGTCTGCGCGGCTGTTGTCGAGTTCGGCGAACATGTTGTTTAGGGGGTTGAGGCGGGAGAGGAGGCCTTGTTTGGCAGGTGCTTCGGCGGCGGAGGATGAGGGGACTTCGGCGGAGGCTTTGGCGGCGCCTTCTGGGGGTACGTAGGGACAGGCGCCTCTAGGGACTTCTGCGGTGGCGGGGGCCGAGACTTTCTTGTGCATGGGACATGATGGCTGGGAACGTGTTAGATGTGAAGCTGAGTGGTCAAGGACGGCGGGCGTACGGGAGGTTCTGCGCTGCCTCGAGGCGTAGGGTGCGGCGCAACAGGCGCGGAGGATGCAGTGTCTGCCCAAAACCAACCCATGTTGAATGACTATGTTCGAAGAGTAAAGGGCAAAGAGAAAGGGAAACACAAGCGGCGTGAGAGCAGCGTATAAAGCTGGAGCAGTGAACAAGTGCGTGGCAATAGAATATTTTGGTAGATCGGAAAGAGCAGGGTCGAGGGCTAGCATCTCCGTCATAACGTGTCCCGCTAGTCTAAGCAAGACTCCCGCACGCCGATTGGTCCAGGAACACGGTACAAGTGAACACCATACATGCATGACAATTGCTTTATTGTACACTCGTGGCATCGTACGTCCAAGATCTCTTGTCATATCAATATCGAGTGACGATGCTCTTGACTCACGTCCCTAACCTTATGAACCTGTCGCCTTGGCCAGCTGGCCAGTTCCCCTCGAGCTGAAGATAGCCATGATGCCAAAGCTGCCGTAGAACAGAACCATAGGGTACGCGACCAAGCCCCTCATAGACGACATTCGCCCTACAAAAGATGTCAGTAACTGATTCTGCATCAATTCCAGGGCGCAACACTTACCAACAGCGGTGAACATCGAGCTGGACGAGTGCGCGCACCACATGATGGCCAAACTCGTGAGGAAATACCCAAACAGTCCATCCAGGGGGAGTATAATTCCGAATATCGAAACAAGCACGAGAGGAAGAAGGCAGTAACCTAAGACTGAGGCCGACCGAGGAAATGTCAGGGAAGATCCAAAATGGGAGCCTTGCGGATGACCATGATCGTGTCCTGCTGCAACTTCGGCTGGGTTTACAGGTGGCGACATGAGCGAGAGGATACTGTGAAGCAGAATCGTGCCTAGCAAAGCCAGTCCTACATCTGTATTAGTTTTGCGCCAACAAGAGGGTTGGTCAAGACCTACCATAGATGTAGCCAAAGTGGAGTTTCCCGGACAACTGTGACATCTTAGTTTCTTGATGTCCTTGCTTTGGACATTCTGCTACTTACGAGCAATGCGGTGCCGAATATCAGGAAGAAGAGGATCGGACCCGCTACGTCGCTATCGTCCATGATGTGTTGGTCGATCCTGCCGAACGGGTTCAAGACAGCAAGTGTCTATCCAAAGTCAGCACCATAGTATGATCAACACAGTCTGCTACCACATACCTTCATCTTGATATGTCCAAAGTTCACACCCAACTCTTCCACTACACATTGTCAGCTCCTCGATTGGATTCGCGGGGGATGATCGACTAACACAGCGGCGGTTCTCCGTCATATCTGCTCCATGTTTAGCGCTCATCCTGTATTACATAGGCATCGACATACCCTTCAGTGCCAAACGCCGCGAACCATCCTGTCCTCAGCCCTGACGCGCCCATGCCCATCTGCCCGCTCACCCCTGGTGCTGCAAACCCCGCACCATACTGTGCCGGATACGCCTGAGTCTGTGGTGCGCCATACCCTGCTTGAAAGGGCGTAGAGTGTCCGGACACTGGCTGGTTCGAGAACGAAGAGGAGTAGAACTGGAGGTTTTGCGCGTTTCCGTTGCCGTATTGTGGGTTCTGCCCATATCCGTATTGCGCCATTGTCGTCGGTCTCTGGAATCGAAGAGGATTTCAGTCGTAGGCGCGCGTCAGAGGTCGGAGATACGGCTTGAGAGGTAACGTGGAAGCCTGGTCAAGCTTGGTTGGGACGGTTTAGGGATCGAGGTATTACGTATAGCGAGCGTGAAACGTCACCGGTTTGTAGGGGCGGGAGGGGCCAGGTTGCGCTGGATGAGGAGAACGATGGCCGAAACAAGTGTGAAAATGTGAACGTCGAAGGAAAGGAGTAATTGTGAGTTGAATGTATGGAAGTCTTAAAAGGGTAGGCACATGTCTTTCGTGGCACTTCGGAGTTACCTGATGCTGATTGGCCGGGTCACGTGTTTGAAATATATCTTGGACTACACAGATGAAGAGTCGTGCCCAATCACTAGTTGCTGAAAGTTTGAGAAGGTACATTACGTGAGTTTTAGACGTCTTCATTATGCCGCCAATATATTGTTTCCTTTACGCCCTGTACTGTGGTATAGCTTCTCAAGAATGACACATTGATACTTAGCAGACAATCATAGTATTGTCTATTCAAAATCTTGACATAGTCAAGATAATGACTTCGGACGCTGTCTCTTGGACTGAATTCCCCTCTTACGTCGAATCGGAAATCGCGTTGCAGAAGGAAAAAGAAAAGTGCACACTTGCTAGGAAACTTCAGCTCAGTGAAGAGAAGAGATGGGTATCTAATATTGATGTCATGAGTAGAGTCAATCGTAAAATGCAATGTGCGCCAGGTAGAAGTACCCCATACATCGAATCATAATGGGTGTACGAGTCCACAAACACCCAACACCAACGCCCTCTATACATATACTCGAGCGATATATTCGAGCGATATGCTCAGGACACGCGGCTCCGTCGAGCAGTGTAGTTACACCAATCACACTATCATGTAGTCAGTACCGAAAACGGCGGATTCTACGCGTTACCTACCAAGGTCTCTGATGAGGTTTCGTTGTCCTCACGGCAGTATTCTTGTTGGCACTTCGTACATTGCCGGATGAAGAGCTCTTTGCAGCTTATACACTATAGAATGTCAGTTTGTGAGTCCAATGCAGAGATATGTGTGGACTCTACCGTATGGCCACAGCCGAAACAGTCGCGTCGAACGCCGATAATCTGTGTTCAAATCATGTCAGCCTCTTTCTTTCTCATGGACAGAGCACATACCTTGGCGTGCCAGAGTCAGGTTTCCAGGTGCTGTTATCCAGTAGGAGGGCTCCACGGCCAGTCATGGAGACTGGTTTCCGGATTCCAACTACATCGTAACCGCCTGGTAATGCCATCGCCTCTCGCACGCCAAAGTAGTTTCGTTCATCCCCACATCCCGTTGCTGCCTGCACCGGCCATCATCTCGCTGACCAGGCACTGATCAACACAAAGACCCATATGTACCTTGATGGTTTGCTTTGGGATCAGGCAAGTGCTCCCATTGGATTGTATGTCCTCTGTAAGCTCCGTTTGTTGGAGTTCGGTGCGCTGGGCAACGGTCGATCCTGCGTAACATTCCTCGTCCCACCATTTGTTACATCTCTCACACCAACGGCCCTTGAGACAATCTTCGCATCGCACATAAAGTGGCGGGGCAGTTGACCCATCAATGGTATGTGGCGTCTGTGCAGCACGTATGGAACTTCCGTGAAGAGGTACTGGGCTCAGTAGCGGAAGATGAGATGATGGAGAGTGGCCACATGCTGCTGGCCCCTCAGAGCTGGTATGGCAGGACTCGCAACCAGATGGGCCCAATGCAACAGTGGCAATACAAGGTCTAAGGAACGAAGCTGGATGTGGTATGCTGTGGCTTTGGCCTTCAGTGACGTATGCTTTGCTTGGATCGTGTCGCGGACCTCTGCAAAGTACAGCGTCGAAAGCTACGATGCCTTCGCATGCTTGTATGACTTCTGCCCATTCTGAAGATGGTCGCTTTGTCATCATCTTTCCAGAAGATTGATACCATTTGTCCTCGGTCCTCGCCAGCGCAGCTCCGAGAGCTTCTGATGATTTTTGGTTCCACTCGGCGCCAATCTGAGCTCCTTGTGAAGACATGATTCCTCGTGAGACAGATGAGGGCGGATTATTAGTTGATGATGATCCAGGGAGTGGCGCTGGGTCGCGGGGTCCGAATAGGTAAATTCCTTTGACTCGTGGTGTTCCTTCAGGCCTCGACGGTCGAACCGCATATCTCAGATATTGCTGAAGCTTCCTCTCGTTCAAGTGCTTGACCTCTCGAATCGAAAGAATGCGAACGTTGTATCTTTCTTCGGTGAGTAGGTCCTTAACAAGCTCTGCCGTAACGCTGAGGCCATCTAACACTAGTGTGTGTACGTTGCGTAGGAGGCTTTGCTTCTCGAGTCTGGAGAAGATGCCTCGCAGTGGGCCAGAGTAAAACTCGTCTTCCGATAGAGATTCATCCATGCGCTCAGCGCGCCAGACAATGCCACCAGCATCAAGAGGTCCGTCGAAAGGAACAATGGCGGACTTGACAGGTGAGAGGTCGAGATAACGAAATGCTTCAGGAGATTGACGGATGGTATAGTAAAGAGGTCGTGATGTCGCTGCCAGGGCACAAAGAGACGACACGGGAAGATAGGGCGCAGTTTGGCGCAGAATCAAGGTATTGGAGAGAAGATCTGCCAGGGACGTGGGAAGGCCATCAAGGAGAACAGTAGAGTCCATGGTGGGGGATTGGAGAACGCTACCAACAACTGTGGACGAGTTCAGACGGGTACTCACAGATTCTTATGCACGGCAGGTGGGATAGTAGCCCAGAAGGCACGTGTTATTGGTACGACCTTGCAGAATGCGGAGAAGGTGTTGAGGAGCAGAAGAAAACAAGGCAACTAAGGTTGATGCGGTGAAGGTGTGGGATTATCTGCCATTAACCACGTCGAGGATGCATGACGCCTGCGAGGCAGGCCGCAGGGCCGCAGCCAAGTCAACCAACACACCCACCGAGTTGGGGATCTACTCGATATCCAGGTCCAAACTACGGCGAATGGTCAGGGACTCTTCGGTAGCCAAGAATCTACCGAACTTCACACGTTTCGAGTGTTGAATCGCGTATAAAAGTCGACGGAAAGGACGCGACGTGGGGCAGGCGGGCGGCCGTTACCACAAAGCTTCACGTATCGAAACCGCTTGTTGGCGGTAGCACGATTGTGTGACGGTCCGATCATCGCAGCATGTCGGGAGAGAACTGGGGTAATTTGTGCACGTATCTCGCTCTACGCCGGTTTCGATATTCCCGATATACAGTACCAGGTGATACAAGAGTTATCTAAGTAACTCAGCCTCGTGGAACGCGTCGCGTAGCAACTACTGTTATCGATAACTGAGAAATGACGATGTCACCAGAAGCTTCGAGACGCCGCGTCGTGTACATGTGTCAGCCAACACTCACTGCGCCTCTGTGTTCTCCTAAGCTTTAGGTGGTCTGTCTGCCTGCAATACTCTTCCTGTAACAAATTGCGTCGTAGAATATACTGTTATGTCAGAAATGGAACCCGCAGAACTCAAGTGGTCGGCGCATTACTCACTTGCGCACCCCACTCAAAGCAGACGAGAGCTTCCAGGCGATAAGATATTGTTGCCCCCCTCCGCCTTAGAGCAACTGCTCTCTGCAGCTCCCGTTGTGACGATCGACTCGGACCGTCCCCACATCACCGCTTTCGATCCATACAACCCGTACACATACGCCGCCGAGCGACAGGCGCGCGCACAATTTCAGGATCGCCACCAACAACTACCACACCCGCTCACGTTTCGACTCGTGAACCCAGACAATGGCAGGGCGGTACATGCAGGGATACGCGAGTTCTCGGCAGAAGAGGGACAGATAGTCCTGAGCAGTTTTCTGAGGGAAGCCCTAGGTATAACAGGAGAGTCTGCGGATCCCTCGAGAAGAGGAAGCCCAGATGGCCATGGTGGAGGGGATGAAGTCATGGGTAATGGCGTCGAGCAGCCTGCCATGGGTGAGTCGGTGGCAAAGATTACCGTGCATGCAAAACAACTACCCAAAGGCACATTTGTGAAGCTACGGCCTCTGGAAGCTGGCTACGATCCAGAGGACTGGAAGTCTCTACTCGAGGAACACTTGCGATCGAACTTCACTACGCTTACAAATAAGGAAGTGTTAGTAGTCTATGGTGGCCGTGGAATTGGCGGCAAGCGCGAGGAATTTCGCTTCTTGGTGGATGGCTTCAAACCAGAAGGAGATGGGATATGCGTAGTAGACACAGATCTGGAGGTCGACATAGAAGCACTGAACGAAGACCAGGCGCGAGAGACTTTGAAAAGCATAGCAGCAAAGAGACAACGAGCACCTGGGACAACAGAGGGCAGTTCCACCGGCGGGGCTATCAACATCTTTAAGGGTCAAGATGGTCAAGTACTCGAAGGAGAATATGTCGATTACGAACTGCCTTCGTGGGATAGGTCACAAGGTCTGGAGATCTCATTAGGCGAGGTCGAGGACGATGATGAACTTGACTTGTTCGTGAGCCCATACTCCTCGCGACAGCGAGTGCGCCCACGGGAAGACGAGCACGTTTTTGCGGATCTATCGAGTCAACATCCTAAGCGCATACGTTTACAACCCACAAACGTTGAGCTGGACGAAGCGGAGGCTATCTGGATATCTGTCCACGCACATCCCTCGGACTCACCTTCCAGCACACCAAAACCATTCCATCTCAGGGTGGCTACATTTGACCCAAAGTCCGATTCAGCAACAAGCGGGAGTGATGGCAAGGAGACTGCACATACACCTGACGAAGTGCAATGCAAGAACTGTCATCAATGGGTGCCCAAGAGCTCTCTCTTCCTACACGAAAACTTTTGTCTACGAAACAACATCCTCTGTCCCCAGGGTTGTGACCAAGTCTTCCAGAAGCGTTCTCCAGCCTTCCAAAACCATTGGCACTGCCCTCACGATACTTTTACCGGAAACACTCTCCAAAGCTGTCAGAAGCACGACGCAATCTATCACACCCCACAAACCTGCTCGTCTTGTGGTCTTGATTTCCCCTCAATACCCACTCTCTCCCACCACAAAACCACCACCTGTCCCGGCAAGCTCATCCTCTGCCGTTTCTGTCATCTGCAAGTCCCACAAGAAGGCGATCCCACTGAGCCACCTAACCCCGAACTCCTCCTGTCGGGCCTCACACCTCATGAGCTTGCAGATGGCGGCCGAACAACAGAATGCCACCTTTGCAACAAAATCATCCGCTTCAGGGATATGGACACACATCTCCGGCACCACAACCTAGAGCGTCTATCTCGCCCCACACCCCGCCTGTGCCGCAATGTAAACTGTGGCCGTACGCAAGACGGTGCGAACAAAATGGGAGACACGCGCGCCGGTACACGAAAAGGTCAGGGCCCTGGTAACGAAATAGGGTTATGCAGCGTGTGCTTCGGTCCTTTATATGTCTCTTTGCACGATCCAGAGGGCAAAGCGCTGCGTCGTCGTATCGAGCGCCGATATCTAAGCCAACTCCTCACTGGCTGCGGCAAAGCGTGGTGCAGAAACGAGTATTGCCGCACCGGACGCAAGAATCTCGGGCAAGGCGATAAATCCGTACCCACGCGAGAAGCCATACCGCTCGTCAAGGGGTTCTTGGACGGCATGGATGGCAGGGGATACAGCACTCCACTGCATTTCTGCGTCGACGAGCGAAGCCAGAAGTCGCGAACACTAGCAGAAATGCTGAGCGCGGAGACGGGTATCGAAGGGAAAGGCGGGTATGGTCTGGAATGGTGTGCTGCTGGTTTGGAGGCCGAGGGTGGGGATCTGGAGAAGGGCAGGGCCTGGTTGAAGGGTTGGGCGCCACAGAGGAGCGAGGAATCCTAGTGAAAGAATGGATGGTGTGGTACCCGGCGGAAGCCTGTACTGTCTGCTGGCTCTTACAGGGCACGTGGAGGTTGGTCAGATGTTTTGCATTAGTGGTTTTGGTGGATGTATTGATGCAAGATCTTTTGGAAAAGGAAAGCTGTGGGTGGGGTGTACGTCAAGGGACATCCCAGTAGTGATCCTCCATGGACAGCATTATAGATGAAAGCGAGTGGCATATAGACTTTATAGATACCCTAAGACGATGATGATGGGCTTGATGAGCTAGACTGGTCACCTTGCATACTTATCTCTCAACACATGTCAACGAGAGACTGATTCATTTGCGCTACCTATATGATGCATAGAAGTCTCCAAACCACGCCATCCCCAAAGTTCTAAATATATACAGAAGATAACGATGTTCTTCGCTCGGATTTAACACCATCCCAAACGCAGATGTCATGGTGAATGTCGGATGTTTTCCAGCGACTCATGCAAAACCAGCCGATTGATGCACAGTACACTGAAGTCTTCCAACATGCACCACACCTCAGACTTTGTAGCTGAGCATTCCAATCGTGTCAGGGTAAACACTGAGGTTATCAGACCATTTAGCCTTGTCCTGGCCATCAATAGTCACCATCTGCTCAGCGCCGATCGTGCTCAACGCAAAAGCCTGAACACTCGAGTCGCCCTCAATGCTGAAAATGCGGTTCTGGCAATTGCGGAAGCCATTCGGCGCATCTGCAGCGCTGCAGGTGAGGTCGTAGTTGCGGAAGAACGAGTACAAGCCACCGCCGTAGACGAGGACGTTCTTCGAGTTGAGGACGCGCAGGCCGTACGCACTGCAGACACCGGCTGGGCAGGCAGAGGCGTAGTCGGGGTCGTTGAAGGCGTTGGATCGTCCGTATGGCTGCGTCTTTGCGTCGGGGTTGGGCATGTAGTATGGTGTCTCGGTTTGGATGAAGCCGGCGAATACGTTCGAGGCGCCGTTGAATTGGTATTGGTACAGGGCGTGGTGCTCGACGCCGTTGGCCCAAAGCCAGACGTTTGTGGCTTCGACGTGCAGACCGCGGCCGGTGAAGATAGATACTCGGGTTGATTTCGGGTCGTCGAGATCGTGGTCAGCGGTCTATGAAACATGTCAGCATATGTTTATAGTTGAGTCTGTCGCGCTCTATTGAACATTGGAAACGTGTGCGGAAGTGCTTCGTGTTCCTCAAAAACAACAGAGATGGTAGGTACTTACCCAGAACCAGTTGTTCTCAAAGTATGCTCCAGTGCCAGTCTTGGTGACATGGACGTTAGTGTGTGCCGCCATACACTCAGGCTTGGTTGTGTAAACCGGGCACTGAGCAATTTGAAGCTGGGTACCCTTAGAACCACCAATTCGAGTGTGGATATCCCACAATCCAGAGCCACGGTCGGAGTTGAGATTGTACTCGATGAGTTTGGCACCGGGTGTTGCTCCTTGTGTTTGCACGATCATGTCCGACCATTCGATGCGTCCACGATCTCCCGCCCTACCGATTTGCATGACCGCCACAGGGCTGTCCTTGTTCGACCAAGTGCTGCCAGAAGCCATGATTGCTGAGAACGACTCTCCAACCATGCGAGCTCCAGGAGGAACGTAGATCGTCCGCGTGACCTTGTAAACACCATGTTCGAAGAAGAGAACCTTTCCTTCCGTTGCGGACCTAGTCACGGCAGCCTGGATAGCACTGGTGTCGTCCGTTTGGCCGTTACCTGTTGCACCTGCGCTGCGAGCACTGATGAAGTCCCCAAGGCCAAGAGTCTCGTACTGAGGCTTTGATTTGGAATAGTATTTGCCGTTGTCAAGGAGTGCTGCAGGTCGAGTCGCAGTTGTGAGGGAGCCTTGGAATTTCTCTGGGCCGTTAGGAGAGTACCTGTTGCCCTGACCCCATGCTTTGATGGTTATCGATCCACCCTGGAGAACGGTGGTGCCGGATCCCTTGATGGCAATAGGTACGTTGTTCAGGCGGATGTTCTCGAGCACCAATTGACCAGCTCCGATGGGAACTGAGTCTCTCCTCCATGCCTATGATTGATTAGTCGTTGTTCACTGCTGTAGAGAATGCGAAGTATATGTATATCGAAACCCCAAGTAGCCTAGATGAATTCAATGTATCTCATAGTCCTGGCATGAACTATGAAAGACACTGAAGACATCCAGCCCACCACCCAGGCTCTAGTCTGCTATCTGCAGGAGGCATGTGGGGTATAAAACACAGTACTTGACTCACCATATCGACAAATGTTGGACAGTTGGTGATATCGCTGTCAATGATGACGACCGAACCGACCTCAAGCTTGTTACTCTGGTAGCCGTTGATCATGGAGAAGGCAGTGCTGCATTCGCTGATAGTAAGGCCCGAGTACAGCCATCCCCAGTTCCAGATTTGTGAGATGCCGATAACTGCCTTGGAAATATTTATGTTGCGCATGGTAAACTGCTGGTTACCGATGTTCATTCCATACAAACCTCCCACGATAGTGAGGTCGGCCATGTGACCACCGGACCCATTCTCAACGAAGATACCGGCATGGACTGAGTTTGACGCCTGAGTCATGCGGATCTGGACGTTTTGAATCGTAGTCGCTTGCGAGGCAGGCCAATGGATGCCCTGGAAACCATTGGTTGGTGGGACTGCGGTGCCGTCGATGATCAAGTTTCGGATCTGGCGCAAGAATATGTTGGTGGAGGTCCATCCAGGCGCGCCATTCTGGTTACTGTATGGGCTGGCATCGATAAGGGCAAGAGCTTGGAGAGTAGAAGCAGCCTTGAGGATGGGAAGGTTTTTGGGGTTACCGATGAGCTGAGTCATGTAATAGAAAATAATCGGCTTGCCAATGATGTATGTACCAGATGGGATGTAAACAACGGCCGGAGTATCCGTGGACGAATCACAGACCCAGGGGCCGCAGCGGTTTCCGTCAGAGATGGCACGATTGATCGCATCAGAGTCATCTGTGACGCCATCGCCTTTAGCTCCATAATCCTTGACGTTTCGGAACACCTTGTAGCCGGCCGGATTAGGGTTGAAAGGAGCAATGCCTCTACCGGACATGTCATTAAGCCAGTAGCCATCGGAGAGTGCCTGAGTCTGGATGTCGGAGAGGCCGAGAGCAGATTGAGGGATACCCGAGGAGGCATCCACGGTACGAGGGTATGATGCTGGAAAGAAAACAGGGTCAGATTCAGTTATCCTTACGCGAAAGAGGTGTAGAAAGCTTACGGAGAGCAATACTCTCAACACCAGCTGCCAGGAGGCAGGAGATGACGGGGAGCAAAAGCATCCTTGTAGAGCACACTGTGGTCGGCAAATTGTGTGTACAACAAACTCAGTTGTGTTGCAGAAGAGAAGTAGGAGTTGTGATGAGGAAAGAAAATTAGGAAGCAAGAACGAGGTGTCTATGTAGTCTTTCGCCGTCTGTCTACGGCTTGGCCTAGCTTAGCCGGCGAGAGTATATATGTGGAGAAAACCACATGATGCTCGTCATTCGTAGAAGACTGGTCATTCAAGGGGCTTTTGGTGGCGGGCTTTGCTTACGGATTGAGCATTCGACATAGGGTCATATGCCAGGTTGGATGTCTCGTTGGTGGGCTACCAAGTTGGGAATTGAGAGCATCATCCAGTCTGTATGGTGGACCGACCCATCCACCACATTGCAATTTATCTGTGGCCGGGGCAACATAGTCTTGCAAGCGGAACAATAGATAAATTCAAAGATTAAATGATACCAAACCATGGAGATTGCTTTCAGAACATAGAGTATAGGGTACAAGACTTCGCATGGGTTATGAAACTAACCCTAGTTAGGAAGAAGTCACCGGGTCGGCTCGCATCCAAAAAGGCATGTGATGAATGGTTGTCAACGCCCAATGAAACGATTCTAGACGTAAACTCTCTTGGGCACCAAGTCTATAACAGTTTAGGGTGTCTATACCCCTTAATCGGCCTCGTGGGCGTTGCGTTTTGCGGGGTAGCAACTTTCTCGGCATGTCCGAACTGCATGTGTGTGTATGTCTGTGTGTTGCGCTGTGCTTGCTTTTGAAGGCGATCAGTAGTGTCACAAGCTCGGAAGGGTCACCCGGTGCTGGTAGTGTGTGTCGCATCCTTGAATGTTAGGTGTAAAGCAACTTATTATGCAACACACAGCTTGAGATCATCCCATGGATCGTTGTTAACCGAGCGATAGTTTTAAAATCACTAAAGCCCCCTGACGAGGAGTAGGATCTCCAGTCTGCAGGGGTGCCACTTATCAACTGTAACGTATTGAGTACCCTTGCAAACCTTCCAAAGGGCTGTGTGTTGCGATAGAAGGATCAAGCCCGATGCTTGCCCGCGAGCTCCGAAGTACGTGGATTGGCGCCCATATCAAGAAGAGATTGTTTTGCCCAGTTGGGACGTAAGTGGTTGAGATAAAGGTGAAAGGATCAAGCCACATCCTTGGATGGGAAGGATCGGAACTAATGCTATTCGGGATCGGGCACCTGCCGACTCCCCAGACGTTACATTCGGAGTTTTGGGCGTGAAGACGTGGGAGATGGACCAAGCGGCTAAGAAAACAGATGAGGTCAGAAGACTGTAAGTTTCACCCTCCATGTCTGGGAAGAAACCACCGGCTTGCGTTGCGGGCTTGACTACCATCCTTTGAGGGTCAGCCGAATACTCCAGTCGGCTTTGTAGTAAGATACATGCTTTTCAAGTTACGCTTCATGTATCCAATGAGAGGTCGCACAACGATGAGTGTAACAGGTTTTCCAGGGTAACCCGTTGTTGAGGCTCTGGTGGGACGCGACTATAGGTTGGTGTCATTTAATTGTTCTACATGAGTATATGCTTCTTGCTTCTACTCGTCAAGCCATGTCTAAGCCCATGTGTCTAACACAATCGCCTCATATTTTTAGCTTGTGAAGCGGAGCCAACTATGCAAGATGTCTTTGTCTCGATGCGAATATAGTGCTCGCTGGTCTAGATCTTCACAGTCTGTGATTACTTGTGGTCCCTTTACCTAAGAGGTTTGATCAGCTAAAAACGTCTGCGCCTGATTGCATTGATGAAATTTGCTTACCTTGCTGGATTCATTTAATTTGAATGAGCCTTTTGCATGTGCCAATAACTTCTTAAAGCTTTGCTTTGACCTCCACGAACATGGCATCTCCCACGGTGTACACAGTTCCGGCCCCATCCTCGATGGTTGCGCGAATATACTGCTTCCTGCCATCAATTCGTTCAAATCGTGCCCTACACAGGACGGGACCAGGAGCAGGAATCGGCTTTTTGTAACTTGTGTTTAGATCTAAACGCATCATGAACTCTACTCTTTCATTCGGGTGTCATTCATCAACTCACAAGCAGTAAAGCAAGTCAACGATGTGTTTGCATTCAGCATGCCGCGCTCCCTCAATCGCCGCACCTTGATCTCCTGGGTTAACCCGATTAGTATCCCGCACACTTCATCTAACATGGTAGCGGCAAAACCACCATGCAAGATCTTAGGATGTCCATTCAACCCATCACCCAAGTCCATCAAGGTTACAATCTCCTTGTATGCCAGATCGCCCTCATCCTCTTTGGTTGGTTTCAACGTCAAGCAGCTTCGTATCGTGCGCTCGGTGTCAAGTGTCTCAGCGATGAACGAGTCTTCGCGAGTAGACTTTACGCGTCGCGATGCGGTTTGCGTCGGGGTCCATTGAGGGTCGTTGATCAAGGCAGCTGCCCATTCGATCTCGGAGAACTGGGCTATCGCAGCGTCGTGCATCGTTGTCTTGATGTGCGAGGCATCTGCCGGATCCATACCTTTTCATGGCTGTTCACGATGCCGAGGTTGTCAATCTGTTCCTGCATGGGCGGTATCTAAGCGACTCGCGTGTGATTCGCGTCATTCTTGATCATTCCCCAGCAGTCCTTTACATAGTCTATACCTCAAAACTGACGTTCGCTTGTATTTCGTTGCTTGTGGAGAACGAATACAACTAGGGAAGTTCACGTCTACCCACGGACACCGCTGCATTTCCCCGCAATTTGTTACATGCCTATCTCGAATATTATCCCCATGCGTCACAATGTAGACGTCATCTGCACGCTAGACTATCTGTCAAAGATCTGTCTACCCCGGATTCAGATTCAGATCCCTAAGTTCCTGTGGCTTGCATACGGATCATTACGTAGCTACCGAGGCAATAGCTAGATGAACTGGTCATAAAGCAGAGGCTCCCAGCTTAACATTCCGTTGATCCTCATCTTACCACACCTCTTCGCACTTCCAAACTCTATTTCCAACCCTTCTCACCTCCAATAACAATGTCGCCAAAGCCCCACTCCAAGACCGTCCGCGGAACTCTCGACAACCCCAAGACACAAGAAGCCATCAAGTCCGGCACCAAGCCACCGCAGCTCGGAGACCCCGTCTCGCTCAAGCCTGAAGGCGACAACCCGCCAACGCCTGACTCGAACTCGAGCTCGAACACAAAGTCTTCGTCATCCGAGTCGAGCGTTGCATCAGACACTGCTGCGGCAGTGACGGATCTCTACAAGGGCGCAGGGCAGAAAGACCTGCCCGGTCCACTCAAGAAGTTGGACTCGAAGTTGTAGGAGGGAGGTTGGCGCATGAAGCGCAAGGAGAAAGAAAGAGCGTAGCATAGTTCGGATATTGCCGATCTTCTTCACGATAAAGTTGTACGAATACAGCGAAATAATGACAAAAACTTGACAATACCTACTACAATGGAATGCTATGTACATACATTGGCGGAGCTGAGCAATCAAGTGTGAGCAATGCGCAAGGAACCTCGATTCATATGCATGGAAGAGTGAATGTCGAACTCCAACGTCGCTGCTGTATCTCCCCACGTGGCACCCTTGCATTGCATATCCCTGCCCCGCCGTGGGGTAGCTCTAGTACCTACTCAATACCTAGCTATACATTGACCTTTACCTTCATTTCTCATTCCATCTTCCAAACCTCAACACCAGCTCGACATCCACTCACCATGGCCGACCTCAATCTCCGCGAGATCCACGACTTCCTAATCTCCATCGCCAAACAAGCAGGCACCCGCATCGTCTCCGCAACCCCCAGCACCGAAGCCGCCGGCTCAAAGAAGAACTGCACGTCTCCCCCTCACACCACCCCAATCCATCGATCTAACAACCCCACTCAGCCGTCGACCTAGTAACCGAAACCGACCGCGCAGTCGAATCCCTCATCTCCACCTCCCTCCGCGAGAAATACCCCTCAATCGCCTTCATGGGCGAGGAAACCTACCAGCCAGGCGACACGCTCACCGACGCCCCAATATTCATATGCGACCCCATCGACGGCACGACGAACTTCGTGCACCGCTACCCGTACGTGAGCATCTCGCTGGGGCTGGCCGTCGACAGGCAGCCTGCGGTCGGCGTCGTGTATAATCCGTTTACGCAGACGTTGTACTCTGCTGTTGCGGGTCAGGGCGCGTACTTGAACGAGACGACAAGGTTGCCGCTTAGTCCGCCTGCGCCGCTTGATACGCTGAGTAGCTGTTTGGTCGCGGTGGAGTGGGGGAGCGATCGTAGTGGGAATGACTTTAGGGTTAAGAGCGATGTGTTTAAGAGGCTGGCTGCGACGAAGGAGGAGGGCGGGGGCATGGTGCATGGGTTGCGGTCGTTTGGGAGTGCGGCGCTGAATCTGTGTGGCGTTGCGAGTGGCGGGTTGGATATCTACTGGGAAGCTGGGTGTTGGGCGTGGGATGTGTGCGCTGGGTGGATTATCTTGAAGGAGGCGGGGGGTGTCATGGTTGATGCGAATCCGGGGAATTGGGAACCGAGGATTGATGAGAGGAGGTATTTTGCTGTGAGAGGGGGGGTGGGTCAGAAGGAGATTATTGAGGAGTTTTGGGGGCTGGTGGATGGGAAGTTCGAGGTGGGTGTTTGAATACCTACTGCTGGTTTCAAAGGTCGAGCTGGTATAAGTTAATAGATCTTCGTTCACGACGATACGTCACATTTTCAACGAAACACATCAAGCTAGCGACGACCAGGCGTTTTCTATTGTACGTCGCTAAGGGTTTCCCTCCGCAGCCAGTCTGTCCATCCACGCGGTCTCAGCCCAATCAGTCCCACTCGACATGAAAGCTTCCCATCAAGAGAAGAAATTCTTCGAGCAGGTCATCTCGAGCCATCGCAGTTACCACACAGTTTCAGAGAAGGAGTGTCCCGTGGTTTTTTCCCACGCTTCCGTTTACCACAACAAACAACAATCAACAGCTATTCCACACCAGAACACACAGTCAAAACAAAAGAAACACAGTTTCGTAGCGTCGTCGTGTACTCTCTCCGCACGCAGAGAGGGGCTGTCGGGTGGGGATTGTGTCGGTGTCGATGGCGCGGTGTGTGGGTTGTGGGGAAGGGTCACGGACGTGATGTGATGGGAGTGAGCAGACGCCTTTCAGCAAAGGAAAAGGGATGATGTGATTCGATGAGGTGAGATGGAGAGATTTGAGGAAATGATGATGATGAGGATGAGTAGAGCAACGCGCCGAGCCGTTAGTCAAGTACGCCGAGGAAAGTAGATCCAGTCCATTATTTTTCAGGGTTTTGTCGTTTTCGGATGAACGAGGAGCGTGGCGCTTCCATGGGGCAATTTGAGTCGAGGTTGGTGTGTATGTGTGTGTGAGAGAGTGTGGAGTCGAGTGAGCAGTTTAGAGAACTCCAGGCGTTTCGGTTTGCGGGTGTGCTTTGGACGAGTTTTGGTGGGGGGTTAGGGCAGCCCGTTAGATGGTCCTCGGCGTGCGGCCGGAGCTGGGAGGTTATATGTTAGTCTAAGGATCGAAAGGTCACGGATTGGGAAAGCAGCAGAATCAAGACTAAGCAAAACACAACGCGAGAAATGGAGGGAATGTGAGGGGGCTCACCTCGCATCTTGAAGATCATCGATATGGTTGCACATTGCCACGAACAGGTCAAAGAACAGTTTTCCTCCCATCTCCATCTCCATCTGCATGGTTCCACTACGCTTGAATGTTTTCCGGCTACGGATGATGAGGGCGAGGTAATGGGCGCGTAGTCGTGAGTCGTTGTCCGGCGTGTTCTCGTAGGCATAGCGAGCGCTGCGCAGAATCGTTCCAACCTCGATGCCGCTCTGCAGGCCCTGCTTGCGCAGGGCTAGCTTCTTGAGCTCTTCGAGGCCGTAGTGATCCGCAGCGCAGTACACGGCCGTGTCGCGGAGAAGAACGTCACCCACGCCGGAGTGAAAAAAGGTTGGCTCCACGGCTGCGCGGTCGCCGGTCTTGTTGGGGTCGGGTGAGGAGATCTGACCCTCGAGCATCCAAGTTTGACGTCGCTTGTCATGGACTAAGCGGGGGTAGTAGTCGCCCTTGTACAGATACTCGAGGATGCAGGAGAAGATTTCGGGTTCCTCCGTGGGCAGGTTGATGCGTCGGTTGGTGGATTCGAAGAACTGGCTCCGCAACGCTTCAGCGAAGAACGGGGAGTGACAGAGGACGTCTTCGTGTGCGGCGAACAGTCGTCGGTCGGAACCAACGACAACCGTCACGATGGATGAAGTGAGACTCGGGGAAACACTCTCCATCAGTGGGCTGTCCTTGCGCACATCCATTTTCTCGACCACCTGCTTTTGTTTGGAGGCATCGCGAAACGACTTCTTCGACGATTTGCTTATCTTGCCCGAACGGTCCTTCGAACTAGCAAAAGAGCGTTTGAACATGTTGGACGAAGAGGAGATTCGTAGGGAGCGACGAAGAGATTTGAAAAGAATGGACAGGTTAGTTGGGAGCAAAGATAAAGGTGACCTCTGGAAGTTCTCAGATTTCGCGCTTTTCGTGAAAAAAGTGCTCAATCCGAGGAACTTGGTCCAGGCTGGGGCTTGTCGTGAGGCGTACAGAGCCCAAATTCTGGGGCAGCCTGGCGTTTTATGTCTCTTGCGCTCCCTGCTGCTTTAGCGCCGGCTATGCAGCGTGCATACTCTCCGCCTTATTCGTCAATTGCGGTGTAGTACTACATGACTGGGCGCAGGAATGTTCTAGGCAAACAGGTCTTGCTCTTTGCTGTTCCTGATTTGGTGGGCTCTGAGAGTGGTGGGCGAACATGGAGAAAGCCTGCTATGTGGTGTTCAAGTTGTGGAGTAGTGCCAAGTCATAGATAGCCAACGCAGCAGCATGACGATTGAAAAAACGTGAGCTGAGAATGAGGCAGAAGAGTCGAGCCACCCCACCTATCCGACTGAACACCACTCATCTCTCAATCAAAGCGGTTTGCATTTTAGATTATGCCTAGTATTTACGCGTCGCGTACCAATCGCGGTGTAACGTGACTTATTATCTTGGTGTGAGTGGCCTCTTTAGTGACTCACAAACCCTATGTAGTATGGCATCATGTTGTGGTCCTTTCGGCCGTGGGTGTTGCATGGTCCTGCAGAGAGACCAGATGTAGTTTACGGTTCAGTCTACCGTGATGCGCAAGAAGACTTCAGGTGACTGCATGCTTATCTAGAGTGTATCCACCAGGCTACAGTTCACTTTGTGAGAGCGTCTTCGCGCAGAAGGGGGGGTAGCAGCGGGATGAAGTTGGTGGGGTAGGCGTAGAACAAAGTGGGTTAGAGGTATTAAGAATAGCAGCGTAACAGTACATGATTCATGGAGATAGCAAAGACATGTACGGTGTGTCTAACACGTTGGCGTTTCATAATCTAGAAGACTTGCACAAGACCAAGACGTGAAAGACAACGCAGATGGTCATGACAGTCGTAGGTAGTTCGGCTGCAGGCGGGCGAAGCTCTGACTCTTTTGTCGTCATCGTTCTTCCCCACTTAGGCGCTGTCTCTCTCACCACCTCATTTCTGAGCACCGAACAAGCTCGTATACTCCGTGTATTACCTGAACTTTCTCTTTCTCGCCTTCACTTGACGTTCTTCTTCTGTGCTTGTACAAAAAGCGCACCCTCTAGCTTCATCTCCGCACCCGACTACTCCGTACAGTCAACCGATCGCAGCAGCCGACAGGACCGGTAAAATCAACCGACCGCCATTATGAGTACAGGCGCGAAAAAGCGAATTATGAAGGTAGGTGTTCGGTATGGTGTGTAGTGAGGGAAAAGCAAGTAACCCCATTACAGGAGTACGGTGAATGTATGGCCGACACGCCCACGGGCATGAAGATCAACTTTGATGAGCAGAACATGACCAAGTGGGAGGTCCTGATGGACGGCCCTGCGCAGTCCGTCTACGCTGTACGTCTCCTAGCGCCCAGCCGACCCGAGGCGCTTGCTAATGCTTTACAGGGCGGCCACTTCAAGCTCGAGATTACCTTCCCTACCGAATACCCGTTCAAACCGCCGGTCGTAAGCTTCCGGACCAAAATCTACCACCCCAACGTCAGCAACGATGACAAGGGGTCCATGTGCCTGGGTCTGCTGCGTCCCGACGAGTGGAAGCCGCCGAACAAGGTCGTCTCTGTGCTGCGACTCATTCAGACGCTTCTGATTGAGCCCAACCCAGACGACTCGATCGAGCCTTCTATTGCGAATGAGTACCGGGAGAACCGTGCGGCGTTTGAGAAGAGCGCAAAGGACTGGGTCAAGCGCTACGCGAAGTGAGGACAGGGAGAGGGTCACGCAGAGGATTATTCAGGGCACCACGACACGTGCAACGACAGCATTTTGGGCGTTTGGCGAAGATGCATTTGGGAGAAAAGGTTCCCGGCGAACGGCGGAGAGAGGGGTCTGTATTTGGGCAAAGGCTGTTTGGGGGCTGATTTCGTGTACCAAGTCGGGACATATGGCAGTGTCTGGCGAGCTCAGCAGAATGAATTGGTATGTGCTACAAGGGTGCGTGGGTGCGTGCAGACATGTCGTCATGAAGGCAATCTCTCGGTCGTTGTTGGGCTGAGGCGGGATCGCGAGATGAAATGAAGGTTGCGTGAAGAGCGTCGGGTTCGTGACGCAGTCGTGTGCTTGGCAAAGGGGGCGCGAGGTCTCGGTCAGGCGCGCGAGTCAGGGCTTGTGGTGGACGGCGGCTGCGTGCTCGTCGCAGCGCGCAGAAGCAAAGCGACCGCCCGTACAGGCAGCGCGGTGCAGAAGGGGGTAGCCTGGCAGCAAGATTGGCTGGCAGCAGGCGGCGGCGCGGGGCTCGCAGCAGGTCCGGCGCGCGGGATTGGCGCCAGGCGGTTCCTGGCACTGGAGTGAAACGGCTTTTGATGGCCCTAGGCGACGTCGAGGCTACCGTGCTGCTCGTGTCTGTGTCGCGGAACCGACACGCCTTTTCAACGCACTAGGCAACGGGATTGTCATCCGAGCTATGACCCTGGTGAAATCGACCATCTCATCTCCCAGGTGCCGTCACGCTGGGCGGTCGCGACTCTGGCTCTGACTTTGACTCTGCCTCTCTCTACACCGTCCCATTCCTTGCCTCGATTCTTCTGCCTGCTGCCACGTCGGTCGGGCCACTCGCGACCGTCTCCTGCTGCAGCCGCCGCCTCCGTCCACACACGCCCCACGAGAACGCGCACCCTCACGCACGCCTACGATTCGCTGCCCCCCGCGAGAATGCTCCTGCAAAGCACCGCCTCTTCTCCCTCCACCACGTCCACGACCACGTCCTCCCCACTCGAATGAGCAGAATCGTCCGCGGCCCAACCCTCTCGGTCAGCGCACCGGCCCCATGGGTGAGTGTGTTCCCCGTGTTGGTCCGTCTGCCCTCCACCACCCCTCGCCCCAGCCCCAGCGGCCCTACGCAGCCTACGCACCGCAGGGCTTCGGCGCCGGGCGGTCCAAGCAGCCAATGCGCCTACAAATGGACGCCGCCCGCCATCCCGCCCCGTTGTCGCCGCTCAACAAAGGCCCTGCCCGCGCAGAGCGCTACGCAGCATCGCCGACCATGGGGCCCACGATGCTGCGCCAGCCCGGAGTTCCAGCATCGCCCGACCTCCGCGCCATCTTCAACCCCCTCGCCAGCAACCCCGTGAACCAGGATGGGCCAACGTGGGACTCGGCCTCGGAAGACACGTCTGGTGCCGTGTCTCCCCACAGGACCCGTGGCATGACCGCCTCTTCGCAGACCTCGTTCGTCGCCTCACCACCCCTACGCTCCGTCACCTCCATACCCGACTACGCCCAGTACCGCGGCGGCGAGCGCTCGAACCTGTCGGGGACGTACAAACCAAATCGAGGCGTGCCCAATTGGTCCCACACCGACTACTATCCTCCTCCTCCTGCCCACCGACACTTCCGTAACGAGGAACTGCGGTCTAGCTTCAAGTCTGGCTGGACCAACACCGAGGCGAGCGGCACCGAACGAAGCAGTATAGCAACTGCGCGCAGTTCGGTCGGGAGTGAGCGCCAGCCGAGCATATATTCGAGAGATCAGTCGAGGGACCGTTTACGCGATCGGGACGACTCACCCGAGACGGTTCCAACATCAGACACGGCTGAAGAAGAGGACCAGTTGAATGCCGTCGACGACGTTCTCGACTCATACTACTACGACGAGGAAGACGAGAACGAAAGCAACGACTTTGTCGATCAGAGCGCTCGGCATCGGCGTAGCCCGTCCCCAGCACACTTGGATCTGGAGCCTCCTGGATTGTCGCAGACGCCATCTCGCGATCTAGATTCCTTGGATTCCTTCCGGTCTTTGGAGAACCTCAAACAGTGGGACCAGCACCAGTCGTCGTATCCGGAGAATAGATCGGATGATGACGCTGATAGGGCCGATTCGGCGAATCAGCACATGGCTGTTGATCCTACGTTGGGTACCGCTGAACCCCACACCTTAAATATGCTATGCGGTGTTCGGGACGATGGTGCTGTTGAGCGAAAGAGTTTGGAAATGAACCATCTGCCACCATTGCACGCAGCCAGTCCTCTCCAGGCTCAACACAGACCGAGAGATCTTGAAACCATGACCGGCCAATCGAACAAAAGGCAGTCAAAGGCGTTGCATCGATGCAGCGAGGAGTTGCCCCGTCGCGTTTCAGTTTCGCTACAAGCTCTGGCACTCGGCGCCCCCAGTAGCTTTTCTCGTCCAAACCGAATAAGCCAAAATATCCAACATTCGAGAGGCGCAAGTGCGAACCGCCCCCAACTGAGGGAAATGCATCGTCAAATCACGAACCTTCCACCACTGCCGTCGAAGAAGTCACGCATGTCTCGTCAGGATTGGGCAGAGATCGAGGCTTATTCGAAAAGATACTCCAAGAGACCAAGTGTCTCTCGCCTGTACTCAAGCGAATCAGTCAACAAAGACTTGATCCCTGGCATACAGTCTCCACCAATACGGGTGTCCCAAGCACTTCCAGAAGTTGACGAAGATGAGGCGATCCCTCGTCGCGCATCCACTAGCGTGTATGATCGCAAAAGCACCCTGTTCAATCTTGGCGTGGCGTTCCCGCCTTCAACGACAACACCGAGAGGTAACGGAGGCTTCGGCCTTTCCGCACCGGCACACATGGGGAGAGCGAATTCGGTGTTGTTGCGAGAGAAGAAAAGTCCAGCTGAACGTGATCGATACGGGTTCAAAAAGGCTTCTGACAAGATCAGCGTCCAGGAGTACAACGCCTGGGCTGTAAAATACGAAGAACACATCTCCCGACGACGCAACAAATGGATTGCTCTAATGACAAAGCAGGGCCTTTCCACTACTGATCCTACAAGGTTTCCGGAAGTTAGCGAAAAAGTCAGGCGTTATGCTCGAAAGGGCTATCCACCAGAATGGCGGGGAGCTATGTGGTGGTATTACTCTGGTGGTCAACATCTCGTCAAACAAAAAGAGATGGTTGGCCTGTACGCATCCCTAGTTGCTCGAGTCAACCAGGATGAACTCAACAAGGACGACAAGGACGCGATCGAACGTGACCTTGACCGGACTTTCCCCGACAACATTCACTTTCGCCCAGAGCCGGCGACAGATTTGCTAGATGGAGAGTCGGACGACGAGCCCTCCCTCATCCAGGATCTTCGCGAGGTTCTGTCTTGCTTCGCGCTGAACAACCCCAACATTGGATACTGCCAATCCCTTAATTTCATCGCCGGTCTTCTCCTCCTCTTCCTCAAGCAAGACAAAGAGAAGGCATTTGTTCTTCTCACCATCATCACACGAAACCATCTTCCCGGTGCACATGCGCGCAACCTCGCCAACACCGAAGTAAACGTCCTCATGATGCTCATCAAAGACTTCCTCCCCAAGGTCTGGGCCTCGATCAACGACACCGACCTAATCAACAGTGGCGCCGGCTCAAACGCCCATCCCAGCTCGAAATTCGCACGCCAGCCCACCGTTTCCCTCTCATGCACCTCATGGTTCATGAGCATCTTCGTCGGCGAGCTGCCCATCGAGACAGTCCTCCGAGTCTGGGACGCATTCCTCTACGACGGACCCCGCATCCTCTACCGCTACGCGCTCGCCATCTTCAAGCTCGGCGAACCCGAAATCCGAAAATACCACCCCGGCGACGGCGAGCTCTTCATGACAGTCCAGAACCTGCCCCGAACATCCTGCCTCGACCCAAACATCCTCCACGACTTCGCCTTTGTCAAGCGCGGCTTCGGCAACCTGACGCAGGAGGTCATCGACCAGAAACGACGCTTCTGGCGCGACCAGAGCAAAATCGCCCACCAGGCTTCCGTTAAGAGTATCCGCCCTATTCAGTTGCAGGTCCCGCCGAAAGACGACGATACCGATACCGAGAGTGGAAGGAGACCGTTCGGCCTGAGGAGGAAGGCTAGTCGCAAGTTTCGCACCATGAGAGGGAGGTAGTTGGCACTTTACCCACGCTCCCCGTCTCTGCTACCCTCCACTCTTCTCAATCGACACATCCAAAAAAAGTTCTCAGCACACCATCCCCACACGCTGGGATCTTCATTCAAATTCGCATCCATGCCACTACACCTGCATTGCGCCACGGAGTTTTATTGTTGCGGCGTTTTTTCTTCATCTTCTTCATCTTCGTTCTTCCTTCTTCAGCCCGGTTCCGCTTCCACTTCATTTCGTCTCGTCTCCTCATTCGACAAAGGTTTACAAATATACCCTCTTTGGTGTGTTCGTGTTCGCGTCTGTGTCTGTGTATGTATATATATGTATGGGTTCTGTTGCCCTTTCTTGGGAGAGAGAAGAGAAACACAAAAACGCCGGGTTTGGTTAGGTTGCCCCGAGTAAAAGACATAATGGCGCAAACAGCAACACCTGGGAATTTTTTATCTGGTCTGGTTTGCTTTGGTTAGGTTCGGTTTGGTTGGGTATATGATACATGATTTTACGACACTTTTGTCCCCTCCCCTTCTTAGCTTTGCCTGTTTTTCTTTTCTTTTCTGACCGCCTTTGCGTGTATGTATGTATATAAATAAATTTTTTGTAGGCCTCGCGGCTGCTCTATCGGTGTGTCAATCAAATTATATTCATTGTTCGATTATTTATCTATGCAATTGTTCACTTGATGTTGGTAGCAGAAAAGGGAGGGAATTTTTGAATAATCCGTATCATATCATATCAATACTGTAGTAATGCACAAGGTGTGTAAACCCCAAATAAAGCTTGTCAAACAACAACATCGGTCGGTCCACTAAACTCCTGTATATCCGTAATCCCTGCCCTTGTCCTGTCCTGTCCTGTCCTGTCCTGCCTGCAAATGCTCAAGATGCCGAAATGCTCACTTTTCCTCTTCGCTTCGCTTCGCTTCGCTTCTCGTCTATCGACTTATTCGCCTCACAGTAAATAACTACTGCTTCGACTCCTGCTCCCTCGACATGCGATCATGTTCATCGATATCGCTGTTTAAACGTCAGTCCCACGCACACTCAACAAAAAGGACAAGAAAAAAGGGGATACACACGTAGCCTCCCAAGGATAATTGATCCAAACATCCCCCACCGTCCTAGCCGCCGCATACCTCCCGCCCAGAATCTCCTGGGGCAGCACGCCCTTCTTCGCCTTATCCTTATTATGCAGGACGAAGATGCTGAACGTTGTCTTCTCGGCCTGACGCCCGCTCTTCTGCACCGCGGCGTCGACGTCCTTTTCCAGCTCGCGCACCGCGTACTCGAGCGTCGTGCGCGTGTCGTCCACCTCGTCGACGATCAGCACGTTTTTGCCGATCAGGTTCGCCATCTCCAAGGATGACAGGTCGAGCCATTGCGTGCGCGTCACTTTTGTGCCCGGCTTCTCGATGTCGGGGTCTGTTGAGCCGCCGAGCTGCTCGTATAGCGAGAGCCCGATGGCTTGGATGGGGATGTTGGGGTGGCCGGGCCGCTTGAGGAAGGAGCTAAGGGGTTGCTTTCAGCGCGCTGTGTGTGTTGTTTGTACGGGGGGTTACGCACCGGAGGATGCGCGCGGGGACGTAGCCGCCGCCGCCAATGGCGATCATGAGCGTGGGCTTGAAGTCATTGAGGATCTGCTCGGCGGCTTCCTGGCACAATTTGTGCACCTGCGAGGTTGGCGCATGTCAGTCGTATATTCCGTGTTTCGTATTCTTTTGTGGTGTTTGTTTTCTCTCCTCTAGCTGGCTAGTTGGCGTAGTGGGTAGGTGGTGGGGTGAGTGAAGGAAGGAACGGTGCGGAGAACGACAGGCGGCAGATCAACAGTGCGTCTTCGCCGTGTAACGTAGCACAAGACGGTATTTCTTGCAGCTCTCTTCTTCTTCTTCTTCTTCTTCTTCTTCTTTTTTGTTCCCGTACCGCGAGATGCAAGGATAAAAAAGCAGCTGTAGCCGTTCACGCGCCTCATCTCCCACCTCTCTCTCCCCCCACCAAAAAGTAAAAAAAGCGAATGCGTACCTGATTATACGTGACGTAGACCTTCTCGACCATTTTGGCTGTATTTCCGTTGTTTTGCTCGCGACGCGGTAATAAGGTGGGATATAATATGGTGGGGGGAACAGGATTCAGAGCAGAAGTCGGGAAGTGCGTGTGACTCTGTGGAACGAGCAAAAAAAAAAGTCTGGACGCGGGACAAGAATTTACAAATAAAGAGTAGGTAAGGCTTCGGAGTTGGCCGCTGGCTCTTCCCACCCCGCCATCAGGGCGCTAGGGTGGAGGCGGCCTAGACGCGGGAGAGGCTGCAGGGATGGGAGTGTTGCATGTGCTTCTCGAAGGCGAAGACGAAGATCAAGACATGATCGTTTGATCACTTTGATTCTTTTTGAAAAGATTTTTTATTGGGAAGATCTGGAGTTATGCACCTTAGTATGCTTTTCAGAACATTGTAAGTGCAGGAAATATATCATCGCCCAAGACGTTACTGTTCTTCCACTTTCTAGAATACGGCTATTGTAGTAACTTGCTTCTCGAAAGATATCCATGCAGGGAGCACTGTAACTGTCTCTTTCATTGGTTGGTCTACAGCTTGCTCATATCAACTATGTGGTAAAGCTACTGTCAGATCCTCCCCGTCGTCGTCGACTATAATTGTTCCAAAATCAAACAAAGGTCCGCTCTGCTTTGGACGTTCACTACTTTCGTCAAAGCAAAATACACGAAAGGCAAAGGTGCCTGTACGAATGACGTATCGATCGTTTAATAACATCAAAGTATGAGTGTTTGGACATCCGTATCTGGACTCGACGAAACGGCTGGGTATACAATCTAGAGGCTTGGAGTCCGGGTAGTCACTAGTGCTTGTTAGTAGGTGTGCATGTCAACCCACTTCCAGGACACGAATATGTGCACGTTGACATTACAAGGAATGACGACAACAGGAAGTAACCAAGGCGGGTATAAAACGTACTTTGTCCCTCCGAATTCCAGAACTTGTGTTTCCCCATTAATATCACGGATCCAGGTTTTGTAGGATGTATCGTTCCAACAGGCCACATACTGAGAAGACTCTGACATGGCTCCAGTCAAAGGACATCTTGCATCTGTGAATCTGCCGAGATGCTCGTCAAATAACATACGGACACAGGTGGTATTCCCAAAGATGCCCGGTCCTGTTACATGGACAGAAATCTCAAACAACCCACATAGGCCTATGGGGATGAAGCTATCCAGGTCGAGATTGCATTGTGTTAAGATTGTATGTGGAGCCTGGATACACTCGCCTGTGTATGAGAAGCGACTACACATTATGTGCGTTGGTGGTCTGCTGGGCGAAACACCGGACGGAGAATGCGTGTTCACCACTTGCCCAAAAAAGCAGTAATTGTCGCTGACGATGATGATGCTCTTGCTCTCTGGCTGGACCAGAAGCTTGATGCCAGGAGTAAAATCGGAAATATGGCCACTGGCTTCATCAGCACAAGTCGCAGTTCAGCTGGAAGTTTGACGTTCCTTGCCAAAGACATCAGACTTACCTTCCATCGCATGGTTTGACAAGAGGTGATGGGCGACGTATGTCAAACGATTTTCCCTGTTGGGTATCATAGTCCCAGATGTATACAAAAACACGGTCATCGAAGTGTGTTGCACACGCGACTGTGCGTCCACGAATGGTGACAGCGTTACAATACTCACAACTTGGCAGTGTGAAGCTCCTTTGACCTTGTCCATTCAGCTCAGAAACGTAGAAGACGTTGGTCATAGTCACGAATGCCACGAGCTGATCCGACACAAAGGATTTGGATATATATTCCCGGGCTGCTCCTCTTAAAGTAGTAAGGCGCCACGTGCTCAGATCGAGTGCATACATCAGCCGTTTGACTTGTGGTGGACGCCAGATCAGAGTGTTGCCGGATAGAACAGGATACGATGCGTCATCACTAAACTTGATCATGAAGCGGCTTCTTGGATTGCCGGTACGAAACGCCTGAATATCTTGTGCTTTGCGCTCGTACAAGGCGTAATCGGCGCCTTGGAGGTCGACTGTGCCATGGTACCAACCATTCAAACTTCTTTTGAGCACATCAAGACTCCGCAAGATGTGGCACCATCGTCTGGAGACCTATGTCAGTAGTCAGTAAGTCTAATGGGCGAGATGGTTCTGGCAAATGGTGAGGGCTCTTACGAGCTGCAGGCGGTACGGTGTGGCAACGTCCAGGTAGGAGAAGATCTGAGGTACCAGCTCTACCGGGAGCCGCCCAACAATGTCGACTTGAAAAGAGCGAGCGCTGGTGATGGACTGCAGTGTTCTCCACTCGTACGGGGTCAGTTCATTCATGAGAGCTCCAAGAGCTTGCTGCCTCGAGTCATTGGTCGGCAGACATCTGAAGGCGTTCACCAAACTAGTGGTCTCCATTGTGGCAAACAGAATGGTTCACCCGGGGCAAACGGCAGCGGTGCCTAGTTTGCTCTCCTGAAGGGAACTGTCGATGCTTGACTCGCGAGTTAGGGATGGTAGATGGTAGAGTTAAAGATGTGGTCCGTGCATGGATCCTGCACCTGCAGTTGGATGACGGTAGGGGAGACGCCTCGTGGCGAAGACGGATCGAGAGAGATGCATGCAGGATTTCTCCGGTACCTATCGTGGTGCAGGGCCTGCTGTGCTGATCGAAGCGACGCGTGGTCACGATGACGGGCACTGTAGGCTACAGAGGAGACAACGCAGCGCTGTCGCAAATTGCAGGTGAAGTGCCGTCGAGTGCAGCAGCGGTTTCATAGGGGAAGGCATCTGGCCGACATTTGCGCGACGACCAGGGTCCGTCGATGGCTGTCGATGGCGGTCGAGGGGGCCAAGCACGCTGCTCGAGCGGCGGGCGGCGCTGTACCATGAAAGGAGGGCAGGTCCTCGAGGATGCACTGCGGGCGACTGTCACCCGGCTGTCAAGGCTGTCAGGGCTGCGCACGCCAGAACATGTGCCCGATTGCAGCTGGGTCCCCACGCCGCCATCCACGGATCGACGGCTTGGCTGGTGCTTCTCGCTGGGCTGGGTGCGACACTTGGATGCCATCGCAGCGCCATGTCGGCCGCGAGACGTTCGCTCCCTTGACCAGCCGCATTCTGGAACGCCGCTGGCAGACTACGCATCTGCGCTAGAAGACGGGACCAGACGTGTGTCTCCCCGGGCCAGTAGCCAGCAGCTCCGCAGCGTCTCCGCCCTCAAACTCAGTGCGTCCGTACATCGGGACCCTGCATCAACGTCTTCTGCCAGCCGATATTTGTAGAAGCAGTGCCGGGTGCATAGATAGTGGGCAGCATCCGACCGCCAGACTCGCTGCCTCTGCCTCTGCCTCTGCCTCGCCCTCGCCGTCGACTCCTCGCCCTGGCCCTGAACTGACCCTGACGTCGCCCTCGCCATGGCCTCCGTCGCCGAAGCTCGTCGCAGCCCTCGAAGCCCCTTCGCCCCCGACGCGCACAACCCGGCCCTCCACAAGTCGATTCCCATCCTGCCCTCGTCGGGCTCGTCGCTGGCCCCGCCGCGCGAGCGCGATGCCATGGACATTACGCCGTCGGGCGCATCCTCAATGGGCCCGCCCACGCTGAACGGCGCAGTCGCTGATCGGAACGGCACGCTCCCGACCCAGAGTGCCGCCGCCGACAGGGACCGCGACAACGTCTCGCCCACGGGCAACAGCAGCGGCAGTCTGGCGCCCGTCGTGGGCGCTGCCGCCGCCGCCCAGCAGCCCAAGGTCGTCCAGACGGCCTTTATCCACAAGCTGTACAAGTGCGTTGCACCCGCCACTGCCTCTGCACGCCACGGCTAACGCGCGCACAGCATGCTCGAGGACCAGGGCATCCAGCACCTCATCTCGTGGTCGAGCACAAACGAGAGCTTCGTCATGTCGCCCTCGAGCGAATTCTCAAAAGTCCTGTCGTACGTCGACGTGAAGCGCTGCGCGTCTCGAGCACCCCCTGTCTGACACGCCCTGCAGATCCTACTTCAAGCACACCAACATCTCGTCGTTTGTCCGCCAGCTGAACATGTACGGCTTCCACAAAGGTGAGCTTGGATGCGTTTCTGGTCTGCTCCGTCAGTCGTGCTAAGTGTGTGCAGTGAGCGACGTCTTCCACACTGGGTCGCCAGACTCGCCGCTGTGGGAGTTCAAGCACGGCAACGGCAACTTCAAGCGCGGCGATTTGGTCGGCCTGCGCGAGATCAAGCGAAGAGCATCACGACACGCCCTCATCCACAGAGACTCGTTTTCCGCTCCCAAAGTCCCCACCATTCCGTCCGTGGGCCAGACTGTCGAGCCAATGCCAGATCCAGTCGAATCGCGACTCAACGTCCTCGAGCACAACTTCTACGACATGCACACGCGGATGCAGCGTTCAGAAGATACATGTGCCTACCTCAACCAGAAGGCTCTCGTTTTGATGGAGGGGATGGTGCGATGTCACCAGGTACGTCAAGCTCTCGAGATCCCACATCTACCAGCTAACAAACTGTGCAGTGGAACCAAGACCTCACAAACTCCATCATGGCCATGGTGCCAGACCCAGAACATCCAATCCACAAAGATGGTGCGTACAGCCAAGGTTACTATATCTAAGCAGTATGCTGACAGACATGACAGTTGCAATGATGCAGCGCGATATCGGCCGATACACCGAAATGCTCCGTAGTCTCGAGGTCTCCGAAGAGCCCTACTCCGCACGACAATCCCACTTTATGCAGGTCGACAGCAGCAACGGCCCACCTCTTTCTCCACGACAGATGCCTCACGACAGCATCTCAGAATCGCGAAGAGGATCGCTAGCCAACGTCTCCCGTCAAACGCCAATCAAAGCCCCAGTTCCACCCCACCTCGCCATCTCCCCCCGTCGATACGGCTCGATAGGCACAGGGAACTACTCCCCCTCATCGGCCAGAACTCCAGTCGCATACCAGCCCCCACCACCACCGCCTCCTCCCCCGCCAACCATCCAGCACCCAGGCGCAAGCCTAGGAAGCAGCTCATCCCCACCATACAACCTATACAGAAGGCACACCTCAGCAGACATCCGCACCCACGGCTGGCAAGCCCAGCCCCCTCCTCCCCCTCCCGCCCACTCCCCCTACGCATCCGGTCACAACTCCTCCGCCTGGCCCTCCTCCCCACACCGGACACCCATCGGCGGCGGCGGCGACCAGCAGATCCGCGACGCCCTCGAGCAATACCAGCTGCCCCGCGCCCCACGCGGGCAATCCTCCCGCCAAGGCACCCCGCCCTGCATGAACGACAACGGCCCGTCGGGACTGGGCGCGGATAACGGCTGGTCGCTCCCCGGCGCCAGATTCCCCTTCAGAGGTATCGACACCCCCGGCCCGCCGACGAGACGCTCCAGTCTGGCCTCGAATCTGCACTCGCTGCTCAATCCTGCGGAGACTGCAGAGCGCGACGATGAGGATGACTTCGATGATCCGAGGAAGCGGAAGAGGCTGCAGTGATTTGGACGGGTATTTTTTATATATATGTGCCATCTACATCTATTCTGTTGTGTCTGGTTGGCATCTCTCGTTCGTTAGCACCACCTTCTGGATTTCTTACTATATATCCCGCCCGCGTCGTCTTTCTTATGTCGTGGTTGGATACGCTGATCTGCGTTTGCGCTGGGGCGGGATCTTTGGGTTTTCTGTTGTCGCATGTGGCTGGGTAGGCCCATTTGGTTTTGATCTGGCTGGTTCTGAAACATAAAGTTGGACTGGATATGTTAGGATGCATGTTCATCACATAGCAAGACGTAGCAGCTACCATCAAGGAACAAGAAATAGTAAACGGGGTATCATTTATCCATCCATCCATTCGTTTCCGTCATCGACCTATGGCCTGCAACGCTAACCCGAGCGTTGGGATAGTATACACTTTCATTGCCAGACATCCGTGAAAAAAAGATGCCACATATCCTACCGTAGCTTAGTCCCCAGATATTCCCCCAAAAAAATCCCCTGTCATCACCACAGAGGTATGAGGCCTAGATGGCCAAGGCAACAGCCACGACTCCGAGGAAGAGAGTGAAGAGCGACACGCTGGTTTGCCCAGCCATGTTTGTGCCCAGCGCTGTCGATGACTCGGCGGGATCCAGCTGGCGGACAAAGTTCGCAGTCGGAGTACCGTAGGCGCCGTGAGCGGTTGAGTTCGGGTAGAACGGTGTTGGAGCAACGAGGGATGAGTTGCAGATGGAGTTTGAGAAGGACACACCGATGGTCGTGCCGTTTGCGACGGGCAGCGAGAAAGTCGGGTACTGGACGGCAGACGTCTCGGCTGGAATTGAAGACGGGATCGAGGTCTGGATCGTGTACACTGGCTCGTCCTGGGTTGGGACAGGCGTGGGAATGCTGGCCTCGGAGGTTGAGTGGATCTTGCTGACTGTGACTGTCTTGTACTGGGTCGACGTGGAGTGAATCGTGGTAGTCGTCGTCGGCTCAGGTGCAACGGAAGTGTTCCTGTGTGGTCAGCAAGTACCGCTTGGAAGAAGTATTCCATCTGAAAAGAAGAGGGCCAACGGAGAGAGAACACCTACTCGGGAAGCGCAGTGAGCGTAGGAACTGGAGCCACACTGCTCGTAGCGCCCGCCTCGGTGACCGTCGTAGTCGTCGTGATGGTGACATGGACAGTCGAAGGGACCTTTGTCTTCTCAGGGCAGAGATACGTCAGGGTAGTTGCCTCGCCGTGCAGCATAGCAGGGCCAGTGCAGAACGCAGGTAGCTCGGGGCAGACCTCGTCGCGTGGAGCCATTGCAGGAGCAAAGACGGAGTCGCCAAAGCGTCCACCGTTGTTCACAACTTCGGCGGCGGCGCTAGCTTGGTGTGTGTGAGCAATTGGAGTGGAGGAGTCAGAGGACATCCACGCGCGCTGAGTTAAAAGGTGATGGGAAGGAAGCAAGAACCAGGGGCATCTTACCAGCGACCACAACAAGAGTGAGCGTGCGCATGCTGTTCATGATGACAGAAGCGATTGAAGAAGAGCTATAAAGAGAGTGGAGAGCTTGCTGTAAAAGCGAGTGAGATAAGAGAGGTAAGTGAGTGTGTGGAGAACCAAACCGAGTGGAAATAAAATGAGTGTATTGTTGTTCGGTGACAAGAGAGGGAAGGCGAGAGCAAAGAAGAGATAAACGGTAGACGGGTAATTTGAGCAAATTGGCGAGCAAACGTACAGAGGTAAACACAAAATCTCGCTTCACCTCGAGTTCATCAGGGAAAGAGCCAATGGTAGCGAACGCGTTTTGTATGACGGTGAACTGGTGTTTGTGTCACTCACCGTGCGTTGGTGTGCGATGTACCTGGTCTAGTCTGCTCCTGCCCGTTTGGTTTCACTGTGCGGCTAGAGCGTCATGGTCGCGTGTCTGCGCTCATTTTGAAGACCTCGTAGTTGAACATGAGGGAAACTAGGTCGGAAGTGAACCAGAAGGTGAGCTGAGCATATGTGCTTAGATGGAACGTGGACGGGCTGAAGTTCTTCACAAGTACAGTGGCATCATCTCAAAGGAAGAAGATACATGAAGCTGGTAGGGGAACCACGCAGAAAACCCGGTAGGAAAACAATCCAATATGTTGTGGGAGCAGAAATACGAGAACCTGTTTCTTTCTCGAGCAGCAACATTTACAATGGTATGTTGAGGAGGCAGTGGTTCGAATGACTCCAGTAAAGGTTTAGTCACTGCGTGTCTGTGCTACTTCCCGATATACTCAAGGTAAATTTGCAGATATCGTACCGGACCTATCATCAAGATTGTCAGCCTGTCTACGTCGTACCCTCTGTACGTCAGTCATCTTGACTTGACTGGTGATATATAATGACCAACAGATTCAGTAGACATTCCAAATGTTGTTCTACTTTCGTACTCTACACGTCTCTTGTGCAGTTTTGAAAGCTGGAAGTAAGCATCTGTTCTAGCCTACTTTGCAGTGGTCCTGGAAGCCGATCTTGTTCGCTCCGAGGCATTGCCTTGACCTCTTATCCAATTCGTTTGGGCGTACGAGAGGATGTACATTAAGCTTCCTACGAGTATTTATACAGAAAACACAACGCAGCACATACTTGCATATTGAGGTTCCAAACGACTTGAACATCATGGTCGGGGTTTGTCGAGATCTATGGTCAGTTAAACTAGACGTAGAGTACCTGTGTATGTGGAAAAGTCACACGATTCCAATATAGGAGACTACCCATAAATTGAGCTATTTGCCTTCCTCCATGATACTCTGCTACAAGAAATCAGCCAAAGTTCACACAGGTATCTAATCGCCATACAACTCCAACAAGTGATTTAGCATCTTCCTCTGCAACTCTAGAACCTGCTTCTTCGTGATCTTCCCCGCGACTTGACTCCCTTGACCAGTCACCAGTGGCTCCTCATCATCATCATCATCAAGCACCAAGTCAGGTTTAACGCCAAAAAACGGCACGCCTAGCACCTTGAGTGACGAGGTCTGCGATCCAACCATCAGCTTGCTAGCTCGGTACACCTTGGCGTCGTACTGCTCGAGTTCTTCCTGCTCTTTTTCCAGTGTCTAGGAACCATTAGCTTGGCAAGTCAAGAGTTTCAGATGTGGCCGTACACGAATCGGCGCAGTGTCTGCTAAAAGTCCCGGTAGAGATCTACGTCTATTAGTTCAGCACAACTTTTGGCTTCGCACAGCTTACAAGGCAGCTCGAAGCGTTTGCTCGTTCTCGCGCTTGAACTTGTGATCTTCAATAACGCGTGTGCGGCCAGATTCCCAGGAGGCGACGTTTTGCTCTTGGTCCTTCATGAGCTAATGTGTGTTAGTCCCAAGACACGTGAGCCATGATGTGGTGAAGTACCTTGCGGACAGACGCAGCGAAGTTGGGATTATGGGCAGCGATCTTGCTCACGCATCGAAGACCTTGTTTCCACTCTGTGATGGTGGATGGATCGATCAGGGGCGTTGAAGGTGGGCCTTGTGGCCGTGGAGGGTGCTGGAGAGCGGGTCGTCCATGTAAACGCGGATCCGCTGACTGGCGGTAGGCGGTGTTTTGCTCTTGGGGGTATATCTGCGGTGCATCTTGGAAGGCAGCATAGCTCTGAGCAGGGTCGTAGACATGTTGTTGATCCTGGGGAGGCACGTTCGCTGTTTGGGGCAAGCTTGCTAATGTTGCTAGAATCCTCTCTAGATCTGCAAAGTTTTGCCCATTATTTTCTGCCATGGTTGCAGTTGAGTGCGATGAATTTGAGGGTTGAATATGGCAGGTCAAGGAATCGACTGATGGGGTGAGTTATGGCGGTTCATGACGCGTTTGTTGCTTGGTGTCTACGCGTGATGAAGAAGGGAAGGGGGAGGCTAGGTTGGAGGAGCCTGGATGGTGCTTTCCCACTCTTTCTCATATCTCAGTACTTTGGTGCAACCAGACCAGGTTTCCAGAACACTGACATCAATCAAGACAATCTCCAAGTCAAAGTCAAGATATCCAGTCGGAACCACGGTCAGCCTAGTGCCGATGGCGGAAATCTCCGCATGGTCCAAATCCTAGACGTAACTTTTGTCAAATCATCCGACCGCACTCCCGCACCCCTCCCAGCACAGAGCCACCGCCCAGCTCTCCCGCCCACCCACTTCCCCGCCGCCCACAATGTCAAAGTCCCCGAAGGAGTCCACACGCTTCACTGCGACGGGAGTGTGGGCGCACACAAGACCCGGCGGCCGCGCCACGACGCTGCAGTTCGCGGACCCGGCACCCAAGAATGAAACGCCACAGCAGAAAGTCAAGCGGTTGAGGGAGGCGGCGAACCGGGCGAAGATGGCGCAGGTCACAAAGTGGGATTACATGTATCTGTACGGGAGAATGGCTGCGGACGCGGCGCATAGGTTTACGGTTTATGGTCTCATCTTTGCGACGGGTATGTCAAGACGTCAATTGCATATGCTTAGATCTATGACGCAAGCAATTGGAGGTTAACGAATGAGCTAGGCTGCGTCGGCGTTCTTGCCGTCTTCTCAATTGGCGACATGGTCGTCTACAACCGCCGGAAACGCGCAATCTATTTCGCTGAAGAGGAAAAGGCTCAAGCCAGAATCCTCGAAATCGCCCGAACCGCCGTCGTACAAGGGTCCGCCACGCCAGCGCAGGCCGCACTTGTCACAGGTATTGCTGAGGAGGAGGAGCTCATGGAGAAGAAGAAGGCTGAGCGGAAGATACCCTCGAAGCTGCTCTGGTGGCTGCATGGCGACTGGAAGGAAGACAAGGAGATCGAGGCGCAGAGGAAGCTGGCTGTGGAGGATCTCAGGCGGCAAGAGGCAGATGCTAGTCGGAATTCTGGCGTCACTGCTGCGGTGCAGGGTGCGAGGGCAAACACATTACCAACACCCGTGGCCGGGGGTCCGCTTGACCAGGCTGCTGAGAAGGTCGTCCAGAACACAGAGAAGACAAGCAAGGGCTGGCTTGGGTGGATGATGGGCGGATCCAAGAAGGAGTAGGAGAAGACGTCATAAGAGGAGGGGTATTATGTTCGACGTCCGACCTGTACAATGCTGTCTTACTACATGTACGCATCACGGAGTTGGGTGGCACGCTTAGATGGGAGTCGATGATTCCGCTGGGTATTCAAAGTTCATGTTCACAATTGCATATATTTCCATCCATCTATCTGCCCAGACCCCGCTATCGATCTCCTTGCCCAGACACGGGAATATAACTTTGTCGTTCTCTCGATCGCTAGGCCATGTCAGTTTCCTCTCTTTCACATTAAATCCACGATACACGTACCTCTCTCCACTGCTCCACCCACGGCTTCACCGCCGCCCAACTCAGCAGCCCCACCGTTGCAGCAATGAACACAAACACCACAGCCTGGTCCTTGGCCGAGTCTCTTTGGAAACACGCCGTGAACACGTTCTCCTCCTTCTCGCCCGTGCAAAAGCTATAGCCCAGACAGAACTGACGGTTGCAGTCGTTGCATGTCTTCTTCGAGGCACGCTCTTTCAGAGAGAAGGCGTGGGAGGCTGGCTTGGTGGGGACGGGCGCATCGAGGGCGACGATGGTGCTGTTGCCGAAACAAGTGCATTTGCAGAAGGATGTTGGGACTGGGGGTGTTAGTAAATAGGATGGGAAGGGATCTAGGAGAGGGGACATACATGCGGCGAGGGACAGGGAGAGGTACGAGAGGAAGGTTAGGAGGAGGAAGATGTAGGATGGCGGTTTGCGCATCTTGATAGAGCGTGGGTTGGATCTGGCGCTTGAATACAGAAAGACCAGCGCGCAGAGACTCCCAGTTTCAACGAAAGAACAAAACAAGCGCGAATCCGTGGTAGTGTTCTACAATTGGCAAATGTCTCGTTCACATGTCATCCGTCGCAGTTCACGAGGAGGGTTGAGCTTCCTGCACGGACAATCTGCTAGCAAGCACCAGCCAGTCTGCGCTAAGGATTTTCCTTCCCCTCCGCTTTGCGACGTCTGATCTCGCGCACCACATCTGGTCAAACGCCGTACTTTTACCCTCGACCTCGATGACTGCGGGTTTACGCGTCTGAATCCAGCTTCGAGCTTCGTCGTACAGTAGTGCGACTCGATGTCTGCAGCACGAGCGGCTATTCCTACCACAGCGCAACCAGCACCACCAGACGAGAACAAGATCGTCAGACTACACATAGCGCCACTAAGGCCCGATCTGCTCAAAGTCTACCTCGCGCCTTCCGTGCTCCCTCTCGCGAGCAACATCTCCTACCACTCCGTCGAGACTTTCCCAGAGAAAGGATTCGGATACATCGAGCTCCCAGAACCTGAAGCGCAGAAGCTAAAGAAGAAGCTCAACGGCCTAACGCTGAGAGGCTCCAAAGTGCGCATCGAAATGGCCAAGTCGGAGAAGCGCAAAGCTCGTGAGGAGGCCGACGCTGCCAAGGATGTAGCCGAGGCAGAAAGACCTCCAAAGCGCGCGAAGAAGGAGAAGAGGAAGAAGGAGGATGGCGTGCTGGAAGGCGTAGTGCTGCCTGACGACAGAAAGGTCAAGCGCGGGTGGACCGAGCCGCCGTCGAAGAGCAAGAAGGACAGGAAAGAGAAAAAAGACAAGGACAAGGAGAAGGACAAAAACTTCAAGCATGAGCAGAAAAAGTCCAAATACACAAAGGAGCCGGAGCTGTTGTTCAAGGCGAAACTGACTGCTGTCGCTGCTACAGAGGTTGCGCGTAAGGAGAAGAGCAAAGACAAGAAGGAGAAGAAGGAGAAGAGCAAGTCCAAGTCCAAGGAAGTCGTTGTACACGAGTTCGAGAAGAACACGAAGACGCCAAGCTTCATCAAGCAGACGAAGATTTCGACAGAAAAGAAGCCTGCGGTTGAGTACGTGAATGGACAAGGTTGGGTGGACGAGGATGGCAATGTGGTGGAGCCAGAGACTGGGAAGGCGAGGAACAGAAGGGTTTTGGAGTTGGTTGACATGCCTGCTGAACCCGAGCACAAGACGCCTGCGTCGGCGGATTCATCTCTAGCGCTCAATAAGAAGGACAAGAAAGCAAAGAAAGCTACGCCGCCGCCATCGTCATCCGAATCTGAGGCCGACGACTCATCCGTGGTCTCATCCTCAGAGGACGATGAGTCGTCTGAATCTGAAGACGAACAGTCAGAAGCCGAGTCCACAGCATCTTCTCCTGTCCCAACAGCCGACAGCAGCAAGACCTCCAACGCACCCCAGGCCTCGCCACCGTCTGAACAAAAAGAAGTCCACCCCCTAGAAGCTCTCTTCAAGCGACCCAAGCCCTCCTCTGAACCAACATCGACTCCCACCAAGAAACTCGCACCCATCGATACCTCTTTCAGCTTCTTCGACAACAACAACACCACCACCAATGATGACGGTGAGAAAATGGAAGTCGACGGCGACGCAGCCGACAACGCCCCCTCGACGCCCTACACGCAAAAAGACCTCGAATGGCGCGGTCTCCGCAGCGCAGCACCCACCCCCGACACAGCCACAATAGGCCGCCGCTTCTCCTTCGACTGGCGCAAGAACAGTCAAGACGCCGACGAAAACGACGACGATGACGATGACGACGACCTAGCCGACTCGGAGGCAGAGAAACAGCTCTCCCACAACACGAAAGCGAACGCGCACCTCCCCGGCTTGGCGGAGGAGAACGAAGACGACGCACAAGATGGAGCAGATGCGGAGACGGAGGACAAGCCCGAAAGCGAGTTCCGCAAGTGGTTCTGGGAGAATAGGGGGGATATCAATCGCGCGTGGAAGAAGAGGAGACGGGATGCGTTGAAGGCGAAGCGGCTTAGTGAGAATAGGAAGATGGGTGGGGCGCGGAGAGTGGGTTGATTGTGTTGGGGAGTCTGTTGCTGGTTTCAATGCATATTTTGTGTATGTTTATGCTGTGGGGTTATGTTATGTGAAAGCAGCGAGCGGGTTAAAATGGGTATTCGGATCTAAGAGCATGATACGGCAAGGCAAGGCATGACGGCAATCGAGTACGATGTATGCTTCAAGACGAACATGGCGTGCTTGCTGATGTCCGATTACACGGAGAATAGCACCAGTAGTATGAATGAATACACCTAACACTCGCATCTCCTCGCATCTAGGCTTACTATATGCCATCCAAACCCCCCATATTTAACATCCCGTCAATGCTGAACTTCTCCCCTAAACCGCAAAACATCCTCACACCCCCCGACCACAACCCCAGCTACAACAACCGTGCCTGCACCTCCCCTTGCTCCGACACCGCCCGCCCATCCTGCCGTGGATGATGCTGCACCGTGAGATCCGACGGCGGCGGCCCCGTAGGCCTTGATGTCTGCGGGAGGGTAGAGCACAGCATAGGAGCGGAGATCATGCCTTTTTCCGTCGCGGCGATGATTTCGTCAGGGATGACGGGGCGTTGGAAGGGCCGTCTTGGCGTGTGGGTTGTGGGTTGTTGTTGCTGTTGTTGTTGTTGTTGTTGTTGTTGTTGTTGCTGTTGCGGGTCTGTGGGGGGTGGGTTAGTTGGGTAGTTGTGGTGTGATGGCATGGGATGGAATTATGGAAGGGATCACCCACCGAAACTGTGTATGTCCATCCAAGAGCTCGTTTTCTCCCCGCCAGCGCAATGAGAGCTCGAGCTTGTAGACGGAGAAGGAGAGATTGTGTTGTTCATCATGGCTTGGTTTGTGGCGTGATACATCTGTGTGAGGATATTGCTAAAACACAGTCAAGCATCAATTCAAAGACCCAGTGTGAATGATATGACTATCAATTATCGAAAAGCCGAAGTAGGTACACGACGAACGTAGATCTGCGTTTAGGTCAAATCCTGCAAAGGCTTTGACGACTCTTTTCGCGACCTACTCCTCTTTTTATCCTTCCCGCACTGGATACCATGACGTACGCCCAATCCCATTTCGCTCCTTGTTCCCTTATCCCTTCCGCGCGCCGGCACCCCCATCCGACAGATGCCGACGTCGCCCTCGAACCCTGCATAATTCCAACGTTCCTCTTAGCTTAATCGGCAAGTCAAGCCGCCCGATGGGCTGTTTGACATGCGTCAATCGGAGCGAAGTGAGATCTGCACTGGGATGCGCACGTCAAGAAAGATGATTAGCAATACTTGCATCAAAGCCAAGAAAGACTACAGTAGAAAAGGAAAACATGCAACAAAAAGTGCAAAGAGAGCTCCAATCTGTGGAATAAGTAGTACCTAAAGAATTGTTGTCAACCAGATAGGACTAAGCCCTATGTCTTCCATTCGCTAAGCCCTAATCCCGTACCTTATCGAGAGACTGTACCGTGACGCCATCGCTGTATTCGTCTATTGTTGAGAAACCATTGTCTGAACCGTCGATGTGGAGATGCCCAACTCCATGTGCGACTCTATCTTGCATGGTGTGTTCCCTGTAGGTCCCATGTGATATGCCGCGCCTCGGCAGTGGTATGCTTCACCAATTCCGCCTTGACCACTGCCTCATTGAGGAGTGTTGCCAACGACATCGTTCTGCGCTGGCCGTGCGCCGCTCCTACCCCGCTGGTCCTCTGCCTCTTTTGCTTTGATCATGCGCTCCAAGTCGATGATCTTCTGCTTCAGCAGCTCGTTCTCCCTCTTGACTTCCTCCATGTCAGCCCTGTGTTGTGCGACCTCCTCATAGCGTGGCGTCGTGACGTGGCTCGCGCTTCTGGCTGGATCTCTATGCGTCGCGTCACCCGTCGTAGATTGAGAGGAGACGGAGTACCGGTGCGGATAGACACCAGGTGGCATGCCGCTGCGTGAGACGCTCGAGGAGCTGCGGTGGTGGCGTGAGGACGTGGGGTGTGTCGAGCCAGTCATAGGCCCAGTGTGGGCGGTGGATTGATCTGTAGCATCTGCGGTTGAGGAGACTGTCGATGCAACCGAGGCAGTCTGCGTGCGAAGGGCCGAGAGTTCACGCGTCAGCCGGTTGACTACTGCCTCTTGCTCCTTCTCTAACTCGTGATACATCTCTGCTGGTGTCATTGGACGTGGGTGACGCATTGGCACACCCGCGGCGTCTACATATCCGTTCATGCTGGGGCTCAAGGGCGGGAACGGATGTGACTGCTGAGACCCAGACTGCACAGGCGGAAGAGTGCCTCCAGGTGAAGCAAGAGGCAGCGGCGGAGGACTCATGGCGTGTATCAGCGACGCTCGACGCGAGACTGGCGTAGAGCTCTGGCGAGAAGCAGAGCCAGACGCAGGCTGCGTGTTCGAGGGAGCGCTTGTAGGCGTCGGGCGTGGAGACACGGGAAACAAATTAAGGTCGGGAGCCATCTTGTTCTTGCTGAGCAGCACGCACGTTAGTCGACTGGTGTCTGGGTGAAGTAGACCCCGCAGTGGATGCGAGATGGATAATGAAAATATTGCGGTTCTTGTGTCTATTCGCACTTGTAGCCAGATCGCAGAGGTAGTGTTCGCTGTGTCGGTGAAGAGGGCGGTGTTTATGTCAAACGGCGAACAAGGGGATCAACGCGGCAGTAACAACCGATGAGGGGCAGGTGCGTTCACATCTTGATCAATGCTTGCACCGAAAGCGGCGTTACCATTTGGCCCAACTTGCTGTGCTGTTGGGCGAAGCGTTGCTCGGGGGTAGTGGTGGTAGACAAGAAAGCGATCGCATTCGAGAGAAGAGAAGCCCTGGCACGAGTCATAGCATAAAGCATTCATTTCCAGACACGAGATCATGGCCAGAACAAGTCATATATTCACATCTGGACTCGGATTCTTCCGACGACCTGCTTGTCCTCAAATTCCTTCGTGTTGTATTCGTTGGTCCCATGCTTCTAGTCAAGCGTTTCCTTCTCGTCTTACACGTTATCCCACACTCGCAGCAGGTGGCATCAACTGGCCATAACCGTGCTACCAACCACTCTGCGCAGTGTCGCCTGCTCAGTTCCCTGAACCGTTTCCTCGAACTATCAGAGAAGTGCTTTTGAAAACAAAGCCATAAACCACCCAAACTCCAAGCCGCCATGCTCTATCGTGGTATGACCAGAGTGCTGGCACAGGCATGATCCCCGGTTCCGATAACTCCCTAGTACGTGCGTGCCAAGTTACGAAGGTACCAATCTACCAGTCTCCTGCCCACCTTTGCCTCAGAGACATGGATGAGGTCCTGTTTACTGTTAGTGTTCTGGATTTTTCTGTAGCCGTTCGGTGTACTCACTCCTTCCATGGCATAATCGAGGTCGCTGCTGTGAATAATCTCGCCATCTAGCAGTCCACCCTCGGTCCACCTTATCTGCCTGTTCCTCTGCTTGTTGACGAGTAACCAGCACCTGAGCTTCTCTGGCTCAACTTCCAGGAATCCAGCGAGCTTCTTCAAGTCCATGGTGGTGTAGAGCTTAAGGTAACTCTTGACGGTGGGTGACATCATGTTGTTCTTGACCTCGTCCATGAAGATGCGGAGGTGGTGCTCAACAGGGTCTATGTTAACCTCTGGGTTGTCAAAGTCAGGAGGAGTTGGGCTGATGAACTTAGGGCAGGCGGTGCGGAAGAGCTCCTCGAACAACGGCAGAGACTCGGGTCCACCGCGTTGCAACTTATTGAACTGCTCGCCGTACTTCTCGCGGAGAGCGGTGTGGATAGTGTCGTCGAGTCTTGTGGGTTGGAAAGCCACGCAAATGGCAACGAGCGCGTACATCTGATCGTTCTTCTTCGTGATCGAGTCGTACTGGGCGTTCTTCTGGAAGTTCTTGGTCCTGGAGACGTAGACCAGGATATGGCTGAACATGCGGATGGCATCGGAGTATCGTCGCATCATCATGTAAGAGAAACCGACGTAGTAGTACGTCGTGAAGTGAGCGGCCATGACGCGCGCAAACATGGCCTTCTTGTTGAGCTCAATGTCGTCAAGTGTCTTGAGCGCCAGGCTGAAGTCTCCAAGCAGGCAGTGGACGCGGAGAAGACCAATGATGGAGAAGTACCCCAGCATCTTGTACAGTGGCCGCGAGCCGTAGTCTCCAGCGTACAGGTTCGAGTCCTCCCCACGTTTCATGGCTGCTAGCTGCTCACTGATCTGTGACCGCTGGATCAGGGAGTATAGCACGTTGAGCACGCTGTAGCAGCCCCATGTGTTCGGGTTGTCCCGCAGAAGCTGTATCTCCTCCTCGTTGTCGTTCTTCAGGGCGACCTTTTGGCGGTAGCTGCAGAAGCTGTTAAACTGGTAGATGAACTCGTCGATGACATCCCACGCCCAGTAGTACTGCCCCGCTGTGTTAGCCCTATCGCGTGCTTTCCAAGCGGCTCTCCCTTACATTTGGCACCTCGAGATCTACAGGGCCTTCCGAGTTCAGAATGTAGTGGAAGAGGTTGCAGTAGTTGTCGTAACTCGCGAACTTGGTCTCGAGCGTCGCCTGGAATTCGAGAGGCGTTGCCGCGGCCTGCAGTTGCGCGTGGATGTCCTGGCTGCTCGACGGCATCCGGCCCAGATCGTCTCCTCCATCGTACTCGTCAATGTCGCTCATCGTGACCGATTGAATGCTCGACCAGTCGGACTGCGCGGCTTCTGGAAAGGGGTGAAAGAGGGGGGGTGGAGGTGGTGGTGGTGGTAAATCGATGCTCCCCCACCATCTTTTGTCGCACACCAATATTTGCGTGCACACTGTCGACAAACGCTCGGTTCGTTTTATGACCAATGCTCACGCGCGTCTTATCGATAAGCAACGTTGATATATCGACTCTTCCACTTGCTCCTTCTGGGGCTTCGGCCTTTACAGTGATAGACCCCGTGTTATGCACAACTTTGCCGCTGATATCAACTCAGTCTCGTATTCATTTCATAGCCCATTAAGCGCTGGTCAGCCGCACGGCTTACAAAACATGATGGCCACGTGTAGCGCTGCGATCCCTCGCCCAACTCCCTGTAAACAGTCTAGTTTGATGCCTGAATCGTACTTTTCGGGTGATCCACACTCATCCTCTTCTAGCATTGTATCTTTGTGCCTAGAAACTCTGGCGAGCTCCTCCTCCAAGCGGAGCGTGATTCCGGAGTTTCGACCTAGTGCATCACAATGATCGCCTGAGTCAGAGTTATCATTCGTTGGGTCTCCTGTCCGTCCCATAAGTTGAAGTCGGAAGGCCTTCCATGAGGCTTCTAGAAAATAGTTGCCAAACCTTTCACATCAATCTTGATTCTTTTTCAGTTTCCCTTCGCATATCAGTCGGTCCTGACCCCCCCTCTACGACGCTCTGCAAAATCCCTAGCTTGTCATGGGTTATTCCGTCATCATCTTCGTTACCAGAAGCTCGGCCTTATCCTCCGAGCAGTTCAAAGACTACTACGAGAACCAACATATCCCATTAGCCAGGTCTTTGGTCGGCGCCTGCAACTGGCCTATTAAATTCACCCGCCGCTATCTTGCTCGCATATATCGACAAGGCTTCGGAGGACCAGCAAATCCCGATCACCCTCTTCTGACACTGAGAGGCGCCATGCCCGATCTTGACTGCGATTGCGTCGCTGAGTTGATCTTCGAAAACGAAAAGATTTTTCAGAGATTCTATGCAAAACTTTATGAGAAAGACAACGCCGCGAAGCTGGCCGCAGACGAAAGCCGATTTTTGGAAGTGAGGCTGACAAAAGCTGTGGTTATTGGGGAGACGATCACCGATGAGAATGGAGTTACCACGAGCGAGACAACCTTGATGACGAGGAGCGACATGGAAGATAGCGACACTAGCACTAGTGACATGAGTTGAGCTCGAGGAAGATATGCAAAGTGTCACGGGAAGGTCAGCGTAAGGGTGTTGGTGGCTGGCTGTCGACGTTCAAGTGTTGTGAGATTTTGATTATGGTGTTTGGAATTGACTCATGGCGTCATGGGTTATACCCTTGCAATGGGGTTCCAGGCCCTGATTCCACGGTTTTGGAGTTTCGAGGTATACCGACCGTAGTGTGGATGGTCTTTTTCGGATATGTTCAGGGCGTTGTCAAGTGTTGAATGATCTGTTGTTTGATGACTGGGTAGGACATATGGTATTGAGTACACCTGTAGCAAAACATATACGATTGGGGTATAAAACCAACCCCATTTAGCCTGATAAGTTCTTCACAACCTCTCTTTGGTCTTTGAATGTCTGTAATCGTAATGCCAGTCATCCCTCGCGATGTCGCTCCTAACCTTGTAGTTGTCCTCCGCGTCTTCCAAAATCTGCATATCAACATCAACAACGCTCATTCCCTCCGCACTTCCACCCAACTTGGTCAGTGCCCCTACAAACGGTACCGTGACTTGCGAGAGCCCCGCATACCCTCGCCCAGGAGGTCCTCCTGCGTTAGCAAACACAATGGCGCAAGTATTCTCAAACGCGCGAGCTGTGAGCATGGAATCCAAGAAGAGTGCTTCTGCCGAAGGATTGAGTTTCAACCCAGCTTCATTGCAGTCGTTGAGCGACCAGAACGTCGGAATAATGATGATCTTTGCGCCTTGCGCAATGAGTTCTCGAAACGCCTCGGGGAAGGCGAGGTCCCAGCAGATCAACAAGCCGACCTTGCCGATTGGGGTATCGAAGACTTCGTGCATGTCTTGTCCTGAACTAGTCAGGTGGTCTCTCTCTGGACCCCTGTGTCATGCAACTATTAACCTTTACATGTTCGAGTAATGAAGCTAGTACAACGTAGGGGAAACGAATAACATACCACAGGTTCTTCTTGACATACTTTCCTACAATTTCCCCTTTGTTATCGATGAAATAGCACACATTCAGCAGCCTGTCCTCTTCCTTCTGTTCCTCGCGGTGGCTTTCCACAATCGTTCCAGGTACAATGCAGATGCCACACTCTTTCGCCAAATCCTGATATTTCTTCAAATACACTCCCCACTGGTCGCAAAGCCCCACAAAGGCTGGATCTTTGGGTTTCCAATTCGTCAAGTGATACTCGGGCAGAACCGCAATCTCGGCACCCTGAGCGGCTGCGGATCGAATAAAGTTTGCTGCTTTCTCGAAGTTGTGTTCGAGTTGCATTGGCTGGTGATGTAAGTGGGTCGTCATCAACATCACCCCAGCGCATTGACAGGCGTACTTTTGGATAGAGTTGGATTACTGCAATCTTGACTGTTGGCGCCATGTCGAGCGAGAATATCGTGAAACTGGCAAAATCGATGTATAGTGGTGGCTTGCAGAAGGTTTGTTGTGCATGTGGGCCCGTTTCACGTCTTGCGTTGATCCACGCTAGAACACGATTGGATGCAGGATAACATGTTCCATTGACTTGCCATGACCATGTCCAACCTAGCTTTTTTAGATACACAGCGCGCTACTTTCGAAGCCCACTTATCTGTTCAATAATCTTCTTAGCTTATGCATTGGGTTTGTTCTAGGTTCCTAGAGATCCGCGAGTAGCCATTGTGATTCACAAAACATCAGACAAGTTCGCTAAACGCGGCAATCCAAATTCTATGTCAATAAAACCTCCCATCGGAGTGGAACCATGCCCCCAGTGACACTACTCGAAGGAGGGTCAAGGATGAGCGTTGCCACCACTTCCTCAAGCACTGATTTGTTCCTTGAATCAGTGCCCCTGGGAAGAAATTCTTGACATCCAAGTGCCTCGTAGAACAACTAAAGCTTGAGCAACAGATACAGACTATTTGTGAATCACGGTCTAGACGTGTTTTTTATCGTAAGCCCACTGTCTATGGAAGTAAGCCGGGGGCTGAGTATTAGACTATGTTAGTGCGGAGTAGAAAATATGCTAAGTTGTGGTGACCGAAAAACTACACGGCAATTCAACCGTATACCCTACAGTGTTTCATTATAAGCGTTTCTGATGTGCCTATGCAGCTGGTCTTGACGAGCAAAGGGTCTATCGCTTGACCCATGGTAGTAAACAGTGAGTTCGTACTGGTATTTTGGCGTCTATACGTTCATATGAGTTGATGTAGAGATAGCTTCGGAGTCATTTAGTATTACCAATATTTGCCTGACAATCTTGGTTGCCTCTCCAGATTGGATTTTCACCGGGCAGGCCAGACGCGGTTCTCCAATGTGTCGATCTGCTCAGACGAGATTGGCTGCTTACGCCAGTTATCAGGACTTATATGTTAGCGTTGAGATTGACGCTCCCAACCACCGGTCGTCTTGAGGCGATACATGTTATGGTCTACAATCTGCACTATACGTATCTACTCGCGAAACTTGTTGATTTGACTGAGGCCAAGGAGTGTCAACAGACTCTCACGTGTAGTGACCGTCAGTACGGACAGGGTTGGCGAATTGACAATATGTCTTAAACGATATATATTCTGAAGTCTTCGATGATCGGTGCAGGTGCCTGACAGGAGCTCAAGACTGGCTCTTGATCAAGTGGAAGGAAGCTGCGTTCTTCTTAGCACACATACGCAAGAAAACTAATGGGGAAGATGAAAAAAACACAGTAGGTCATGCAAAGCTCCAAGGTAATTAAGATTTACACTACGATTATATTCATGTTCAGATGTTGACCACGGAGGTTAGGAGCGGTAACACGTGATTACGAGACATGGCCTGTGCATGCTTCTCTAGCGCGTCAATGACGTTGACGAGTGAAAGTGTCATCCACCGCCGCGGCTCTTTGCTGCCTAGGATATGCCGCGATCCAAACGCTCGTTTCAACCATTTTCTTTGATTTTACTGTCCTTCAATGATTGTGACGATTGCATGAAGTGCGCGTTGTCCTCTGTGCTCTACCCTCCTTCCGTCCCTACATTACTTCCTCAAGCGCAACTTTCCTCGATACCCCCAACGCTATAGCTCGGCACACGGAGACAGAAACACTCTTTTCTTCCCGCGTCTTAATCATCATAACAAGCATGGCCACGCCAGAGGCTGATACCGCGTCAACCATGGCGCCTGCAATCACTACCACTCACGCAGAGGGTTCAAGCGTGGCAAAATCGCACGATACAATGGAAGACCTTGTCGTGAAAGACCAAGACGAAGAATTGCCGTCGGATGCTGACGAAGAAACACGCCTAAAATTCCTTACTACTGGTACTAGAGCGCAGGACGATTTGGAACGAGATATTGGGCGCCAGGCAGACCAGTTGCTTACCGAGCAAGCCGATGCGCGCGACAAGAAACGTATAGAAAAGGCAGAGACGGAGGCAAAACGCGCAGAAGGGGCTATACAGAAACTACGCAACCGTCTGGCGTTACCTGCTATTGAATCGCAGAAAGCGAAAATGCGCGGAGAGATTGCTATGCACCAGAGCAAGATAGATGACTTAGACAAAGAGATGGACGCCATACAGCAGCGTATCAACGACCGACACAATGCACCGGATGGTGAGGAAGCTGACCAGGATGGCGTCAATGGACCCTTACCAAACGAGAGCCGGCGAGATTTCCTGATACGAACGGGCAAGATCACACCCTTCTCTAAGCTGGCTCAGGACCAGTCTTCTTTGGGAACATTGGGAGAAGTGATGCAAGATGCTGAAGTTGAGGATATGGTAGAAGAGGCTGCTAATGGCCCAACTTCACATCGTAATCTTATGAAGCCTGGGTTTCAAGATGCTGAGTCTGGTTCGGAAGTTTCTAGTCACGAGTCCACAACTCGATCAAGGAAACGACGAAAGATCACTCCGGCCAGTGATGCGATGATGTCACGCGAATCAAGTGCTGCTCCAGAGAATAATGATGGCGAGCCTGATGATGCTTTTGAACCTGGCATGACAGATCGTCAGCTTGCCACCTCTGATGACTCCGAGGCTTTCTCAGAAGATGCTATGGAGGACGATGATTACGAAGAGGAAGCCACAAGCAATAAGCGTAGAGCTGGTAGCAAGAAGAAAAAGACGGCCAAAACTGTTCACACAGAAGAAGTCGTAGAAGAGGACTTGGCTGGTGTGGATGATGGTAACGAGAGGGTATATCGGAAGCGTATAGATACGTGGACGAAGGATCGCGCAGCCGCGAGGAGGCGGACAAAGGAGAAGAACGGCGAATCCGTTACCGAGGAGGAAGGAGAAGAAGAGTCTTATCTGCCGCACCCTACTGAAGCCGATACTGAATTCGACGGTGGCTTCCGTATCCCAGGTGACATCTATCCAGCGCTGTTTGACTATCAAAAGACGGGTGTGCAGTGGCTTTGGGAGTTGTACTCTCAGAACGTCGGTGGTATTATTGGCGATGAGATGGGCCTAGGTAAGACGATCCAGGCCATTTCCTTCGTTGCTGGCCTGCACTACTCAAAACTTCTCACCAAGCCCGTTATTGTGGTGTGCCCAGCAACTGTTATGAAGCAGTGGGTCAACGAGTTTCATCGCTGGTGGCCGGCTCTCCGCGTTTCGATTCTACATACGTCTGGCAGCGGTATGCTGGACACTCGACGAGAGGACCGTTTGGAACGAGAAATGGAACTCAAAAGCTATGGTGACTATGACAAAACCTTGACTGGTGCTGGTAAGTCGGCTAAGAAGATTCTTGAGAAAGTCAAGCGAGACGGTCATGTTCTTGTTACTACCTACTCTGGTCTTCAGACGTACTCCGAGTTTCTGATCCCAACTGAATGGGAGTGTGCTATCTTGGACGAAGGTCACAAGATTCGAAACCCAAACACGTCTATCACAATTCATTCCAAAGAGCTTCGAACACCGAATCGCATCATTCTGTCCGGAACGCCAATGCAGAACAACCTCACTGAGCTCTGGTCGCTATTCGACTTCGTTTTTCCCATGCGGCTCGGTACTCTTGTCAACTTCCGGAACCAATTTGAGTTCCCCATCAAGCGTGGTGGATATGCGAACGCTTCCAACCTCGAGTTCGAAACAGCAGTACGATGCGCAGAAACTCTCAAGGACGCAGTCAGTCCTTACTTGCTTCAACGCTTCAAAGTCGACGTAGCAACCGATCTTCCGCAGAAGAAAGAGCAGGTACTGTTCTGCAAGTTGACACGGCAGCAGCGCCAAGCATATGAGGGTTTCTTGCAGTCTGAAGACATGAAGTCGATTGCAAATGGCAAGCGACAGATGCTGTTTGGTGTGGATTATCTGCGCAAAATTTGCAACCATCCTGATTTGACCGAACACAAGACGCTTTCCAAAGACCCAAGCTATGATTACGGCGCGCCCAACAAATCAGGCAAAATGCAAGTCGTAAAAGAGTTGTTATCACTGTGGACGAAAGGTGGACATAAAACATTGCTCTTCGCTCAGCATCGCATCATGCTTGATATCCTCCAGAGATTTCTCAATAGTCTGCCTGATATCAATTATCGTCGCATGGATGGTGAGACGCCCATCAAGAATCGACAAGATCTTGTAGATGAGTTCAACAAGGATCCTGATCTTCACGTCTTCCTTCTCACTACGAAAGTTGGAGGTCTCGGGGTCAATCTCACGGGCGCTAACCGTGTCATCATCTACGATCCTGACTGGAACCCGTCGACCGACATCCAAGCGCGAGAGCGCTCATGGCGGCTCGGGCAAAAACGAGAGGTAGAGATTTACCGCCTCATGTCAGCTGGTACTATCGAAGAGAAGATCTATCATCGTCAGATTTTCAAGCAGTTTTTGACAAACAAAGTCTTGAAGGATCCAAAGCAACGACAAACATTCCAAATGAGCGATCTGCACGATCTATTCACACTAGGCGGCGAGCAAGCAGACGGCGAGACAGAAACTGGTAACATGTTCCGTGGGTCCGAAGTCAAATTTGATCAAAATGGCGAGACGGAAACCCCAACCTCAGACGCCACAGCATCTAAAGACCTTGCTGCAATGGTAGGCATCGACCGTGCCGTAGCATTCCAAGCACCTCCCTCGGAAACAGAAGACCACACCCAGCAAGACGGCACAGCTACGGATGGGGACGCCCCTGCAGACTCCTCCCGCCTCATGTCCACCATCTTTGCAAGAACAGGCGTTCACTCCGTCCTCGAACACGACGCAATCGTAAACTCCACAGCAAACGGCCGCAAGCGCAAAATCCAAGCTGACCCAGCTTTCGTTCAACGCGAAGCGAAGCGACAAGCCGCCATGGCAGCCGAGCAGCTACGAAAGAGCATGGAAGAAGCGCGCCTAGTCCCCGCCGGCGTCCCAACATGGACAGGCACGTTCGGCGAAGCCGGACGGCCCGACACTCGACCCACACCAGCATCCTCCCGCGGCGGGCGAGGAGGCCGCGGAGGCGGCGGTCTGGGACGTGGTGCCCCATCATCAACGTCGATTCTCAGTAACCTTGCAGCGCGTCAAGGCCGTACACTTGCTCCATCTGCAACGCCGACTTCGACATCTGCCTCCTCGTCCCGCGCTTCCACGCCCGTATCAGCGTCGTCGTCGACTTTCCGTGGCCGCCGCATGCTGGAAATGATCCGCGACTTTATGATGACGCATGGCGGGGCTGTGCCCACGCGTATGCTGGTCGATCACTTTGATCATTATTGTCGTGCGGCGCCGGGGAGAAGCGAGGAGTTCAAGGAGATGCTCAAGGCGATTGCGACGCTGGAGAAGAATGGGTCGGCGCAGAGGGGAAGGTGGGTGTTGAAGGATGAGTGGAGGACACCCAGGGCTGGTGGTGGGAGGGGATGAGCGGAGTTTTTTTTTGTTATCCTATGCGTTGTGGTAATGATTCTTGGAAGATGGCAACATTTTTTTTACATATAAGTTAGAGCTCGGTTCGACTTCCTTGAGGGATACCACTGATTGAGTATTTGCCAAGTGCTGGCAAATTTTATCGCATTTTCTAGATCAATATCGCACGCTCGAATTGATGATAGACAATTTTTTTGGTGTATGCGATCTCTCTCATTGACAGACGCTACATCGACATCATGACACCAAGACTGAGCAGTCTTTCCTTCCACACCAAGAGTGTTACCCCTTGCCTCGAGCTCACCACCTGAAAACCTTTTGAAAGTATTAAGATGCGTACATGTCCAATTGATGCAAATTTCCCCTTCCCTTCTAAGTTGATAAAACGCCAAAACACCAAACCCACAGATGATCCCAAAATGACTGTGAAATGCGTTCCATGCAACATGCTGATGAGCCCACGGCGCTGTGATCCGGTTTAAATGACGTAAGGAGCGGAATATATAGACAGATTTGAAGCGTAAGGAGTGCCGTTATCGTTTACGAGACGTCGGGAGATGGATGTCTGGCTGTATATCGAGCGAGACGGGGGTACTACCACAGACCGAAGTTGTAGGTGAAGTAGAGAAGCGAGGCGAGTGTGGTGCCAGATGTGATCATCATAGCCTTGAGGGTCAAGTTCTCGAAGGGCGAGAAAGCAGCGTTGCAGTTCACGCAATCGAATTCTAAGACGTGTAAGCGATATGCGTTTGTGACAGGGTGACGCGCGATGCAGAAATGATGCGCCAGGAAGATTGCTTACCATCAAATGGTACATAGGGCTGCGGTGTGTACATGCCAAACGACAATGCGCTGAAAGGAGCCAGATAACCCGCCTTGGCAGCAGCAGTCACACTCGACTGGGCATCGTAGATCAGAAGCGTGTACTTCTCAGTGAGGAAGGGAGCCTGGCCATCCGGTACATCGCCCGTGTTCCAGAGCACTGATGTCTCTTGCGCCGACTGGTTCACGGCGATGGTGTAGGTCGCCTGGTTGGCCGTGCATGTGGCGAGGATGTCGAGATGGGCCGGGGTGACGGAAAGTGATGTGTAGTTCCAAGCAAACGTCACCCAGTCGCCGACTTTGTAGAACTGCGAACCTGCGAGGGCGCCGGGCGTCACCATGGTGAGACCTCCGGCGGGCAGTCGCGCGTCGAAGCTGGTCGAGTTCCCCTTGCGGGTAGTGGTCACGCGAGTGGCTGTGCCTGTGGTTGAGGCTTTCCCAGAGCCCGTCGACTTTGCAGTTGTGGAAGCATCGTCGTCGTTGTTTCTGCTTTCTGTTGCGCTGGCGGCGTTTGTGCTTTCAGCCTGGCCTGAGCTGGCTGTGGTTCGGGCCGTGGCGGAAGTAGATTGCGAGTCTGGTGTCGTTTGTCAGTATCGTGATGGCGTCACTTGAACACGTTGACGTACTGTCATTTTGTCGCCCGAACAACAGGTTCTTGACGGCTCCCAGACCGTGAAGGTTGCCAAAGGCGTCTGGCATGGCAGTCGCGACCGACGACATGGCCAAAACGGCGGCAAACAACTGCGAAGGCCTCATTTTCCTGCCCGATTACCCGAAACAGCAAGAAAAGTCGACGAGAAAGTGCTGCGATGAGGCAAGCGGCGAGGAGGACGCGCGGGGCCGGTAGTGCGATCCGAAATGTTGGTGTTCCTTCGGGTGTGAACAAAAAGACAGCGCTATGGCAACGGCAACAAAAGCTAGTCCAATGCAAACTCCTCCGTCCGAAAAACGAGCGACTGGCGAAGGGATAGTTGAAGAGGCCGTAGAACGGGAGGTTAGTATGTAGCGATGGTTGGTTTTTGGGTGACAGGAGGGCTGGCAATGCGGGTGAGCTGCAATTGTAATGGACAGGACAGGGGCAAGCTACCGGGAAGATTTCACGCTAAGCGCACTAATTTTAGATTACTGGCTTGTCTCCACGCCTTCGAGGCATCATTCTGTGGATCTGTATATTCCGCAATAGATTGACCTTTGACCGAATCCTGCCCAATTGTTACTGCATCGATGCGCTTTTGTCGAGCATGTCTGCAAATCTGGTAACATCAAAGACCCTCTTTTCCAACACCCCATTCGCCGTTCCATCGTCTGTTGAGAATGACAAGGCCGTTGCACAGCCAGCCATGTCGCACCCTCAGCTTCGGCTCTCCGTCATAAAGCGCCGTCACCCTTCTCAGCTTTCTCTCCGCGTTCTCTCCGCTTTGTGCTCAATTTAAATCCTTTGCCTCTCCTGCTATTCTTACTTGGTGGCAAATGGTCTCCCCACAGGCTCACTTACATACTTTACTTAGACTTGACCCTGTCGCAAACTGGACCCATGACGACGGCAACATCGGGTGTATTACGGGGTTGGCCAAACGTGGCACAGCATATCTCACGTTCAGCTTGGTATCATTACTTCTCGTATGCACGTGGAGCCTGAGAGATCACGACGGGATTGGTCAGCCAAGCTTTTCTGTAACCCTTCTCACTCCTGAATGCTTCGTCGTTGCCCGTGCCATGGAGCTTCTGCTCCTTAAACTGAACCTCTCGTATGTATTGTGTAGTGCTCAGGCTGTTTCTTGTCTTCCACATCTTGTTTCACACATCCCCAAAAATGCTCAGCGATGTATCTCAGGCTTAGGGTGTACTATATTCCGCGTACGATCAAAATTCGGTTCTGCTCTGCACTTTAAACGGACTTGGATGCGCAACTTGGAATTCATATTAGATCAAGATCCGAGATGCGAGTATATCAGCGATGACTACGTGGGTGAAAATGTGCAAGCCATATCAAGTCAATATATACCATCGACGCACATCGAACAATCCTCTCCTCAAACGCCATGCTATGAGTATGCCCAAAGGCGCCAGAATCCGTCTCTCCCAACCTAGCCACTTCGACTCCCCTCCTACACCTCGACGTGTTCCGCCAGTTTCCTGAAGGAATCCCTCTGCTCGTTCGTCGGCTCCCTCCCTGCCGCCTCGATGACATCCACTTTTTGGATTTCCTCCACCATGTCCACCCTGCCAGGTCGTCTGGGCCTGATGCTCGTCTTCTGGATGATAGGATAAAAGTACGCCGCCTTCTGCAGCTTCGAGTTCCGCAGACTTGCATCCTCGTGGTGTTCAGGATCGTGCAGGGCAAGAGCGAGCACGTCGCCGTACATGTCGTGCGAGTCGCCAACCTGCTCCTTCGTCTCGTAGGTGCGAATGTTATCGAACTTGAAGTACTTTCGCGGTCGGCCCTCCTCGTCCTCATCTTCGCCGTCGAACAAAATCTCGGACTCGTTTGTCGGGTCGTTGGTTGTGAAGTTGCGTTTTATGCTGTGCACTTTTTCCTTATTAGGTGGAAGAAAGAACTCGAAGTGGTATCGCGGGATGGGCATAGGAACTGAGGGGTCCTGTTTGTGTGCTTCGCGCTCCTGGATGAATATGTCTTGGTCCTGGATGGATTGACCGGCAGGACGGAGCAGGGCGACATCGAGACGCGAGTCGTAGGAGGTGTCGAGCGGATCGTTGATTGGCGGTGCCATGAATTTGAACATCATGTATGCGCCGGTATCAGGCGTAGCGTCCCAGTCTGGGAGGAGCGGGTACGAGTCAAGGAGCTTGAGGTTGGGGTTCTTCGAGTTCTTTGGTTGTTTCCATGCCAGCCTCTCTTCGGGCGAGATGTCTGCTGCCCTCAACCTCTCCGTGCTGTCTTGGCCATTGTATGCATCTGCTGGATATGCGATGTTGAAGCCCTTCAAGATGTGTCTGGCGATGTTGATGGGGTCGTCTACGGAGGTGTCTGCGGCTCTCCGCTTCTTCCGCAGGCGCATCGTGTTGGACATGTTACTCGACTCGAAGTTTGATTTGCCCGTGGTGCTCGAGGTAATGTATTCCGTCCGTCGCAAGAAAGAGATGCCCGTAGCGTTGTTGGTCGACTTGCCGAGCGCATTCGGCGGTCGCATCAGCGCTCTGTCGGCAGCGCATAGTGGCGGCGGATGTGGCATCGCCTGGATAGCTGCATGACGCGTCAGTTGGTGATGGACTCGCCTGTGTTGTGGTCTCCTCTACCTGACTCGTCGCCATCAAAGACCTTCGGAATACCGACCAGGTCGATGGGCATTCCCAATTCAGCGTCCGCCTCAATGTTCAGTGGCTGCTCCCGCGCAAGCCTCGATGCAAAGCCTGCCGAAGTGTACTGTCCGCTGGAGAGTCCTGTGTTGGGTATGTCGAGCAATTTTGGTGGACATGGCGGAGGAGGGAGCGCGTTCGAGTATCGGACTTTCGCTATGTAGTCCTGGGGGACACCTTGTCGCGCGGTGGAACTCATTGTGTGATGAGCGGGTTTTGTGGGTGGTAGGCGGCGTCGACTTGGGCTTTGCTCGGGAGGGTTGGAGAGTTGGAGATGGGGATGAGACGACGCGCCAGAAAATCGATCCACCTTTACCGCGTCCGCCAAGACATCTCAGCGTCCCTGTTCTTTCACTCAACCCTCATACACATGATACTTGTCCGTCCTCAAGAATTTCATTTATATGCCTTAAGCGGCTGTCAATCAATCGTACTGTGCTTGCTTTGGACCGAATTGTGTCATAACGAGCGTGATGGTTATTAAGTACTAGTAATCTAGCATGACCCTCTCCCACCTCCCCTATTTACACAAACACCACTACCACCCATTACAAGGGCTCTTGTTTTGTGTTGCCACACATAGGCTTCCTGCCGGAACCTTCTTACCCAAACGCCGAATCCCAACACAACCTAAAGGTCGGTGGGTAAATATGCTGACGATCAGAATATCTAGCCATGGGATTCGTAAAGGAACAAAAACCTCTACCACAACCTGTCCTGCGTAATTGCTTGTCTACTGAGCCTTCCTGGCCTTGGCCAGCTTCTTCTGCCTCCTAGCCTTGGAGGCCTCAGCACCGGCCTCAGTGTCGAGGCAGAAGTCCCACCACCTGAAGCTGCTGGCATAGTTCCCAATGAATTTCTCGTGGTGTACATCATGGTGCTCAGCGCCGGCCCAGAATGGCAGAATGTGGTGCAGGCTCCATGGGAACTCGTAACCGCTGTGCGCATCGATAGCTTGGAACAAGCGGAGCACGATCCAAGTGTACATGGTGAGGATGTGGAGGTCCTTGGTGATAGCGCACCATATGATGGGGGGCCCGACAGATCCGAAACCCAGGACCATGACCTCGATCGGGGAGGCGTATTCCGCAGCCAGACCAAACGGAGCAGAGTATTGGTGGTGGATCTTGTGAATGTTCTTGTAGAGGAAAGAGCTTGCGTGCATCAGGCGATGCGACCAGTAGTGCCATGCATCCTCCATAACGAAGAAGATAGCGATCTGGTAGGCCATAGTCCAGGGGCTAGGGAAGGGAACTGAAGTCTGAAGGCCAAAGTACTGGCACATAGGGTGGAAGAGCCAGATCTGAGGGAGCTCGACTGTGAAGTGAGAGAAGAGGACGAGAAGCGCGCATTGTGTCTGTTCCCAAGCGGTGGGGATTTTGTTCTGCTTCGAATGAGCTATTGTCCTGGTATACAAATATCCTGTTCAACATACCTGTTGAATCTTGTACTTTCTGAAGTACGGAATGCGGTCGATCAAAATCCACGGTAGCGAACGCCCAAAGTAGACAGCCTCGTGCATGACAAACGACACGATGCCTGTCGCCAGAACATCATTGCCCATCCATGTGTACCAGGCGAGCCACATCTTCTCGAAGTAGTTGAGTGAGACATTATACTTGGAAATTTCCTCAAATGAGCCCCAGTAGGTGTCCTGCGCCATTGGCGTCAGGATAGTCGACGAATTCCTGTCGCAGCTGTCAGTATCTAGTCCGCGGACATCGGAGCTGTCGGGACGTACATCTTGCCTGTCTGCGATAACAAAAAAAGCTATACGCAAGCAATGGGAAAAGAACGAATGGACTGCACGGGTGAGAGGCGTGCAAAGTCAAGCTGCAGTGAAGAAGAGAGAAGAAGAAGGCGCAAGGAGGCGATTAAATTGGAGATTGTTGGACCAGGGATCTGCCACCGTACCACTCTAAGCCGTCAGGGACACTGCGAATCCGCGCGTTAGTATGCGCTAAGGATTGCGCTATGCTCGATAAGGAGCTTCTAGATCCAATCAGATTACTACACCGCCTTACAACGGGTATGGGGAGATTTTTGCGTCCACGGCTTCAAGCTTGCCGGACCCTCGAACGACACTCCGCAATGCATGGCTCCTGCATCGTGTCATCGTGGCCTCACTCGATCTTCCTCGGACGCCGAATAAGCTCCATCGCCCATCCGAGGCGGTGGCGAATCGTGCGGTCGAATCAACGGTCTCCCAGTACGATCAGCCAGTGAGCTATGCTTACACAACTCATGCAGGAACATGAAACATAGTTCACGCAATGTTTTGTGCTGCAAGGTACCCTGAGATCTTCGGTTGTCATCGAAGATTACGCCCGTAGATGTCGTGATCCGACAGCTTGTTCGAAAACTGCATCTAATCGTGATCCGTTGCCACCCTCGATAGGCTTCGGAACACTCACCGACTGGCCAGACGTGTTGCATCAGTGTGTTTGGTGGGTGCGTTGCAGCACCTACAACGGCTTGTACTTCGGGAAAAAACATACCAGTCGATGATGCCTTTTCAAGAGAGGAACTCGAGGACAGCGATTCAAACAGCAAGGTCCAACGTACCAGGTGTTCCGATTGAGAGACTACAGGTAGGTGCAGCCCTAAGCATGCAGCAACCACCACAAAGCTATTACCACCAGCCGTGTCTCGTTCTTCACTCTCTATGCGTTCTGAACGCCAAGTATCGTTACCTTCACATCTGGTTCTCGCATTCCGCTTCTACTGCAGCAAACAATTTCTATCGTTGATTCTTACACTTCGCAATCCTCTTGATATCAGTATTACCAGACCACACCAGCATATACGTCGGCATACACAGCAGCAGATCACTACGTTGCATTCCACACAGAGGTTGACTCAGAACCACCTGAGAACCTCCGAGTCACAGTCATGGCACCTCACGACCTCGATACGAAAAGGATCGTGGGTAGAATATGGTGGTGGATCTCGTTGGCTATTATCCTGCTCGTCCTCGTAGCCGTCCTCAATTGTTAGCAACACTGCCCTCTTGATTCTGTCAGCCGAGCCTGCAAAAGTTTCTGGGCGCACTTCCTGGAAGTCCCACGTCTTTGTAAAGTGCTTCAGACCAGAATGTTGCCCAACAGAGCCCGGTCGGACGACGAGGATGACGAGGGCGCCCCGATCGTACCACTGATCATCGTCACCGATCACTCGGTCGCCATCACGCAAGGTCGACCTCGGTCAGATAGTGGAATTTCAACTTCCGACGGAACAGAGACCCTGTCTGACTCCCGAGACAATGAGTCCGCTCATGTACTGTACCCAACCCAGTCTGAGACGAACACAATGAACCCTTCGCTTTCAAATACGACGGAGGCTGACAATCCCTGGAGCCCCAACGCACCCTAAGCATCAACTCAGCAGCATCGGCGAGCATATATTCACAGTCGAGTGATACTACAAGCCCAAACCCGTCCTCTGTCACAGCCAAGCCTGCGAATCCGACAAGAACGACCAACATCAAGTTTGAAGCGTTCTCAAATACACTTATTTACTCCCGCCCATCAGCTGCTTGTCATAATTCTTTCAACCATGGAGGTTTGGCAGTGCCCTATTTACAACTCGCAAACGGAGGAAGTCCATACAACATGGTCTGATGATTCTCGAATGGACGATCATTGTCTTTCGCGTTGAGGGGAGAAGTGTAGAATTGGTGGTTCTGGAACAAGCACACTTGTATGGTATCATTGGGGGTATTTCTGTCACAGTGCTTCGAATCATGAGCCACGTAAAAATCCACAGAATGCATCAATTTGTTTAGCATGCCAGTCTTTTGTGATGTTCGGATGGCACGCATCATTTTCTAACATTGTCTAAGTTTACACCTCACTTGTGTAAAAGCATGAAGGCGCGAAAGGCTATCTTCTGTCCCTGTTTACTCACACTTGCTCGGACTGGACCAGCACTATAGCGGAACTTCATCGTCCTATGTCTACAGCTATGCAACCTAAGACAAACTGTATGAGAAGCCGCCATCAGGATGTATGTTAACAGTGCTTGCCTGATATCACACGAGTGTAGAGCCCCATCAAGCTGTATACAACAAGATATGAGAGCAATATGTGTACAGGACGAGACCGGCAGTAGCACAAAGTCCATACTTGCCCAGATCCCTCGTCTCTCCCGAAAAGCACAATATGGGATATGTGCATTTTAAACCGCGGTATTTAGAATTGTGGAAGTTTGAGCTGAGGATATTCCAGCTGTGACTAGGTGTGTTACACAACTTGTTTTGACGAACTTGCTCACTTTTGAGGCATTATGATACGAGAGCATTATTAACATTGGACTCATCACACTTCATCTTTTGCTGACAGTGGCGTGTCCCTGATGTGATGTAATATGACATGTATGTTGAGAACAAGGGGCAAAGTCGCACACAGACACACCCTTGCTTGCATACGAATGCCCCCTTTCCCCAGCGGTGAAATGGGGAGACATCAGGAGAAAGTAAGAGGTTCTTGGTCTTGATGGAAACCTTGGATGGCCGAGTTGAGATATATATGACACATGGGAGTCTTCGATCTTACTCCGGTCATGCATGCATCACCCCATCTTCAGGCTTGGAAATCGGTGAGATTCAAATTCAAATCCATCGACACATCCTGGGTTTCGGGAAGTCCCACAGGACCGGTTATCCTCCCCTGTTGAGAAACAGACTGAGAGAAGTGCCATAGAGCTGTGATCTTGTCGCTTTAGAGAAGATATTCCCACAATGCCTCGATTGTATTTCTTATGTGTGTCTTTTAAGGAGTACAAGATGTGTGGTAAGAGTGGAGAAGAGCAAAGAAGGCTAAGGTAAAGCAGCTTGCGTACATACAAAGGCTGGTAGTACTAGGTTAAGGTGTTCCTTGCAGACCGTTCTGTTTGCTGTAGTAGTTATATCAGACTCCGAATTCTTGCACACGTAGAACAGTCATTCCGGAGTGTCTTGAAGACCTCCGCCCTACAAACCATGTTGAGAAAGGGATATCGATGAAGTCAAGACAATTCCACGTATTTACAATCATCACTACTTCTCACCGTGCATGAAACACCACCTGGATCTTCATCCAAACCATGTCATCGTCGCAAACGATATTACATCTCAATCGATTCAGCGCACATATGTCGCTATGCTGAGCAAGTCCTTGCGATTAATTGTACAAGAAGCTCAGAGTCCAAGCCTTGGACCAATGATGCCCTCCTCTACACCCCTCTGCATTATTCGCGCTGCCCTGACCCGATTACTTCGCCGTCGTAACTACACCCTCATACTCCCGACTCGCTATGTAGTCAAGCGTGCGCTGGAAATGTTTTCTCGGGTTCTCGAGACTCGAGGCGTTTTCGTTAGATTGTAAATTCGAGTGGATTAGTTCGATGAGGCCATTCAGATATTTCGTTGTCACCTGATTGTCGTCAGTATCAGTACTAGAAATGTCTCGAGGACAGCAACTTACGGCATCGTTCTCCTGGTCGAAGTAGTACACGTATCGATTCAAAATCTCGACGAACAGCTCGACTGATACTGCAGCATCCATACACGCGTCGGCAACACGAAGTGCACGTTGTAGGCACTCAAGAACGCGCTTACCATCGCGGTAAAGCTGGTCAAGGTTAGCACGCCAATCTCAGACGCATGTTCAGAAAACTCACAGTCTTGGGGTCCTCTTCCCCTAACGCTCTGATCTCGGTAGCCCACCAAAGATGACTCGCAAGATATACAGCGCGACACTGGTCTGGCTTCTTCAGTAGTTTGCTTCCATGGAGCGCGCACTTCGTAATCAGGGTATCGTAATTCTCCTTGCCAAAATGTCTTGTCGTATGAAGGCCACTTGCAATAACACATACAGCCTGGAATTGCGCTCTCGAGTCGCTGATAGCTTCCTCATAAATCGTAAAGGCTTGAGCGAAGTACTCGTATGCGACCTCCTCGAAGTTGTTCTGATCGGCAACTTGACCACAGGCGATAAACAAACGGAGGGCGAGATCTGCAGAGCCAGTAACGCGGGTGTACAGGGTTGACAGAGTGTTGTGCATGAACTTGTAGAGAGCGGAAGATTGCGATTGCCAATTGTCCTCAAAGTGCTCACGCTTCTTGTACTGTCGAGCGAGTTTGAGGGAGGCTGTGATGATGGCGGGAGTAGTGTACTTGACGCGCTCGTTACCTTCCGAAAATGCCTTACGTGCGGCTTGGAGCAGCTGAATGTATGTCAGTTTTGAATGCATACAACTTGACTAAAGATACTGACCTTGAACTGTGTGTCGTTGTCTTTACCACGGATAAGATGTACTATCCGCGCCAACCAACCTTGTTCTTCTATTGTCTCTTCTGTCTCCATTGCCCTTCGTTGAATAGGGCCACCTGGGTAGCCAGTTGCTTGCTGAATGCCTTCCCGAATGAGAACCTTGAGAATCTCCAGCACGCTCTCGAGGTTCTCTACAGAGGTGATCGGGGTTTGATTACGCATCAGACTTCTTGCAATTTCGCCTGCCACAGCTCTGCGCGTAGGATATGGCTGAGAATGCAAGAGAGGGATGAAGTTCGGTAGTGCTAGCGCCGTGAAAAGAGAGACATAGGTCTTGACGGGAGAAAGGAGAAGACTGAGGACGTGACTTTGAGTCGCTTGCGAGTGTAGGTCGGCACTGTTCTGGTATTCGGCGACCTTTTGGTTCGCGAATGTAAGTACTTGGTCGATGTAGTTGAGCCGTTCGGGGTAGATGTTCCTGTTCCAATTAGCAAAGTTCGCCCGATTGACGATGCCAAACTTACAAAGCAAGGTTGGCAAGCGACACTAGCAGCCCAATTGTGTCCTGTATGGGTAGCCTTTGCATCTTCACCAACGTCTGCACCTGCTCCTGGAATATTTCGAAGAGTTTGACGTTCTTCGGTATGCCGCGCCTCTTTTCTATCTCGTTGTCTGTTACGGTCGCCTCTGTGTCCGCAGCCGAAACAGCTGTTATTGATGACGCGCTTGATGTTTCTTCCGCGTTCGGTTCTGTCTCCGCAGCATCTCCATTCTGTTGCGTGGAGGACGGTGCTGGCTCTGACGCCTTCTCTTTTGCTATGCGCAACTGCTCCATGAGCTGTGCTATCGAGTCTTCTTCGGTCTTCTTGCGTTGTTCTGGGCTCTCGGTCTCGGCCTCTCTTTGCGCATATGATGATAGCCGGTCCATGAGTCCTACAACAATGCCTCTGACGTTTACGTGTGGGTTTAGTCGCGCGACTGCGGAGAGGAATTGATCGAGGGTGTGTAGATGGAATTCGTCGGGAAAGACCTGGGTGACGACTACTGCACGTTAGCTGGGTCCATCAACACCAAATGATATGAACATGCCTTCTAGGAGGTACTCCTGCGCCAGAACATCTCGACACTGCACAATCTGCTCCAGGAGCGGATTCAGGATCTTTTTGTAGTTCTCCAGGTCCACCAGCTGGCTCAGTCTGACCAAGTTGCTCCCTACAAGCAGCTGCAACTCCTGGCGCTCTTTTGTGCGCTGCTCGCGCTCCCTCGAGTGGCCCTGATGCTGCAGACGCACCCACAGCTTGTTCATCTCCACAAAGTTGGTCAGAATGAAGCTGATCGAGTCTTGCAGGTTGCCTTCCGGCCCCTCACTATCTCCAGACGGCAGGTGGTCGCGCGCCTGACCCGCCAGATAATAGCGAAGAAACAGGCCGCGGATGGGATGCTGCACGCCGCGACTCATCTCCATCATGTCCTTCATGATCTCCTTGACGGGCGCATCCTCAATAGCCATGTACACGGTACCCACCGTGACCATGAGGTACAGGCGGGGAATTATATTCCCCGCATACTGGACGAGCTCATACAGATCGGCGAGGTGGTTGACGGGGTGGTTCTCGCGCAGGTAGACGGAAAGGTGGCGGAGGGCATCGAAGACGGCCATGTACAGCTCGTAGTACTGCTTGGGGCCGAGGCTGCTGGTGCGCAGTTCGGAGACGAGCGTAGAGCTGCAGTCAATTGATCAGCACCCGCAAGCCATCTAAAAAGCAACAGCCCTGTAGCATCCGAGCTCGTACCTGCATTTGAGCGCATCCATCAGCTTGCCGGGCGTCTCGAGGCACCGCCGCATAAGCATCGTCTGCTGACGCACCACGGCAAGAGCATCTTCCAGCAGACGGGCCTGGTCTTCTACGGGGGGCGGCGACGAAGCCATGGTGTGTGATGGCGGCGGATATTCCGGGGTTGCGGAGAGAGCTGGTTGACGGACAGGCACCGAGTAGGCGCATGTCAAACCACGCCAAGGCGCCATAGGGCTGCGAGCTTCCCCGTTCGAACTGCGTCATCACGTCACAGCATGCACTTTCATCTGGTCTTGTCTCGAATCTCTCAGAGATCTACTGATGTCTTTCATTCACACTTCTACATCCAAAGAGCGCACCTTCTAATCCGCGCAAATCAAAACGCCTACCCAATGCTCGCTAATCACCGTCTCCATGCCACCTTCATTAATACATCATATTTCGCGTACCGCTCAATCAACTGTAAAAAAAAAGAATAAAAAGGCAGTCGGATCCACTCGTTCGCAAGTATGTCCAAGAAAGCAAAGTATGTAAGCCATCCATCAATCCTCATCACTCTAAGCCGACGGGTTCAAGGTTTCTAGAACCGGCAGAGAGGTCGAGGTCAGAGTGGATGTCGCGAAAGTCGTGACCGCAGCTTCAAGTGTTTTGATGCGGTAGTTGGTGTGCCACATGCCGTTATCATAGTAATCTGTGGGCCCGTCGCCCTTGGTGACCACAATCGTGATGACGCTAGGCTTTGGCGTTTCAATCGCAGTTGAAGCGCTTCTGGACGATATCGAAGTGGTTGAGGATGAGCCGGTCGAAACGGGAGCTGGAACAGGTTCCACTACAGTCGCAGTAACTTTCTGTGTGACGGTTGGTCCAGGATTTGTAACTTCAACTGTCTTCGTCTCCTGCTCGGCTACGGAAGTCGTCTGTGGAGGTGCTTCGGTTGATGATCCGCCGTCGACGTTAATCACAGTGTAGCTTTTTGCACGTGGGATGATGTCGCGTGGCCTTGGTGCGTCGAGGGGTAGTCCGTTGGCAAGTGTCGAGATGATGGTCGCCAAAGCGAAGTATCGTGAGTTGAAGAGCATGTTGAGGTATTCAAGAATAGATGTTGCCTCCGAATTGGAATTCCTGTGTTGATGACGATCGGTGACTGAAGAAATGTGGGTGTTGCAGATTATTGCAGAATTGATACAAAGCGGAAGCGTATATGATATGAGACTCCAGACTAAGAGATTCCATGATGGCGAAAGGTGGTGCGCGGCGGAGGCTGGGAAATGCGATGGCTGGTCAACTGCGGATGCTCGTGGGAGGCTGGGACATATGCCTTGGAACGGTGGTTCACGCTAAATTAGCGCGTCGAATCCCTGACAGACGCGACCAGCAACGTCTATCTCCAACCTTCAACACCACTCGATCAACCTGACCATCTGTTATTGTACCTGTGCGGCTCTACATCAATCTCGCACATTGGTCATGATTCGCAAGGCAGTCTAATCATGACATTGAAAAGCTTATCGAGTGTTAAACCATCCTTTCATTACTATAGATGAGAAGACATTGCTCTGAAGGAGAGCAATCTGACTATCTATGATCTAGCACGGCCAGACAACGATTTCTTGCACTACGCCTTGACCTCTACATCTATACCCTCGTTGGTCAAGATCTCTCCGTTAGTCTCCGCTTTGGAAGTCTCCTTGGAAGACTCTTCATGTGCAGTCTCGCTGGCAGTTTCCGCGAACTGTTTCGTGATTTCTCTCGTCTGTTGCAAGAAGCCGTGAATTGCTTTTGTCAGAGTCCATGCATCAGCAGTGGCGATGATTCGGTATCCTCCCTGGAGTAACATTGGAACCATTTCCGTGTTCAGGGCAAAACTACAACATGTGAGCTCAAGAAGCCATGTAGGGTCGTAACAAACTCACCTCATAGTTGGAAGATTGTTCTTCACCGCTGCAGCTCCAAACTTGGCTAGAGCCGCAAGCAGAGTCGGATGCGGTGGCTTTACGAAGAAGTCTCCTGTGATGAGACCCGCATCAATTGAAAAGTCACCGCTGCCAAACATCAGACCATGGATGCCCTCCACTGCTGCGATCTCGTCGACGTTCTCCACGCCCTTTACCGACTCGATTTGCGGGAAAATGCAAACATGCTGGTTTGACGTCGCAAGATTGAAAGGATCCTCTGGGTACAGCGATGCATCTGAGATGCCTGGAGTGAAGGTCCAGGGGCTGAACGATCGCTTTCCAATAGGGCCTACAAGAATCGTCAGTAACTGAATCTTACGACGACGAAACCCACATACCATAATACATCTTTTGTATTAACTGCTTCACTTCCTCCGCACTTTCGCAGTGCGGAAATACGATCCCAGAAGCACCAGCATCGAGCGCAGTTGACAAGGAGATCTCATCGTGCTTAGGTACTCGCACGATCACCATAGTCTTTCCCTCAGAATGGTGCTGGGCGGCGTGTATGGCACTGATCTTTGTCAACATCGACCCGACGAGGACCAGACTGCCGACTTACTCATGCAGTTCGAGGCGGTTGAACATGCCATGCTCAACGTCCAGGAAGATGAAGTCGGGTTTGGTGGAAGCTAGCAACTTGGTGACGAAAGTACTGGGAATCCCGGAAGCGACTCCTAACAGTGCTTTGCTGGGATCCGCCATGGCATCTTTCAGAGCTTGACGCAAATTACCGGGGTATGTGAGCTGAGCAGAACGGTATGGGGCATCTGCATGCAGTTGTGGCTGCTCGCTGTAGGGTTTGGCTTCCATGGTGACGGTTGTGTTGAAAATGTGGGAAGAGTGTGGATGACAAGCTGGGAGTGGATATCGAGCGTTTTGAACAACCTTCCACTGGCATTTTATACTCATGGTCTGTCCCGTTACAGAGCCAGGCTTCGGCTCGTCTTACATCACCACGTCGCCGGATCCGCGACTTCTAACTTCATCAAGTGAGCATTCAGTCGGTTGAAGGACGCCTATTCAAGTTAGTGCTTATTCATGTCATCATAAGCTTATGTGATGGACATAACAAGTACACGCAACCCGTTATATCCAGCTGAACAATTGTCGAGCTACGTGTTTGTATTCAAGGTAACTATTCAAGTATTACCGCTACCGTCTCGACTGGTCGGCGTTGTCCGTGTAATTGTAGCGGCAAACCAACACAGGCTGGGATATCGGAGATAGTGTAAATGCTTATTGCCGCTAAGGCCCCGTCAGCCCGATCAGCCGCATCTTCAGAGACATACGTCCACGGCGATAAGGGCTCCCATTAGGAACGCTATTACACCGAACCCGACTCGTCGAACGGGATGATGATGCTGATCCAAGGCACCTCGTTAAACTGAGATGAACAACCTGAACGCCTTATCTCCCATTATTTTCCGTGTTCAATTGAACATCAATAACTGTATTCTCACGTCAGCAAGCGTCCAAGCAAATATAAACCTTCTTCTCAAGAATGAGAAACATACCTTCCGTCGCCCATTCTTATTTCTCACGATCAACTATTCTGTCCTTGCCGTTGTTCTGTCACTGTAGTATGTGATGCTTTCAATGGTCCCTGGCCATTCTGAGCCCGGCTACTCTGAGCGCTGTGGATAGCCACCCTTGGAATAACCATCTCCCCCTTCTCTGCCGACGAGTGTACTTCCACGACTGCCTTCTTCTTGAACATGCCAAAGAAGTAACCGAGTATAGGGATAGCTAGAAGCATTCCGCCAACACCGCATGCCACGAGGATGGCTAACAGGCTCATAGAGATAGCCATTATGATTGATATAAATGGTATGTGGATGATAGAAGGTATGCGGTGATTGTAAACGAGGGTAAAGACGACGATATCTGAGCTTGATTGCGTCCTCTGAGAATATCTTGGAGTAGCAATGTCGTTCGTACAAGGTCTATGTGAATTCGTTGTTGTTGGTCGAAAAGTTGGATTATCTAACCAAATGTAGTAAAAATATAGAGCAGAAAAAAATGGTAACGATCGTCGTATGAAGAAGTATGGGGTAACGGATGTGCGGTAGATCCTTTCTTCACCACGCGGCCGGGAGATCAACAGATATTTATTCGCCATACACGCGTTCACGATGCCCCTAACAGCAGGTGATCCACCCCGACGCCCAGAGATGTTCAGCTCGTGGCGTCTCTAGCCGCACAAAATGGACAGTGCATGGAGTTTGAATCAAGCCATAAGGCTCTTAGTCTATCGAAAAGAGACGGAGCTGCACCTAGGTACGTTAGCCACGAGTCTGGCCGGTCGGCCAACTACAAAAATGCTACCGATGTTGGTGGACAGCACGCTCCTGTCGGTGCATAACCCATAACTACAGGTAGCCGCTTCATACTGTTGGGGGTCGTTTGCGAGTTTCCTAAACGCCCAAACAGCGTTTTCAGCTCACCACAAACTGTAGTCGCCTGTTGCTGTAACGAGCGGCAGTAAAAAGCAAGATTACACCAGCAGTAAACAACGTGCACTCTGGTCCACTTCGACACAGCCAAGCAGCTATGGAGTGACGAAGCGATTACAGTGGATATTTGCATACCCGTGAATGGTGTTGTAATGACTATGTGAATGTTTGAGGGAATTAATACGGTAAGGCTGAGATTGTCAGGGGTGGTCACGCTAGACTGCCGGCTTTCCTAGCTCTAGATCACTGCGTCGTGTACATCTTTATTTTCACAACTGCTGCCCCTACATGATTCACTAACCTCGGTCTCCAATCAACAGGAGTCAAGTCATGAGTGCTTTAATTCCGATCTCGCGTCCTTTCGGCACCGAAAGACTTTGAAGAACAAGAGACACAGAATCGAGCATATCGCCAAGGAATTATTTGCTAGTGGAAATGACCCTTCATTTCATGTGCACTAAGTACCCCATTAGTGGAACAAGACCAAGACTTCAAGAGTTGCTTGCGGGCTTGCTATGGACCAGTACTGGATCTGATAGACTTGGCCCATCTCGATAACGGTTCGCCAGACACTTTTGTGATACGAGAGAGATCTAGTATAACTTGGGGAAGAGGCGGCGAGACGGAACGCTGTCATTGTGTCCTCCTATCATTGTCCACGTTCTATCAGACAGCGTCCACGAGTCCCTTGGAGCCTAACCTACCCCGATGGCTGCGTGGACTTGCCGTCACTTCCGGGTCGTGATAAATCTAGCCTCTCCGCGTCTGCATATGTTTCTGGGTCTCTGAACGGATCTCACCTCAAGTGAGGATCATTGTACGTTTCTCTTCTTACAAGATCAAGAGATCCCAGTCAGATGGTACTGGATTGTTGCCTTGGTTTGTACCATGTTCAGGCTCACGAAGTGGTTGCTGAATATGTTGAGGATCAAGTTTTGGATAACAAGTCTCAGCATTTAATTCTGGTGGATGCGTGTCGAGGTTACGCGTCTAGTTCGTCCACTCCTGCCGGCATATGCCATGCATTTGCCGTTCCATATCTCAGGGTCGATGTTGCGCCGGTGTCCATCTCGAGTGTGTTTTCATGTCGGCATAATGATGTGTCATCGAGCTGTAGTTTGCTTTCTCTTACCTAATCTCGGTATCGTGAGTTTTTATGGACTTCTTCCGGGTGATCGTTCCAGAGAATATGGTACCAAAGACAGAAACCAACACTATTATTGATAATGTGTATTTCTAGCTGCACCAATTAAAAACAATACCGACAGTGCTATGGGTGATCATGAACGTCTAACGACAAGGGTTGCAAGTGTGCATTGAACATCTTCTTTGGTAGTTTCGAATCACGGTCATTTGTGTTCACACCAGTTTTTGAATAGATATTGTTTTGCGCAGTTACACTTTGAGTTCTTCGCCATCATCCAAACACCTTCGAATCAATGCACATGAGGAGCTAGAAATGTCCTAGGTATACCACCTCAACGCCATCAAACCAATCATTCAATCACCCTGAATCCATCCACGGGTCCCTATCATCCCCATCGTTCCTAACAATGAACTTCCTTCCAGCTTGTAGACATCCAACCACTACCAACACTCCCACTTCTGCCCACCCATTGACAACAGTCGATTGAACAGCTCATCCCTTAGGGGTATCGCTGTAATCTTCGTCATATTCCCTCGTCGGTCAACAACCTCCAGTGCATCGGCAACCTCCCTGTTCATAGCCCACCCAATCACCAACTTTGCCTTCCAACCATATCCACCCTGCTTCTTGAGCTCGCTGATCTCGCCAATGGGAATGGTCCACAACGGATGCAGATCCTCTCTTTCTGTCGTACCAATCTTTTCGATTGTGGAGTCGGTCGAAAAAGCCATGCATGGAATGGTCGCTTTCGAGGTAATGTATATATGGCCTTTCTTGCCGTTGAAGCGTGCTTTGAAATCTACAGGGCCAGATGTGAGATCCATATCCTTGGGGGGCACGGCGCCGAGCCGGTCCTTTGCGTGCGTGGACCCAACGGCTGCCTTGACTTTATCCGCGCCAATAGATGTTTCAACGCCGCCTTTGGCAGTTGAACGGAAGAAGTTGAGTATCTTACTGCCCTTTTTGCCGTGCTTGCCGTTTTTGGCCTGGTCGATATCGTGGCCGCCAGTCTCATGAGCAGTGGTTGGATCGTGCGCCATGGCTTCGTCAAGTTCTTCTTGCGTTGCGTTGAGTGGCCAGTCTGCCCCTGTAGCTCGAAGCTCCTGATCGCTGATATCAACAGGTACTTCGGGTGGCGCTTCATTCTTGCGAGGTGGTGGCGGCAGCGGAGCCTTGTTGATCTCGCCAATACGGAGCAGTGTAATCGTAAGTTGTGCATTGGTGGGAACACCTTTGAGAAGCGTGTTGCGCAGTTCGAGGAGCTGTTGCCAGTGAGGAAATTTACGGTTGAGCAGAGCAAAACCACGTTGTAGAACAGGATCTCCGAAAAAGCCAAAGCCGACGCCAAAAGTGACGCCTTTGGTGAACATGTACGAGCTGACGAACAAGGAAACGAGGACAAGAGGTGCAACACAACCGGCGAGACGAGTGCGGTACTTGTTCTTTGGGAACGGCGCAGTTGGAGACAGCATACTATGGAAGAGTTAGTATAAGTTGTAGAATATTCATGAACAGAACCTACTTCGCAAAGCGTTCCCAAGTGTCAGTCACATCAGCGATACCGTGCATGATGGGGCGCATCTTGGTCCACATTGCAGTTTCCATTGGAACCTTGGTCTTGTCATGATGCTTGGAAGTTTTGCCACCAGCAGTATTGTCCTTTGCATTCGCAGCACCAACAGCTATCGAGGTTGGGTCTGGAATGGAATCACCGGTATCGTGTGAGGGTTCACCCTGGGGGTGTTTACCTGTAGCGCTTGCGAGGGCCACAGAAGCAATACCATTGACAAAATTAGACGCTTCTTGTTCAACAGCCTCACCCTTATGGTTCTCCGGTGCTCCAGTCGCACTATCAGTACTACCGAGAGTACCAGCCTTGGGCTTCTGAACTCCTCCTGTGGAAGAACTGACAAGAGCCAGGGGGGCTGGAGGAAACATAATATCCCGAGCGGGCGGGTGAACAACAAGAGTGACGAGCGTAATTGAGACCAAAGGCATGATCAGATCAAAAGTCCAGGCTAGGAAGTATGCAGTGCAGAACCAGGCAGTACGGCGTGTCTCCCGCCATGAGCGTAGTCGAGCGATGTGCTTTCCGAACGCCATTATACCCAGACCCTATGGTCGGGTAAGCCAAGAAAGAGAGCGTGTACACTGAATGGACTTACAATCGTCATATACAAGCGCTCAATGTTGGCACGCAGCTTGTCTGGCGAGAACTCTTCTTCATCTGCAATATTGAGATCCAGCCCTCCTGGAGGTGCGTGTGGAATCTCCTTGACGTGATACATTTGCTATGTTGTTTAGCTGTAAACTCAGTGACGAACTTCTTGTATCTGACTCACATTGTTGAATCTTCGAACCAACAGCCATAGGTCCTCGTTGGATAGGCCTCCAACGAGCGGGCTCGCTACCGCCTCCTTCGGCTCGTTCCATCCCAAATTCAGCACCTCTTCATTGTGTGCAATCTGCGCAGTACCCTTGTCTTCCGGCGCAGCAGACATTGCTGCTTCCAAAGCTAGCGCATGGCTGTCTGTAGGCGCATCTAGTATGGTGGTCGTCTGCCGCGCAGTGGTCGTCCTTCCTGCGGTGGTCGTTGCCCCCTCCTGCACAATGGGACCCTCGTCCGGAATGTCCAGAAGATCTCTGTAGACTACACCCCCGGTAGTCATTTTGAGTTTGAGAATTTCAGTAGGAGGTAGGAATGGGAGGAAGAGAGATCATAAAGTTGGGAGGGCGTGGTGAGCTTTGTTTGCTTCCTGAATAACGCGTAAAGGTGCGACTACCCAGTTTCGTATTGCGTCACATTGCAGCTAGCGGGGCAAGCCAGCCACAGCATCACACGCATGTGATGAAATGCCTCGTAAGTGAGGAAGAACTAATGTGTTCTCGCAAGGTCAAACCAATCACACTACACAATACAAACAGAAGGTCATCGCGCCGATACACCAGGCCTATCAAACTGTTAGCACAACGGTCTCTTCAACGGCGCCGAACATGCGGTTCTGACATGTCCATGTCTAAAGTAGGGCATTCGTGTGTTTCCGTCCTAGTACTCCGCCTCGATTGGTGATATTGACCCACTTCCACCTCCACCCCCACATCACTGCTCATCATCGCTGATTCCCTGCTTCGATCCGTCCTGATTTGGTCGGTTTCGTGGTCTTTCTGCATCGTTCGCACAGGCCTGTTCAATTCGAGTGCTACGTCATGACCTATCGCCAACTTGTGGACATGATCCACATTAGGTGAGCACACGACTAATACGTCCGCAGTGATACTTACAGAACATGCTGCGAACGTCTTCCCTCAACAGCGGTCACACACATTTGAATTTCTTCCGATGAAACTGACGATGCAAACATCACCCCCCATGTCTTTTATAGGAAGTTCGCAGGCGGTTACCGGTGCTCCCACTGTTCATGTAAGGGGTCATCCGAGTGAGAATACAAGCTATACTCTATGCGCTATCTCTCTGCTCCTCATGAGATGTTCGTGCCAGAACAGCATCTGGGTGTATCTGCCGCCACTGTACGTTGAGCATATGCGGAAGATATTGGCGGATAGGATCGCACGTATGAACATGTTCAGTGTCCTCGCATCCATCATAGTTGTGCGTGTCCAGTTTAGAGGAGACAAAGCTATCAACAAAAGGCTTGACGTGTGTTGTTGTCAGATTAATACTGCCGTGGAGAAGGGGCAGATCGTGTGGATGCAATCTTTCAGACACTTTGATGGGAGAGATAAGATTGATGTTGGTCGAGCTGACACGTTTCGGCCAAGTCGCGATAGCGAGTAGCATACCGTCTGGAACATGATTCATCTTGGTGTGATCTGCGAAGGAGTCTTGCTCTACCGATATGTGGGGAGAAGAGGCTGTCATATGATTGCGTGGGGAAGTCGCGTTATCGGGATCGACGGTCACTAGGGCAACCACGACGCAAACGGCTTATTGCTCTATGCATAAGCTCCACCATAGTCTGGCTTGTTGCACCGTCGCAGTCTGCTACTCCACCACATCTCCACCCAAAGTCCAACGCGGTTACAATGGATCCTCCCACTCGCCCCTCGAGCTCGCTGTTCGACGTCTTCTTGCGCCTGCGCCCCTCGATCAACGCCGGCGCAAGATTCCTCAATGTCGAGGAACGCGAGAACAGCCATCCCACACACATCACGATAAGGCCACCTACACAAGACAACCGCAAGCGCGCGGTTGAGCGATTCGCCTTCACACAGGTGTTCGAGGAAGATGCGCGGCAAATAGAGCTGTTCAAGAGCACAGGCATTGTTCCTATGGTCGAGGGTGTATTGGGCGCACCAGGCCACCACGGACGGGATGGATTGCTCGCCACACTGGGCGTGTCTGGCTCGGGAAAGGTACGGACACCTGAAACACCACAGATAGGAGAGCGCCCATACTGACTTGCGCAGAGTCACACGATTCTCGGAACAAAGTCTCAGCGCGGCTTGGTCCAGATGTCTCTCGATGTCCTGTTCCAGAGCTGCGAGGGACAGCTAGTGCAGTCCTTCTATGGCGCACCTGCCTTCTCATCTCTTGCGGCAGCAGACGTGTCTGAGGCGCACATGTTCACAGCAACCGCCTACCTGGACTCCATGTATGGCGACAACCAGTCTGAACGGCCCCTGTCTCGAGCCCAGACTCCTTTGCCGGTTAGTACTTCTTTACATCGGCAATTAACATAGACTCACCAGCAAAAAGGACTACAGCTCTTTCCTTAGTACAGGTGGCGCTCGATCGCATAAGATCCCACGCCCTTCGACCCTACCACAAACGCCTTCCGTCGCCGACATCGATATACCAACAGACTCAAGCGCTGAGTACGCTATTGTAATATCCATGTACGAAGTGTACAATGACCGTATCTTCGATCTCCTGACTGGGAACGCGATGAAGAAACAACGCCCTGACGTTAAGCGCCGAGCGTTGCTGTTCAAAAGCACTGAGCAAAGCCCTGATCGAAAGGTCGTCGCCGGTCTCACAAAGATCATCTGCGGCAGCTTCGAGGAGGCTATGATGGTGCTCGAGACGGGTCTCATGGAGCGCAAAGTCACAGGCACCGGCAGCAATGCTGTCTCCTCCAGAAGTCACGGCTTCTTCTGTGTCGATGTCAAGAAGCGAGACGCGCAGCACAACGGCCCTTGGTCAAGCAGCGCTCTCACCATTGTTGACTTGGCTGGATCTGAGCGTGCTCGAAATGCAAAGACTGCTGGTGCTACACTCGCCGAAGCTGGCAAGATTAACGAGTCTCTCATGTATCTTGGTCAGTGCATGCAAATGCAGTCTGACTACCAAGAGGGCTCAAAGGTACATACTCCCACCCCTGCTGAAATGGTACCAAATACTTACGTATCCATAGACCGTCGTGCCCTTCCGCCAGTGTAAACTGACCGAGCTCCTCTTCTCGAACTCTTTTCCAAGCTCCACACGCCAAACACATCTCCACCATCAACCGCAAAAGTCTATCATGATTGTCACAGCCGACCCACAAGGCGACTTCAACGCCACCTCCCAGATCCTACGCTACTCCGCCCTCGCCCGCGAAGTAACAGTCCCTCGCATCCCCTCCACAACCTCTGCCATCCTCTCCAGCGCACACCTCAAGTCGCAGAGCATGGCAGGTTCATCAGGCCGCAACACGCCCTTCGGCGGACCCGAAGAGCTCGAAGCCTCCAATACCGAAATCGCAAGCCTAACCGCCGAAATCGACGTCCTCGCCCTGCGTCTCACAGAAGAAACCTCGCGGCGAAAAGCTGCAGAGGCGTCCTGGCGCGCAGCAGAAGACCACATGGTCGATCTCGAGCAAGAAATTCGCGACGAATGTTATCTCGAAATGGAAGCAGCCGTCGACCAAGAGCGGAGACGCTGGCAGTCTGCATTAGACAACGAGCAGGACAATCAACAAGCACATATCGATTCCAAGATCGACGTCGTCATCCGCGCGACAAAGGCACAGATGAAGGACGAGATCAAAGTATACGAAGACCCGGATCCGGAACTGAGGGACCGTATCGATGAGCTTGAGCGCGATAACGATATGCTGAGGGCGAGACTGGAGGCGTTTGAGAGGGAGGCGCATACTAGATCTGCCAGTCCTATCAAGAAGATGAGGGTGCTTAAGACGAAGAAGTGGGTGGATCCCGATGGTCGATTGGCTTTTGGGGACGACGATTGAGATGTTTGCGAGGGATAGATGATTATGTGGGATGACTCTGCATTGGGAGGCGTTTCTTTATATAATCCTTGGATAATGCTGGGTCGGGTTGGTCTTTCCAACATCTGCTTTTTTCTTGGTTAGCCATCTGCTTTTGGATGGGACGCGCTTGTTTATTATATCCTCTTTTGCGTATCTTCGAAATGTCACAATCAATTTTCAACCTCCATCCTCATCTCACGATGTTTCCTCTTAGATGAATGTGCAGTTGTTTTGTTTGTAGGGGAGGAATTCCCAATTGTAACATTTGGTCCCTTCTTTCGTAACTCATGACATGCTCATGCTACCCTAGATTTTTATCCGAAACCCCCCATCCAACGCCGAGCCTTTGCAGTAATCTATCACGAGGCTAAAAAGAAAAGAAACTTTCGAAAAGTCTGCCATATACAAGACGAACTAGCACATCTTATATGAAGCATCGCCCGATGCCTGCCTGTGCATGTCCTCTGTCTCCAGCTTCCACGAAAGCGCGATGTCGAGATCGCGGTGGTTCTTCTCGCTGGGCTTGGTGTCCAGAACACCGGTGATGCTCTCGCCCTCCTCGACGGTCAGGACGTCCTTGAGATAGAAGACGGTCTGTTTCCAGTGAGTGTACTTTGTGTGGGGGCCAGTCGAGAAGCGGATGGGCTTGTGGCAGGCAGCGAACTCAATGTCAAACCAGGCGATGACGGCGTGGACGAAGTCGCTGCGGCGGACCTTGAGGTCGTATGTTCTCCGGAAGGCGAGGTCGGCGACTGTGCATGTGTACAGGTCGAGTGTGATAACGGGCGAGGGGTCGGTAACGACGGCTTTGATGTCGACGGTGTCGACGAGGGGCTCTGTGAGAGCGGTGGCCTTGAGGGGGGAGTAGTCGAAGCCCCAGACGTTGTCCCAGACTGGCTTGTCAGCATGGAAAATAGTGAGAGTAAAAGGAATCAAGACTCACAGCCAATTTTCTCCTCCTTGTAGTCGCCGTCCTCGATACCAGCCATGAAGATGGTAGCCTTGTCGGGGAAGATCAGACCATCCTTGACCAGGTACTTGTCGCGCGCGTAGAGAACGGTGTCCAGCATAGATTCGTAGAGCAGGAAGTAGCCCATCCACTCTGATATTATGATGTCGACTTTGTCGTATGGCAGCACAACCTCCTCCATCTTGCCCTGGAGCAGCGTAATCTTGTCCGACATGCCGTTGACAGCGACGATCTCCTTGGCCTTCTCGATGATGGTCGACATGTCGACACCGATGACGTGCTTAGCACCTGCCTTGACAGCGAACCTACATCAAGCTGTCAGTACCAGTTCGCAATATGTCGTAGCAGATTGTAGGGAGCGCGGACATGCTGAGGATGGCTGTTCCACATCCGACATCGAGGACGACCTTGTCCTTGAACAGGTGGGGGTTCTGGTAGATGGCGTCGCGGTAGCTCTTGGTACGGACTTCATCTTTCTGTTCCCTCAAAGTCAGCCAACCATCCAGTATCGTGAGAGCTACGACAGCAGCTGCAGGATCGAGTAGTACACACCAGCATTTCCTCGTGGATACCTGCATGCGCGCGTTAGTCATGTTTCCGCCCATGTACAACATTGATACGGACCGTGGTGGTTGTAGCTGTACGCGTAAAAGTCAGCAAATCATTCCGGCATTCAAGTCTCGTGGACTACGAACCTGTTGAAGTAATGCGCCTCAGAATGCGCCATGCCAGCGAGGCCGTCGCCCTTGGATTCTGCCATGTTGACGAGAGAGAGGGAAGAAAGGTCAGCGAAGAGAGGGGAGGTAGAAGGGGAGGAGAGGAAGGAAGTGCGAGGACTGAATCTGGCGTTGCTATTAACGCGAGAGAGAGATTAGGAAATTTTGGTTTCGACGTCGCAGACCCTGCCCCGCTACGGAGAGGCTAGTTGGTGGATGCACCGACAAGAGTGCACTGGCCTTTTCCTACTTCTTTACCGCTACAACGCCAGACCCAATGGGGCTTTGACGTAAGAATTGCGGCAGGTAATGCCGCTGGGCACGTGGATATGGCTTGCTTTTTGCCGTCTCTAACAGAGCCATTTCATGCACTGATCAACTCGTATTGTGTGCAAGATAGATAAGTTATAAGACAGACACGCTTGTTCAACTTGAGAACGCGATACCAATATCAATCTACAAAGGTTCAAAGAAAGCCGCTGCGAGGGGTATCTCTTGCGCATAGCAGAAACCGCCCTCCTCATGTCTTCGTTTAGTCGTTTAGTCGTCAAGTTTGTTTTGGTCGTCAAGTCATAATCCACCGCGTAAACAGTTTTTCCTACTCCAGCGAGCTGACAAGTTCATATCAATGCGGCCAATTTCGGCGGGAATGGTCAAACGCAGCGTAAAGGCACTATCGGTTCTTGCTACCATTACCGCGTTTTGATGCGATGAAATCGTTCCACAAAGTTTCTCGCGTCTGAGTTGTGTTGTCAGCATGCGCTCTTGGCTGCAGACTCTGAAAACATACCTTCAGGCGTAGTAAAAGTCAATTGGTATCTGCCTGTGGACCCTTTTGGTACCTTGTATCCTTCACAGAAGACGTACGGATGCAGGTCTCGAAACTGAATCGTCGCATTGCCAACACGCTTCATCCAATGGCCGTTTCTGATGTGCTGCGTAACGAAGGCTGTCCAGATGGGAATCGTCTTCAGCGGACCGCGACGAGGTGTTGCTTCGAAGCGGACGCAGCCCGAGTCTTCGTCACGGTAGATGCGAAATGCGTGGAGGTATCTGCTGTCAGTAATTTCGCTTTGATATGTTAGCTAGGAGCATACTTACACAGAACAGTGATAGCTTACCCGCTGAACTCAATCCTCTCTCCGGGCGTGAAGAAATCCTCTAGGCCATCAGCGATACCACTTTGGTCTTGACGCTTCATGGCGACAACGGTGCAGTAGAAGAGAACCATCCCTGAAGGTATCAGCCGAGCAATATCCATCCCTGCACAGAAATACATACGTTCATACAAGGTGAACCGGAGCCTAGCCCACAGGTCGAGCTGTCCATCTTTGCGGTTAACACGGCAAAGCTGCAGACAAGACTCTGAACGTATCACTTTCAATCCAGTCAACGGAAAGCAGTATCTCATGCGGCGTCCGGTAGGATCCATAGTGAGGAAGAGTATCCTGGCGCGACTGTCGTCAGACCTCCAATACAGCCTTACCCAGACGTTGGTGGCCTCGAATGGTAACTCCAACACTCTCTCAAATCTATCGTCATCCAACATCTCAATGACTCGTGGCTCGTCTCTTCCGAGACAAACGGTAGCATCTCCAAGTGTGTGGAATGGCGTGGAAGAATGGCGTCCATCGAATATCTTCATCGACCAGTGAGCGACTGCTTCTCCCGAATCAGTGGAATGAGTTGAGAAAGAATGCGATGAGGCTGTGGAGTACGTTGGTGATTGGGGAATCTCCGGCACTGGTGGCGGCACGAATGGTATGTCTCCGATGACGCCACCCCAAGTTGGAGCAATTCCGAGTTGAGAGAACTGTGGAGGCGGAGGCGCCGGTGCTGGTGGTGGGATATGACTATAAGCCGGGTATGTGGAATACCGTTCAATATTGGGTCGGGAAACTTTTGGAGAAGCAGGTTTTGGTGTTTTCGCATGACTGCCGGAATGCCCATTTGTTGAGAGTCTGCTGAAGTACGAATCAAGAGGTTCTTGGTTCTTCAACAGCTTCGACAAACGGGCCCTGATCTGCAAGATCTCCTCCTCATCCTCCTCACTGCTTACCGTTAGCTCATACAAGTATGTATCGTTCTGCTACTTACCCCTTCAAAGCGTCCTCCATTCCTTGCAGGTACGTTCTGAAGAGCTCCAGCCTCACAGGAAAAGATATGCCCTGAGCTTTCATGTCCGCAAGTGCGTCCTGCCAGATCAACGTATAGGGTGGGGTACCCGGAAATGCTCCCGGAGCAGCATGGCGGCTACCGTTCTTCTTGCTGAACATGTCGCGCACATCATCGAGAGTGTGTCCTAAGCTTGGAAGACAAACTTCTAGGTCCTTCAAGATCCGGCCTGAGTACCTTCCATAGTGTGCCGGCTCGAGTGCTTCATGTAGTACGTGTAGAGCGTTGGATATGGCGAAGAGTTCAGCAATGTAACCCGTGATGTCTTTGCGAAACTGTGGAATTTCGCCAAGAAAGACATGGAGGCCTGAAGCTGTATCCTCCGCTTCCTTGGCGTACTCGAGAAGTCGCCAGTCCATGGTGGGACGCATGATGGGTGACTTCAACCGAAAAGAAAACGTAACTAGCGGCGCATACTTTTGAGACCAGAAGATAGAAGAAAGAGAGGATGATAATCAGCAAAGCAGCAGCGCTGGAAATGTGTGTCTCGTGTTGATCGTCGCACGCCTTGACGATTGACGTGGTTCTGCAGCCGTAGGCGGCGACGGGGAAACCAATCGGTGCCAGCCACTGCGTCTTACCAATTGCAGGTCACCCCAGCTGTTGCTTTCTCTTTCTCGCTAGTTGTCTGTTTGGGTGTGTTTAATGCCAACCCTGGTTCCCCACGATCCCAGAATTGGGGGTTCCAGGTGTTTGTGTCGTGTTGGCTAGAAAAAGGTGTAGTCTTGGGTGAGACGGAAGCGCGTTTCCGGCTCCAGACTGGAACGATAAGGTAAGAAGACCTGAATGAAAGACGGTTCTTGTTCGACCCCCCAGGCAAACTCAATATTCAGGAAGCCCATGACGCTGCTGTATGCATTTCGCTAATGCGTCCACACGCTCATGAGAGGTGTTCTGCCTAGCCTTGCTCCACCACGGACGAAGCTAGTTCTGCATTGTAAGCAGCGAGCAAATACCGGTCAATCAACCGCACAATGAAGTGTGTCCGTAACTGAGAAGGCATGTCTCCCGGTGGCGTAATATTGTGTTGAGGATAATGACCGGCCGATACGGGTTAGGCGGATTCATGTAGTGTCCACCATGGCACTCGTGCAGACAGTCCATCGCAGAGGGATTTGGGGACAACCATCAAGAGAAAGAGAGAGGACACGATTGACAGTATGAGGTTTATATATGTCGAGATCAATGTGTAACGCTGCGCCTCACTTTACCCGCCAGCCCCGGCAATCCATGTACCAGGCAACAGATATAGCCATGCCAATGAGGATCACTTTGTACATCTATATATAACAGACAGCTGAATCTCTAGCCTTGGGGGAAGACATATGTTCTGAAACCCAATAGGCCCTCTGTGCTCGAAACGGCAGCTTGAGCTGCGACATTGCACACTCTTTCGTGCCCTAGCACTCAGGCAAGTGCAGCCATATCACATCCGCGCTGACGTATGCCTAGCTCATTTTCCCAAAGCCTTCAGCCTCTCGTCCACGAGCTTCGAGACCATCTTCTCCAATATCGCAAACTCGCCGTTCGCAGACCCTTCGAAGTATCCCGCCACGCTCTTCTCCACGTACTTCCCGACCTCATCAACCTCCACATTGACGTCCTCGCCAGACTTTTTGCTCGCCGTAACGATCTTCTCTTGTGTGTAGGCAATAAGCATGACCTCCCACCATCCCTCAGGGCCATCCTCAACCTTGGTCACTGTCAGACTAGCCCCATCTATTGTGACGTAACCTTTCTCGACAATGTATTGCAGCACAGCCGGGTCTCGGGGCTTGAAGCGGAAGGTGAGGGCGTTCCCATCAGGAGTCACGGACTGGATTGTCGCAATTGTGTCGACGTGGCCCTGTACGAAGTGCCCGCCCATGCGCGTGTTCGCAGAGACAGCGCGCTCGAGGTTGATTTTGGAGCCCTTTTTCAGCGACCCCAGATTTGTCCGGCGCAGTGTCTCAGGAGCGCAGCCAATCTTGAACGACTTCTTGTCGAATTCGGTGACCGTCAAGCATGTGCCTGTACAATTCAGTTAGCCTGTATTGAGTTGAAGTAGGTGTCCGCGTACCATTGACGGCGATACTGTCTCCCATGTGTGCATCTCCAAGAATTTCCTCCGCCTCAATAGTCAATGACGTGCCGCCGCCTCCCGAGGTCGTCTGGTCGAGTTCTTCGAGGGCCACGACAGCTAGCCATGATCAGCCGAGTCGCGCAAGTCAACCGCCTATGATGTTGCTTACTGCCGATTGTTTCAACGAGGCCGGTAAACATGATGAGTTTCGTTATTGGCAGATGCAAGTGATGGTGGGGGAAGGAGCTCCGCGTGCCTCGGTTTCGGACTCCGCAATTTCGCGTCCAGCCGTCCAATTGCGGGGAGCTCCATCTCCGTCACCAAAACACCTCCTCACAATATCATTTATTTTGAGGTCGAAATATCGAAAATGATGATCAAAAACTCAAGGAGAGCATTCCAGCCGTTGTTGCGGAGCTCCAGACTCAACTGGTCTAGTCACAACGCAACAAGGACTCTCGCAACTGCTGCAACAGCGAGTGCAGATGGATCCAACCTGCCCTTGGCTGGGATTAAGGTGCTTGATATGACAAGAGTGTTGGCTGGTGTACGTGAGAGCTACATACCAAGAAAACACTGGTCTAACCTGAATGCAGCCATACTGCACGCAAATTCTTGGAGACCTCGGGTACGCGATGGAAAGTCCAGTATGGTCAACATCCAAGGTTGGCACGTTCGATGCACGCATACTAACACCAAGTCAGAGCAGACGTGATCAAGATTGAGCATCCCACAAGAGGAGGTACGCATGACTGCAATTTCACGACATATACAGGGGAGCTAATCACACATACAGATGATACTCGTGCATGGGGACCGCCGTACGCCAAGTATACAAACGACCAACAAGGGCCGGGAGAGAGCGCATACTATCTTGGTGTATGTCGTCTCCGTCGAGTATGTTCTAAATTCAAGATTTGACGTAAGCTAGGTAAACCGCAATAAACGATCGATAGGTCTATCCTTCCAACACCCATCCGGTGTTGACATCCTACACCGGTTAGTCAAGGAGTGCGACGTGCTCGTCGAAAACTACCTACCTGGCTCACTTGCCAAATATGATATGGACTACGCGACAGTGTCAAAGATCAACCCAAGCATCATTTACGCGAGTATCACCGGATACGGACAGACAGGACCATACAGTAACAGAGCTGGTTACGATGTCATGGTCGAAGCGTACGTGTAGAGTTCTCTCAGTCAACGCGGTGTTAATCGATTCTAGGGAGTTTGGCTTGATGCACATTACCGGTGAACGCGATGGACCTCCAGTTAAGGTCGGAGTCGCAGTTACTGACCTTACCACTGGGCTCTACACCTCCAACTCAGTCATGGCAGCCCTTCTAGGTCGAATGAAGACTGGTAGAGGCCAGCACATCGATGTTGCGCTCAGTGATTGTCAAGTTGCCACACTCGCAAACATCGCCAGTTCGTGTCTCATAAGTGGCCAAAAAGACACTGGTAGATGGGGTACATCGCATCGTCCGTTAATCCACACCGATTGATCGCCAAAGATAAGCTAACACCTTACAGCATCCATCGTTCCATACAAAGCCTTCAAGACAGCCGACGGAGACATCCTCATTGGAGGCGGCAACGACCGTCTGTACGGCGTCCTATGCAATAAGATTGGCAAGCCGGAATGGACAACAGACGAACGTTTCAAAACAAATGCTTTACGTGTACAGAACCGAAATACGCTAGAAGACCTCATCGAAAATATAACTCGACAAAAGAGTACGCAGGAATGGCTTCAGGTCCTGGAAGGTTCAGGCATGCGTAGGTAGACTCTCACCTATATGCTGAAGTCGAAAACTGACAAAAGAAGCTTACGCCGCAATCAACGATGTGCAGAGCACCTTGAATCACGAACATGGTATGTTTGGCAGTCTTATTCTGCTTTGACATGGAACTTTGGCTAACGAAGTACAGTACTCGCCCGCGATATGGTCAAGGAAGTGGAACATCCAGCATGCGGACCCATGAAGCTCGTCAACACTCCTGTCAAGTGGTCTGACTCCAAGCCCGGCATTCGACTGCCCCCACCAACGCTTGGTCAACACACCAACGAAATCCTTGCAGACACATTGGGGATGAGCAAAGAAGACATTGATGGGCTTCGGAGTGAAGGCGTGGTCGCCTAGAGGTGTTGCATTGGTATTTGGTCGAACATTTGAAAAGCAGTTCTGCAGGTGTAGTGTACATGACGGCATGATTTTCTTGAATAGTTGGAGTGAGTTGAGTTGGAGTGTTCGAGCGAAACCGTTATGTGGAAATTGGTATGAGCTGCGGAGAGGGTGTGAATGCGTAGTGAGGGTGGCACAGTAATAGGACGCGTAGCACTTCCTGCTTTCTCCATACCCGAGCTACCCGAGCAACCCAAACTCAGACAAATTTCGTACTCATCGCAAATACCAGTCTAGATCATGTGAGTGTACAACAACATGTAACATTACAGAATGAGACTCTTCGCATTTCAGTGTGCATGCAAGAGCAGAAAGTGGAGCAGACCGTTTGGATGAGATGGAGGTCGCACCGCCGTTTCCTGTCATTGGCTCCTTTGAATGTCTAGCCTCTGGCTCGTGCGTTCTGTAGACGCAGCTCTTTGGCATGCAGACTTCAATTACATTCCCACAATGCGCAAGAGCGCGAGAAAGTTATCTATAGCATCGAATAGTCAGTCGCAAGGGTCTCATCAGCAAGATGAACCCTCCAAATCCCCCGTACGACTATCCTGCCACTGGTAACGGCGCGCCAAACACGGCTGGCGCATCCGCCAATATGTCCGCCCAAACTCCACATCCATCCGCATCCATGCCACCCGCATGGTCAGCGCAAATGTCAACGTTTCCAGCAAACAACGGCGCGGCGGGAGGCCCTAGTTTCCACCAATTCTCGGCCTCTACTGCTGCGATTCTCGAGAGGCTCCATGGCACGGGCGGCAGTCATGCCTCTGGCAGCGCTGCATTCGAGGCGAAGAAGGCGGAGATCATGCAAGCCTACGTTACTAGCGACAAGCTGCCAACTCCCCCGCCAGTTCCCAATAGTGGCAGGAGGGGAAGAGGGGGCAGAGTTGGAACGCCGAGTGCGCTGAAGTCTGATGCGGGCGCATCGCCGGCTACGTCTGGGCGAGGGTCTGGAAGAGGGCGCGGACGAGGTGGCAGAGGGCGAGGCGGAAGGCGGGGTGGTAAGAGGAAGCGCTCTGAGGAGAGCGAGGAAGAGGAGAGTGATGTGAGTGGACACGCTATGAATGAGCCGACCATGTCTGACGTGCTGTAGGACGATGACGAGGATTCCGATATCTCATCTTCGTACACGCCGCTACCCACGCGCACAAAATCTGGTCGCAACGTGAACAAGCCTGTCTCCTTCGTCCCAACCATCCCAGAACCAGCTCAGGGGTCCAAGCGGAGGAAGTCGACCAAGACGCTGCTCTCTGCAAAATGCAAAACATGTAACCGAGACACGGACCCAACGAATAACCGCATCGTCTTTTGCGATTCCTGCAACACTGCTTACCATCAGTTCTGCCACAACCCGCCTATCAGCAGCGAGGTAGTCACTGTGCTGGAGAAGGAGTGGTTGTGCGGACCATGCCAACGGGTGACGCAGCATGTCGTGGAAGGAACGGAAGACCTCGTCGCAGCAGAAAACCTCTCGATAGACCAGGTACGTTTGGACTGCGCGTCGTCAATCACACACATACTAACAACCCCCTAGAGACGCGCATACTTTTCAACCCTCCCCCAACACAAGCTCGTTCCCCTTCTCCTATACGCCACAATCCGCCACCCAGAGCTCCCCATCTTCCCCCAAAACGTCAAAGACCTAGTCCCTGAGTCCGCAACACCAAGCAACCACCAACCCCCTCCCCTCGCCCCTCAACGCCTACCCCCGCCGCATCAGCAACTCCCACAGTACCCACCGCCTAACGGCCACGCGCTGCCCCAACACCACCCCCCAGTCGACCCCACCGAAGCCCAACTCCTCGGCGAAATCCGCTCCAACCAGCCACGCACCACCATGGACCTCGCCGGCAACCAGTACGAGGAGGATGATGGTTACGACACGGATCCACCTGCGCATTACCCCAAGGCAGGACAGGGACTGGCGAGGACGTTGCGTCCTGAGAGTGAGGACCTGAACTGGCTTGTGGATGACAACTTCGAGGTCTTCAGCCATGGGTGGAAGGGCGATGGGAGCGGGATGGGGGCGGACGGGACGCTGGATGGTATGGGCGGGGGCAAGATGGTTTAGCAGACTGGCTCGTGGGCTGGGAGGGAAGATGAAGATGATGGTGGGAGTCCGCTTACGGCAACTAGCGATGTTCTGACGGAGATGGGGAGTGATGAGGTGGAGATGCTAGGCGAGGAGGTTGCGTAGCTAGATATGGATGGCTGTCTTTGATGGGGATTACTCTGTATTACACTCTGTAACTGCCTCAATGCGAAGACATCTCCAAGTCTATCATAAGAAGTACCCTGAGAGGGTGATGGACTCTATTCCCTATACTGTCTGTGAAATTCTATAATATGCTATGCTGTGTCCAGCAAGCGGGGTATCTCTAACAATGTAGCCCCAATGAACGCTGTAATATAGTCACAATGACTATGTCAAATCCCTTTTGCGCAAACCAAAACCCGTGAAAAAACGCCTAGGCGCTCAAAGTAGCCATGCCATGCTATGCCATACCAAGCCTGACCAAACTATAATGTGATATCCAGTAATTTTCTCTCCTAAGACCACCCAGAACGTGAAACTTTTATGAACATGCCCTAAAAAAGACCAACCTCAAATCTAAAAATGGTGAGAATAGGATCTCAGTACTCTTCCTCGTAATCATTGCCGAAGCCTTCGTCATCTTCGCCATACTGCGCCGGGTCGTCAAACTCTTCCTCCTCATGCGCCTCTTCGTAGTACTCCTCCTCCTCACCCTCGGCATCCTCATCCACGCCCTGGACAACCGTTGCCGCGGGCGTGACTTGCGACGCAGCGGGGCTGGCGCCTTGGCCGCTGCCAGACGGCGTAGAAACCGGCTGAGCGCCTGGGAAGATGTCCTTGAGTCTGTCGTAGTTGATAGCGTTGCTGAATGTTTTGGCGCGTTTCTGGAGCATTTTGTGCGCGGCGTCTGCTGCACTGGCGGCGGGTTCGCCGCCGAGGACGCTGCCGTCGCCCATCTGGGTGTGTTTGCGCTTCTGCTTTTGTTTCTTGGGCTTGTCGAGGGCGAGTTCGAGTTCGGCGGCAAGCATCTTCTGTTGCTGGTCGCGCAGCCAGTCCTCGTTCTGGGTGATCCAGATACGCTCTTTGATGCGGACTTCGTGGGGGGCGAGGATGCATGTGGCAACGTCGGGGTCGTCTTCGAATTCGTCGTCGCCTATGTCGGGGTCCAGGTTGACGTTGTTCTTGGGCATCCAGGCTTGGGCCATGTTGGCGGCCACGAGGCCGGTGTTCTTCAGCAGCTCGTGGTCGTCGTTGTCGGCGAACTTCTTGAAGATGGCTTCCCAGTCCTTGATTGCGTGTGTAATTTCAGACTCGATTTCATGCTCGATCTCGAGATCCTCTTCAGATACAGGCACGACTTCACGCACTTTTGGGGGCCGGCCGCGCTTCTTTGGCATGACGAACGTTTCATCGTCGACGTCGTCTGTGTCAGCTGTGTCGACTGCAGCAGTAAGGGAGTTCAGCGCGAGCGCAGAGCCAAGGGAGTCTAGCTCAGCTCCAGTCTCGGCTGTGAGAGCCTCCGCGCCTAGGTCTTGTGTGTCGGTATCCTGCGTCCCAGGAGATGCTGGTTGAGAAGTGGTGGTCTGAGCCGTGCCTTGGTTCGATTTGCGCCTCTCACTCGTCCTCGTCGGCGCCCTTGGTGTAGTGTTTGGATTAGCCCCAGTCTCGCCATTGCTCGCCTGCTCCACAACTTCGCCGTCCGAATTTTCGAGTTCTTCAGCAGTCAGCCCAGCCGCCGACCGTCTCTGCCTTCTCTCTTTGTTCTTTTCCTTCTTCTCGCGCCTCCAGATGGCAGGTGGTAGGGTCTTCACCTTCAACCTCTGGCCGAACTCTCGAAATTGGTTGACGGTCAAGGCAGAGCTGGGTGTCGCCTTGAATTCGTACAGACGGTGGTTGACGGTGGAGTCGGCGACCTTGACCACGTAGACGACCTCCCGGACGGTTCGGCGGAAGTTGTTCATGCGAGCAGCGAGGATGATGCACGCCCCGCAGAGGCCAGCAGGCTGACGACCTTGGACCATCCAGTCTCGGCTCATGCGCTTGAGCAGCTTGCAGGCGTCGTCGGCGACCTTGTGGGATGCTTCGTTGAACTCGAGCTTGCGGCAGTACTTGAGCATCAGGGGCTCGATCTCCTGGACGGCCTTGTTGCCGATCAGCTGTGCTGGGTCTTCTTCTCGGAGCATCTTCAGGAACGACTTGTACGTGTCTCCGAGGGCCCAGACGTTGACCTGCACCTTCTCGGCCAAGTCCATGAGCATGAGCGTGTTCTCAGGCTGTCTCCGCGCCGCCATGTAGATGGCCACGGCGGCAACGTTCCGGATGCGACGGCCTTGGACAAAGCTGTGGCCCATGGCGAGTTTATACCAACCAATGGCTTGGTTCTGGATCCTCTCCGAGACGTTCAGCGCGTGGCCGAGCTTCTGGATCTCGCTCTTGCCGTTCATCTCGGCGTGCTCTCTGCTGCCCATGCCCCCCAGCCCGCGCATGGTGCCGCCCATGGAGTTGGCATGGCGCTGGTTCTCGCCAATGAAGCCGCCCTCGACCATGGCCGCTCCGCCTGCAGTCTCGCCAAACGTGACCTCGGAGACGATGGCGCTTTCCTGGAAGACATGGCCGCAGTTATAGCAGATGGCTCCTTCCTCGTCAGTGCCGACGTTCGGCTCGTCGCAGCATTTTGGCCGCTCTGCTTGCACTCGCGGGGCGGGCGCGGGCTGGGCTTTTCGTTTCGTGGTTGCCGACTGGTACGTGTAGCTGGATCCGAGTGTTTTGAGGCGGGGGATTCGAGCCTGCGCCGTCGTGGCAGCAGACATGGCTTGACGCGATTTGGGAGTGAGTGGGAATGTTGGAGAGTGTCGAGGTGCAGCGAAGCATGCATGGTTCAGGCGGCGGGGGGACCTCGGCACTCTCACCTTGGTGACTGGACCGAATGGTTTAGTCGACCACTCTGATCACCATTAGAATTAGTGCTACTTGTCTCCACTATGCTTAGATGCTGTGGTTTCCCCTCAAGACTGGATGGGTCGAACCCTCAGCGTGATGCGTGACCCAGACCATCAGACTCTTAAGCCACCGTACACACCCATGCTACGTCACTACTTCTCACTTCAATCGAAAAGCATACATGTGCATTGAGAATAGAGGTGCATCGCATTCCACATCCACCAGCTGACTCAAACATGTCCATACGGTCCATGTACCTGCAGCACCAACCAACACCACAGCCCGCGGTGCCTGGCCCGGCTTGCGGGTGATGTCAACGACTACAACGATTGGCTGACCACGGCATCCTAACTTAGCACAAGAAGCAAATCCCTTGCTGGCCCCCAGCCTCCTACTCAAAGGGTACGTAGTCTACCGGCCCCGCTCGCTGTTTATCCACTCCTTGCTCACTGCTCACCTCCAGCCTGACCTCACCACAAAACACCTCTTTCGCCCACCCAACCCCATCACAATGTCCACACGCAAGAGAAAGCAAGAAGCCGAAGAGGAGGAGGAGCTCGTTGCCCTCCCGTCCGACGAGTCTGAGTCTGAGGAGGAGTAAGTGATTGCGACGCTTCCTTGACGTCATGTCATCGTGCTATTCATGTCGCGACTGTGCCCGTTTCGCGCGAATCTTTGCGCATTGTGGTCGCCTATCCTCACGCACCTGGATGCATGTTTTCGTTTTGTGCCATCGGACGTCGTTGTAGCTGCGCAGCCGTCGAAAGGCAGCCGTCAGCCTCGTCAAGCAACGAGACTTGTCGCACGCCGTCTCACAGTCGTCGACGATGTAAATTTGTCAAATACATCTACTCGGCTGTTGCGCTGTCTTCCACAAACGAGTTTTAAATGTCTTATGTCTATACTATTCGTTTGCATGTATGCGCTAACCACCATCTCCACAGGTACGCCGAATCAGAAGGCTCCAATTTCGACTCTGAGGACGCCTCTGAGCAAGAGCCTCGTAAGTTTCCTTCAACTGCTTTTCTGCTCAATGCTATCACATCGTACAAGTCCCATCCCTAACCTCCACACTAGCACCAAAGAAGAAGACCAAGCGGACCAGCAAAGCCAAGGACGACGTATCTGAGGACGAGTCTGAGTCCGAGCCCGACGTGGATGACGATGAGGACGAGGAGAGCGCGGATGAAGACCCCAAATCCAAGGGCAAGAAGACAGCTGCTGCGGAGAAGGTCCGGAAACAACCAACCCCCAAGACGAGGAAGCCTCCCGTCCCCGTTGACGACGATGAGGACGACGACGTTGTCGATGACGATGACGACGAGTCTGATTGATTTCACCGAGTTGCGGTAGCTTTCTATTGTAGTGGAATGTTGGTTAGAGGTAGCGCGACTACGATGTCCCCATATAGGTTAGGTAGAATACTACTTCTCTACTTGCTCTATCATATCGAAAGCCTACACTGCTACATATGAGTGTTTTTTTAGGCCTCGGGGATGTCGTTGTAGCCGTCGACAGCTGCAAATGGATCGACTACTCATCATTTTCTTGCAGCGTTGGCGGCTTCATCGAACGCCGGTTTCGCTCTTTGGAAGGTTCTCATGGCAATCAACTCGACTCGGCATTGTTGCCACATCACATCCTTAGCGGTGGTTTCTATCGTTGATTTGCGAGCAGTACTTCCATGGTATAGGCGTCCCTATATTCAGCATTACTGGTCAATCGAGGAATTTTCACGACCCAGCCAAGGTTCACGATGCAATCCAGGGTTCACGACCGAACCAAACCTCAACCGACGGCTGCCTGGGCTCTCGAACACGCGTCCGCACCAGTACATTGAGCAGCAAGTCGTCAAGAGATAGTTAATCAGCTCTTTGTTACTGTCATTGTGTACTCTTACTGATATTTACTGTGTGTAAAGGAGCTGGATATCAGCTCCTGCACTGAGTTACTGTACTACATTCTTACTTTGTTGCGGCTATCCGTTTGTACAACAGGCATGGATACGCTATATACCCAAAAGAATAGGCGTTCCTGTGGTTCCTCCAGTGAGAGAGTCACGATAGGTGAGTGCAATATGCCAAGAGCAGGCCAGGAATATAGAGGGTTGGTACTGGCACTGGTACTGTGGTCCCTTCCCTAAGTTGAAACCTTTGAACAATTTTCCACCCTATGTGACAATCCCCAATTCATCAGGATTCTTCGTTATGATGGTTCCAACCATTATTCCTAACAAAATTTATGGGAGGAACCACGGTATGAGTATCGATCGGCAATAATGTTAGGTAAAGTCGAGCCGTGGAGTCCAGAGCGAATAAACCGTTCGTCTATATATTTCCGATCTCACCTGCCTTCCCTTCTCACTTCACTCATCCTGCGTAGCCTTGCCTTAGTCAACAATCCAACCGCACTTAACTCTTCTAGACCCATACCCCCTTCCACCCCAACTTTCACCTTCACCACATATACCATGGCTTACAACAACGATACAACTACCTGCGCCAATCAAGTCATGTCCGACCCCTTCTGCAGCCTTCTACAGGCGCTAGAACTACACGTCGACGATCTTGTACGCAAGCCCGAGTTCCATGTATTCATGAAGCTCCCGCTTGAGCTCCGTTACCAGATCTACGAGGAGTACTTTCTGGCCGATACCAAATCGGTATCATGCAGATCTTGGCCACATCTTACCATCGACCATGATCAGCAGTTCCGCCTACACCACTTGATGGATTCGGCGCCCTTCCTGCCCAACCTGTGCCTGGTCAGCCGTGCCTTGAGGGCAGAAGTCACTTCTTTCCTCGTCAGGTCAACCACCTTCGACATGGCCAAATTACCCGCCATGAAAACATTCTTCAAGACCCTCGATCGCCCGCGTTCACGCCGCGACTTCGACTGGACGGCCTACGTGCGGAAATTGGTGTTGCGCGACACCAACAGCTGTTCTTCTGTCTGTCTCGGTTTGGATTTCGGAGGCGCTAGTCCTCAGGCACGCCTTGGTCAGGAAGACACAGCATACGCTTGTCAATCCCTTTCCCGCTTTTCGGGGGTCCGCGTGCTGGAACTCGGGTTTCACGCACCCATGGTAAATGCTTCCGGCGACTTGTGGACACTCGACTTGCAGGCGACCGCAATCGACCCCTTTCTGCACGGGGTCGACCTTCTCCAGATCAAGGCGTTGCCGCAGTTACAGCTCATAAAGCTGACTGGTTCGTCTGGGTCCCAGAGCGCATTGGACTCTGAAACAATTCTCAGAGACGATAAGATGGAGCATCTGGAGGGAGTGGTGAAGCTTGGTCAGCAGATCAAGGATATGTTCGATGGAGAGGGTCGCCAGGTGGATGTGCGGGTTCGACTACTCTGGTCCGATCAGTGCGATGAAAGGATTCTTTGATGTGGTCAGCAGATCTGGACATCATGTTTAAGGTCTATCAGCAGTGTGGCACATTTTTAGGTATCACAACCAGTGGGATCTAGATGTACGTTAACTCTTGGGCTAGAACTTGGTAGAAGGAAATGACAAGACAGTTAGAATCTATATCTGGCCTACTTGAACATCTGGAGAGGCGGAAGTGCGTGCAATGACAACGACGATCTGTGAATTGTGTAATTTGGGTGTTAGACGAAGAGTAGCTCCACAACGTAAGGCCATCCAATGTACAAGAAGTAAAGAACAGCATCCAAGTGTTGCGATACATTGATTATGCTATTGAACCATATGCTCATTAATCTCACGCTGAACCATGATACTGAGGCTGGCAGTCTCCAGTATCCGCGTGATTGATAGGAAGGAAGTTTCGAAAGCATCTACACGGGTACTGTTACCTAATAATTCCATTCTGCCTTCCGACAGCATCGATAAACTGTCCATACTACGAGCCGGTCTATGTCAGATGCCATGGTCACGAGACGATCCAGGCCCTGAATATTGCTGGTAGTACGACGGACAACATCGATCAGCAACCCATATGGCCGCACGAAGACAGAGTTTGCTGCTTACCAAATCTTTTGGTCTGGTCCCTTGACACGAGGGCCAGAATCTGAGAAATAACAAACCATTAACAAGCCACAGTACTCCAACAGGATCCGGGTCGGGTATATGGAAATCTCAAGTACGATCACATTCCCTTCCAGTACCGAACCCCAAAGGAGGTGTATGTGTATTGGCGTCATTCGTATGTCCGGAAATACCGGATCTGGTAAGACGGACGGTTCGTCGTGGGGATATCAATGTGCGGGGTGCAGCGCATACCCCCGCAGACTACTGCGAAAGCGGGGCGAGGTCGTGACACTAGTCGTCCGGATGCTAGGGAATATCGTGTTTGACTGGTGGCGTCGATAGGAAGTGCTTCCGCATCCAAGTGCAATTTGTACTGACGTAGTGGCAAGGCTATGGTACAGGAACACCAAGCTCCGGCCAGACGGAGGAAGAGGATGGTGGGTGGGGTTTGAGTTGTCAGAGGATCTGGCAACTTAGGAACGAGTCCCGATTGAGAGTCATGTCGGTTCTTTGCACGTTTCGGTAATACGACATAGCGTGCGGATCCCCAGGATGCTGCACGAGGGGAGGCACCGCATGTTGACGTATATATGGAGGAGTGATGAGCCCCTGCTACTCTGTCGATGAACATCCTCATTAACTATTGTCTCTTTCACTTACTTTTGCTTCAGTTAGTCTCTCCATTTTGACACAATGGTCCAATTCCGAACGGATATCAGCGCCACGAACAAGGAGCAGGCCGCGCCAAGCGATGGGAACTATGCAAAAGAGCTCGAGACCGACGTATTGATCGTAGGTGCTGGCTTTGGCGGTATCTACTTGATGCACAAGCTTCGCAAACTTGGCTTCAATTGCAAAATCTTCGAAGCTGGAACGGAGCTCGGAGGCATCTGGCATTGGAACTGCTACCCAGGCGCGCGCGTTGATGTAAAACTCTCTTGATTTCTCCCCGGGAAGACTGCTGATTGTGCTGCGAAAATAGAGCCAGGTTCCAGTGTACGAATATAGCATGCCAGAAATATGGAAAGTATGTACAGACCAGTTATGTTCGCATGTAAGATTGCTAACGTGTCGTGACAGGATTGGTATTGGTCGTGTCGTTATCCTGGAACAGATGAGCTCAGAAAGTATTTCGAACATGTCGAGAACAAGTTGAACATTAAGAAAGACTGCGCCTTTAACACTCGTGTCGTCGGTGCCCAGTTTGACAAACCTTCCGGAAAATGGGTCGTTCAGACCGAAGATGGAAGACAAGCAAAGTGTAAATATCTGCTACTGGCGTTAGGATTCGCGGCCAAGCGACACTTCCCCGACTGGCCTGGTATGGACACATTTAAAGGAGAGATTCACCATTCTTCCTTCTGGCCAGACGCTGGTGTGGACGTCAAAGGCAAGCGGATTGCTGTAATCGGGACTGGATCCACTGGGGTACAGATCGCGCAAGAGACGTCCAAAGAGGCCGCCTCCGTTACAGCTTTCGTCCGGACACCAAATCTTTGCTTGCCGATGCAGCAGAAATCCCTCACCAAGGAAGAACAAGATAAGAGGAAGGAATCGGAGTATGAGCAGATATTTAAGGACAGACTCAACACTTTTGCTGGCTTCCCGTATGACTCTATCAAGAAGGACACACTCGAAGATACTCCAGAAGAGCGTGAAGCATTTTATGAAAAGCTGTGGGAGGCTGGAGGCTTCCAGTACTGGCTCGCGAATTATCAGGATTTGTTGTTCGACAATGCAGGCAACCGGGAGGCGTACAATTTCTGGGCAAAGAAAACTCGGGCAAGAATCACGGATCCAGTGAAGAGGGATATCCTCGCACCGCTAGAGCCGCTCCACGCATTTGGCACCAAAAGACCGTCGCTCGAACAGAACTACTACGAGATTCTCGATAGACCCGAAAATTTCGTAATTGATGTGAAGAAGACACCGATTGAGAAGATTACCGAGAAAGGAATCGTAACATCGGACGGCAAGCTCCACGAGTTTGATGTCATCGCACTGGCGACTGGTTTTGATTCGGTAACAGGGGGAATGCGGAACATGGGTTTGAAGGACGTTAATGGGATCAATCTCTCCGACAAATGGGAGACCGGAACATACTCATACCTGGGCATGAGTCTCTCTGGATTTCCGTAAGCGCCTATCTCTTCAGAAATATAGCAACGACTAACCAATCCAGGAATTGCTTCTTCCTCTATGGTGCACAGGGACCAACGGCGTTTTCGAATGGTCCCACTTGTGTCGAGGTCCAAGGTGATTGGATTGTGGATGCCATGAAGAAATTGCGAGACGAGAACATCGACTACTGCGAAGCTACCCATGAGGCTGAGAAGGAATGGCGGGAGGAGATCACTCGGTTGTCGGACAAGACTCTCTTCCCTCAGACGAAATCGTGGTACATGGGCGACAACATCCCAGGCAAGGTTCGCGAACAGCTAAATTTTGCTGGTGGATTTCCCCTGTATTCCAGATTGACTAGGAGTGTGCTTGACGATGGGCTTCGAGGTTTTGTCAGAGCATGAATTTGGGCCGAAAGCTGGTGAATATTGTTTAGCGTATTCTTTCTGATGTATAAGATTTAGTCATTCCATGCATTCAAAAGCAGTGAGAACAGTGAGAATAGCATGCATGTTGGAGTCGAGAAGTGTGGTGTTGGAGCTGAACTCGAGTGGGATTGAGTGGTAGGGCCCGTGCACCTGCCGGACTGGTGTCACAAGGAAAGTGTGCGGCGGCCAAACGTCATAGTTAACGCGCAAGAGTATTCGATTGCGCCTCATGCTCATGGAACCCTCGCGCTCTCATCCGCCCGGTATCCGGTACCATGAGGACGTTCCTCTTGTTTGGGCGCCAATGTCTCCGCCAGGGCTTCCAGCAATCTTCTCCCTTGGTCAGTCGCGCATCAACGCGACCCTTCGCCTCTGCATCGTCTATCCGCCAACAGTTTGCGACTCCACGATTCCGCGGTAAGAAGATACTATGGTCTGGCGCAGCGACTGGTGCTGCTACTGGAGCAATACTCAGTCCGCTTGCATTCGTGGAAATAAGTCAAGACAAGTCTAGCAATGGAGAGAAAACACACGAAGAGGCCATGCTGGAGGCGTCGAGGAAGGAGCTCGACGAACAAGTCCCCAAGGTATTGGAAAACTCGAAGAAATACCGGCGGGGGATATATTTCTTCCTCGAGGACTACATAATAGAGCCTATTGCGACAGGGCTGCGATTTCTCCATCTAGTCGTCATCTTCGTCCCAGTCATCGTCACTATTCCAGTGATATGGCTTGGGAGTCGACAGGCAGATAAGGACAACGAGAGGAGTGGGACACTGTGGTGGTATAGCTTCTTGGTTTCGTCTATGGAGAGGGCTGGTGCTGCTTTCATAAAGGTACGCCTATACGCCTTGTGTACCGTGATCTCGATGATGTCTAATATGTGTATAGCTTGGGCAATGGGCTGCCTCCAGAACAGACATCTTCCCGACCGAGATGTGCACCATCATGTCTGAGCTCCACTCCAACGCACCTGCGCATTCTCTCAAGGTCTCGAAACGAACCGTAGAAGCTGCTTTTGACGGACGACGCTTCGACGACATATTCGAGGAGTTCGACGAAAAGCCACTCGGCGTGGGCGCAATTGCGCAGGTCTACAAGGCAAAGCTCAAACCTGATCTAGCAACGCTGCAAGACAATGCTATCGATGCGGGAGAACTGAATTTGGCGCGCAAGATCAAGAAGAATGTTGATGCAACACTGAAGAGCACTCCACAGCGACTCCCGTCAAACCACGTCGCTGTTAAGGTGCTGCACCCCAATATCGAGAAGATTGTACGCAGGGACCTGCGCATTATGGCATTTTTTGCTGCTGCCATCAACGCGATACCCACCATGGAATGGTTGTCGTTCCCAGACGAAGTGGAGCAATTTGGTGAAATGATGAGGTTGCAATTAGATTTGCGTATCGAGGCTGCGAACCTTACCATATTCCGACAGAACTTCAAGGACCGGACAACGGCTTGGTTTCCCTACCCCTACACGGAGTATACCACACGTAACGTCTTGATTGAGGAGTTCGCACAAGGTATCCCAATGGAAGATTTCTTGCAGAACGGAGGTGGCATCTTCCAGAAAGAGATCGCAGACGAAGGACTCGACGCGTTCCTCCACATGGTCCTCATCGACAATTTCATCCATGCAGACTTACATCCAGGTAACATTATGGTCCGCTTCTACAAGCCTGAACCGCTGGACGTGTCCATGTTCACTCGGAAGGAGGATCGAAGCACAGGGCCCAAGGAGTCGCGAGATGTTACCGAAGAAGTGCTCGAGCGTCTACGACCACACAGAAAGGACCCTGAGCAATGGAAAGCCCGACTGCAGGAGATCGACAATGAAGGATACCGCCCGCAACTTATTTTCATTGATGCAGGCCTCGTTACAGAACTCAACGCTAAGAACCGAGCAAATTTCCTAGATCTTTTCAAATCTGTTGCAGAGTTTGACGGATACAAGGCTGGTCATCTCATGACCGAGCGATGCAGGCAACCGGAAGCCGTGCTAGACAGCGAAGTCTTCGCTCTACGTATGCAACATCTGGTACTGGGTGTAAAGAGTCGAACCTTTGCCTTGAGCAACATCAAGATTGGTGACATCCTTAACGAGGTTCTTTCAATGGTACGAACGCATCATGTACGCCTTGAGGGTGATTTCGTGAATGTGGTTCTCAGCATTCTCTTACTGGAAGGTATCGGTAGAAGCTTGAATCCGGAACTAGATCTTTTCGCTGGGTAAGTGCCACACATCGTAAGTAACGCATCCGGGAACTAACACTACCCAGTGCTCTTCCAATACTGCGACAACTTGGAGCGCAGAGCGGTTCGTCGATGATCAGCGGGGGTGACTTCTCCATGCTCAAGGTCTGGGTTGGCCTTGAGGCGCGCAGCTTCTTGCAAGCGTCCATTGATACTGTGAGTACAGCTTAATACCTATCAAAGTCTGGCGCTGATAAATGCAAGGTCGAACGGTGTGTCAAATATGACCAGTTGGCACCTAACATTTAGTTTTGATGACGAGTCGACTGTACATATTCGCTGCCTCCGATTGTCCTGCGCAGATCGGAATATTGCATTCACAATACTTGAGAGTTCGTTCTGAAGGCCTATTGTATACTCGCAAAGCGTGTCGAGCCCAGGTAATAGGGCAGCTTGGTTTTACTTCTATGGAGATCCATACACACAAGATAGGATAAGAGAAAGCTTGAAAATGTTCCGTTCTGACACATGCATGAGGGCCATGCTGAGGTTAACAAATACGCTCAATGCTTCAGGACATTCAAAGGGTTGTCCACTTCACGTGTCAGGGAAGCGTGTTGCTGCAGCGTGACGTCACATCTAAGTCAGCTCAGGCAAGCTCTGTGAAGCTTGCAACTAGCATTTAATATCAACGCTTCCTGCAACTTTACAACCCTGCGATTCATCTATCAGTTTTAACTCGTTTTTATTACCCAACGTAGAACCAATCACTTCCCATCATGGAACCTGCGAGCACTGGAGTTGCCTACGCAGGCCAGCTCGCCGCCGCTTTATTCAAGGGCATAAAACACCCAACGCTACCCCTCAAGGCCAACCTTACTCGCATATCGTCGGTTCCACTCGCCCGCTCGCACCACACCATATGCACTGTCAAAGGTCGAGCATACATATTCGGTGGAGAAGATGAACCAGGAAGGCTCGCGAGCAATGATATGCACATTGTCATTCTACCCTCTAGCGGCGTCCTCGAAGCAGACTATACCACGATTCCTGCGCGAGCACTGAACGGACTGGACGATGTTCCAGGGTCGAGAAAGGGACATACCGCAGTTGTCATTGGAGATAGCATGTATATGTTTGGTGGAGAGGGAGAAGGTGTTGAGAACGAGAAGGGAAGGGTATGGGTGTATGATACCATTTCAAATGCGTGGTCGATTCTCGATCCTGCCTCAAGTTCACTGTTCCCAAGCCAGCGCACTGAACATGCTTCAGCCAGCTCCAACCTTCCGGAGCCAAAGACGAAAACGTTTCGCGAAAGAGCGCCTCAAGCGCCAGTAGACCCGGCCCAAAACGTCCCAGAACCAGCGGAAGACAGTACCTGGGGCACCATCTTCGTAATTGGCGGTCGCGACACATCAACTAACCAGCTTTCAAATGACGCCCTGGCTTTTGATGTAAAGACACGAACATGGAGTAATATCCCATCTCCAGCAGGCCAGCCGCGAGATGGCGCAAGCTTGGCACTCGTAGGCGACCATCTGTATCGTTTTGGCGGCAAAGGTGTTGAGACATTCGCGTCAGGTGGCATGGAATCTCTTGATGTATCACCCGTCTGGAAACACGCAGAAGGCGGCACTACACCCCTCACTGGCGGTTGGGCCTGGGAAGAGGTCTCACACAAAGACTCCAAAGACAGTTCCGCACCACAAGCGCGCTCCAAGGCTGGCCTTGTCGGCTTAACTACAGGTCAAGGTCGACACTACCTCATTGCTATCGGTGGTGAAGGCGAGGCTACAAGTTCAAGCTTTCTTGATGATATATGGGCTTTCCAACTCGCGTCTGAGCGTAAGTCGGCTGCAGCGGCGAAAGATGACTTTCGCGCGAAGATCAAGAAAGACACACATGAGTCGAAATGGGCAGAAGTGCATTACAAGTACGTCGATACGAAGGGCGAGGAAGAGAGGGAGATTCCCGGCGAGCCAAAAAGCGGCCTTGGCGCACGAGGGCATTTTGGCCTTGCGAAGGGGACAGAGGTAGATGGCGCGACTTGTGTAGTCTGGGGAGGTGTGGATGCGCAGGGTCAGGTCTTGGAAGACGGGTGGATGATCACTGTCGATAGGTAGGTGTTTTCCAGTTCCAACAAGTGGGCTCTGGGTTTGGGTTCAAAGGTTCAAAGGTTCAAAGTCAGGCAAGATATTTAGGACCGAGAACAAACAATGTGCCCACCCAATATGACCGAACTATAAGTGCACGTGCCCCATGTCCGGAGATCGAAACAAGACAGGAAGTTAATACCAGCGAGGCAAAACATTGAATAGGAAACTTTGTTTTGGGAGTAGAGAGTATAACCCAGCAGGCTATAAGATGATCATTTTCCTCGACGATATGAATACGACTCCACCAACCTTGGATTTCTTAAAAGTCCTGCAGTCAAGTGGAGTTTGTCGATGCATAGAGCAGATCAGTGTTGGTTAAACAGTGCAATACACATGGTCCAGCTGCAGCAGAGTATGGGATCGCTGGCAAACAGATCGTCAAAGCATGTTTGCATGCAAGCACTTCTAGACACGGCACTCTTGGCGCACATCCGGCCAACACATAAACACATAACCAGACTTCTTATCAACAGTTCATTGCTGGATCTCGATTCCTCGACTTTCGGTGAGCCATTTTGGAAGGACAATGGGTAACCGGAAATTACGACGTCGTTGAGAACGGGACGAATACCATCTGGGTAGGCGGCAACGGCGAGCGAATTGCAGACATCATCTGCTAGATTAACAATTTCACCACGTAGTACAAAAATATTACCATCGTTGACTTCAGACACCTACTCGACGATGATTACAACCACCAAAACTTTGCGCAAGACCAATGCGACAAATTCTCAAACGGCGTCAAGGACCGCTTCACAGCGACCAATCTCGGCCAGACGAACTTATCCAACAAAGTTCTCGGCGACTTTCAACAGACCGTGTATCGGCGTTAATTATAGCACAACTTCAGACGGCATCATGTTGGGTGATTACCCGAACTAGGAGTTTTCTTCACGCTTGGAATTCTCCACCTCCACGCAGACGACCTAGCGAGTAAGTATCGCTCTTGTAACTTTATAGAACTAATCACGACCATCCTCAGCGATTCGCAAAAGTGGCAAGCTGCTACTTGATTACCACCAATCAGGCGTTCATAGCATAAGACCAACTCAGCAAGCTTAGAGAGCTTCGCTCTTTCGCCTCGGACCCGTCGAAACGAAAAATCAAAACCTAGAATATTTGCTAGACGCTCACGCAGTAACCCATAGACGGGTTAAGCTTCAATAAGGCTGCACTAAGTATGGCCGCTAAGGCGTTGGGCGATGCTGTCAGCCAGCCTCGGAACATATCCAAGCCCGAAGCATTCCCGGACGTACTGGTTGCGTGGGAGGTCAGGGATGAGTGCATTGTATTGCCTTTCAATAAAGTGAGACGTGTGGAGACCAATGGGGATACCACTGCGTTGACGGTCCAGCCATCAACAAACTTGGCAGGACAGAACGGGCGTGTCACAGGGACGAAATTACGAGGATGTCAGACTAGGAAGAGCATATTTCATGCACAGCGGTGATAGTACAATGACGAAAATCAACGGTCGACATTACATCGTACTTGCCGCATATCCGCACAATCGGTGTCGGCGCGACGTAAGTCGTTGATACTCGCTCCGAACGCCTGATGCAGATCGTTGCTCCTGAGCTTAGCGAGAAAGACAATGCTTTTTTCCCTTTCGACAAAGCTTCGTCATGGTAGATACGCATGTGTTACCGCATTTAGAGCGGATCATAAGCCCTACATGCAGGTCGTGCTGCACATCAAAATGCAGGGGACCCTGATGCGGGGTTGTCATTGAGGGGGTTTTGCGCCTTGATGAGAGATCAGCATGAGAAGTGCTTGCAACCATGTGCTCAAACAGCACTCAACTCAAACAAGCGGGACCACACTTGTATATCAAAAACTAGACAATTCTCACCATCGGGACGGAACATGATAGTTTTTGAGAGCGGGTTCCTAACGAGCTCTATAAGGTGTGACCTCGAAGCTAGTAAGCTGTATGCAACGTTCCATCAATGAAGCGTGCATGGCTTACAGCGACACAAGCGAATGGAACCCAACGGACGTTCATGATCCCAGCTTCCGCAGGATGGGGAGAAAAGTTCCCAACAACTCGTTTGTCCGCTGTAAGGCGACCGAGAAAATACGGGATCTGTAACCGTCCAAAACCGGTGTAATGGGGATACACGGAGATTACGGTATGTTTGTCTAACAATCCTATGCTATGCGGTGTTTGTTGGCACGGTTTCTTACTCAAGCGTGGAGGCTGAGACGATAATAAAAAGACATAAACCTTACCAACATTACTTGCTGGTCAGATGGCGGTTTCTTAGACACATGTTTCTTTGAGTGAATGCGATATCGAAAAAAAGGAGTGATTTTCTGTGGGGATTACGTCGGGAGCTACGATAGCGTTAGATTCTAAGTTTGGGACAACGACGGCTCGTTACACATGCAGCATCCTTGACACTGGAAATATTAACTCCGCTAAAAGTAGAAGCATCTGCTGATGTGCAAGCGGATCGAGACGAACGCCCTACCTATGTGGGGGTCGTATCCTTGGCTTCCTTTAAGCTCATCTAAGAGTCGTCAGCATCTTTAGGTCGAGCTTAGTAGCAGCCACTTCTTGGAAAACAATAAGGCCTAGTAAGCCACCACATCAAGGCTCTTTGAACCGTTGCATGTTCGCCACGCCTCGGAGGCAATGTAGCAAGTCTGACGAGAACTTCCTTGCAGACGCTGATCAGAAGGATTGCGGTGTTGTTGTACCATTTCGAGGAAGCGATAACGCCGAGCGACGATGATGCACGCCGAGTCACAATCGGCTTGTAACTCCACCGTTTCAACACTTCAGCTCGCAGCGATGAGTCTGACTCATTTCTCCATTTGGAGAATACTTTGCTGACACGAAAGCGTTTCAATGTTAGCAATTTCCCATTAGGGGCCTGAGTCGGGGCCAAAGGGCCGTGATGAGAATTCGTTCCCATGTGGGGCTGCCGCTCTCCGAGACCGAACTCCCCCCAATGGCACATCTGATGTTAGCGAAACGACTATCGATGCACGCGGGACCAGGATGTTGCAGCACCAGACTTACGTTTCTAGGGTCACCGGCAGGAGGAAGACAGGGGGTTGCTAGACCAGGATCCTGGTTAATGACGCGAGGCAGGAAAAGGACGCGCTTCGGTATGGTGCACCATTGGATGGTGGGTCTACGTTCTCCTTCATAAAACAGAGGCTGCCTACAACTTATGGTTTTGTTTTCCACCTTCTTTCTACCGAAGTCCTAATCCCGTCGCCTTTGTTGCGCATTTCCTCTCGTTATCCCCAAAGGTCCTACAGTGCATAGTCTTTGTTGACTTTCACTACCCACACTCGCTTGCTACTTACCCCTTTACTACGACAAATCTCCGAGTAAAATTTAATAACACCAACTCAAATCCAAAATGCATTTCTCCACGGCTCTCGCCGCCATCGCGGCTGTAGCTCCGCTTGTCAGCGCCCATGGAAACTCTCCCCTGCCTAGGATCATTGGATTGAACCCCAAGGATCTCAAGGCCAGGAGCATCCTCAGCAACCTCGGAGCACGTATCTCTGAGGTCCATGAAATTCACGAGGAGCGCAATGCAGTGAACAAACGTCAGGCCACTGAATGCGGTGCGGGCATAGGTTCTTGCGATGCCGGCTACTGCTGCTCCCCTGAAGGCTGTATGTACTGAAGCAACTTACATCGGCAACATAAAGCTAATCTTTTACAGACTGCGGAACCACAGGTGACTACTGCTACTCCCCAGGATGCAACTACCAGTATGGTCCTGGCTGCCCAGAGAACATCACTCCCAGCGGTACCAACACGTCTACTATTGCTCGCACTAAGGTTGGCTCTGTTGAGTACGGTGGCGCTGGTATCTACAACTGTGTCACCCCCGGAACCGTTGCCCTGACCTACGACGATGGCCCGCAGGCGGTGTACACTAGCCACATTCTGGATGTGTTCGCAAACTACCCAGGATCCAAGGCTACCTTCTTCATCACTGGCAACAACATCAACAAGGGCCAGATCGATACGACTGCTGAGTACGTTAGCGTCATCAAGCGCATGTATTCTTTGGGCCACCAGATTGCTTCCCACACCTGGACTCACTTGGACCTGAGCGCGATCTCATCCATTGATCGCAAGCAACAGATGTGGAAGAACGAGATGGCTCTTCGCAACATCCTAGGCTTCTTCCCAACCTACATGCGCCCGCCTTACTCTAGCTGCACTGGCGCATGTGAGACTGACATGGCTGCTCTCGGTTACCACGTCACTTACTTTGACGTCGACACGGATGACTACGACCAAGACAGCACCACCATGATCCAGAACTCCAAGAACTGGTTCAAGGGCAACATCACTAAGAACGGCGCCACTGCCGCAAACAGTGAATGGCTCTCCATCGGACACGATATCCATTACCAGACTGCCTACAACCTCACTGACTTCATGCTCTCGACCCTCACTACCCTGGGTTACACGTCTGTTACGGTTGGCGAGTGCCTCGGTGACCCTGAGGCCAACTGGTACCGTAGCGGCACTGGCTCTGCTGTTTCCACCACTGCTGCTGGTTCTACCTCCACTTCGGCGCCTGCTTCGACGGCGACGGCAATCAGCACTGATGGTCTTTGCGGTGGTACTTCCGGAAAGACTTGCAAGGGAAGCACATTCGGTAACTGCTGCTCTCAATACGGGTACTGCGGATCCACCACCGACCACTGCTCAACTGGTTGCCAGTCGACCTTTGGAACCTGCGGCACCGGCTCGTCTTCTGTTGTAACCAGTGCCACTACCAAGGCTACCAGCACGAGCACCAAGGCCACCAGCACAAGCACCAAGGCTAGCAGCACATCTGCTGCTGCAACTGGCGTCTCCACCAGCGGTATGTGTGGTGGAACGACCGGGCTCACATGCCAGGGCTCTTCCTTCGGTAACTGCTGCTCCCAATACGGATACTGTGGTACTACTACCGACCACTGCTCGACTGGTTGCCAGTCTGCGTTTGGAACCTGCGGCACCAGCGCCGGTACTACCTCCGTGAAGGCTGCTTCCACCACCGTCAAGGCTTCCTCCACTACCGTGAAGACCTCGGCTGCCGCATCAGCCACTGCTGTCTCCCAGGACGGAAGCTGTGGTGGCACCAACAAGTACACCTGCAAGGGCTCTTCTTTCGGAAACTGCTGCTCGCAATACGGGTACTGTGGCTCGAGCACTACCTACTGCTCAACCGGCTGCCAGTCTACCTTCGGTACCTGCACCTAAGTATCACATAGCTTGCCGCCTTTTCCCTTCTCTTTTTCTCCAGGCACCTGTAGAGTCGAATTGGAATCCATAGTGTCATGACGATGTATACCAAGATATCCTATCATCTAGTTTTGCACAGTACTCTTACCTGTTGATCTCATTTGAGGTGTCATTTGTGCATGTTACATTGGAGTCGAGAGAATGCATTTGAGTCACAATCGGTTGAAGAGTAAATGCCCGGTAAGCGGCAAGACCTTCCATTTCATTGCATAAATTACTACAAAAACTTTCCTAGTGTCCTACAAAATTCAAACGATTACATGTCAAGCTTACCTCCGATGTGACAGTGGGGTCCATCTGTGCATATGTGTGTGAAAGGGGTGTTTGTGGGGCATGATTAGACAGGAACGGGACCCCAGTGTCTCGTGTTGACCGGTTACCTTGGCTTTATTCCCCAGGGTGGTCGCCTGAGCATCCTGCGAAAACTTCTCATGCTCACTTGTGGATAATTCTCCACATCTAGGCAGCGTGGATGCTTGCTCAGAACCACCTGGCTGTTTCTTCGTTGAAGGGCACCACCTCACGCAACGAATCAAGACATGTCATTAGTGCTGCTCACCTCTCTAGATCTAACAAATCATGATACTGTACGTGGAGAAATGTGACCAAAAAACCAAACACGGAACCTTTTGTTGGTACGAAGAGCCACGAACAGAGAGAGATGTTCGTTCTTCATAAGCAATCCACACAAACTGAAAATCTGGCACGGTGAGCAGGAAAGAGACGACCTCTCACGTTGACAAAAAATACGCAAAAAGAAGAGGTGGTGCCCTCTGCCAGAATCGAACTAGCGATCTTATCATAGCATAGAATACTAGTGATACGCTTTACCACTAAGCCAAGAGGGCCGCCGAAGGGCGAATCAACTGTTGCAGTTGTTGGCTTGTGATCGATCGCTCAATTTTGGCGTATAACAAGCTAGAAACCAGTCGTACGGTCGTCGGCGTTCGGTTCAGTGCTGCATACGTGGCGAGCGTCGTGGATCTCTTCGCAAATGGCTGGGTGGGGGTAGGGCGTTGGCCATCCTCTGCCGGATGCGCCTCCACCTGTTGTCCCCTGAACAGCTGCTCGATAAGGTTGATTTCTTTTGCAATCAAGGTGACACAAGCCCATGCCCATGGCACAAAGGCGCCGCTGTTTCGTCGGCTTTATGTCAGCTACCTTGTCGCATGGCCAGGATGCACATTTCAATCAAATGAATGCATGTCACCTGTGATAGCAACAATGCCAGCTTCCAATGGCGATCTATCCGTCCTGCGCAAGCACGAGCATGCTTCCCGGAGCTATGGGGTCAATCTGGGGGTAAGTAACTACTTGGGGCAAGCGTATTCACATGATAGTCGCCAAGGCCGCCTTAGATCGGAAATTCAAGATTCGTTCGTCGCGCACTCCCTTTCTTGTTTCTCAGCCACAATATTCCACACAACGACACCAAACGCTGACAGCCAGGACCGACACCTGGCTCTTTACCCCAACACCCACATATCCTCAGATCCACCATTCATGGGCTCTGCTTCTCCTTCCGCGACCGCCTTCTTTACCCCTCAGATCACACTGCTAGATTCTGTGGTTCCATATACTGCCTTGAGCCCAGGACTCGACAAGACGGACGCTTCTTTCGGCGCTCTGGTTTGCTGTGTAGGGGGCTCGGGTCCGCCGTGAAAGGCGGACGGTAAACTTGGATAGCAATAATCCCAAGTTGGATGTGCGCGGTCACCCGATCGTAATTTATGCGCGTGCGCTGAGGAGTCTGCACAGAACCATATTGCGACGCAGTAGAGCAGGAACTCTTCCGCACACATCCTCGAAACAACCGATCTCATGGCGATGTTCACATTCGACCACGACGAAGCGCATCTGGCGACAGAGAAGGCGCAACATGGCCTCGAGCCTACCCTGAACGATGGCGACGACGTCTTTGCGCCTGAGAAAATGGACACGGACACCCTTCATGTGGGAACCCCGCCAATCAATATAGTGTCCCCGCTGCCCAGGCGCGCAGTGCAGCCCAATCTGGAGACCAAGCAGCAAGCGACGGATCGGCTGGACTTCGACATGGTCATGAAGAAGGCGCAGAAGAACAAGAAGAAAAAGAAGAAGGCCATGAAATCTGGCGCACTGGCTGGCAACATCACTCGAGGCTTCCATACGCCGATTACCTCTGGTGGAGAAGAGTCGGATTTCTCTAGGGCTGCCACCCCTCGCTTTGGGCCTGCTGTTTCTGGACTCCCGAGTGTGACTAGTAGTCCCGCTCTGAGGCCAGTGTCTGCTGCCGGCGGTATCAGTAACTTGAAAGCGCAACTCGAGGCACTCAGCATCAATACTAGGGTCGACTCGCCGGTTAGAGGGTATCCCTTGTCCAGGGTCGTATCTGGGCTTTCCAGCAATGCTAGCATGTCTGGACGCGACAGCGACAGTGACCGTACCGAGATGGAGAGCTACGAGATCAATCTCGACGAAGACTTCAGTCTCGACGCCCATTCCAAAACATCAACAATGGTCAGCAGTGGTATGGTGCGCAAGATGACCGCCGAGGACTTTGAGCCCCTGATGTGTCTTGGGAAGGGCAGTTACGGCACTGTCCTGCTTGTCAGGCAGCGCGCCACTGGCCGTCTCTTTGCTCAGAAGCAGTTCAAGAAGGCGTCAATCACAGTGCACAAGAAGCTGATCGAGCAGACCAAGACAGAACGCACAATCTTGGAGTCCGTCAACCGACACCCGTTCATTGTCAATCTGTACTACGCCTTCCAGGATCACGAAAAGCTCTATCTCATTCTCGAGTATGCGCAGGGAGGAGAATTGTTCCACCATCTTGCCGCTGAGCGCATGTTCACGGAGGAGGTGACAGCCTTCTACATGGCGGAGATGGTGCTCGCGCTGGACCATCTTCACCGCACCGTCGGCGTCATCTACCGCGATTTGAAGCCCGAGAACTGTCTCCTAGATTCTGAGGGCCATCTGCTCCTGACAGATTTCGGCCTCAGCAAGGTCTCCCTAGACGAGGACAATCCCTGCCGCTCCTTCCTCGGCACAGTCGAGTACATGGCCCCCGAGGTTGTGCAAGGCATCGACTACGGCGCAGCGGTAGACTGGTGGTCTCTCGGCGCCCTAGGCGTCGATCTACTAACAGGCAACCCCCCTTTCACAGGCAACAACAACGCCAAAATCCAAGAGAAGATCGTCAAGCAGAAACTCGCGCTCCCCTACTACATGAGCGCCGACGCAAAGGACCTCCTCACGCGCCTGCTGCGCAAAGAGCCCAAGAAGCGCCTCGGCTACAACATGCCCAAAGACCTGCAGATCATAAAGAGCCACCGCTTCTTCCGCAAAATCGACTGGAAGAAACTCCAGGCCCGCGAGCTCGAGCCGCCCATCCAGCCCCTCATCACGGATCCCGAACTCGCGGAGAACTTCGCCCAGGACTTTACCGATCTGCCGCTCAGCCCGGTGCTTGTGCGCGACGACCTGGGCGACTTTATGAGCGAGTCGCAGTCGAATCCGTTTGGAGGGTTTAGCTTCGTGGCTAGCTCGAGCTTGCTGGAGGCGGGAGAGTGGGGGTACTAGATGATTCATGGGTTTGGAAGACGTTAGATGTCGGTTTTGGATTATGGTTACGTTTGATGTATTGCTTCGTTGTTTTCGCATTACGAGACGGTTTTGATGCATGTATGGTCTGTGGTATTTTTGACTTTTGCGAGGTAGATCGTGATTGCATAGCGGGTGTCGTAGAAACCTAATTATCGCATTATTGGTTGATATCTCGATGAGTCTTTCATGCTCTCTCTATTAACTGAGCTTTGAATGTCCTGCACCAGATATTTCGCACCTTGTCGACGTAATTGGAACTATGCCGATCAATCGGCAGTCCCTCCTCCCCAGCCAAAACAGACAGACGGGTACTTACAAAAAACACAACTACCCAACAACAACCTTACGTCTATCTGCAACACACAAAGACAGCAAAAAAAGAATCCAAAAAGAAACGTGCCCATTCTCGGAATCGAACCGAGGATCTTCTCATTACGCATTCAGAAGGTACGAGTGAGACGCTGTACCACTAAGCCAAACGGGCGTGTTGACAGTATTTTTTAAACATGCTTGTATGTATTGTGTGGTCATGAGACTGAGACTTGTCCCGATGACGCTCAAGTCCTGTATCCTAACGTAAGTTTCTGGTGAAAAGGTAGCAGCGGGGCGCAGAACCACATATGTGTGATTTGTGGAGTCTGGACTAGGACAACATAGCTCAATTGGTGCTATGGGCTACCAGTTCAAACCTCCTCCTTATTCGATATTCAAGGTAGAACAGCTAGATCGCAGGATACATAGATGATCTCCCAACAACTCTTCACAGTACATATTTTCTCAACATTCACAGCTTCTGTAAACCCCCAAGTCACGCACACATCACCCCACACCTCCAACAGGCAGAAAACCCACCTGCAAAAGGCCACATAAACACAGAACGAAGATATATATTCCACTACACAACACGCGACAACGCTACACAGCTACTTTCGCCACCATACCGCGCAACCCAACCAACGCCCTAAACAGCCCCTTCGCAGGCAGACTCGCGTGGCTGGGCCCGCTCTCCTCGAACAACTGCTGCAGCTGTTCCGACTTGACGACCGTCCTGTCATGTTCGGAACCGGGGACGACGATAGCGTCGGCGAGTGTGAGGGTCTCTGTGGAGGTCTCCAGGTCTCCGTCGACGTGCATGTCCGCATCCGCATTGTAAGAAGTGCGTTTCAGCTCTGCTTTTTCCTCTGGCGGGGGGGTGAGGAGCTGGAGGGGTTTCGCAGTGGGGCTGATAGTGCGGAGGGAGGAAGCGGAGTCGAGGGCGATGTATCCGGACTCTGTTTTCTGAGACGCGAGGGAGAGGATGATGCCGGGGATTTTTGTTGACCAGAGCGTTTCTTGGTGCTGGGGGTCGAAGACCATGATTTTGGAGGATGCGCGCTTTAGGCGGGAGGTGGAGGATTCGTTCTTCTCGAACTGCGGTAGGGAGACGGCGAATGTGTTGTTTGTTTCGTTGACGGCGAAGCGGACGACGGAGATGCGGTCGAAGCGGTCGATGCCGGGGGTGTTGATGGGTACGCAGGAGACGAGTTGGTCGAGGACCATGTCCCAGACGGTGATCGAGTCCCCGACGACGACAAGATGGCGGCCGACGATCCCCACGCTGCAGAGTGCGGTGACATCGATTTCTGTTATGGATCGGCGGATGGTCGCAGTGTTGGTGTCAATGAGGTGGATGACTCCAGGGTCCGACTCAGACGCCCAAGAGAGAGCGACAGCAAGTACCGAACCGTCTGCGGAGAAAGCCAGTCGAGAGGTTCGGAGCGGAAGAGACAGCTGTGAGCCCGCGCTTGCTTCGACAATGTCAAGCTTATCGCTAATCTCAACCGAGCGGTCCAGAGACCAAGTGACCAGTCCTGTCTCATCGACGCCACGAACCACGGTCCCGTCCCGCAACCGTGTCTTGGGCCTCCAAATTCGTACAACGTGGTCCTCGCCGACAGTTGCGAATCCGACAGAAGTAGGGTCGGCAACTACATCGAATGCCCTACCGTTACCGCAGACGTCTTCGAAGAAATGTGGTCCATCAATTCGGGCTTGCAGTTTCCACTGTCCTTGCTGTTCATCGCGTTGCCACAACTTGAGATACACCTCACGGCGTTGCAAGCGCTCCTCCTCATTGAACTCGGGAATACCTTCATTGAGATATCCTGTGTCCGATCGTGGCGGGACCCATTCGTCCACGGTGGCAAGCCACTCGCCATCGTGACTGACTTGGAGCATTCTCACGTTGGGCTCGATGATTCGACGGCCTTCGGGTCCCATGTTGGGATCCGTGGCGTTGTTGCGTGTCAACGCCTGTCGGAAGAGTGGACGCTGGTGCGCCATGTCAAAGGTCTGAAGATATGGTTCAGGGCGAAGACCCTCGTTCTTTTGACGTGGTTGCGACGAGGGCACCGAGAAGAGTACTTCTCTTGGATTTCTGGGGTTGATAGCCATGGGTATTTCATTGAAGATGTTGAACGAAGCCTTGCTTGAACTTGATTCTTTGGGAAGCTGCTCGAGGTCTACACGTCGTGATTGTATGCCTACGATGTTGGTTCTGGCCTCCAGTTCAGTTGTTGAGAGCACGATGACGGAGTTGTTGGCGAGCGACAGCGCGTACGAGGAGCCGGTGGGAGACACAACGACGTTTTCAATGGCTGCAGTAAGATGGGGCAGGTGCTGCGGCTTCCCAGTAGCTAGCTGCCAGATGGTGAGAACAGTCTCATCGCCTCCAGAGACGAGGTAGTTGCCTGGTATTGTTAGAGGATGAACATGTGGGGATATTTGCGTTGCACTTACCATCCAGAGACCACTTAATTGAGCCAACCGCGTCTCTGTGCCAGTGGAGACGCTTGGGCCTGAGACTCTCAGCATTGTCTATTCTGCCCTTGTTGTTCTTCTGATTGATTTCGATCGCCGCAAAGCTTGCCAGGATGTCCTCAAACAAGAGTATGACACCAGTCTCGTCTCCAATCGCGATGTCGAGAAGATCCCTCCGGTCTTGGACTTGTTTCTTCGCTTTGTCTGAGACCTCGGGCTCGCGAATGTAGGCGTTGAAGGTGGTGATGCGCTTAGAGAGCTTGAACTCGCGCCAGACATATTCGAAATCTTGCACAGCCGTCATGGTGAGTTTCAAGCGCTTGCCGACTGTGATAGACTCGGCGGTCGCAACAACAACCACATTGCCTTGCAGGAGGACCTGGAAACCAAGAATTGCCGAGTTGGTCTTGAGGATGCGCTTGAGTTCCGTCTGCGATGCCTGGGCCTTGGTGCGGAGAGCATGCACGTTGAGGATGTGACTATTGCCAGTCTCGTGGCAATAGACCAGGTCATCGGTAGAGTCGGGCTGGGTGATGACAGCCATGTTTCGCACCGTGGCGCCAATCTCCCAGCGTCCGATCTTGGTGCCATCGACCCAGTCCCACAGTGTGATAAGGCCATTGGAGTCGGCGACGTAGACCTGGTTGGGCTTGGTGGTTGACAGGGCATATGCGGTAAGCACGCCCGCGCCGCCGGCAGGCAGAGTACGAGCGAGGAGGGATGTCTCGGTCGAGTAGATCTGGAGCGATCGGAGGTTGGCGAGGATCAGGTACTTCTCGTCGGGAGAGAAGATGGGGTCGGTGGGCAGGAACCATCCTCCGTGCGAGGGCGATATGGACCATTTGGGCGGCTTCTTGGTCTTCTGCTTCTTCGTCTTGCCAGAGCTTGTATTGGGAATCTCAACCGTGACGACTTCTTTGGACTCGGTGTTGCTCTGCGCCTTCTTGTCCTTCTTCGCCGACTTGTCTGCCTGCTGTGTCTGCGCCTTGGTGTCCTCGGCCTGCTCTTGTACGCCCACCGCCGCGTCCTCTGCGCCGTTCAGCTTCTCCCGGGCCTGCTGTCTTCGCTGCGCCTTGGTCAAGGCAGCGGGAGTGCCCACGGGTGTATCTACCACCTTTCCGCCCTCTACCCCCCCGCCCTGGCCCTTGTTCTTCTTCTGGTCCTTGGGCGCTGTCGGTGGTGTGGTGGCAGGCGCATTCCCGTCGCTCTTTCTCTGCGTCTTCGCCTTTTTCCGCTGCGCATCTGCGCCTTCCCTCTTCCTCTTCAATTGCGGGGTCGAGTCCGCCATATTGGTAGCTTGGACTGTTCGAAATGGGCAAAAGTTGGCGAATGGTGAAGTTGCACCAGGCCGGCAACCAAAAAAGTCGTCGAGATTTTTAGACGGGGACCAGTCCAAGCTTTTCACCGCCCGGCAGCCTTAGCGCGGAATTTCTTTGACGAACCATTGCGAACTCCCCAGCAACAACGACGCGCACTCGACCTGACCGGACCTGCCTTCTTTGCTCTCGACTCTCGCGCAAGCCTGTCGCACCATCCCCTCGCACTTTCTCCAGCTTCCACCGACCGTCAAGATGATTGTCCCCATCCGTTGCTTCTCCTGCGGCAAGGTACCACATCCTCACACGCAGCTCTCAGACGGCGGCGCATACTGACTGTTCCGCAGGTCACGGGCGACCTCTGGGAGCGCTACATGGGCATGCTGAACGAAGGCAGTTCTGACGTGTAAGCCTCCTCCATGCGCACCACAACACTCTTGCGCGTCCCTCCATCCTCGACCACCCATCCAAACACCCACCCACCCCACTACTTCCACCCCAAGCCACGCCCTTGCTAACCCACCGCGCCCCCCAGCGACGCCCTCGACGCCCTCGGCCTCACGCGCTACTGCTGCCGCCGCATGATCCTCACCCACGTCGACCTGATCGAGAAGCTCCTCAAGTACGTCCCCAGCGCCGACACGGCCGCCCAGCAGGCAGACATGCGCGAAGCGGCCCGCCGTTAAGAAGCCCAAACGTCCCGGTCAGGGGCTAACACGTACTTCTAGATACAACGCCAGCGAACGGGAACAGGCACGCGCCGCCCGAGGTGGGCGGTGAGAAACACAGACCTTGAAGTCTTGAAATTGCTCAGAGAGGAACATGGGCTGAATAATCGGAGTTTGTGACGGCATTTGCGTGGGCGTTTTTGGGGCACGAACTTGTGCGCGTTAGGGACGGGACGTTCAGCTAACCGCGGTTTTGGTATTGTTGGACATTGCGAAGAATGATATTCTGTCGAGTCCAGACTGCGTCCAGTGTGTCTGCCAATGTCAAGAGGTTTTTGAATTCGAGGACATTGATATTTCTTCTAGGCTTCGAAGAGAAATACGACATATAAATCCTGGACCCTGACCTGGCAAAGAAACCACGCGAAACATTTATTACATTCAAGCACACAGTTACCAACAACACGATACCCATCTACACACTAAGCCCCAATCAACACCCCTTCTTCACGCCGAACACTCCCCTCCCCCCCAATGCGCACCCACCCACTCCGTCATGATATCCGTAAAACTCTTCCCCCCATCATACACCTCCGTATCCCCCACCGCGCACTTATGCCCCACATACTCCAGCGCAAGCAACACCCACGTCTGGATAAACTCATTATACATGACATCGACCGTCTGCGGCTCCTGCGCATCCGTCACGTTGAACCCGACGGTGGATTGGATGCAGTTGGGCACGCGGTAGAACGGGATGGGCACATGTAGCGTGTCGTCGCCGTCCTGGCCCGCGTCGTCGTGGGTTGTGTAGCCGGGGAATATATTGCCGTTGTCGTTATCGGCGATATTGGGCGACGAGATGGGGACTTGCTGCTGCTGGGGGTGCGCGAACATACTGCCATCTCGGTCTGCAGTGTGTAGATGCGGACGGTACTTTGCCGCCGCCATCTCAGGGGGCTGCAACACCGCGTTCCGTGCCATCATCTCCATCAGGATGGGGCCCTCGTGGTTCAGCAGCTCGAGCACCTGCACCGCAGCCTTATACGGCACATCTCTCACGGAGCGTATCGCGCTCGTGAACGGCGAGACGAGGAACTTGGTGTCCTTTGTGAAAGCGCCCTTGAAGATGTCGAAGCGGATGGCGCCCGTATTGGTGAGGACCAGAGCCTTGGCGCCGTTGCGGATACGGTCTGATGTGCCGATGGACTGCGGGAGTAGCTCGCTTCCGATCCATGTGAACACGCTCTCCGGGTGCGGGTACGGGCGTCTGCTGACCCAGAGGTCGCGTGGCGCGCAGCCGTAGGTTTTGCCCAAGCCGAGGGATTGTCGGGCTTCGCTGATTTGGCGGGAGGCGTTTAGGCCGCGGGGGGTGGGGAATGTGGATTCGTCTTTGCTGGCGTGGTAGCGCAGGGAGAAGAGGTTGTTGTCGATGTAGCGGCGGGAGAAGATTAGTTTGGGTTGTTGTTGTTGTTTGGCGGCGTGGTGGGTTGTGCTGCTGGTGCTGAGGCCGGAGATGGATTGGAAGCCGAGGGTTTCCATGTAGCGGCCACTTTCGAGCGCGACGGATAGGGGGTCGAAGATCTTGTAGTCCTGGGGTGGGTTAGCTTGGTGGTGGGAGTGTGGAATATGTGAGTGTTTGTACCCTGATGTGCGAGTGACCGCCGAAGAACTGGATTGGCAGATCGTTGTGAGCAGCTCGAATCGTGGAGAATAGTAGAGCATATTCGGTGGATCGGATATCGACGTGACCGAATACAATGATCAAGTCGAGGTCCTTGTCCTTGAGAGCGTCTTTGAACCAGTCTTCGTTGACTGTGTCCTCAACCCTTTGCACAACCGTGTTGTTAGCATTCGCAGCGAAATCAAAGATGAAGCCAAATGCCAGGATCCTAATCCTCTGGTTTTTGGTCTTGAACTTCTTGAATCGAGGAGCAAGTGGTACCAGCTCGCCTGTGTCTGGACTATATATATCTAAGTTGGAGGCAAGATAGTGGCCCTTGAAGTCCCGGACTGTGTGGTAAAACTCCCCTTCAGCAGTGTTTGCTTTGTAGAGCTCATGGTTGCCAGAACTGATCAGGTCGATGCGCTGCTCCTTGGCGATTTCGTAGGTGAACTTTCCACGTGGTTTGGAAGAGTCGTAGATGGCATTCCCTTCCACGCGGTCGCCAGTGTCGATAAGTAGCAGGTCGGAGCCATCAGCATCTGCTTTGTCTTGGAGGTGTTGGGCAAAGGATATGTAGTCGCCCCAGTCGGACGAGAATGATGCTCTGTTACGTGTTAGGCAGGTCCCAGTACGAACTGTGAGTTGATTTAAAAAGATCAGAACTTGGCCAATGAAATACGGATAAACATAGACGTCTTGGATGCACTGCAGATGGAGGCGCAACGGTAAAACTGCCCAACATAGATTGTACCACACGTATTCCAGCGGTTGTTTCTTGCATAGTGTACTTGGACAGATGTATTTCAACAGAGCATCTCGAGTCTACTCACTCTTGGAGGTGCCCGCCCCACCATCCATGCACGTCGGTTGTGTGCAGGAAGTTCAACTGGCCCCAAGGCAGCTCACGAAGGGGTGCTGCAATAGGTGATGGAGCTTCTGGCTGGACGCAGAGCGCGCCCTGGAAGATGGCGAGCAGCACGACTGCAGAATTCAACATGGCGAGGGAAGTGTTCAAGTTTGCCTTCTACGAGTGCAGATGCTGTGATCAGACGACCATCTAGGTGGTGCTGTAGTCACGCCCGGTGGCAGCCTGCAGGAATGACTAAGGCTTGTTGCGGACTGAATGAGACCGAGCAAAAGCAACGAAAGCAAGACAAGATGGCACAGTGCTCGGATCAGGGGGAGATAAACAAACGGTGGGGAGCCAATTAGGTTAGTGACGTCTGACGGTGAATGGTTCCTGTTGGGAGGTGAGGCGTTGGCCGACGCTCAGTCCACCCCGGAGAGGCAGGCTAAAATCGCTGATGTCCCTGCCGCCGTATTTTTTTGAGCTCACAACATCCCCAACCTCGCCATTGCGAATCCACCCAACTTTTCCACACACTTTCCATTGAATCTGCATCGCACACAATGGCTCGTGTTGCAGCCCCCCGCGCCGCGAGCGCAAAGCCTGTCGAGACGAAAGACGCCAAAGTAAACGGCACGGGTACGTCACAGCTCCCGCAGCTCTCACAGCTCTCGCTAACGCGCGAAGCTGCACGGCCAAGCCGCGCAAAGAAGCCCGAGAGCGCGCCTGCTGCTGCGCCCGCTACAAATGGCACAGCTAAAGAGCCTGCCAAGCGGATTGCACGCGGTCGCGCAAAGGAGCCCGAGCCCATCCTCTCTGAGCCCGAGCCCGAGTCCGAGTCGGAGCCCGAGCCCGCGCCGAAGAAGACGACGACGAAGCGCAAGAAGGACGAGTCGAGCGAGCCTGAAGCCGACACGGCGCCCGCGAAGAAGGCCAAGGTCGACAAGCCAAAGGCCGCGCTGAAGAAGCCCAAGGCCGCCAAAGTCGTCAAGGAGCCGTCGAAGCCGCTGCCCAAGGGCCCGCGTCGCATGAAGGGCAAGAAGAACGAAATCAACGCGATCCAGTTCACCGAGCCGTTGAAGGTCTTCGTCTTCGGCGAGGGCAGCTCCGGCGAGCTTGGCTTTGGCGCGACCAAGAAGGCCATCGACGTGAAGCGACCGCGTTTCAACGAGGCCCTCAGCAACCACAATGTCGTCAGGATCGCGACAGGCGGCATGCACGTCGTCGCGCTGACCAAGGACAACAAGATCCTGACCTGGGGTGTCAACGACAACGGCGCCCTGGGACGCGACACATCGCACGTCGAAGCCAAGATGCGCGACCTTGACGCCGACGAATCCGACTCTGACTCGGAAGACGAGACTGGCGGCCTGAACGACGCCGAGGCCACGCCCACAGCCGTGTCGTCAGAGTACTTCCCCGAGGACACAGTCTTTGTCGACATCGCTGCTGGCGACAGCTGCTCCTTTGCCCTCACCACCGAGGGAGCCATTTACGGCTGGGGGACCTTCCGCAAAAACGAGGGCATTCTCGGTTTCGAACGCGGCAGCCACACCGCGCGCTTCCCTGTCTACATCGAGGGTGTGACCAAGGTTACTCAAATTGCCTGTGGTACCAACCACGTCCTTGCCTTGGACAAGGACAGGCACGTCTATGCGTGGGGCAACGGCCAGCAGAACCAGCTTGGTCGTCGCGTCACCGAACGTACACTCACAGAGTCACTGCAGCCCAACCGTGTTGGCTTCCACGACAGCTCCTTCAAACGCCCAAGCCAGCGCATTGCGCAAATCGCTTGTGGAGACTACCACGGCCTCGCCATCGCCGAGGACGGCCACATCTGGGCTTGGGGCGCAAATAACTACTGCGAGACGGGTTATGCTGAGAATGCAGGCGCAGACGATGCCAGTGTCCTAGCCCCAAGGATCATCCAGAGCCTCGAAGGCAAGAACATCGAGACCATATCAGGAGGCTCGCATCACAACATTGCTATTACCAAGGACGGGCAAGTTCTGGTCTGGGGTCGCTGTGATGGCTCGCAGACTGGTATCCCAGCTTCGCAGTTGGACGCCCAGGAGGATGGGGAGAAAGTGTTGAAGAACAACGGCAAGCCCAAGATCCTGATCGAGCCCACGCCCATCCCCAGTCTCAAGAACATCGTTGCCGGCTCATGCGGGCCCGAACACACCATCGTCGTCGACAAGGATGGCAAGGCGTACTCATGGGGCTTCTCGGCAAACTACCAGACCGGCCAGGGTACCGACGATGATATCGATGAGCCCACCGCGATCGACAACACCGCCGTACGCGAGACGAAGCTTGTATGGGCTGGTTGCGGCGGCCAGTACTCCATCGTAGCGTCGAAGAAGGAGTAAAGGTGCCAGGAAATGTCAGACACTGGTATTAGGTAATACACGTTCTGTGCCCCTGCACCGACTTACACCAGCAACAAATTGCACACGTTCTATCTATCGGAGATTTAGTCATTGTTACGCCCCTCGTGGGGATTTCAGACTTGCATAAAAGGCGTTCAAGGGGCATAGCGTAGGCTTTTGGTTTTTGATTCTGGTTCGATTCTGTTTTCGTTCCTTTCGGTTCACACGTACAAGATTGTTCTGTCTTTTCGGCACCGCTAGGGTCTAGGGTTGGGACGAATTACGTCGTCATGCCCAAGGTGTTTTTTGGAGGATTGGTCTAGCTGTGGTTGTCCGCATCGCTTGTAATAGTAGAATGCTAGCATCTTTCGAAATGGTTTCTCGTGTTGAAGTGCCTTTCTGTGCGTGATGGTATTTGTGTTGGTATACTGCGAACATGCTCGAATTCGGAACTTGAATCCAGATGTCTGCTTCTCTCTGTATATCTCCATCGACCATGCTCCATGTGTCGTTCAAACATGCATTGCTGATATGGCGCAACGAAGCAGCCGATGCGCTGAAACTCCATGTCCCGATAATGCTCTCCATGCGTAAATGTACACAAGCTTTACAAACTCCCCACATTCGTAGGCCTCGCCATCATCCACTCCCCTCTCCATCCCGTCACGAAACCGGCGCCTCCCCACCCTCCTTCAACCCCTCCAACGTCCTCCTAACATCAACATGCTCAACGATACTCTGCCCCCCACCAACACCCACACTCAGTATATTCTCCCCATACGGATGACTCCTCCCCTCAAACGTCTTCAGCCTAGCCAGCCTCTCCTTCCGCAGCCGATTCTTAGGCAACATGCCACTAACCGCCTTGCGCAGCACCTCGCCGCCGCCCCACTTCGCCATCATGCGGTCCATGCTGATCTCCTTCAGACTGCCCGGCCGCGTCGTGTGCGTGCGGTACAGCTTCTGGAACCGCTTCTTGCCCGTCACGTGCAGGTTTGCGCAGTCGATGGCTACTACGTAGTCGCCGCAGTCGGTCGATGGGTCGAAGATCGGCTTGTGCTTGCCCATCAGTGCCAGCGCGATGGCGGAGGCGACGCGGCCGAGGGCGCGCGGGTCGGAGCCGATGTCGAGGAGGTGCCAGGAGCGGGCGTAGGCGAGGCGTGTCTTGGGGGAAGTCAGTGTGGGAGTTGTTTGCATGCGGAGGTCCGAAGACGTACCTTGCCTATTACTTGTGACATGCTGGGCACGGCCAATGGCCCTTTTTATGCTATTTCTTGGTCGGCTTTGAATGTATACCGGACCCCAAGCCTGTGTATTAGTGGTCAAGGAGTGGACGCGTTCGCGGGACTGGTCGCAAGATCGATGTCAAGATGCCAAGCGGAATCCGAACATTTCCCACGAAAGCACATGCACGTGATCAGTGAGGGATCCCCGGCTGGGATGCAGGTGCGGGCCGACGATGGATTTCAAAGCGAACAGAAGAGGGTGAACATATTGTCAAACACCAAAATCTTATTCTTCTTCCTTCACAGTCTGCGATCAACTACACGAATCTCACAATGACGGTACCGGCGTTTGAAACTATCTTCGCCGTGCCCATGACCTGCGAGGCATGCGTCAAGGACATCGAAGGGTCCCTTCATCACTTGAGTGGTACGAGCGCTATCGCTATCATCAATGCACGTCATTCGGTGGTACATGTCTCTAACGAGCAAAACGCAGGAATCAACAAGATCACAGCAAATCTCAAAGACCAGTTGGTAGCTATTGAGGGCACGACTGCGCCGTCGGCGATAGTAGAAGCTATCCAAGCAACAGGGCGCGATGCTATTCTACGTGGATCGGGCAAGTCGAACAGTAAGTTTGACACATCACCAAGACTTGCAGTTTTACCACCACAAAATGTGGCTATGTGGTATTGACATGACTGCATAGGCGCCGCGGTATGCATCCTAGAGTCGCACGCCTCACATGTGGAGAACAAAGTGCGCGGCCTGGTCCGCATGGTGGAAGTAGCAGCCAATATGACCATCGTGGATCTCAGCATACGAGGACTGTCACCCGGGACGTACCAAGCCACGATCCGGGAATCTGGCGACATCTCCGAGGGGCCTGAATCTACGGGCGGCATCTGGGAGGCTGTCAAGGCGAAGCAAGAGGGCAAGCCGTGTCGAGGCGTGTTTGGCACGGTTGAGGTGGGAAAGGGCGGTGTCGGCGCGGTGTTCTTGGACAAGCCGATTCAAATCTGGGAGATGATTGGGAGGAGTATTGTGGTTGCGAGGGAGCAGGATGGGAAGGTGAGTAACGAGTGGGGGCCTGGTGTTGTTGGGCTGTTGTGGCGCTGACTTTGGTGTGCAGTTCGATAAAAATGATGCGGATACGTTGGTCGGCGTTATTGCTCGAAGCGCTGGCGTTTGGGACAGTAAGTTATCTTGTCATTTTTTTCGTGTATTTCACCCGCCGAATCCGCCTTGCCTCTCTTTCAGTCTTTCATGTCCTTCTGTACCTCTGTCCTGCTTTTCCATTTCTATAGCCGCTAACTATGACAGATGACAAGACTGTGTGCTCATGCTCGGGCAAGACGGTCTGGCAGGAAAGAGAGGAACAGCGGGATCGCGGCATGCTATGAGCCTTGGTAAGAAAGACCGAGTTGAACAAGACTCTGTGTGGAAATGAAGTACCGCTAGACAAGCCGCGTCTTGCGAGCTGCCTTGATATTCGGGCCAACTCGCGTACCTGCATGAACTCGGGCTCTGTACGCCCTGCAACTCTTCATGCAGTCTGCCTTGGGAACGCCAGTGGACAGAACGACTAGAAATTACATCACGTGGCTGTCTCAGTCGCGCCTATGCCCTGTGACAAACTTCAAACGCCATCAAATCATGGCTCCAAGCAACTACGTGAATCCTACCCTCGCCGCAGAGCTGCGTTGTTATCATGTGCGGCGAAAGGGGGCTGACAGCGCTTGAGCGAGCAGTTGGGTCTATCGGGGCATCGGATGGCGGTGGTGTCATGCGGGTAGGAGTTGGGTCGAGGTGTCTGGAAGAGCCTCCAAGCGCCGTGGATGTCGGTTTCACGATGCAGGGGTCCAATCACCACGGCGGACTCGGTGCCGGCCAAGGGCTGGTCTTTCGAGACGCGCCGGGCCTCAGATTCGGCCTGCCCACCTGTGCCAGTCTGCAACCGCCCGTCAAATCCTCGCCGTGTCCCCGTTGTGTTCGTGGTATATCGTCTGGTCTTCCTCCCTCCTCGCACGACTTATCCGAGTCTTGTTAATACACGCGTGTCTCGCACGGCTTTTTGCTAGACGCGTACCCCGCGGACTCTCCTCCGAGGTCTTTCGAGCGTCATAATTGGCACGACAAATATCGCCTACCACTACTCGACGTTGCGCAAGATTGAAACTTTTTTGGGCTACGTTGTGATCCGCCACAAAAATAAAAGAGAGGGTTTCCAGCTGGCAGCACTCAAGACGACTAATTACCCCTCATCTGTGGAGAGGCGGCGTCTTGAGGCTTAGCAGCACCCTACCGCCAGATACACAGTAAAAAATAGCTAAACGTCATGTCTCTGAAGCAGGTGCGCTCCTTCCCTCCACCCTCCACTGCTCCTTCCGAGTCAATTACTGATAGTGGGGCAGGAAATCGAGACGTGGGTGGCAGCCCTCGCCAGCTACGACAACAACGAGTTCGACGTCGCGTTGAAGGTCTTCGACCAAATCTCAGACACATCGAAGATCCTGTTCAACTCTGGCGTCATCCACGCTACACTCGGAGAACATGAGAAGGCAGTGAGTGAAGCACAAACATACCCGACGGAAGAAGGAATGTATGCTCATAGCCACGCAGGTCGATTGCTACCAAAGGGCTGTGAAGATGGACCAGTACCTCGCCGTAGCCTACTTCCAACAAGGTGTCTCGAACTTCTTGATGGGCGACTTTGAAGAGGCTCTTGCCAACTTCAACGACACGCTTCTCTACCTGCGCGGGAACAACAACATCGATTACGAACAGCTCGGGCTCAAGTTCAAGCTTTACTCTTGCGAGGTCCTCTTCAACCGCGGTCTCTGCTACATATACCTGCAACAACGGGAATCAGGGTTGCAAGACCTGCAATTCGCAGCGAAAGAGAAGGTGGTCGCAGACCACGATGTGATCGACGAGGCCATCAGGGAGGAAGCAGAGGTACGGGCGAGCACTGATATGGCAGAAAGCTCAACTAACGACCTATAGGGCTACACGGTCTTCTCTATTCCAGTCGGCATCGTCTACCGACCCAACGAAGCCAAAGTCAAAAACCTCAAGACAAAAGACTACCTTGGGAAGGCCCGTCTAGTCGCCGCCTCAGATAGAACAAACGCATTCACCGGGTTTTCTGGCGCTGAGCTGAAGAAGTCGAACAATATAGTCAAGGACGACAGGCCTGAAGACAAGATCTCATTCGCCGCGACAAACCTGGTCAAACCAGAGCTTCAGAGCAGAGTGCGTCAGCAGTCGGAGCCGCCAAGAAACCGCGATGTCTTCCCTCCTACTCCACCACCAGAGTCGGAGAGCCGGAGGTCTGCTGGCAGCAGCGATGGCCCTACAACGACGCGTGCCCAGTCTGTCCGCGGCGGTGGGCCAAAACCTCAAGCCTTGAACCTCGGAAGAGCTGCCTTTGACCAACAAGGCGATGCCACTCGGCGCCTTCCTACACAACGCTCCATGTCCGAGCGACCGCCTCAAAGTCGTCCCGAACACCGCCGTTCCGAGTCGATGCGTAATCGACCGACACCGCGTCGGAACGAGGAGCCACGTCGTCGCGGATCAGATGACGATATAATCGATGACTACTATGACGATCTTGACTCGTACCAGCCGCAGCGGGGCAACCGCCCCTCATATGCTCGCTCCAGGCAAGGCGGGTCACGGCGTCCCGCATACATTGAGGAAGAGGAAGAAGACGACTACGACGGAAGCGACCTAGATGACGCCGAGTTCGAAATGTTGTCCCGCAACTCAAAGTCCAGGCGGAGATCGCCTGCGCGCTCGGCCCGACCTGGTGGCGCCAGTGTCGCTAATCGCGGTGGCATAGGCGGTAAGATCAAAGTCAAGGTGCATGCTGGTGACACGCGATATGTCTTCCTCAGCCCCGATATGGAGATGCGCGAGTTCGTACAGTCTATCAGAGAGAAATTCGGCATAAGACACAACTTCAAGATCGAAATCAAGGACGACGGCGACATGATCACCATGGCCGATCAAGATGATCTGGAGATGGCGATCGAAACGGCGAGAGATTCAGCACGGAAAGAAGGCGGTGACGTGCCAAAGATGGAGGTAAATTCCCACCTATCCCCAATGCCGTACCTTTGGAACACGTGCTAACAAATATACAGGTTTGGATCAAAGAAGTGTAGACACAGAGATACCCCAGCAAATCAGCAACTTCTTTACGACTTTTTCCTTTCTTATACTTCTTTGTATCGCATCTTGATTAGCCCTCCCCTTCCCTCCCCCATATTGTCTGGAGCTGCGGTAATGTAGCGAGTTTGTTGTTCTTCGTATATCCATCTTTTTGTGTCTTTCGCAGCCGGACTGTTGGACGTTGGGAATAGAGTAGTGATGGCTGGCTTGTACAATTGTTGTAATTCATGACTATGACTATGACTATGACTATGACTATACCCGTATGTTCTTCACGCTGAAGTTCTGAACACGGAAACCTCCGTCATGTGAAAGTGTTTCTGAATGGTGTTTGACATTGCAAAACACCACCCAAGTGATGACATGACAAAGGCGACTCCGTATGTGAGAGAAGACGCAAGAAGAGATAACAGGGGAACGTCCATGCGACCCAGCGGAACCAAGCATCTGTCACGGAAGGAGATATCCTGAGACGAACGGTTTCTGAAACGAGCATAGCAGGGCTTCTCGAACGGTTCCAAGACGATCCCTAGGAGCATGTGCGGGCAGGTCGTCGAGGAATCACTGGGCGTGAGGTGTACTAATGATACACATATTGTACAACTCCGACCTAGTCGATGGTAAAACCCTCAAACTGAAGGGTACAGGATGTGTGAAATGTCCTGCCAGAACGCCATTTCCCATGCCTTCTCTCTCAGATATCACATCTCATGTTCGCATGAACGAGCTTCTTGCACGACTCATAATTCCAGCCGCTCTGCACATCCATCCCCACCCCCCTCACTCGTAATAAACGCTGCGTTTACGCAGGAAGCAGGATCTCAGCCCAACTGCTGTGCAGGAACGTAACGCCGATCTAGGCACGCATTGTCAGCCTTCGTTCTTCAAAATCCATACCTGCGCATTTCGTGCTTGACCCCTCCATCTCCCGTCCTCGCATCGCTCGGTGGAAAAAGCTTACAGCAAACATGCCAATCGCGGTGATGACGCTCCTGTTCTCCTTGCTTGTGACGGCGTGCAGCGTGGTCTGCGCGAAGTTCGGTTCCGCGAGGGCGCGGCCCTTTCCGTGGATTTGCTTGGGTGGCATGGTGGGGGAGGGTTCTGGGCTGCGCGTTAGGTTTGCAAGGTTTTGAAGCTGGAGTTGTGGGTGCGTACTGATTGAGTGGGATGTGTGGGTGTGGTGCTTGTTTGACGTCAATGTGCTGCTGGGTGATGGTGACGATGATGATGCTTGAGAAACTTTTGGCTCGCTTATGTAATGCTACTTCTCTTAACACCGTCACTTTCACTGGGTTATTGGGTTGCTATGATAACATCATAATCATGTATGCATCTTTCAAATATTGCTCTCCACGATCTAATCACTCGCACTCACACATCAAAACTCTTATCCATGAGCAGGCGTTATATATTAACTCGCTATATACAACGCATATCCACTCAATCAACTCTATTCCATCTCGCCAGCAAATACCAGCGTCGACACAACCTGATGGTGTGCCATCGGAAAAAACTCCAATCTATGCAACGACCCACAATCATTCATTCGTTCATGCCACCCTCATCGAGACGTAGAAGTCTCGTTGTACACAAAAATATGCCCGCCAGGCTAGCACCTGGATCTCAAAAGCATGAACATGGAACACGGATAGCACCGGTCCTCCTGAAAGGGGGTAATCTTTGTAGAAGTGAAAAATAAAAAAAACGCGCAGCAAAAGAGCAAAATGGCAGAGGGAAGAAATGTCGGAAAGATCAGTGAGTCGAACAAAATGGTGGAGTGATAGTTTTCGAGTTTTTTTGGCCAATTGGAAAAAAAGCAATCGTAGGTCCAGCGTCATGCGGAGCCCCGCCGGGACGGAAGGTGGGTTATCAGGATGGGGCAGGATGGCTTGCAACGAGGCTGATATAGATGCTGAGCATGACGACTGCGAGTCACAGGATGCTGCATCCGTTTCCGGAGGACCTGCCGGGAGCTGTTAGCTTTGCCTAAAGTAGATTTTCGAATCGAGAAGAAGCAATAGTAAATAGCGAGTGACGGGGTGGCTGCAAGAGTACATGCACTATCCGTCATGATGGGGAGAACCACTCACCATCGCTGTCCACGGATCCTTCCAATCCACGAGTACACAATCTTCAGGCGCTCCCGGACCCGGGTAGTCCGAAGCAGCACATACTTTTCTTCCTCGACAATCGGCACTACAGAGGCAAACCAATATGGGAATAGTGCGGGGTCCTCGGGAGGTTCTCCGTAAACCTGGATGATGCGCTCGCGGAGCCAAGGTGCGCTAGCCTCTCTCATCTCTCGAACAAAAGCTGTACAGCTATCGAGTAGTTGTTGAGTCGACAAAACCTCAGTAGCGACGTCAAAAGGAAGGGGGGCCTCGGGATTTTGTTGGAGGTATATCTCTGCGAAATCCCGAGCCATGGTCGTCTCGCGCTGTTCTAAGCCCGCCTCTTCGGCAAGAGAAACGTCTTCGATGCGCTCGACACAACCTACGTTGTATCCGTCGAGCATGCCGTGGTCCTTAATCTTGAATCGGCCGATACCTCGTGTCTCCACAAAGCTACGCCCGTCACGGAGGAGCTCATAATTGACAATTTCCAGCAGAGTACCGTATTCGAGAAACGGAGTCACGCCCAAATTCCCTTGAGGTGTGGAGGTGCGGTTGGACATGACCATGCCGAACTGTCTGTTGCCTTCGATTACTCGTCGCATCATTAATCGATACCGAGGCTCGAAGACGTGAAGGAATGCAGGCACCGAAGGGAGAGCTAACGTGCAGATGAATAGTGGCGTGGTGAGGATATCGTTCCCGGCCTGTTCTTCTTCCCTATACGCTGCGGCTCGTGCAGTAACAAGGTCCGAACACAGGGCGTTCAAAAGCGAGTTGAGAATAGCATTGCTATGCTGATTCTGCAGTGAAGCAGGCACATACAGCTCCCTGCGGCAGAACGGGCATATGCTGCTATGGTCCATGACACGCTCGAGACAACGGCGGCAGAAAGTATGGCCACATGTGGTGGTTGTTGGATCTAGCATCATGTTATAGCAAACAAGACAGTCAAGTTCGTTGTGCGTGACCTCTCGCAGCCGTTCAGCCAATGCAATATCGAGTTCCTCGTAAGTCTCTCCAGTTGCTGACATGGTGCTATATTCGACTTCAGAGCTGTATCGAAGCTCACCCATCTCGGCCAGGGTGAAGGTTGAGACTAAGCGACCACCATACAGCACCTGATGATGCCCCTTTTCGCTTATGCTTTCTTTCTCTTCATCTTGCTGGTCTTCCTCTTGCAATATCTCTTCAAGTAGTGTTGGGGTGTCTTCGATGGTTGGCCTGTGTCGTACTATCTCGGTCGTGATCTGCTCCATCAACTTTGTCAAGGTCACATCTACAGAACACTCTGCAGACGCATGCTCTGCCCCGCATCCCAGCAATGGACAGGCAACTCCGCTTAGGTGATCTGGTGTGTTCGGATATGATATATTCGTGCGCGGCTTGGAGGGTGGCAGGCAGCCGCGGCAGACGGTGTGACCGCATGGCAACGTCACCGGAGTGCTGAGGGGCCGCGAACACCGTGGGCACTGAACAAGACGAACCAACTGCCTTGCATCGTAGTGGGCAACGGTCAGGTCTTCAGCTTCCAGAGCTCCTACTGAGGGCTCATCGTCGAGCATGAAGACTAGCGGAGGTACTCGTGGTTCGAAGGAATGCTCTACGCTTTTCACGACAGAACACCGTTTTGTTCGTTGACAATTCATGTAGATTCAGGAATTGGGGCGATGGCTATGGCAGCCATGTACTTGTTCAGGCCTGGTCAGGTCTGCTCTGTCGTAGCGGTGGATAGTCGTGGAAGTGGAAGGGAAGGGCGGTGGGCAGTTCGAAGAAGGTAAGGTATCGTGTCGAGATATAAATGCGTTGGTGGTTATGTTTGGAGGCGGAATGCGGGTCCAGAAATATATAGGGCTAGCTGAAACAATTCAATGATGCGATCGTGCCTTCGGACTCCTAAAGCGAGGGCGAGACCGTCAAAGTGCGTGCTGACGCAGGAACGGGCTACCGCGGTAGGTTAAAGCAGTTGAGTACTTTATGAAGGGTACTTTCGTATTGCAGAGGTCCGGATGTGGTTACTATGAAAAAGTGTAATTGTCGGTGGTAAGCGGCAAGGTGGCAGAGTAGATACGAAGGCGAGTCAAACGCGCGACAGTTGGAGAGGTCATGACTTCTTGAACTGTGCATGGATAGCCTTGGATCGGCGATGGTGTTGTCGAAGGCGAAAGACACCTAATGCGCCATCCGATCACTGTGGCAGAATCTGAGTCTAGGGATCGAGCATCACGCCCCTCATCGGCCCCTCCTCCAAGCTCTTCGCGGGACAAGCCAGTATAAACCTCCGCCGCGCGGTCCCCTTCCGCGACGCATATAAACAACTGCAAGCTGCTTCTTCAGTCGTTATTGAAATGGGAAACAGGTCTTCCGTGAATAACCTTCCCATCTGTGTACTTTGAGGAAAGACACCACCGTGTAAATATCGTGTAGTTACGTGCGGGCGCATTATCAGTTACGTGTGCAGGCGCATTATCAGCAACCTGGTACCCGAACACACCATCCACCCTCACGTCCCTGTCTTCGCGCCGTGTAAGCCGCTCGCTTTCGTGAGCTCGTTCCGAGCATGTGCTGTGAGACTGCTAGACCGCAAGGCAGCATCTACAATGTCTGGTGTACAAGAGGATCTAAGACATGTGCAAGCGTCATTGATGCAACATACACAACGTTAAGGCTGACCAATAAAAGTTTGGTTCCCTAGCTGTCAGCAGCATGTGGCACACTTGCGTTTGAGGCTCGCTTGAGCCTGTCTAGACCCTGTCGTGACGACTGCATCTCACGTGGGGCTCACCTGCTGTGGTTTTTCCGAAGCGCTAGAGTACGTCCAGTGGCGGGCCGGTGTCTCGTCTCGACAATCATCGTGACCTCTCATATTCAACACCGAAGTTGGGTTCCTTCTAGTCTGACTGTGTTACGAGCTCTGCGTCTCGCGTAGCATTCCCATGTAAAAAGCACAAGGCCGGTGAGCTCCTTCCCCTAATCCCTAAGAGGTACTCTGGAACTCCATATGCAGACGCGCCCCCGAATCCAACCTTTGGAACGCTTAAGTCAACCCCGGACGCTATTGTACAATGAAGCCTCCGTTACAGTGGTATACGCCACACTACTCCATAACGCCAAACCCCGACTATTCGTTTTTGATGCCCATAACTGAAGCCCGCCTATGCTAACCCGTTCACGACCACCTGCTCACCGTCTGACTCGAAATCGGAGTCGCTGCTTTGTTCAGCCTCTTCCTCCTCTTCTAGCACAATCTGCTCTAGTACCCGCTTGTCAAACAAATCCAGAATGAATCGACAGGCCGGAAGGCGGAAGTGGTGTGCTTCAAGTATCTGCATGACCTTGTGGAAGATCGATGGTCTGCTAAACCCAGGCACTTTCTTTGATTTGATCCTGTTGTAGATGTCAGTAAGTGATACTAGGTTACTAACCAGGTTGATACTAACGTCTGCAGGTCGTTCGCTGCCTTCTTTGCTAGCACTGTGTTGCCAAGATCGGTTGCAAGCTTGAGGATGCGTGCATTCACCGGATCGCGATCTGTGATAGCGACTGTGATGTTTTGTTTGCGCTTCCAGCTGATATTGTCCGATTTGGCAGTCCATGGCGTAATCTGTTGTGCATCAGCTCTTGTCCTGTGAAGTTATCATCGATAGACTAACCGCGAAGAGCTTTCTAAAATCTAATGGAAGACAAAAGCCCAATGCTTCACCAGCCTCGTTGACAACTCCGTCCCATCCATATTCGAGCAATATTTCTTGTCCATGAAGACTCCTCGAGATCAGTCCTAATACGTAAAATGCCGTGCCTCTGAGTGACAGAACCTCTGACTTTTCGGCGATCTGAACAATCCACTTCACTACGTCCGAGTTCTCAAGGAACGGGGCGCCCAACTCCATGGAGCCAACGTTACCCACAGCCCATAAGCAGCCTTTCACTTTGAGTATGATTTCAGCGTCGTCATCCTCCGATGCAAAGTCTCGGAGAGTAGCTGCAAATTCATCGAAATGCCCCTTCTGCCTCAGCAGCTTGCACCCCTCCTTCGTCCTCGTAAGCTCTCGGTAGAAATGCGGGGGTACGAGACCGTATTCAGGGTGCTCTGGCGTGTCATCGTAGGAGAACTGACTTGACGGTTTATCGGGAATGTCGGCGAGCGCGCGAGCCATGGAAGCTTCAATCAGGGCCACATAGGTATCGTTTCTTCCCAAAAACCAATCATCCATTTCTCTCGTGATGTAATCCAATCCGTCCAGATAGTGGTACCCTACGGAAGTGGATAAGAACCGAAGTAACAAAGGAGCACCAATCTCTCCCAGATGATCTAATGCAGGGCGGCATTTGACTACGAACTCGAGTGACTCTGTCTGGTTGCAGGCCTCCTCTAGGATCTTGATTGCAACTTCACAAACTTCCACTTCTGGGTCATAGAGTTGTGTTACAAGTAGTCTGATGGCCCACTCCGCAGGACCGGTTGAGCCTGTAGACTGCATTGGCTTCGTTGCATACTTACGCATCAATCTGGTTGCAAAGATTCGGATCTCCTTCGAACATGACGTCATGGCCTTGGAGATGATGATGCGTAGATGTCCGTCCAGCATGTAGTCCATATTGCTCAGAAGGGCCCGGATCAGATCGTCGCGATCATTTAGCTCAATCATATGGTAGAACATGTTGATGACTCTCCATCTTTCCAATATCTGGATTCCCTTGGGGTCTTTCGTCAATGCACCTAGGAGCGTGAAGTAACCACAAGTTAGAGTTTCGTTCATACGGTCTGCTTGGAAGAGCGGTGATTCAGATGTCAAGCCACTCATCCTGTCAAAATGTGATAAGCACTCTGCGAGTTGTCGAATGAACTTGCTTTCGCCTAAGTATTTGACTCCTTCTGGATTCTGTAGGAGAGTCTGCATGAAAGCGCAACCTACTCGAACATAACGTTGGTTTGGCTTCGTGTTCTTGATTTCGGAGAATCGATACTTGAATGGACGGTAGAATCCAAGCAGACGGTGGACAAATTTTGCTGACTTCATGGCTTCATCCAGACGCTTGGCATTAAGTAGAGGACCCTCAACGATGGAGTGAATCAGATCCCACCTCCATTTTTGGAATGATACTGTACCCAGAATCTGCGTGTCGACCATCAAGGCGCGGAATTGAGCTTCATCGATCTGCATTGCTGCTTGGACCTTGGACTGATCAGATTGTCGGTCAGATGACGTGCCACTAACAGCGACTGTGCCCTTGTTGGTATTGAGCGAAGTTGGGCCTGATCGATACAAGGTTCGGTTGACGCTGTCCACTTGGTAAATTGTCCCAATTGCTACGAACCGGTCTTCGGATTGAAATCTCGCAGCTGCGTGAAGCAATTGTGGAAGCACCTGGAGTTGTGCGCTCCACGATGGTGGCAAAAGCTCATTTGCCATTTTCAGCACTTCTCCAAGCAACAAGGTAGTCTTTCGCTTCAATGGCAGAGTCAAGGGTTGTTCCTCAACATGCAACAAAGCTGGTACCAGACCAGCGTGTAAGAAAGTAGCAAGGACAACAGAAATGTAATGGTCCATCAGGCTCCACTTGCTCGTGGTGTTTTCTGCACTAGAGCTGAGTGCGTCTTTCACAGGCTGATTTTTCATGTTCGTGACACGTCCATAGGTAGTTAATCGTCGTCCAGCGAGGAAAGATGAAGACCATGACGGGGGCTTGATCCTAAGAAGATCGAATAGGAGCTCCAAGATGACATTGCGAACGTGAGGCGTTGGTATTTGCAAAGACAAAAGCAGAGAACGGATTGGAAGAAAATCATTCATGCACAGAGAAAGCAGGCCGGGCCAGCTCCTGAGTAAAGACGCGATGACCTTGGCATTGGCTTTCAGCTTCTCTTCGTGCAGATGTCCGTGGACCGTGCCTGCATCTGTAAACATTGCAAACGGAGCCTCCAGCTCCCGTCCCGAACGTAGAAACCGGCGCCGCCGTGGAGTATCATGAAGATACAAGAAACAAGCACCAACGCTCTCCGCGGCTTGGTAGTTTCCTTCTCCTAAGGCGTCGGCAAGAACTCCCATTCCACCTGCACCAACGAGAAGAGCAGGCTTTCGAACCAGAATCTCTGCAAGAGTAAGAGTAGCGATATTCCTCAGTCGATCTTCAGCATGTTCTGCTACTGCTACGATGATGCGAACCACAGCGCGATCAATCTCCTCGACACCGTCCTTGACGTCTAGAAAGGCTCGAACAAATTTCAGTGCCTGCTCGCGCTCCACGCTGGCCTTGCTCTCTTTCACGAGCGACAAGATAACCAAGTAGTCTGTGTGCAGGTTTCGGATGATTCGCAGAGATTTGCGGTCTGTGAATGCATAGCGCATGACTCGATAGGCGGCTGCCACAACTTCTCGGCTATCGCTGAGAAGCATCATCTGCATCCTCAGGCCAAAGATGGACCATGCCAAGTCGTACTTTAGCGTGGGATGTCGCTTGAACAGCAGAACCAAGGAATTTGCTCTCTCCACATAGTACTCAGGCTGCATGCTCTGCAGTTCCAGAGCCTGGAGTATCTCGGCCAGCACGAAGGTTGGCGATTCCGTCTCATCATCCTCTTCCTCGTCTTTCTCGACGATATGACGTGATGGCGACCGCGAGAGGTTACGTCGAAACAGATATGAAAGCCTGCTCTGTGGATTGGCCGGCGGTGATGTGACCTCCTTTGCTCTTTGTACTTCTATAGACAGAGCCGACTTCAGCTCTGCCAGCTTCCTGTTCGATATGTTAAGCTGCTCCTCGACCTGGAGCCTCTGGTCCTTGGTATTCTTTGCGTTCTTCGCATTCAGCGCCTCCAGCAGGTTCTCTGACCCAATCTTGATCTTCGTCTCCTTCTCGATGCGGTCCTGCAGCTCGGCCTGTCTCTGCTCGGTGGTCGTGGGGTCGCCGTCCTCGATTATGATTGCGTGCATGTCAAGATCGGGACGTAACCTTCCGTCCTGCGAGACCGTGGGCCGCAGCTGCGAGCTGAAGCTGCCCGGGCCTGGGTTGTGCGAGTTGGCCGTCGCATATGACGACTGGCCTCCCCGCGAGCTCGCCATGGTGCTGATGGCGGCAGACGACTGCGCGCGGCCATCTCGAGTTCGCGTGGGCGCAAGCAATGAGGCTTGGTCGGCGGAGGGTGGTGGCGTCATGAAGGCCGTGACCATGGGCTGCTCAACCACATCGCATGCGTCTATTACGACCACGCGCTCGTCTCCCCCATGGGCTGTCGCAAAGGGATGTTGGGCTGCCCTGGGGTACCTGACCGCAGAGCGGGGCTTGGCTGTGGATGGGGAAGGAGCGGTGGGGGAGGGGCGGCCTGGGCGCGGAGGGATGAGGCTAGGGACCGTACGTCACGGGCAGCGACTGGGAGTGAATGGAATTGGTGGTGAGCATGGGCTTGTGCATGCTGCAACAGACACTGGGACGACGCCGTGGGCTCGGTGGAAAGTGGGTCCAGCTCCAGCAGTCATCGACCACCAACATGGACATGGGCTTGGACATGGACATGGACCACGAACGCGAAGAGCCTTGCCGCACCGGCAGCTGCGGCATGTCCTCGCCCTCGCCCTCTCCGTGCTGGCCTGATGTTGCGCAGATTTTCACTCGCCTTTTCGCCAGGCCCCATAAGCTTTTCGCGCTCGCAGGGCCCCGCGGAAGAGCGTGCTTTGAAGATAGTCACGTGTTCGACGCGCGAATCCCCGTTATCCTGGAGCACATCGTTCGGAGCACGCCGATGGCCATCCCAACCAATGTGAAGAGGTCCTCTCCGCCATGCTCGCGCCATCCTGCGGTCGTCCAGAGCTAATTCGCGATCGATCACTTGGAATCAATCCCATTGCAGCTCGGCCGCCTCCGTATGTTGGTGATCCGATAAGATTGCATGTCTGAGAGTATAACTGTCGTCGCCGTCCGCCCTTGACCCTCACTTCACTCACTCCCAGCCCTCGATTCATTCACCAGTCTCTCAGCGCCATCACTGCTTGTCCACCCCAGCTTCAAAGCTCCCCTTAACAGCACCAATCATCATGTCTCAGCTCAGCTATGCACGATACGGCAAGGACAATGTCCGTCTCTACAAGGTCGACAAGGACCCCAAGACCGGCATCCACACCGTTGTCGAGCAGACTGTCTGCATTCTCCTCGAGGGTGACATTGAGACCTCGTAAGCCTCCCCCTAGCAGCCTACACACCAACCACTAACAATTGCCAGCTACACACAGGCAGACAACTCGGTCGTCGTAGCCACAGACACCCAGAAGCAGACAACCTACATCCTGGCAAAGCAACACCCCATCGACCCTCCCGAGCAGTTCGCCGCCATCATTGGTGACCACTTCATCAAGACCTACCCCCACATCCACGCCGCCCATGTCAAGATCATCCAGCACCGATGGACTCGCTTGGACGTTGATGGCAAGCCGCACCCTCACTCCTTCTACCGCGACAGCCAGGAGACTCGCGTCGTTGAGTCGGTGACCAGGGAGGGTGAGGGTGCTTCCATCCGCTCCAAGATCGAGAAGCTGTTGGTGCTCAAGAGCACTGGATCTGCATTCCACGGCTTCCACCGCGATGAGTTCACCCGCTTGCCCGAGACTTGGGACCGCATTCTCAGCACCGAGATTGAGGCTGGCTGGCAATGGAAGCTGTTCAAGACCTTGGACGAAGCCAAGGCTGTCGACTTCAACGCCGCCTGGAAGACAGCAAGGGACATCACACTCAAGATCTTCGCTGAAGACAACAGCGCCAGTGTCCAAGCCACCATGTACAAGATGTGCGACCAGATTCTTGCTTCTGTTCCTCTAGTAGATGCCGTCGACTATGCTCTGCCCAACAAGCACTACTTCGAGATTGGTATGTATCATCGTGTCAGGCTTCCACAAAAACCGTTCGCTAACGCATTTTGCAGATCTCTCATGGCACAAGGGCATCCAGAACCTGGGCAAGGACGCCACTGTCTTTGCTCCCCAGTCCGACCCTAACGGCCTCATTCAATGCACAGTCACCCGCAAGGGAACCAAATCCAAGTTGTAAATCAGAACCTCTTCATTCGTTTGATATGATGGTTGACGGCTGTTTGTACATAAGATTTGGCGTTTAGCGTGTTTTTTCAGGGGTCGAGTGAACAATGTGAGTAGAACTATATACCATTTGAATTTTGAGCTCCGGCGAGGAGAGTACGAGTCTTGTATCGATTATCTAGGGGACGAGCGAGAGTAGCAACATATCCCACTTCAAGTGGGATTCACAATGAATTGAACATTCGTTATATACCCATCGCTTAAGTGACAGGAACAAGTGAGGTCATGATGTTTATTGAGTTCTAATCAAGGCAATGGTTAGAGCAACATGTGTACGCAAACCAGTGCAAGCAATGTTGTTAGTTTTGCGTCAATCGATAAACATGATACTAAACGCTTTCACTCCGAAGAGGAACGCGGAGCTCCATCGTGACAGCTCCAGCACAGCGGATGTATTGTAGATCCTTGTTTTGCTACACAAAGTCTGCCTTGCGCATCACGTCCTGCAGGTTGCACGACCAATCCGCGCTCACTCAGCCTCGCTGGGCATACGCACCCAAGGCTGACAGCAGACTCTACATAAGTATCGTCTCAGCCTTCCTGCCGCTTTCTTGCTCTTGATTCCCCTCCAAGCTCAATCTTCAGCCTCGCCATGGAGGTCTTTGCCGTCGCCACAGGCGGCATGGCCGTCTTGTCACTATCTATACAGCTTGTACAGTCTGTCAATTCGATCATAACCTTTATCCATGACGTTAAAGATGCCCCGGACGAGCTGGTGCGACTGGGGAAGAAGCTAGAGTTGTTGAGCACACTGCTCGAAGATGTACGCAACCTCATGGAACGGCAGTCTTCACTGCAAGGACATAATTTCCCGGCCCCTTCCATGACGATCTTCAGCTGTCTTCAGAGCTGCGAGGAATCACTTCGCCCACTTCAGGACTTGATGGCGAAATACCAGACACCGAAAACGCATGCAAACTCGACGATGGTTAAGGTGGCTCGATGGAAAAAAGACATCGGCGTAGCCTTCAAAGTGAAGAGTATCGATGGGTTTGAAGTGCGCATCCAGCAAGAGATCAACAGCCTTCAGTTTGCCTTGAATATGAACATGACTAGTATCATGTATGTTGTTGACAAGCTCATCATTTACATTAAGCTGAATCAATATCACTAGGATAACTACGCTTCCCGTCATCCAGGAGAATCAGCACTCGCTCATGACGATCCACTCCAAACCCCCACAAACCTTGCCCATAATCCAAGCCTCATCGATCACTTCCGTTGGCCGTCGAGATACTCCCTCCTCGACAACCTCGCAGATGCGAGTTTCACGACGGAGCTATTGGGTGCCCTCCGCTCTCGAAAGACTTGGCCTGTACCAGCGGAAATCAATACGGTGTATCCAATCTCCAGACAAAACAGTATGTCGGAGACCAAGAGGTCGTTGTGAAGAAATCATATACGAAGAATACGAATACATCGTAGCATGGAAGCTTCTAGGATACGGAATGACTTGGAGGCAACAACGACCGTACGGTAGCATCGTTCCATCACTGAGCGTATATCCAGTATTGGACACGCATTGGGCCGATAACTCCGTTTGGGATTTAATACGGAGTGGGAGTATCCAAGAAATCCAGCAGATGTTCAGTTCCGGTGCACTTCATCCTTTCACACGGGATGCAAATGGTGAATCTTTGCTCCACGTAAGTGGCTAACATAAGCGTCGATTTATATATTCTGACAAACTTCTCAGTTGGCCGCCTACAAAACTAGGCCCGACGTTTGTCGCCTGCTGTCTGATTATGGATTAAAGCCTGACCTTTCACACTCAGGAGCATCTCCTTTTACGGAGGCTTTAGAGGGTGGGAGTAGTCCAGACCATGAGATCTTCCGATGTCTTCTACTTGAACTCGATCAGGTCGATGATTTCGAGGACGACAATTGTAGGATTTTGGGGTATTATCCTGCGTATACAAGCTTTGAAGCATTGGAATGGCTTTGGATCAACAGCGCAACGGTGTTTTTCGGCTCGGATCTGCGAATATTTCGATCGCAGTTGTTCCAGGCCCTTGTGTATTGTTACGCCGAACGCGAAGGGGAAGAAGAATTAATAACCCAATTCCTGGTCGCCTACATGGAGTCTGACGTATTGGAAGCATATCTGGAAGGGCAATATGAACTGATCAAATCAATTTTTCTGTTCGGGGATGATGCCTTTGATAGTCGTAGAGTAGGGGACGTGTTCATCGACCTTTTGGTACGCTTGGGGCTTGATGTCGAGGCTTGCATCAAGAAAGAGCTCGAGCGCTTACCTGGTGGAGTTATAGAAGATTGGCCTAACGATAAGAAAGTCGTGTTCGAGCATTACGGTGAGCGAGGGTGGATCTTAGAATGGGAGTGGGGATACGATGAACTTGCAACGGGCTACTCTGTGGTTTCTGAGTACAACATCCTGACGGCGGGAACATACGTGGTACCTCAGTGGCCGTTTAGGGACAGATATGCCGATGAAAAAAGAGAAGAGGAAGATGAAGACGAAGATGAAGACGAAGATGAAGACGAAGAGATCAAATGGGAGAAAACGTGGGAACGAAGAAAACGAAGGGAGCAACTCAGACCAGGACGATTCGAACGTCGTATGGCCGCCAAAGCCCGCAAAGAGCGCGCACGATCAGGCCAGAAACGGCCGCGAAGCCGAATGCCGGGGTCGTGGGTTTGACAAACGATGTCCTGTTATCCATCGTTCCATTGACTTGCTGGGTCCGACAGCAAACAGGAATCTTGACTGCCTCCTTTCAGAAGGACCACTAGAAACGTTCGCCTTTGAAATTCATGTCCGCTTTCGCACAAGCATCATCACCTCGTGGAGACAAGGCTTCAAACATCGACTTTGTTGCCGGCCAATGTTTTCGAGCGTTCAGACTCGCGTGGAAAGGCTTTCCTATACCGCCGCTCCAGCGTGTGTTCAAACGAGAATTGGTACGTTGTAAATGATGAGAGAGCGAACTTTTGGGGATCAAACTGCGGAGAAAATATAGTCCCTGCTGTTCGATCCGATTGTTATTCGGGGCCAGATTCTGATATGAGCAGAGCGTTTTAGGCTGGGCAAGGGACTGGAAATGTTTGAGTTCTTTTGTGTACATTTCGTAATAGTTTCTTCTCCCTGGGTCTGGTCCGTATTTGAATACGAAAATGAAAGCAAACGAGAGTGCCGTGAATTTGAGTCGAGTTTAAGTGGATATCGACAGAAATGTCAGGTTGGGAAATGTGCGTACCTGAACTGTGGGTTGCTCTGAAATATGATTTATCTCACGTAACTACGATCAAGATAGCGTGTTCGTATAGGCAGAAGACTTGTACATCTCCTGGAGGATAATGCATGCTCAACAGGTTGCACGGATGTTTACACTCTTGCCTAGTTTCAATTTTGACATGTTGTCACTTCAACACGGCCAGTTGTGTATCAAGAGGGATACAAAATGAAGATGGTGAAAGTATGACTTGTATTGTCGGCGCTTCCATCCAAAGCTTGGTATTCATTTCCCATCTCCTCCACCGCCCGAAACCACTTGGACAAGAAGGAACAGTGCAAGTGCCCACCAATACCTGCCTCAGGTTAGTGCGTTCCCCGTATGAATACGAGCAGCGAAGGACGTACTTCTGCAAGAAAGTCTTCTCCGGCTCTTTGCTTTCCAGCTTGCCCTCCGCATTAAGCACAATCGGCTTGTTCAACATGGGCTTGGGACCCACGCTTCTCTTTACGATCTCAACCTCAACCTCAGCTCCCTGCCCTCGCGCACTCGTCCCAAAGCCGACGTGGAAAGGCTCGCCCTTCTCGTCCACATGAATGACGAACTTCTTTTGGTACTCGTCTGCGAAGCTGGCCGCAGATGTGACAATGCCGCGCCATGATCCAGATGTGGGGTCTGTGATGCCAATGCGAAGGAGGTGGTCGGCGGAATATGAGCCTGTGGGCGGCGTGTACGATGCTAGGGTTCCAACGGATTGGTCTACATCGTACTCGATTTGCGCGAGGGGGATGGGAGACGGGATGATGGCGGTGTCTGCGGAGACGGGAACGGAGGACACGTAGAGGGTTACGGATGAGGCGACTGCTACTGGGAGCAGGAGGAGCCTTGAGAGCAGCATATTGGCGTGAACGACGAGTTGGTGATGAAGGCCGCGTGGGTTGGTGTTGGAGATGGGGCTTGGTTCACTGATTACGGCAAGCGGCGTTTGTTTTCGCCGAGCATCTACGCGTTTGCTTCCCCACGTTCTTTTCTTATCGATTAGAACTGCTTTCTTTTTGATGTATCTTTCCTCGGTGGCGTTTTTGACTGTCATTGGCATCCGGGATGCTCAATCAAGTGGGCCGGAGACTTGTGATCGCCACATACCCCCAACTTTTCTGGCATGATCATGGTCAATCAAGTGTAATGCTGAGGATAAGCAGCTGATCTCGGGTCAATTGCACCAGTTCTCAGGGTCGATTGCCCCACCCCCACTATGCTAGAGCTCTCTCATAGCTTCCATGAGCTCATCTCGCAGTAAGAGCTGTCCTGAGTCTCAACATTATCTCCGAGCCTTTCAGGGTCTTCGATTGATATTTCTTGACATTCCTCTCAGAACTGTTACCCTCATTGTGTTCGCTTTCTACATCTGATCAAAATGGCTACGTCTATCGACTCTCACAATGAGCTTCACCCTCACGTTGACCACTACATCGGGATCGATGTTGGTACAGGCAGTGCCAGAGCGTGTATCATGAACGACCAGGGCGACATTGTTGGACTGGCATCAGAGAACATTGGCCTTTGGCAACCACAGACTGGTTATTATGTATTCCTCCCTACGCGTAGCAATACACGAGCTTGGATATCATAGCACAGCAGCTGAACCAGGCAGGAACAATCTACGACAGACATCTGGCGCTGTATTTGCTCTTCTGTCCGTCGAGCAATGGACCAACACAACATCGACCGAAACTCCATTCGCGGCATTGGTTTCGACGCTACTTGCTCGCTCACTGTCTTCTCGAATGATACAGACGAACCCATCTCTGTCACTGGGCCCAACTTTGACAACAAAGATGGCAACGACAGAAATGTCGTCCTATGGCTCGATCACCGCCCTGTAGAAGAGACGAACAAGATCAATGCTACAGATCACAACCTACTGCGATATGTTGGAGGCAAAATGTCCATTGAGATGGAGATCCCGAAGGTGCTATGGCTCAAGAACAACATGCCAAAGGAACTTTTCGATCGCTGCAAGTTTTACGACTTGCCCGACGCGCTCACACATATGGCTACTGGAAACGAAACTCGAAGCTTCTGCAGCGTGGTTTGCAAGCAGGGTTTCGTCCCGGTTGGCGTAGATGGAAGTGTCAAGGGCTGGCAAGAGGACTTCTTGAAAGAAATTGGTCTTGGTGAGCTTTGTGAGGATAACTTCAAGCGGATGGGAGGTGTTGACGATGTGGTTTGTCCCTCACTATGTTGTGAGAAAGCATATGCTGATCAATACACAGAACGGGCGCTATCTCACTGCCGGAGAGCTCGTGGGCACACTTAGCGAGAAGGCAGCTGCAGAAATGGGCCTTGTACCTGGGATTGCCGTCGGTAGTGGTGTCATCGATGCTTACGCTGGGTGGATCGGTACCGTTGGTGCCAAAGTCAAGCTGGACGAAGACACTCTCGACATGGGTGCCCCCAAGAACGACGTTTCCCAGGCTTTCACGCGTCTTGCTGCTGTAGCAGGAACGTCTACCTGTCATCTTGCAATGTCCCATGATCCTGTTTTCGTAGATGGTGTTTGGGGACCATACCGAGACGTCCTGCTACCCGGATACTGGATGGCAGAAGGTGGGCAAAGTGCAACAGGGGAGCTTCTCAAACACGTCATCGAAACACATCCTGCTTTCAAGGAGGCAACATCTGTCGCAGAAACGTACAACACAAACATCTATGACTATCTGAACGAGCATCTGAACGAGATGGCCGAGAAAGAGGACGCACCCCACATTGCCTGGTTAGGACGCCACTTTTTCTTCTACGGCGATCTGTTCGGAAACCGCTCTCCTGTCGCGGACCCCAACATGAAAGGTTCCGCGATTGGTCTGAGCTCGGACAAGAGCCTTGACGGACTGGCGCTGTATTACTACGCTACGTTGGAGTTCATTGCTCTGCAAACCCACCAGATTGTGTCTGCCATGAACAAGTCCGGTCATGTCATCTCCTCAATCTTCATGTCCGGATCTCAGTGCCAGAACAATCTGCTCATGGCACTCATCGCGACGGCATGCGATATGCCTGTCCTCATTCCACGCTATGTGCACGCCGCTGTCGTTCACGGCGCAGCTATGCTCGGCGCAAAGGCTGCGAGCACAGACAAGGATGGTAACAGTGAGCCGCTCTGGGACATCATGGACAGACTCAGCAAGCCGGGTAAGACAGTCAAGCCGACTGCTGATAAGAATCTGCAGAAGCTCCTGGAGGCCAAGTACAAGGTTTTCTTGGAACAGTGTGAGGGCCAACAGAGGTATAGGAGAGAGGTTGACTCGGCGATTGAGGGCTGGACAAGCAAGTAGTAGAAACTTGGTGACTATGATGGGAAGGATTATGGAGCAAAGTCTCCAAAGACAAAATTGGAAATGGCAAGATACCGAGATGTGAATCACTCAACTGCCACCTTTGTGCTTTCTTGTGCACGTTTGCCGGAGGAATTAATCCTAGATGAAAATCACCGTCAGATATTGGTCATAATCTGTTCCTTCCAGATGATGCGGCAGGCGCAGTTTCACGTGCAAATCAATAGGTGCTTCCTGAAGCTTCGCGGGTCTCGCCACACCACGCAAGATACGTCATCGCAACGCGTTGCCTGCTTGCTCCGCCCCTCACTTGTTAACTGCATGTGGAGTTACAGGTAAGAACTACCCCACCACAAATCAACGTCACAACTACAAATACCGTGTCCTTGCCTGCCCGTCTTGTATCATCCACTCAACTACATTGAATTTACTCCCTCTTCTACCTTTTCCACACTTCCACACCCCATCCAAACGATAAACAAACAACACATCACAATGGCCAGCACAGTCAACGTCGAGAACATCAGCACGAAGACGAGCGAGGATGAGATCAAGTCTTTCTTCAGTTTCTGTGGCAAGATCCAGTCTCTCAGCGTAAAGTCAACAGGCGACGACACACAGTCTGCATCCGTCACCTTCGAGAAGACCGCCGCCGCGAAGACTGCGCTGTTGCTCGACAACACACAACTAGGCCCCAACTCCGTCCAAGTCAGCTCAACCAAGTCCATCGACGAGATTGCCGGTGACAACGCTACCTCGGCTGAGGAGGCTAAGGATGGCGACCAGAACATTGAGCAAGAGCAGAAGCCACGCGCACGTATCTTCGCCGAGTACCTCGCCCACGGCTACGTCCTCTCCGACAAGGCCATCGAGTCTGCCCTTGCTGCCGACAAGCAAAACGGCTACAGCACCAAGTTCACACAAGCCCTCCAGAACTTCGACTCGAAGACTCAGGCTTCACAGAAGGCGCAGGCCGTTGACGCCAAGCTTGGTCTCACAAATAAGGCATTCGCTGGCTGGAACAGCTTGACCACATACTTTGAGAAAGCTTCCACCACACCAACCGGCCAGAAGCTAAGGGCTTTCTACGACCAAGGCAACAAGACTGTCATGGATGTCCACAACGAAGCCCGCCACCTGGCCAATCTCAAGAAGACGGATCAGGGTAGCAAGTCCAGCGCCGAGGGATCGGAGAAGCCCACGAGCTCTACCAACGAGAAGGCCGGTGACCAGTCGTACGCTTCTGCCGCTGCTCCCACATCTTAAGTTGGGAGTATATGAGAGAGGATCATGGTTTTTTTGGTTCACGATTGACGATTCCATTTCCTTTTGAGCGACCTGTATGATTATCCTGCGTCAGGGTTGGTCGGTTTTTTGTATGAGATATCCAGATAGCCAGGTTTATTGCAACCTCTGAAATTGACTAGTTCGCTCCCGAATGTTGCTTGTGTTCTTGAGGGGTGTCTCTTTCGCTTGCGACAACATGGCATTTCTTTCACCCAATGTCTGATCTCACGTCCATTGATGCAGGATGCGCTTGTATTGCTCGAGACGTGTCCAAAGACAACTGCTGTATTACCTACCAAGTTATGTTGCGTCATTCAAGCATCACAACATACCCGTGATTGACCTTGCTTTTGTCAATTCCCTAACCGCATCACTTCCATATGCATATAGTTATCTTGTTCCTGCATTCCCCGTAGACTGACTGCTCGCTCATGCAGCTATGAATCGAATCGCGACTGAATGCAATCATCAGTGCGTGTTTGCGAGACTATGACACGACCAGAGATATCGCTTGTTGTCGCCGTTCATGAGATGGGTATCGTGCATAAGAATTATTGAAAGAAGTATATCCTCCTGTTGAGACACCTAGTATCGTCTGCGAGGTCCACGAGGCGGGTCTCTCTGGCTGCCTTCGCTAAATCCAAATCGCCCGTCCTGGAAGCTGCCGTTGCGAGCGGCGGCGCCATTTGTATCCACCTCCATGTCATCGAATGTTTGCGCAGGGCGTGCTGGCCGGGGTCGGGAGTGAGCCATCGCGTTGCTTGCTGGTGTTTCTTTCATGTATACGTAAAGTAGCCTGCCGTCGGCCTGTTCGAGAGTCAGTTGCATTCAGGTTATGGACTGAACAGGTACGAACCTTCTGGTTGTTGAATGTCGCAATGACATTCTCAGCACCTTGTTTGTCCACGAACTGGAGCTCCACCATGACTGTTGGCGCTGCAGAAATCAGTCTGCACCCCAACGTCTCTCCTCCAACAGGCATCATGACAGCTTCAATGTCTGCCGCTGTCGTTCCTGGCGCAAAGTTGCTCGCAATGACGGTATAGGGCCCTCCGTTCGCAACACCCCTGATGCTGAACCCAGGCGCGTCATTGTTGCGCGCGCTCGCGTTGTTGTTCAGCACCGAAGCAAACTTGTCGTATGTCCTGCTATTGCGGTCGATCTGCGCAGTTGTGGTACGATTGGGTCTCTTCCCTGGCGGGCCGTTTGGGTTGTTCAACTTGTGGAGGTCGTGCTGCCATTTGCCGTCGATGTTGGCGGCGGCACCAGCAGGTTTCGCAGACGACGAGCGTTGTTTCTGTACGCCGGCACCGCTTATACGACTCAGCAGCGTGGGCTTCTCTGATGTTTCTCGTTGCGACCTGCCTAAGCCGGCGCCGGATGCTTGAGCTTTCCGGCCTCGTCCTAGAAACTCCTGTGCAAGCGATTCGTTCTTCTTCTTCTCGCGCGCGTCCTTGACAAAGTTTGCGAAATCGGCCATGGTGGATAGCGATGAGTTGGAAAGTGTAAATAGCTGCCTGAGGCGTTCGGGGGAGCTTGTTGATTGCAGAGCAGAAGCTCGAATGGAGGCCATAGCGCACGGATACCGGTACTCGGCGAAACCATGGGCCCCGGCGCTAGGCAAGGATCGCCATCATAAAACTTCGAGCTTCTGCGCTTTCTTCTGCAACACCACAACGCGCTTTTGGTAAGTCAACTCCTTCTCTACTCCCAGTTGTATCATGATGAACATTCGTGTCGCCCCTATCATACCTATAATGGTGATCCGACCACTCAAGCCAAACGAGATTACTGATTTCTTCAACTTGTCCCAAATCGCTTCTTCAAGTACTTTTGGAGAACTTTGGCTAACCATCACAAGCTTCTAGGATTCACCAAGCTCTGCGCTGGTTGTTGCAATCGCGATGCAGTATACGTCGTGGGCGAGAAGCCGCGGTCGTTTTCTGCACTCCCACACTCATCGTAACTCGACGGACCCCACCTGACGCAGCTTATACTGTGTCCGAATTTGCAAGCCATCGTTCGTCGGCAACCTTGAGCTCAATACATGCATACGGTCGTGGTGGCTGGGTCCGTTGAGTTGCGATCGGTTTCAACAGGTTAGTTTGCCTGCTTGCCCATATCCTTTCTTATCCAATGATGAGCAACCTTATGTACTATCAAATACCGACCTATCAATGGGGAGCAAAATAACTAGTTCGATTACCTGAATCTTTACTTCCATGCTTTCGCAGTCGTTCGCATTGCAGTTGACGGTTACTAACTGTCTCAGATACTAGTTATCAGATCACTCTATGTACCGCTAACTCTGTCGAACGAACAGCTGAGTTTGCCATGGTACGTACTGTCAACTTCTTTCATACCTCGCAATGATGCTACAATTATACTCCATGCTAACGCGGAAGGGCTTGCCCTAATGCTGACAACTATAACGCTTTTCATCTTTCTTCTGATTGCTTTCACTACTCTTTTGCTTTTGCAAACTCTAGCCGGACTTTACTGACTGGCGCAAAGCAGGCTTTTGTTGTACTCTCACAACATGGTTTGATCGGAGCTATCTGCTTACTTGTGAGCATCACCTGCTCGTTATCCGGATTCAACCGATGTTGGAGTTCTTGGAACGTACCGACGAGAGCTGGACATGGTCCTGAAAAGTGTCGAGTCGCAGAAAAGGTAGGTTCCATGCTGGTGGTTGGGCTATCTTGTGGTACTTTTATATGGTCGTGCAATCTTTCCTGTATTTGTTTAATAGATTATTGGGTACCAATCTTTCATCATGCTCCATGTTTTCTTTGTTGGTCATGACGTGACCATATTCTTTATTATGCTTCGTGTCGGTTTACCACTTCCGTGATACATGGCCTCTAAAGCCAACTCATATCCTGTGCATCGCAAATTCTGCAAGTCAAATGTTGCGCACAGTTGCTCTTTAAAACTCTGAGTGGAATGTATTGAAACTATCTAAAGCAAACGCTGAAAAGTTCTTCCAAAAGGAAGCACTGGAACTGCTCATTCCATAGATACGCCGGGTATTATCTCCTGCCATTACACACTTCCCCTCTCTTCAACATGTTCTTCAACCGTCTCCCCTTCCTCGCTCACACAATGACCTCTTCACTCTGTGAACGTCATGCCCTCACCCACTTCCTTCAACTCAGCAGTCGTGCCTCCATACTCCTTAGGGACGCCCTGGCCCAGGGAAGTAGCCAATTGGTTGCCATAGCTCAGGACCGTGAACTTCTTAACCGTCTCCTTGGCAATAACAAGTTTCATGGCGTTGTACAACCAGCCCATGATGACGGGCACATTGACAAAGAACTTGCGTGAGAGAGTTTCCGGGTAGTAGCGGCCGAGCACCTCGATGGTCTTCTTGGTCGCGGCCTTGACGAGAGGATCCTGGCGCAAGAACGAAACTTGGAGGTAGTCGTGCACCTGGAAGCCCTGGTAGGGATCCGCGCCCTCGCCAAAGTTCGGAATGGGTTGCGTAGCGGACGCGAGGGAGAGGTGCTGGACAGACTTCTCCATGAGACCGACACGCCAGCGGAGGAAGCTGTAGCACGATCAGTCAGCGATGTACGTCTTTCCACGTGATCCTGTAACTTACGCGTCAAGATCCCCGAATGTCGCCTTGTTGTCCTTGACAGCGCCGTACACATTGAACGTCACAACATCCTTCACGTTGTCGCTCCCTGGGACGCCTCCAACTTCGATGATGTATCCCAATCCGTCGAACTTGCTCTTTTCATAGCTGTCTGATGCGGCTTTGACGGGATCGAATTCTTTCCTCCACTTTAACGTCTCGAGAAGTTGCTGTTTCGCTTTCTCGAGGTCGTTCTGGTTAGCGCGGAGGAACTTCTGCAGCACGAGCTTTGTGTGGAACGGGTTCGAGGTGGAGAGCTCGATGCCGTAGACTTCGGCGTGGGATGCTTCTTTGACGAGGGCTTCGAAGGCAGCGTAGAAGAGCGTGAGGGGGTGGTCAGGCGCAGTCTCGGGCCAGGTAGGGTCGGTACTTGCGGGCGCAGTGGGTGCCGCAGGAGTGCTGTCGAGGACGGGTGCAGGAGTGTTGTCTGCAGTGGGTGTTACGACAACAGCAGCCGCTGCTTCTGTTTTCTCTTCGTCCACTGGCTTTTCGTCGACTGAGAGATCAGCTACACCGGCGGTCGCGTCGTCCACCTTCTTCTCATCTGCGATAGGGTCCAGTCGCGTGGACTCGATAACAGCCTCGCTCTCGGGTACCTGCTTCTCGGCACTTGAACCGCCGGACAGACCTGCGCCCTCAACTGGCGCTAGGTTAGTTTCCTCAAGCTTTGTAGCCATTGTGTTTAGCGTAGGAGATAGATCGAATGCAAGAAATTCTCCGAACACGGTTGCGGCGTGGAAATGATCAAATATAACAGTCGGCGATCATGGCGTGACTTTTCCGATAACTTATCGTGCGCGCCATCACGTGATGATCACATATGTGAATGTTTACGGTCGAGTTTCAGGACAGCAAATGAGCTATCTCCACTATTAGGTTGTGAAATGTCCTGCATTGGCATGTGATTACGACCTTTCTCAAGGTTTGCGGCTGGTCCATGCAGATACTCAATTGTATGCTCCATCGTCACATCGAACTTCATGGATATTGATCGTTCAAATTGTTTTGTTACTAATTCGAACGACGACGATCATGAGCGGAAAAATCCAGCTGGCAATATTTTTTGCCTGTGGACGATAAGTTGGATCATAACGTCGAAGACAAATGTGCAAGACAATTTCTAGGCAAACACCAGATGAGGTCAAACAAAGCCTCAAACTATGTGTCCCAGTAACATCTTCGTGATACCACGAACGGTCAAGAGCCAGGAAGAATGGAGCGGAATAGATGGAAACAAGCTCGACGAGACTGACCTACTTTCCTTTGTCAATGCATACTCAAACTGCCAAACAATCAGTAGAAACCCATGGAATTAAGTTTGTCTCTTGACACAAACTGCTGTAAGTGACAAGTACTTTAGCATCTAATTCTTGCAGAGCTGATCCCAATTCTCTAACACAACAGTCAACAGTACCAGGCAACTCTGGCATTATGACCGAAAACGTGCGACCAGGTTTAGCAAACCAGACTCTTCTCAACAAAATCGACAAGTTACGTGAGCTTAACGTTAGGTCTTTGGAACTACCGCAGGTATACGTACTGATTATATATTTCCCGCATGCCATGCTAACACTTCATAGCTTGTTGTTGTCGGAGATCAGTCATCTGGCAAGAGTTCAGTCCTTGAGAGCCTCACCGGGTTTTCGTTTCCTCAAGCTCCTGGTCTTTGTACCCGATATGCTACCCAGATCTCTTGTCGTCGCGAGCTTGAGCCCAAAGTCTTGATATCTATCATTCCTCGGCCGGGCGCAGATGCGGCGGTACAGGATAGACTGCGTTCTTTCAAACGCACTATACCAGACCTCACTAACGAGATCCTCGTTGAGATCATCAAAGAAGCGAACCGAGCAATGGGGATCAAGATGACAGCCGACGAGGCAGATTCGAGCCTGCAGGCTTTCAGCGAAGACATCCTCAAGATTGAGATCAATGGGCCTGAACAGGAGCACTTCACGATCATCGATGTGCCTGGTATCTTCCGCGTCCCTTCGCCACCACTCACCACGGACAATGACGTGACTTTGGTTCGGAACATGGTTGAGTCTTACATGCAGAACAGTCGAACTATCATCCTTGCCGTCCTGCCTTCGAATGTCGATATCTCAACCCAAGAGATTTTGAAGATGGCCGAGAATGCAGACCCAGAGGGCATCCGAACGATGGGAGTACTCACCAAACCCGACCTGGCGACTGAGAATGCGACTCAAGACGCGATCAAAGGCCTCGTCCTGGGTAGACAGAACAAGCTGCGACTAGGTTATTGCGTCGTGAAGAATCGTAGTGCGGATGACCAAAGCTCTACCCTCCAAGACCGACTTGCGCAGGAGAAGGCCTTCTTCAGTAGTTCTACATGGAAACCAGTGGTGGCATCGGGAAGATGTGGCATCGCATCGTTGAAGATACGCCTTAGCGATCTTTTGATGACCATATCGAAGAGAGAGTTTCCGAATGTCAAATCGGATGTCAAGAGGCAACTAGATCGGTGTCGGACGGAACTAGAGATTATTGGACCGTCTCGCATGGATCAAAACTCTCAGAGACTATACCTTGGGAAACTGGGGTCCAAATTCCAAGCGGTCACTCAATGTGCCTTGAACGGCTACTACGATAGCGAACACGTCTTCCTAGAAGACAACAAGTTGAAGTTGATCACAGCTATCACGGAGATGAACGAGATGTTCGCGAATGAATTTTGGGAAAAAGGGCACAAACGGGAGACCTCACCCTCTAACGATGATGATGATGACGACGACGATGCTGAAGACAGCTGGGTCACTTCCTTCAGAATCCTTGCGCAAGAGTACCCAGAACTTCATGATATCGTCGAGCTGGAAGAGTACCATTGCCCACAGCCCATGTCCTTTGGGGATACTTCCTCTGGTACGATGGAACATATCAAGCAGGTTTATCAGCAAAATCGTGGATCTGAGTTAGGAACGGTAAAGTCTACCCTGTCTGCCCAAGATTGAACACAGCCTAACTTTGATGTAACTAGTTCTCAGGATCGATTCTTGCCGTCACCTTCAAAGAGCAAACCGAAAAATGGGAGCCACTCGTTCTCGCACATGTCGGAAAAGCCATTACTCTGGTGCACAACTACATCTTCACGCTTCTCGCGCGTATCTGTCCTGATAAGCAAGTTCGAGACCAAGTATGGAACACACTTCTCATCGACGAGCTCCGCAAGACTTACATCCGCGCAATGGAACAAGCTCAGTTCTTGCTGCAGATCGAGCGGCATGGGAGACCGTCAACGTACAACCATTACTTCAACTCAGAAGTGCAGAAGAAGCGACAACGTCGATTGGAGACGGCTCTTGATGGCAAAGCTGTGACCTACTATACCTCCCACAACAGTTCATCTACACAAAAAGCCTTCCCCATAACCAGCTTGCAAGGTTTGGTAGTAGACAAGGACAACATGCAGCAGGTACAAGAGGACATACTCGATGTTCTAGCCAGCTACTACAAGGTCTCGAGAAAGCGATTCGTAGACACCGTATGCAGACAGGCCATCGCCCACTTCCTCCTGGACGGAGAGCAGAGCCCACTGAAGATATTCTCCCCTGAGCTGATCATGGGTCTTGATGCTGATCAGCTTGAGACAATTGCTGGAGAAGATGTGGAAACCAGGGATCGGCGATTGATGCTGGAATCTGAGATTGGAAGTTTGGAGGCCGCGTTGAAATTGCTGCGAGGATGAGATGGCGCAAGTCGAACTGGGGTTTTGGTAGGTAGACTAGATGTTGGTGGATAGAGTCTCATTTGTCCAATGTATTCTATGCCACTCGATAACATGCTCTTTGGTCTAGTCTATTTCAATATGACGCAAAACGTTTGTCACCATATCGTCATGCGCTATCGGTTTACCAGTACTATATGTTGCTCCTCGAGCGATGTTCACCTAAATCCAAACAGACGCAAAACTCTCCTCTGCTATCCACTAAAAGTTACTACAAAATCTTATGACTGAAGCACTCTTACTCATACCTTGCCATAAACCGCTTCTCAACCAAGCATATCGCTTGGAGTTTGTTCAGGTTTACCCACTCCCCTTGGTAACCTTCCTTCTCGGTCTACTCAACCTCATCCTGATCCATTTCCTGCTTCGGATCAAAATCGCAACAATGAGAACCAGAGACGTAGCAGGAATCGCAATGATGAAGTACCATTTGATCGGCGGATTGTCAGCTAACAGATCGACATTCATCCCGAACATACCCTTTGTAGTTACCACAGGTTAGCTAACTATACTTGATGACTGGATGGTTTATACGTACCGATACGGCGATCAGCGGGAAGAATATAAACGTAATCCAAGTCACAGCGCCTACTTCCTTGCTGTAACGTTCTGCGGCCTGCGCATTGCGTACGCCGATGATGTTGAACACCTAAACCGGATTAGAGCAAGCCGTAGAGATTTTGGAAGCAGATTATACGCACCAGATCCGAAATACTCTGTCCACGCTTCGGAAAGTTTTCCGACAGGATGATCTTCATCTCTTCCAGGTCTTCGACAAACCTAGCCAAATTTGCCTCTTCGGATGTCGTTTGAGCGCCTGCTGCTTTGGAAAGCTGATTTAAGTAATCTTGCGCGTCCAATATACATCTCCTTTGGATGACCATCAGTTGGCACAGCGTCGACCAATCGAGTGTATCTCGCCATGTGTCCTGCGCGAGTTCTTGGAGACTGTCGATATCGATATCCTTGTCGAGGACTCTAAGCTCCTACGATTGGCGTTAGCCCTGTCTTGTCCATTGTCATTCTAAAAGACTTTGCGAAGAGACTCACGGAGGCACGTATATGTTCCGAACATCGATCGATAACGTTTTTCCAGTCTTGCACCACTCTCTCCCAGATCTTGCAGGTAAGCCGATAGGTGAACAGAGCTGCTGTTGCCTCGTTATCCTCGCATGTGTTTGAGTCGCTGGAGACATGCCACAGCTCGGGGTCTGTAAGCCAGTTCTGGAACGCTATTCCATCGCTGGAGGAGTGGAACTCGTTGAACAAAATGAGGGTTCGGCGGTGAAGTAGCGTGGTGTCTGAAGCCCAAGATGATGGGAAAAATGGCGTTTTTGTCAAGGCTTCTGTCGTCTTCATCTTTAAGATACTTGCGACACATGTTCTCCGTCGTACGATGAACTTTTTCCCCTGTAGAAACATTGAGTACTTGTTGCATGCTAAGTTACATAGTGTCACATACTGAAGCAGTCTTGAGTATCTTCAGATGAGCATTCTGGTCATCCGATCCCTGAGGCACCGCAACCCAGTCAAATCCAAAGAGGTACAGAAGCCGTTCTAAAACGAAGTATCAGGTTCAACCATCAAGCTATGTACAATGTCGAAGACACTCACGTTTCCCCAACATCACAACACTGTTCGAAGTGCACCCCAAGCCAAAGTACGAAAACTCCAGCTCCTTCCGTCTAGCTGAGCTATTGAGAAACATCTGGAAGTTCATCAACGCCCGATCCTCCTGAGCTTTCAGAGGGAGAGGCTGAGGCTGAGGCTGAGGCTGAGCGCTTGGGCTGTTAAAAAGGCCTTTGACGAATCTTCTGCACAGAACGCTTCGTGCAAACGGCCAGTTGTTCTCGCAGCTATCAGGTCAGTCAAGTTCGCTGTTAAACTAGTGTCTCCGTCTAACTTACTAAATACGATCCAGGGAGTGTGTCCCAGGCATTGGCGTCGTACTACTTACTAGCGTTCGCTCAAGTATATCGCAGAGTTCTTGAGCGGTTTTCACTTGGTCTGCCCGGTAAGATATGCGGTATTTTTCATCCACCTTACGGTACAATATGTCAATGGCTCTGCTTTCTGAGGAGAGAAAAGTAGGCGAGTCTTGTAATGGCGCGTCGTGTTGCGCAACGGGCGTAAGGTAAAACGGGCTGTCGACTAGAATTGTCCCCATAATTGTATCTCGAACAGTTAATTTTTGCGAGTATTAGCTCGCTTTTATGAGTTACATTCCTTCCAAAAGTGCCCAGATGTAATGCAACAAGAAGTTGATGTCTACTGCAAGTGGCGCTTAGGAAGCGCTGTCGACTGCCTAGCTCCATTTCAGGGGCTGGGGAGGCTGACTGTGTAGGTCGCCTCTCGGTTCATCAAGTACCGGGAACCAAGCAGGGGCGCAACCTCGAACAACCCCAGGTAAACTTTGCGTGAAACTTGTGCGCCCTGAGAATTACTGACTATAAGCATAAGCCGCTTTACTGGTGCATATGCCGGACGCGAGCTTGTCCTTACAACGATTAGAGACAGAAGCCTCGTCACTAATCAGCAGTACAACACAGGTTCAAATAAGCCCACACAGTTCCATAAGTTGATAAAGATGCATTTCATAACGGCGTGGATAAGACAACGCCGGACCACCTATGCCTTCCCCCCTCCCATGTAAATAGACCAAAGCAATAAGTTCACAACCATCCTCCCAATGTCCATGTACCCTCTAAGTTAGGACACCGACTGAGTATCCAACGCCGGTGGAGGTAACTCAGTAGGTGGAATACTATCCTCCTTCAGTTCTGAGGCAACGTCTCCAATCTCTTTGTTGCTTTCCACTCCCACACGTGGTGCGTTGTCCTCTTTCCTCTCTTCGGATCTGCCTCGTTCGCTCTCCTTCTCGTTGTCTTTACCCTTGCCATTGCCGTTGCTCCTTCGCTCAAGTGCATCTGGTACTTTCTCGCTGAGGTCGATGGCGACGAAGGACTTGGGAAGTTTGACACTGGGAAAGGTGTTAGTATCGTGACACAAATCCCAAATGGGCTTGTAAAGATATGGACCTACGTATGGAATTTGGCGCGAAGGGTCTCGAGAACTTCCTTCCAGTTTTGATGTGCCGTGAGACCACGTCGAGTCGAGAAGCCAATCATATGGCGCGAGTCGAGTTGCCTATGGAATTGTTAGTATTGCCACACCTGATATGGATTCAAAGACGGTACGTACACATCAAGTGGAGCAAAAGCATGGCAACCCGGAGAAAGCGTGATGCGAATGCTGTAGTTGAACGTATTCGACTGCTCGTCCGTACTCGCGTTCTCCGATTCGTACAGCTCGAAGTTGATCTGCGATAAGTAGTCGAGTTCTGGAATGGCGTTGCGTTCGATCTTGGTCTTGATACCGCCTTCAAGAACGCAGTTCAGCAAAGTGTAGATGTGTGACTCTTTGGTGAAATAGAAGAAGCACTTCGGGGTGTCAGACGCCTGAAGCTCCTCGAGATCTCCGACAATCTCCTTTAGCAATGGAAGTGACGTGAGCAGACCAATTTCCAGCTTCTCTTCGCTTTCGATACCATACTCCTGCGGGCCAATGTAGTCGAACAACACTTTGCAGAGGTGGTACATCTCGCGAAGTTTCACCAGTCGTGCATCCGTCTGTGGTTTGGAAGAGGCATTGCCCACACCAGTGTACAACTTGAAGTAGGAATCGTTCACATAAGACGGAGGTGCTGGGATTACTCTGGTAGCAATCTCAGACATGCGTCGGAAACCCATTCGTTGTGAGATACTACTACGATCAGGCTGTTTTGCTGTATTCTGCTCCTTTGCGTCTGCCTTAATTTGCGCCTCAGAGGGGGCCGGTGCAGATTTTGTGGACGCATTGTCAGGCGTTGTCTGCTTTGGGGTATCCACAATTGCTTCCTCGTCAACGAAAGTAGCGTCTGGGGTAAAGACCCATTCAAGGAACCCTCGATTGTGGAGAGCATCGAACTTCATTGAGTCGTAGAGCTCAGAAATCTTACTAGGGTCGACCTTGTCTGCATCTGCAAACTCTTTGAAAAGCTTCTCCCAACGCTCCTTGAACAGCTCTGGTCCCTCATTACAGCACCAGCGCGACTGTATGTGGTTGACGTTGGTGTATTGCGACACGCCTGGCGCGGCCGGGCCTCCAGGAGGTGATGCCAATGCGCTGAGAGAGGATATGGCTTCAGTTTCGATCTTCTTGAAGTTGTGGTTCATCACGCGCTGGTGGAACTTCATCAGGTCTACCACCTGTCTGACAACGATATATGGTTCGGGAGTGTCCTTTGGCCATGCGAACTGTGGCGGGGCTTTGTCACCTGCACGCAACAGGGTCTTGAGCCTCTTCTTGACTTTGTCCATGACATCCTTTGCGGCATTGGAGTCATCCAAAAGGTCCTTGCGTACATGGATGTGCTCAGCTGGGTATTGGTCTTTTTCGAGGAAGGACGCCCCGAAAATCTGTGCACTTGTGGTCACCCGTCGCTCCGAGCTACTGAAGATGTGAACATCATCAAGTACGTCACGGTTCATCAGCAACAGATCGTTGCGGAAGTTGGCGCCCATGTCCTGTGTTTGGTGACGCGCAGAGTGTGTGGGCTCCCCACCCCATTTGATGATAAGTTGCAATTTATCAAGCACCATGTTGTTGTCTTGCGCAGTGATGCGTGACAAAGTGATACCTGACATGGAATCACTTCTATTCTTCAACCGCTCAGAGTCCGGGTCGTTGCTGTCATCGGGCGCCGATGTTTGCACGTCTTCGGTTTTTGAGTCTAGTTTGTGGATCTCGGGAGAGTCTTCAGGCATCGTCTCTCCAGGTAAGAGTTCTTCTTTTCTCCTCTTACGAAACATGGGTTTAATCTGTACCTTAGTTCCAGGCCAGGCTCCCTTTTTGTTCAGGTAGAGTTGCAGATCCCGAAGCTTTTTCATATCTTCAAGTCCCTCGTCCATGGCAACCTTGACCGCATCGCTGACACTTTGTAACGCTGCCTCGCCAATCAGCAGTACTTCGGCTTGGTGTCCTTTGAGTAGATCGACGAATGGTTTTGAGTGAAACGTGTACTTGAACTTCTGCTTTGGGGTACGGTCGGCGTGTCGAGTCACAGACACGACACCTTTGAGCTTCCACTGCGCTTTCGAGGCCGGAGGCGGTATGATTACTTGTTCATCCGACATAGAGGCCTCCTCTTCGTGAAGCAGATCTGGGTCTTTCAGAGCGGGTGGAAGTCTAAGGTCTGGCTCGGATTGCGACACGTCCGGGATCGTACCGACTGTCGGAGGACTCATGATTGATATGGGGTTGGACTTTTCGACACCGGGCGAAGCTGTGATAGGAGTTGTGCTTAGTGAAGTATCAGGTGAATTGGGCGTAGTAGTGCTTGGATGACGCATATGGGGAGGGTGGGCAGAATTGGCCATTCTAGACATACTGGGACTCTTGAACAACCCCTTTAGTGCCTGGCGATGGTTGGACATGCTCTTTCTCGAAGTTGCCGTGGATTTCTCCGGGCCATCTTGTGGGTTAGCGGTGGCAGGTTGTGCCGCGTCTTTTCGTTGCTTGCGCTCGATCTCCTTAAGAAACATGTCTTTGAGAATAGTGGCCGCCTTGTCGTAGTAGTCACCGTTGTCTTTGACGAAGCTCCATCCGTTGACGTCGATGACGTAACTCTGGTCTCCAGCACGGAGGAGGTCGAAGCCGCAGACTCGCTGGCCGAAACCTTCTGAGATTCTAGACGCGATAGCCGCTTCTGCTTCGTTGAGCTTGGTCACGTAACGAACTTCCTTACCACTAGGGTTACGCTTGACAAGGCCATCGACGACTGGCGATTTCCGCGTCTCGGCGTGACAGAAGTTTGGACCGACAGTGTAAGCTTTGACGTCTTCGGCATTCTCCACCTGCAAGAACTGCTCGTAGATGTAGCTGCTTCCAGGCTCGAGAATAGATCTAGGCACATCGAGAGTGTCGTCTCTCTCAGAACTCTTGTTGTTGATCTTCCTGAACAGCTTCCGTCCACCACCGCCGTCCTTCTTGTGAAAGTAGATGTTGATGTTGTGGTCTTCACCGCTGACTGGCTTCTCAACGAAGGGCTTTGTAAGCGTGACACCGTCAACGCGAATGCTGTTTCCGTCATCGATGAGCTCGATACTCTTTGGTGGAGGGAGGCCACCGCCGGTACCGTCACTGGGTCCCAGCAGGCTCACACCTGTGCGATCCAACAGAGACTTGGCAACCTCAGCGGACGGCAGCGTTGGGCCACCGTCTCGACTGATCTCGATTCGCTTTGGGGTAGGCACGTTGAGTTTATCCAGGATGCCGAGGCAGAGACGACGGTCCCACAGGACTTGTTGCATGGGCAGGTCATTGACGCAGAAGGGCTTGCGCAGGCGTGCATAGGCGATGGCCTTGTCCAGTGGGAAGCCATCCGAGAAGAAGGAGATGAGGAAGTCGCAGACGGGCCAGTTCTCCACCTCCTCGTCCAGGATGATCTTGTCGCCGAAGATCTTGACCTCGAACTCGTCGACGAGCTTGCCGAAGATGTTGCGGGCCGGCTTGCTGCGGGCCTTTGACTCGAGGGCACACACGCCAATAATGCCCTTTGTGGGCTTTCTGTTCTCCCTCATCTCCCTGCTTGCGGGGCTGCTGCTCGTGGCCTGGCTCCCGCTAATGCGTCTCTGGGTTGTGCGGCTTCGCGAGCGACGGAGGGGTGGTTGGGCCAGTTGTGGGGAGGTGATGGTGTTTGTGTCGAGGCCAGGCTCAGCAATGGGGTCGAGTGCCGCCTGCTCTGGTGAAAAGAGCACCTGCGTCGGCGAGGCCTTGGCCCCGAGACTCCCATTGTGGCTGCTTGTTGTGACGGACAACGAGGACGTGGCGGTGGTCGAGTCCATCTTCACTGCTGTTTATGGTTAGTGTTTGAAGAAAGAAGTTGCGTGCACAGGGAAATAAAGAGCGACACACCTTCCGATTCGGCCATTGAGCTGCGTCCGCTCCAGTTGTGGCCGCGCGAGTTTGCGTAGATGGCGGAGCCGATCGAGTACAGTGAGGTGAGGGAAAGCCGTTTGGAGTCTGCTGCGTCGACGTCAGATCGCGGAGGTCGGGACGAATCCGGCGGCATCGTCGCTGCTGAGACGAAATATCCACCGCGGGAGCCTTCTAGCGTGGTAGGCGTGGAATCAACATCCTCGTCTGCAGTCCCGCCGAGGAAGGCCATGCTCTCGAACAGACTGCTCTCGGATGCCTTGGACGGCCGTCTAGTGGGCAGCTGGCGGATGGCGCTGGAGCCCAGCGGGGGCATGGACACGCTCGCTCGCTCCACGCTCTCACCACCCGTCTCGGGCTCGCTCGACTTGGCCTTCCTGCCCGCTGCCGGCGCGCCGCTGGCTGTCGAGAGCTGCTGCCATGAGCGGGTGCTCTCACCACTGATGGTGCGGGACAACTGCTGCTCCATGATGGGGCTTCAGTCGCGGTTGCGCGTGGGGGGGAACTTGCAGGGCATTATGTTTGCGCCACGCGAGTGGACTCTGCCGCCCATGACGTAGGCGACGGCACAGCGCATTCCATGGCCTCGTGTCGTTTACTATCGTGAGGTTCCGAGGCTGACGGACATGGAGTTGGAGGTAATGGGGCATAGCGGCACTCTAAATGTGCAGCTACCATTGGATGGATGCACATATGATCCGTTAGACACACCATGTGAATAGCTGAGCGTGTCTTGCTAGATGCAAAACGAATGCGGTCTGGGGTGTGGTGAAGCCCGCGTCTACAGTCTCCATGGACAGTGGGTTGCATCTGCCTTAATGAAATAGACAGACTGCACGCCATGCAGGCGATGGGGTACTCGAAGACGAGTGATGACACTGGCTGTGGTGCCCTGACAGCCTTCTCCACACTATCTGTAAGTAATATGCGAGCCCTGCCAACCAACGATAATCACTGTCAACCTGGCGCAGGTTTACGCACATCTGTAACACGACAGCTACCATCTTATATATGTCAAGGCGCATACTCACCCCTGCAGCGATCGTCGCCCCACCGGGATAGCGCGTGTGCGGACGATCTAATCTAATCTCATCTCCGCAAACTTTTTGTTTCGCAACGCTCGACGCCTGCCAATTTGCGCCTGGAAGCACCACGCTCGTCCGCTTTTCGACATAGCCACAGCAACCATCATGGCAGGTCAAAAGCTCCCAGACATGGCTGCCAATGGCCCGGTATCGAAACGCCAAAAGGTCCAGGACGTTGGCGAGCAGAGCTCTGCACAGCTAGTTCGCCAGTCCAAGATCTTTGCGCCCTTCAGAGTGAGCTTCTGCCACATGTCAGGATCTTGAACCTGCCGACTGACTCACCGTAGACTGTTGGGCTGGTGTCTCCGACCAACGTCCCCTTCACATCCATCCCGCTTGGGAAAACGACATTCCAGATCACTACCTCTGTCGGACGCTCACTGCAGACCTATGACCTGAAGCGCGGGCTAAACCTCATCTTCATCACCCGCCCACAGACGCCAGAAGACATTAGCGCGACAGTCGCATGGAAGAAGGTCGTCTTTGCAGCCTGGGGTGGCCATGGGCGCGACTCGGCACGCGGCGTCTGGGTCTTCCAGCGTGGAAAGAAGGTGGCTGAGCTGGAAGTGCCGCGGGGTGGCATTGACAAGATCACGAAGCTCGTGGTCATGGGCGAATGGATCGTCGGCTGCGGCACGACCAAGATTGAAGTCTGGAGGTCCAAGACGCTGGAGCACTACACGACCCTGCAAGGCGCCTCGTCGAGCACCCTCTCGGGCAGCATCTGCAACATGCCGACGTACCTCAACAAGATCTTCGTGGGACGACAAGACGGATCGGTCGAGATCTGGAACCTCAGCACGGGGAAGCTGCTCTATACGCTCCTCCCTCCCGCCGCAGACTTCGGCGCCGTGACCGCTCTGCAGCCGACACCAGCTCTGTCCCTCCTCGCCATCGCATATCAGTCAGGCCCAGTCGTCTTACACGACGTCCGCTCGGACAAGGAAGTCATGCGCCTGAACACCGGCGGCTCGCAGAAGCTCCCAGTAACCTCTATTTCCTTCCGAACAGACGGACTAGGCGCCGGAGAGGATGGTCGTGAGGATGGCGTCATGGCCACTGCAACCACAGACAGCGGAGACATTGCGTTTTGGGACCTCAACAAAGGTGGCCGCAAGATGGGAACCCTGCGCGGGGCTCATGGCCCTCCTCCGACTGCAGTTGGCGGTGTTGGTGGGGGTATCAGCAAGATTGAGTTTCTGGCTGGTCAGGCAGTGATTGTCTCGAGCGGGCTGGATAACACTTTGAAGAGCTGGATCTTTGACGAGACACCCTTCTCACCGACGCCTCGGATTCTGCATTCCCGTGGTGGACATGCAGCTCCTGTATCGACCCTTCGCTTCCTCCCTTCAAACGCGGACGGCTCTGACGACACCGGGAAGTGGCTGCTCAGTGCGAGCAGAGACCGAAGTCTGTGGGGATGGAGTTTGCGCCGAGACGGACAAAGCACAGAACTCAGCCAGGGCGCGATCCAAAAGAAGGCGAAGAAAATGGGTCTCCTCAATGGCGGTTCGGAAAGCTCCAAGAACCAGGTCAAGTTGGAAGACCTCAAGGCTCCGGCCATCACATGCATTGCGTGCTCTCTCAACCGCGACGGTGGCATGGGCGCAATGCCTGGCGTAGCAGGTATCTGGAACAACTCGTCCAAGGTGAAGGGACAAGATAAAAAAGCACCCGAGGTCAACATGACTGGATGGGAAAGCATCGTCACTGGACACGCTGGGGACAAGACTGCAAGAACATGGTTCTGGGGGCGAAAACGCGCAGGGAGATGGGCGTTCAACACAGGCGACGGCACAGAAGTCAAGAGTGTTGCCATCTCACCCTGCGGTACATTCGCGTTGATCGGTTCAGCTGGTGGCGCCATCGACATGTACAACTTGCAATCTGGACAGCACCGACGCAGGTTTCCCGCACGCTTGACACCCGCCGAAGCCAAGAAGTACAAGTTGCTACAACTACAAGCCGAAGAAGATTTCGGTGGAGATACCGGCGCCTCCAAGAAGTTTGGCAGGGGTGAAGGGAAACACAAGGGAGCTGTCACTGGTCTTACGGTGGATGGTCTAAATCGCACGGTCATCAGTTGTTCAGACGATGGCAAAGTCAAGGTCAGTACACAAATCATATCTAGTCTATCAGCATGCTAACCGTTGGCTATAGTTTTGGGACTTCACCACTGGCTCCTTGCTCCATGAGATCGATTGGTACCCCATGACCAAGATCCTAAGCCTACGCTACCACCGCAACAGCGATCTGATAGCACTGAGTTGCGACGACGGTTCGGTACGGGTTCTTGACATCGAAACGAAAAAGCTTATCCGAGAGCTGTGGGCATCCCGGTCTCACGCTGAGCTGCAGACACTCGACTACACTTTCTCGAGTGATGGCCGATGGATCATCTCTGCAGCGTCCGACTCCGTTGTCCGAGTTTGGGATCTACCGACTGGCCATCTCATCGACGCCATGAAGCTACCAAGCAAGTGCAACACCGTTGCCTTCTCCCCGTCTGGAGAGTTCCTCGCTACAGGTCTAGATGGCGAGGTGGGAGTGCACATCTGGACAAACCGCACCCTCTTCACCCACGTCTCCACACGCCAGATCACCGAAGACGATATCGCCACCGTTGATGCTCCAACAGCGTCCGGCGAAGGTGGTGTAGCAGTCGTCGAAGCCGCCGCTGAAGACGAACCCACGGAAGAAGCCGAAGACGAAACAACAGTCCCCATCATGGACCAACTAAGCGACAAGATAACAACCCTCAGCTTAGTCCCCAAATCGCGCTGGCAAACACTCCTCCACCTCGACGTGATCCGCGCGCGCAACAAGCCAAAAGAAGCACCCAAAGCGCCTGAAAAAGCGCCCTTCTTCCTACCCTCCGTAGGCCAAGCAGACACATCCGCCCTCGCGCCTCTCAACCAAGAACCATCATCCCGAATCTCGAGTTCCGCGCTCGCCTCGCGCTCCACAGCTGCTTCCTCCACAAACGAATTCACGCGCCTCCTCGCTCAGGCATCGCAAACATCCGAATACACACCCCTCCTCACTTTCCTGTCTTCCCTCCCGCCCTCCGCTGCGGATATCGCGATCCGCACCCTGGACACGAGGGAACCGTACACGGAGCTCCGCACTTTCATCGACGCGCTGACAGCGCGCTTGCAGGAGCGTAGGGACTATGAACTCGTGCAGGCGTGGATGAGCGTGTTTCTTAGACTGCATGGGGATACGATTGTTAGGGAGGAGGAGTTGGTGGGCGGACTGAGGAAGTGGCAGGAGGAGGCTAAGCGGGAGAGGGAGAGGGTTGGCGGGTTGGTCGGGTATAGTGTCGGTGTTGTGGGGTGGGTTAGGAGTGCGAGGTAGAGGTGGAGATTTTGTGGGCTAGGGGAAGGATGGTGTTACGTTATCATCTCTTCGTTTGGGGGTGGTGTCTAGTGTGAGGCTTGAATTGAGAAAAATCTAACTGAGTCTGAGTTCTACACTTGACTTTATTGCCTTCTCTTAGAGATTATCTACGTGACGTTACCTGTTGGTTTAATTTTTTCAGAACACGGACATAGCCAAGCAAGTAAACTGATTAGCTACATCCCTAAATAGCGGCTATTAGCTCAGCCACTGCCCATCTACCCACATACTGTATCATTGGATTGGAAACCATACATTACGAGGACATCTATGACTACCTACCTCGATCCGCTACACAACAGACTCTACAATAGTCAAGATATCCGGAATCGAAGTGCAGCAAAATCTATCAACAGCCTGACAACTACACGCAAATTCCCTTGTAAAACTTGTGCACTTGAAACATTACCTGTATACGACTACCCAGCTTCACTTGCATCACGTCAATCTGGAAGCTCAGTTGTTTCGTCTTACCCAAAATAACACAGCTCAATCCTCGGTAGTCCAGTTACCCGAGCAAGAGCCCGAGGTACCGCGCTCAATCAACAACACACCATCTCGTCGATATTTCGGACACGCTCGGTCACAGACCATCGTTCCACGGCCTACTTCGCAGCCGCAAAAACACGTGCACCCACACATCCCAGACCATTGATACCCGGACCGTCCTCGGCTCTCTCGGCTCTCTCGGAGTAATCACTCCCGCCCTGTCCGACGGGTCCGGAATACTGAGATAGGTAGTAGATAGGTAAGCGAGACGACAAGACACGGGACGAGACGGGAACGGATATGATGTGCGAGCAGCGAAAGAAAAAAAAAAGCTTGCAGCGGCATGTGCGCAGACTGACGTTTTCTCTTTTTTCATAGATAGCATGCAACAGAAAAAATTCTTCAAGCTGGTTGTGTGTTGGTTGGGTGGGGTGGTGTGTGTGTATGCAGAGCAGACTGGGGTGCCGTGTATGGTAGGGCTGCCGAGATTGATTGTGGCGGGTTAGTCGCGGTATTGCGTTTTCTGGGAGATTTTCCAAGGTGCGGGAGATGATTGCTGGGTGGAGGGGCTGGCGAGTTGGCGAGCTGGCAAGGTGGTTTTGTTTTTTTCGCCCACGTGTTGGCAGGTGCGCGAGTCTTGCTACTTTGGGTAATGTGATCGCGGTGCATGGTGGTGAGGCTTTGCGGATGGGAAGGTATGGATGGGGAGGCCTGAAGCGGGCTGAGGTGTTGTTGCGCATGTGCTGCGCGTTCTGCCAACTTACCATCCACCCGAGAATGCTCCCAAGGCAGCAATGGATTTATCTGCGATACGCGTGTACCCTACCTGTATATGTATGGGACACGGGCTTGATGGTGGGCTGGTATACGCGTATTTCGTGTTCAAGCTTGGCCGTTGACCAAGGTGGATGTTGGCGCCCCACCAAGTCAGTAAACAGGCGTTCTGTCGATCAATGTTTGGGAACCTTATGTAGAATCGCATTGTAGCATTGCTTTCGTTTGCACTGCCGCACAGCATACACGCGTATAGACCGCGCTTTTGCGGGGTTAGCGAAAGCCCGAGAGCCGTTACGCCCTATGGAGTCAGCAGTAAGGTTGGAATCAGGCTCACCATGGCGGCGGATGTGCTGTGCAACGTCTGTACGATGCGATGGAACCATAGGGCTGTGCGAGATACGCCAAGGCAGCATTTGGCTGTGGAGCGAGCAGCTGACTTGCTGTTTTGGGGTGTGTTCAGCCCTTTTGGACGCCCCTCTCCAGCAGAGTGTAGAGTGTTGGCGGGGAGACGGTGTTACCATAGGTCCGACGCTCTTTATGAGACGAATATCATGCTCTTCTTGTTGGATGAACAATTAGATGTGAAACTGGTTGTGTAGAAATCAGGCTGGTTAGTGAAGCAGCTGCTGGATTTATCAGGAGGAATGCCTTGGTTGTGTGTTTGTAATGCTCAACTGGGAAAATGGACAAGGGGGGTTGAACTTCAAGTAGGTAATGATGTCCACGCGCGCCATGCTGCAGCTTCACACGGCACTCCCCCTTGGAACTGTCCGTCGCAAGTTGATCGTCAAAGCACATGGAATTGGAGCTAATGAAAGGTCAAGCTTGATCTCGTCATCACATTAAGGCTGTCGTTGTTCTGAAGGGCTGCAGCTTTGTCAGATCAGATTGTTCAGCATCAAGCAGATCATCCAGCTTACACCCACCAATCACGCTGGGAGACGACAACAAGAGAAGATGAGTTTGTCATCTGGGAGTCAGACAGATGCAGGGCATGCAGTTGTTGTTACAGTGTCGCATGCATCGTGATCATTAATTAATCATTACCTAGCCAACGAAGACACGGGAGGGCGCATCGCATTCGCTTCGTCCGCAAGACCGAGATGCCGTTCGTGATCGAAATGTGTCCGAAGCAAGAACAGATGAACCATCGTTTGTCTCCGTCGGGCCCGGTCACACGCGCTCTCCGTTATCGTCAGCCCAAAACATGCTTTTGTTTGTGTGAAATGGTTGTGAAGCAAGGCATGTCAGCTGGATTCGAAGGGTTGAGCCTTGCAAGATGGATGCGCGAATTCAAGTCGAGGCTACACAAAGGAGAGAGTGGTTGGTTTGTTTCATTGCGATACAATCAAAGGCAAAGTGAGCGGTGGCCGAGAGCGCCGGGCCCACGATTGAAGCCACAGGCTGAAAGGCTGACCGCTTCCAAGGCTAGCTGGCGGAGTGACCGCTGTGAACCGTGGCTGACTCCTTGCGACAGCACATCGCAGGCAGCCAAATTGCACAAGCATGCCCATGCGCTTAGCCCGGTGCACGCTGGCAAGGAGCGTGCCAAAAGAAAGGGCTTTACAATACCCATGGAATAGCAGATAGAATGAAGAAAAAAGACATCATCATGAGTCACTGCAGCGCGATGAATAATCCATGGGAATAACCTCTCTTTTCCGTCCAGCGTTCTATGTCCGTATCTACGGTTGCTAAGGCCGTATCGCGCGAACATGACAATTCCGCTCCGACCGAAGAGGCTTTCGTAGTGCATGCGCCGGGCGCGCGTCAGCACCACTCCGCCGCACATCCCTGCAGCTTGTGAATCATGGCCGCATGGTTCTTCACCGACTCGGCCAAGAACGGTGGAAACAATGCCAATTAGATCCGGGATGTCGTGTACTTCCATTGTCATCCTCCGAGCGTCAGAAACATAAGAAACACGCTTGCCCACGCCGTTCAAGGGACTACACAACAGCTCCACTACGAATTTTCAAACCCACATCGAAGAAAAGTCGCCTCTATATCAAAGGATCATCATCTCGAATACAAACTTGCATCTGTCGTACCCGGAATATTTCAAGCTCGGATCACCTTCTCTCCATTGGCTGCAGTCTTAAGGTTCGTTCAAGCCTTGTCCACCTTGCAGTCATAAACGTAACTGACTCACCGTCTTTAGGCACTCATATCTCTGCCTATACATACATCCAACATGCCTTCCACATCCCACCTTCGCATACAAACTTCCTTTGAGCCCATCTCTGCTGAGACCACTCGCTCCCACTTTGTCTCTTCCCCACCACAAAAGAAACAAAAGATGTCTCTCACTCAAACCTACTACATCGCCGCCTCTGCCCGCTCGAAGCTGGGTAAAGAGGCTTGCCGGGCCGACCATGACCTCCGCCTTCTTGTTGGACACGCCAACCTTCTCGACAGCCTCATGATTGAACTTCAAGACGCCGAACGCCAACAGGAAGCATGGTTCAACCAGACCATGGCCAAGGCCTCCAAGGCTGAGGAGCAACGCCATGTCCAGTGGGCCGATAGCATCGTCGAGGAGGAGGAAGAGGAGGAGGATGACTACGACTCGGACTCGGACTGCGAGGAGGACTTTGACATGGTCCTGATGCCCCGACGCATTGTCCAGGCACCAATTCAGATCACCACCACGGTAGCCGAAGACGACGAGGAGGACTTCTACGACGACATGGAGGACGACTCAGATCTTGCCCTTACCCGTGTCACATCACAATCACACTCGCCTCCCGAACTTGTCTACGAAGAAGACTCAGACGACGACACACCACCCGCATCGCCGCCGCAATCTATGCTCGAATTCTCCGACAAAGAAGCCATGCTCACAACAACCTTCTACAACGAGAAGCCACACTACTTCGAAAGCGATCACGCGCTATTCATGGATTCGAATTCCAATGCTCCGCTCATCCCAAGTTTTTAGGCCGGCACTATCACTATTGCGACCTTTTTATTTGTCTTTGATCAAGCATTTTCCAGCGAATTCAGCGAGCGAGTCCTTTCAGCATAGCACAATCGGCAGCATTATACCTATCATTTTTATTATTGGGACGACACGGGTTGGACGGATTGCAATGAAGCAATAACGAATCTGGATGTCACGCACTACTCTTCTCAACTTTTCTCAGGAAGGAACTGTCCACGGTGGACACATGAACATTGGGAAATTGATTGCATGGCGCGGTTTGAGATCTCCCATCTTACATGGTAGAGACTCCCGCCTTGAACATTAGCTAGAAATTTAAAATATGATCATCATGTCAAATTTACCCACTTTCATCTCATGTGATGGTTTCCTTATCTTGGTGCACTATGCACGCGGATAAACCACTACCATGTGATAGCAGACTAGGCCTGACAGCCTTCGCACCCCTTCCTGATTTTTACTCCTGAACCGTTGAGCGTCATTTACAAAGCTGTCTAGACTTTCCTTGCAGACCCGCAATGTTTGGATCTCGCATAACGGAAGGCTGGTTTGTCGCCTTCAAATGTCGGTCAGTGTCACGACAACCAACCCCCTGCAGGTACCAAACCAGCATAGCGGACACAAAGCCGCAATCTTTTGGATCGCCTGTCGCAACGCTTGCCCCATGAAAAATTAGTTCCGGTCAGTTCCAAAGATCTTCATGTCTTTGCTGTAATCGCATACGAGGCATTGCGAAGCGCTTGCGTCAAAATACGAATTGTGCCGCTTTGCTACCAACCCCCGCTGTCGCAATCGATGATGAGCAAAGACCATCTAATGCAGGGCGCCGGTCGAGTCGGCTCTGAGTTGCTTCCGAGCTTGGCACATAGGCACAATGTTTGCCCATTGACGTTTCTTTCCGGGCGAAACGCGGACAATGTGCTCAAGGATCACCGTTCCACGACGACGACATCGATCACATGTAGATATCCTCGATCATGCACGACGTTTGAGATAAGAGAGCCACGCAACTCAGGTCGCAAAGCAAGGCATCAATGTTTTCGACTCTCCGCATCTGCGCCTGGCACGTTCTGAGCAGGGACTCCCGTCTCCACATTGGCAGAAGTTCAACGAGGAAGGTTGAAGTGCTGATCTCGCCTGATCGCCAGCATCCTTGCGATGTTGTGATCTAGGCATCCACCTTTCCTTGGTCGACGCTTCAACCTCAAAGGCATCTCGTAGCGAGCGTTGAACGTTTCATGTGGAATCTAGATTTCCAAGACACGTTGCGCTGTCGACGATGCCCGTGCGACAGCATAACTCTGGGGCGGTCTGACGTGGAGCGTGTTTCGCACAGAACAAAGCGAGCAATGGGCGCATAGCTGTGGCCCACTGCAATGTGGAGATGCATGGATACATCGCGTAGAGAAAGAAGATGACATAATATACATATCTCCATAGTCCACTGACCCATGGTTACCGGTCGCTCAACAGTCAATCCAAATAAGAGCGTTGTCCAGTAGAAGAGGCATATTCAGAGATGTTGCGGTGTCTAGAACTGATGAGCTGGCAATCACAATCTTCTGGCCAGGACTTCCCCAGCGACCTCCTGCTTTGACTCTCCATCACATGAATGAGAGGACGCGTAGTACCCCACGTTTCCGCAAGACATAAGCAGCGTCAACATAGCCCCATGGTTTCCTCCTCACGCCCAGGCAACAATATAGTCGCCGACCCCACACTGTAGTCGTCTTTCAACGTGGCTCAATCAAACACCACTACGACCTTGCCAGACCATGAACGGGGCGATTGCTGATGCTAGACGTATTTTGGACGGACGACTATCCTCTGGAGTTAAACTGCCCAGCGATAACGGAGTTTGGCTGCTCTGACGGAGATAACAACCAGCTTATCAGATGCATTGCGACAGGTGACTTCATACCTTGTTTCACCAACTATCTCACCCACATTCCACGACGAGTAGTCAGATACTTGGCAACTCATTGCTACCCCTCACAATGTGGAGTGGAGTTCTCTGAAATCAACCCGCCTCACTAAATACTTACCAACTCAGATCTGGATTGCGTGGCACCGATCGAGTACCATGTTGGGAATTCATGACGCATGCAGAACCGGTTGTGTACGCCGGATACTTTTTCATCCTTCTCACTATCCATTGACGACCAATGGGTTTGGCGCGGACGAGGAGATGAGGTCAAGCTCTCCCGCCGTGCGTCGCCTTTATCGCCCATTCCTCCGATAGACGATCCGCGACGCATTCATCGCCTCTTGAGGTCATTCCATCGACATCCGAACAAACCAGGGTCCAAACGACGCATCAGGGTCTGTCAAGATCTCCAATCACATGACCCTCGGACACGTAGAGCTCCATATTCCCGACGCCTGTCCAAACTGGCAAGTTGCGCAAAGAAGTGGGGTCGGTGAGCTCGCGCCGACCCGCGCCGAGATGTTGCTGTCAAAAGCAACAGACCCCTTCCGCGCTCGACGGGCCAAGACAGAAGAGAAAACTCGGAGCAAAACCCTTCTTCTAGCGCACGAAGCGCCAATCCCTGACCGCTGTGAAGATCGATCTATCGCTAGGAAGGTGATCGTAGGATCAGCTAACAGAGAAAATTCAGTCCGAGTCTTCTCCACTAGTGCTGCGAAGTCGATGACACTACCGTGTAGATAGTGGAGCAGTATCTGGGTGTTCGACCCTTCTGCTCTTTGGGTGTTTGCTCGAGCGGGAAAGCCTTGGTAATCGTGTGATTTCAGCTATGGTGTTGAGTTTCCAGGGCTGACCACGGCTCGGGCGATCTCGGCATCGTGACATTTTTCTGCAGCCCGTGGCTGGAGAATTTTCTCTTGATGACTCTAACGCACATGTGTGAACAGCGAGCGGCTGGATGCGATGCAGCAGTCAGGGGTTGGTGGAATGTGGCAGCTATCCCGTAACGAGGACACCACTGACCGCCCAACAAGTGCGTCTGGCGCGGATAATGTCAAGCGGTTAACGGTCGGTTTAGATTGCATGCTTTCCTCGGTACAAGAAATGGTTGAGGTTGTCCATGTGCACAACACCTCACCGTCCACTCCCGCTGCTTTCCCGGCTTTTCCCGGTCACTATGCCTCCCAGCGGACTTGACTCAGTGGCACCCAGCCCAAAACGTTGCCGCAGTTTCCTGCAGTCTACTGCAAGTAATCAAAAGATGCGTCTAGCGCGCTGGCATTCTATTCCCTGGTCTTAACGCGAGTCTGTGTGGTTGTCAGTCATCCAGATCAAGTCGCCAGATAGTAACAGTGGCTATTATCTTAGTTTGGACCTACAAGAACACCTGGGAAGAAGAAACTATTTCATGACAGCAGGACTCGGATAGAATACACCGCTTTCTCGCGGTTCTAGTCTTTTACTATCTTGTGTTCTTCGCCCACTGTCCCTATCTTCGCAGGATTTAAAAACGTTTCAACTTCTTGATTTTTGGTCTACATGACCACCTTGAATCTCCGCTCTCGAATCTTGGAAAAACTTATTTAATGTCAGGATTGAATTCACTTTACTATGAAGAGGAGTTCGACGACAAATAAGACGTATTCGGCTCTGCAGTTTCATCAATCGCCTAGATGCCAAAACATGGTGCTCCCATTGTTCACTCTGTCAAGTGTATTGTGATAAGACGATAGACGAAAGGATCAGTGAGACTGTAGCAGACTCTACTTTCGATTTTGCACTGCCTCGCATACTCTGATCCTGTTCATTTCGACACCCTGGATGAACGCAGTACGACTTTGCTCTTCTCCATTATTGCAGATAGGAACGTAACTTATTTTAGACGTTGCAATAACATGGGGAATCGAGATCCAAACACCAGACTCGCAATCCTAACCTGGGTGCCAAGGATGTGGCATACCCTCCAGATTGCTCCAGCGTTAGAGACTATGACAGTAACAGGGGTACCAATAGAGTCCATGGATGATACCATGGGATGATATCAGGATGGCAACGTTAGGTTCTCTTCTTCATTGCCATCTAGTTTACTACGACAGATATAATGGTTGTACATATGAAGAACACAATACACGATAAAATCACGAGCCACCGACCGTTACCGAACCCTACAACTACTTAGAGCATTCTATAGCAGCGCTATCGCCATAGCAAGTATTACCAACATGCATTTCTCGATAACCCCCTCAGATCTCAAAACATCCGCCCCGCCAGTAACATTCGGGTTTCTCTCCCCCGTCACTGTCGCCAGCTCTACCGTCGCTGCAGCAGTCCCGCTCGCAAACGGATTTAGCCTCGTCGCCGTCATGCTAGACGCCACCGACACGGTCATAGCCGTTGGATACACGACATCTTGCGCGCTCACAACATCGCGATCGCCCTTGATGTTCTTGCACGTTGGGTCTGCACCGCAGGCCGGCTTATCGGTTCCGCAGCAGTGTGGTTCGTCCATGCCGTTGCAAGTGTAGGGCGTCTTGCCGTCGGAGAGTTGGCAGCATACACCGAGGCGGTCATGGCAGATGGTGGTACCGGAGTCGGCAGCACAGAGAATGTCGAAGGTTTGGGCCGGGCAGGAGAGTTGGGCTTCACGCTTAAGTATGCCGGTTCGAGAGGGGTTGAAGGTGTTGGCAGTGATGGTACTGGCCGTGAGCATGAGAAAGACGATGGGAAGAGTGGCTGACTGGCGCATGATTGGTGTAGTAGGTGTGAAGATATCTGATTGACGAATACAGTTGCTTGTTGTTTGCAAAATTTTGCACAGGAGAAGTCCATTTATGTTGTATTGTAGAAATTCATCGTCGCGAGTTGGGCGGTTGGATCAGGGCATGCAGGTTGCATCCTTTCGTATCCCAAAATTGAGAAGTATCTCGATTTGAGTCCATGGCGCGTACAACATGTAAGATGTGAGTAAATCTTCCCTGGATGAAAGTCTTGTCACACATCTCAAGTGCTCTGATTAGACTCGTTGAGAATCACAGTCGTAGGGGCAAGCGAATATCAATAAATCATCCGAAAGGCTGAAACGCCAAGGATTAGATTCAGGCATCGTTCGAGTAGTGCTACTGCAGTTACTATTTTTATAATTCTGGGGATGTGAACTTTTTGTAGGGGTTTGACATATCTGACCAGTAAACGCTGGGGCGCGTGTGGCTGCTTCGCCGAGGGCGCGTACCTGCATCTTCGCTACAACACTATTCAACAAGTCCGTTGTGCAAGTTCGCTCAAGGGTCATCACTAGGAAAAGTGAAAATACGGGACTTGAGTGTTTGAATAAGTAAGTGGCTTGAATAGCACCTAAGTTACGAGGTGTCTCTTCCTTGACGTTTTCACCATCGGCGTAATGATCCAACGGAAACCTTCAAGGCCAAATCAGTAGTCGAACATTTTGCTCGCGTCAACATGGTGACTAACATCCTAAAGACTCTTATAATTTGTGCTTCGAAGATCCTTGTGGTCAGTGAAATTAATGTCGATGCGTTTCACCTCAGAAGCAGTGTGGTGAGAGGAGCCTACTAGGTAGCGATACAGAATCCAACGAAAGTGGTATTCGGGGTGTTCTTTATATAAGTTGATATGCAGAAATAACAAAATGAAGTAACTTTGAGACTGCGCATGATGTCTGAAGGCTTAGGGTTGAAGTGTGTGTGTATGTGTGTGTGTGTGGTGAAATACAAAAGGTCATTTTAGGCTCCTGGTTGCGTAACTTCAGGAACTGGTTTGATCAGCGAAATAAACCCTGATTATATAATTCAGCATCATTTGGTACATATAGACGAGATTGGGAGAATCAACAATCAGTTCATGTACAATTAGTTATCATCTGAAAAAGCTTTTACAATACCAACATCCCAATACAACGTCTAAACTTATCTAGTTGTCTTTCCAGAGAAATTACAACTCTCTAACGTGCTTGGTGAAGTTAAGTCTTCCAGCTCTGACTTGACCACCATTTGAACGATCTTTATACCACTTGAAAATTTGCTGCATGGCAAAAAGAGACGTTTGTACTAGTGTCCAAAAAAAGATAAATTTCCTTCATCAGTCAGCAGACAAAGCCGACGCCCTTTCCATCTTCCGAGCTCTTTTTAGAGGAAAAGCGTCCCCAAGGAACGCTTATCCCCTTTCCCATCCTTCCTGTTTGACTTTGGACCATCTTCACCGTACCCCGTTATCACCGTGGCTTCAGCTTGCGAAACGTGCTGAATGCTGTCTTCCTTACGCTGCTTGTCCTCCTGTTTGAGCTTCTGCCAATACTCTTTTGCTTGTCCGCCTAAACCGACACCGCGTTTGGATGATCCATGGTCGAGAAGAGCGCTGGAGGATTGCTCGGATCGTGTTTCAGATGCGATAATATCAGTTTCTGTGAGCGGTGCTGAGTATTTATGTTGAACGCTTATAGACTGCATTTTACCTTGGGAATCTTGCTTGTTTGACATGGCTGAGTGGGTTTCAGCAGTATCCAGAACTGTGTACTAGAGGAAAGAGTAACGAGTAACGAGGGTGACCTGATTCCAACTCTCTCACGAATATATAGGCCCTAGATCGCTGCACCAATGACGCAACATTGCAGAATCATGCATCGCGTTGGCCAAAGACAATAAGCTGCGCCGCATGCAAGGTCACTCTTGGCGCACAATTTTGAGCTGATCGCCAGATTCTCATCAGAATTGGGCGAGGTATCTTGTTACAACTATTCCAATAGTTTGTGACAAATCTAGAAGCACTTTCGGTCACCACTTTCCGGTTCTTGAAGTGCTATTCCAACCAGAATTTGCCGATCCAGTCAACTTATCGGGTCTCTGATCCAAGTTTTGTATGATATAGAGAGAGAGCTCGATTCATCTTAGCATTCAGTATGCTGCCAAGCATCTTATCAGCTACCGTTGCTGAGACAAGCCCTCCATCTCAGCGTAGAAGAATGGAAATGTGCGTCACATGGCGGCTCTATCGTGATGAGTTTGACTGGCAGAGTTCACTGCACCTATTGTAGCACTCGTGATCCTACTGCTGAAGATATGTATAGATTCGTGTGAATCTAGTCTAGACTTGAATTACAGGACGCATTTTATTTTACAAGCCTTAAACGCCAACTAAATCTGTCCACTCGCTCTTCTCAGCCACATATTTGATGTCCAACAGCTATTTTCGAAGCAATGTGGTATGCGATATGGCATCAGAATCGACGCGGAAACTGTTACTGCGGAGGCTGAACTCAATTACAGGTCTAACAAAGTAGGCGGTACCGACTATAGATGTAACTTTCCACGCGACCAAGGTCATGGGCCTTGAGGTATTCTTAACGCCACCCCACGTCCCGGAATCAGCGCCTTGTTCAATACAAGTAATCGACAAGGAACCTTTTAGTGAGTAATATATGTCATAAGGAAGAGGGTGTGGTTTCCAGAGTCTGCCTGTCCCGTCGCTGTAAGAGTATCATCTCACTACTTCAAACCTTAACGCTAGAAAGGAGCCTGTTATGGCTTTCTCCAGATATAGATGTAGATGTAGATGACATACACTAGAAAAGCTTTCTTTCAGCATGGTACCATTATGCTTAAACGTTGTGACATTTCTAAGATAAGGAGACTACAGTAATTTCGCCGAGTGCAGGCTCCACTCTTATGTTGTTACCATGATGAGAAAGAAAAACAATCTGAAGCCTTCATAATCTCAGTATGGCACTGGAGGTACTGACTTCTCTTTTGAGGGTGACTTTCTTGGACTCTTCGAAGCTCGTGGCGACCAATCATCTCCTCCTCCATACATGCTGATGAATACTCCAACGATGGATGAAAGCATGAAAAGGAAAGTAAGTCGGTTTTGGAAAGCAACGAACACTCCCACCCAGGCGCTCGTGGCGTTCACCTGCCAGTAAAATCTCCAGACGAATCTCCATACCATACAAACTCGGTAGTGTAGGCGGATGGGAACAGATGGCGACAACATATGAGCCCAATGCATTCGAAGCGTATCGATATCGAGACTTTTCTCTTTGAACAGAGGCTCCCTAACCGCGATCAGATGTCTCCAGAATGGCTGAAGCGTCTTTGAAGTTGTATCATAGGGCTGCTCTTCGCGCATGAATTTGACCCATTTATCCACGGTCTCCCTAGCAAGATGATTGTCTACGTTGAACCATTCTCCATGTTTCGTGCCGCACTTCTGGCATTTGTAGGGTCGACAAACATTCCAAAGATCGTCTTGAACGAGGGCCTCCACTCGTTTGTAATTGTCGACTGTCCTTTCATGTATTAGGTGGAGCTTAAGTCCACAAGCATACTGAATGCTTTTTTGACGTTTCCCTACATTCGTTGATATCCCTATCTTCCGAAGTTCAGGGCGGTTCGGGTCAAGGAGCACATAAATGGAACCTCGTTGGTCGGAATTCGTCAGGTCGCTCTCGAAGGTATCCTGCAATCTGGTGTGAATCTCTAACACTGTTGCGGTCGAGCCAGGAGAATTGAATTCTGGCGACTTTTGTGGTCTCACTGTGGTATCTGGGCCTGAAACATTCTGCTTTGGTGACGCTCCATTGAACGGCATCGTCTCTTCTTTTATTGGTCGTGCTTCTTTCCCCCGTCCAAGTGAGTGAAGAGGTATAGGTCTGTCGTCAAATTGTCTGGTGTTTTGCCTCCGGCTAAGTTCGGGATCAGACTCTACGTGGAATCCCAAGGTTGGCCGACCCCCTGCTGGACAGGACGACGAAGTTGACTGCGGCTTTTGCCTCGACACCGGGCGAGTCAATGATTGAAGACACGATCCAAATACAGGCTGAGAGCTACGCCAGTGAGTTTGACTAGACGAAGACATTGTAGAATGAAGTAATGATAGGGTCTCCTGAGAATTGGGAGTGCTAAACGTTGCTAAATGTGATTGTAATTATCAAGCCTTGTTTTTTGTGACTGATTTGTTTCGCGCCACGTAACTTTATAGGTAGATGTTCGTGGCTGTGTTCATACCAAGTACTTCTGGAGGAATTCAATAAAGATGTAGGTGAGGCTGGGTAGCTGCCTGCGGGGCTGTGTTGCTGTGCCGCAAAACGGCTCGGTTCGCTGCATGAACGGGCATACACTCGCAAAACGTCAAATCTGTGCGCGATAGCGTATCAGCCACAGTTTCAAGTTGCAGCAAGGTAGGTAAAGTATTTGGCTTACGTGATGACCGTAAATTACAACAGCGCGTCAGGAGATCTGTGGGGGGTCAATCGGTAATTCCAACCGAGTTTGGGGGCTATGATGTTCAACACTTCCCCTGAGATTCTTCAGGGCTGTCCACTCAGATCATAACCATTATTCGAAAGTGGCTAGTATGAACGTATCAGATGTTTTATCTGGGCTGTTGGGTTATTCCCTCAGCATCAACTCAAGGGCAGATAACCGTCGTTATATGCATGTGTAAGAATATCGTACAAAAGGGTTACTGCCCGACGACCTAACGTCTGAACAAATACCAAACTCTCATCGGCCCTAGAAATATAGGAGAGATTTGTGTTGCCTAATATTGTAAACACTATTCCAGTATCACTGCCTAGTGACTGCCGTTAGTGAGGAGTCAAAGTACCTGTAAAGGTGTGATGTTGCCGACTTTGAATTATTGACGAGATAATCGGCGTAGTTTATGGGAATTCCAGGCTGGTACTCCTCCGTAGAAAGAGCCGCATAGGTCCTGTGTTCTGTTGTCTCCAGCACAAAACACCCCATTCTTATCTCCTTCTCTTACTTGTCTTTGAGGTAATTGTAGCACCATCTTGGGTTTCTTCTCCTCAAGGTCTTGCTGGACGTCGATTTTCTTGTTCACAACTCTATAGGCCTTCCTTCTTCCCTATATATTGTGTTACCAGGCCTCCTAAAATGAACTGGCTTAGGTCCAATGGTATGCCAGGTTGAACCAGTAAATAGAGATAGTGAAGACTAAATCCAGCTCTCTGCTTATTGTGTAAGATTGCATTAGTTGATGTCTAGATGTCTAGACCCGAATCATCTGTTGTATATCAACTCTTCTCCAATCAACTCCAATCAACTCCATGGTATAACTCCTCAATGCCTGGGCTCTCGAACACGCGTCCACATTGGTACATTCAGCAGTCAGTCGTCAAGAGACGGTTGATCAGCTCTCTGTTACTATTAGTGTATACTCTCACTAATGTTTACTGTGTGCAAAGAGGCTGGGTTTTAGCTTCTACACTAAGTTAATATACTAGATTCTTACTGTGCTTCGTCTATCTGCTTGTACAACAAGTATAAATACGCTATAATCCCAAAATAATAATAGCTCCTCACTAACAAAGTCAATCAATACCCAAAATCAATGATCTGGATCCAGAATGTGGACCATATTATAATCCTATATTTTCCAGTCTCGATCTCCAACATCAGTGAACAAGAGACCTGTAAGACGATTTCAACCCCACCAGTTTAAGGTCGGGGATACGTGCTCTACACGAATGTTGATACAGTTGCGTTGAGTTGTCACTATCCTACAGATGAAAAATCAAAAGAGAAGCATTTTCCACCACGAACGGAAGGCTATCAAGGCCTGTGCTGTAAATTTGGGCATATCTTGTTTCCCTGGAATCGACTCCGGGTAGTACCAGCTGTTGATAGTAACTCAATTGATTCTACGCCATTGTCGAATAACGTCATCCTTCTGCCAGAATATAGTACCCGTTGATGATATAACACATTAATTCACGACAAACTATTCGAGCCTTGAATTCCAAGTGTTCTCCTAGATTCATGACCTCTCGAGAACATGTATAGAGCTCAACGAGCATGCGGCGTGTAGGGTTAATAACAGACATGCAGCTATATACACACCAGCACTACACAGCCATCGCGCAAGTCACAAACCCAATAATTATTGTTTTCATCGACGAAGCTACTTTGAAATTCTCAATGTTTTCAACCCAATTTCGACGTCTATCCCAACCAGCCATACTGCACTAGAGACAGAATCAATGTACTGGGCAGCGGCGTGCCATAAGTCTCGACTAAGCGCTGTATTGATAGAGCCTGAGGGCTTTCAGGATATGGTAATGGAGTATTTGCACATAACTCTCCTATTATTTTAGGTTTATAGCGTATTCATGCTTAAAGTACAAGCAGATAGACGCAACACAGTAAGAATCTAATATAGTAACTCAGTATAGAAGCTAATACCCAGCCCCTTTTTACACAGTAAAAATCAGTAGGAGTACACAGTGATAGTAACAGAGAGCTGATCAGCACACCGTCTCTTGACGACTAACTGCTCAATGTACCGGTGCGGACGCGTAATGAGAACTGACGAGCAATCGAAACGCGTGCGCAACTAAAACACAATGGTGACGTAACACATTAATCCCCGTCCTCCAGGATAACTCTCCTATTTAAAGGGTGTCAAAGTACTGATGGCATGACCGAGTATGGATATGGGATATACCCATGCCAGCCAGCCAGCTGCACGTAGCCGCCTCTCTTGCATGTTGACAGAGCGATGTATCGATTGCGACGAACATTCTGCGATCTGGGGGTATTGTTGCTAATAAGTTGTTGCACTCTATGGTAGTTGGAAAGTCGGAGGGTCGTACAAAGGCACATCATACTTCAGATGGGCGTGTCCGAGATTTGGTCAAGATGCTTCTTTTGATAGGCAACGATGTAGGCTCGATCATGAATTGGAGTATATACAAAACAGCCGCTGATAGCTTCTGCATGAACATGGTATAAAGTCGACCATGATAAACAACGAATAAAATGCTCTCGAATGCCGAATATCATGAGATCTCAGCAAGAAAAGGCCTAAGACACTAACAATTACCTCGCTTCATCAGCACTCTCCGCGTCCTCGTCCCTCGGAAGCGCAGCCCTATCGACCCACCCTTCGCCTCTCAACACACCCAATCCCTTCCGCGCAACACCGCTGCTCACAGATTTGGGAGAGACCTCATACAAGACATTGACAGTGGCTAAACTCAGAACAAAGAGGAGTACATCCCCGTTCTTGACACCTCTCCACCAGCCCTTCTTAACACCGACCTTCCAAAGTGAATCAATCGACATGCGCGCCGAGTGCAAAAAGTTCGATCGGCCGCCGCCGCGCCCGAGGTACGCCCATAGGCCGCTGATAAAGCCGCCGAGGAACCAGCGTTGCGTGGGGAGGAAATTACGCGGGAAAATGCTCTGGAAGAGGCAGATCGACCCCCAACTTGCGCCGATAGCGCCTGAGAGGAAGAGAGACATGCTGAGGATGTGTTTAGCAAGAGAGTTGATTGCTGACGAGGGAGAGGCGAGGAAGGATTTGTAGCGTGGGATGCTCATAGCAGCGTAGAAGATTGTGAAGAAACGGGCGATTTTTGGGAAAGATTGTATCCAGCATTGGACGTATGTTCGTAGACAGGATGGATCTTGTGGATGTAGGAGGGCACAGGATAGGGATTTTATGGCTGGGTGTGCAGGGGATGTGATGGCAGAGATGGAAGCAAGACGCTTTGGGAGGGTTTCTTGCGTGGGGAACAGAATTGGAGATACAAAGGGCGGCCAGCGCTGCCTTGAAATTTCCGCCAGGCTGTCGGCGATATCGAATGTCCCTGGCCAGGGCAGGTTGCTCGGATAGCCGTCAGGCCTTTTTTGAAGGTATTCTGGAGAGTTGTTTGAAACGAACATTCCATATGAGTCCGGGAGGCAATCGCGATCGAAGGCAAAAGCGTGTAAGAGCTGTCCACATGTGAAGGGCATAAGCATCCATGATCCGAACCAAGAAGGCTTATTGCGCAGATAGCCCCGCTCTTCCAAATAGTTGTAGTAGAACTCCAACGCTCTTGTGAATATGTATATGGCGATTGTGACACGCAGCTGGTCTCCGGGATACACGGCAAGAAAGAAGCCAGCTAGACTCGACCCAATCGCGGGTGCCACCCTAGACGTCAGTGATCGCGAGACACGTGGGTTGCGCCGTCGAAATGATCGCGCGTCACTACTGAGAAGAGTGTCGCGTAATCGGACGAAAAAGCGGCGGAGGAGACGGTGGAAGAGGAGGATGAGGGCGAGCGAGCTGCTGAGCCGGACGTTGGGCGATTTCCAGACAGGTACGCGCGGCTGGCGTCTAGAGCAATACTATCAGCGACATGTCCATGGTAGGGCGTGGAGAATGCCTACTTCTGGACAGTCCCTCGCGCCAGGAGCTTAGACGCGATCAGCTCCCACGCCTTCAGACCCGAAAATGTCAAGACACCCAGGCGCAGCGATGCGCGGACAGCAGCGACATTGTAGTCATCTGGCCCTTTGGAAATGGCGTCGTATCGTTTTGGGTTCAGCGTGCGCTTCTTCACAGCCGGCGCACGGGAAAGGAGGTACTGGTGGAGAAGCTGGTACTCGCGCGCGCTGATGGTGTAGCGCAGCGCATTGCGGAGTATTGGATCAACCTGCTGTGAGCTGCCCGATGACGATGGCTGCGGGGAGCCTGCGGACGACATGGCGAGCGTCTGGCTTTGTTTTGGCGACAGCAGATGACATTGTGGTTCGAGGGGTGGCTTAGGGAATCTGGGGATGCTAGGCATGACGTTTGCCTCGGCTCCCCAGACTGCTGGGTTACTATGACTTCACATGCCTCCACTCGTCCATTCACCAATTTGGAAGTTCGCATAGAAAGTATTATCTCGTCAAGGCACTTCCCGTCGTTAGCCTCCTTTTAAAGAATTGGTCAAACAAGCCTACAAACCGGCTCCTTCTAGGTACTGCAGTTCATGTGTCACGAACCGGTCACAAAACCATATCATCCAGGAACTCTATCAGTTTTGATGATTGGACAACAAGGCGAGCACTCATCCACACTGGAGGACTGCCTCCAAGCGTACCTATCTATCGACTGAGAAATCCTTCTAGATATCCGAGCGCTCATAGGTCCTGAACTGGACTTGCGGGACAAGACATGCAATGCTGAGGCACAGCTAGCGCCATGCCGTTGATCTGGGGGTCCAGGAGCTACGAAAACCCTTCTATCGACGATTGAGTCAAACTTCCATGTGAGCTTCCGCCAGGAGCCGAGCTCGTTCATCTTCATCTCAGTGCCCTCGAGGTGCTTGATGGTCTTGTCCTAAAGCTTCACGGAAACACATTCGCGGAGTAGAACCATCGGGTACAAGCGCAGTTAGAGGCTGGACAGGGTCCAATCATTATTCACGCCGCTCTCTATGCATTTTTGCAAAGCCATAGCCTTGTGCGCGCCAGTAATGACCACGAGAACCACACGCGCCTGTACTCCCAAGCATATGCGACGGTGGTACTCGAATTCAAGGCGGCCGTCTGTACACTGACAGTCAGTGCATGCAAGCGCCTTGCAATATCTGAATCTGGCATTGGCTTCATGGAAGACAAAAACGTGCCCATTGGACTGATACCGTCCAGAAACGATCCAACAACTCAATACCACCACCCTGTCTGACCTTCTTGTCGGTCTAGTGACATTCGATATCTAAAACAGACCCATCGTTGGTGAGAGTGTTGATATCATCAGCCTTCACGTCAGCCTCCAAGACTAAACGCTGGAACACGGAGCTATACCGAGCATTTCCGTGGTACTCATCCTGATCAAGTCAGCTCACCTCACGTGAGATGTTTTACGCCCTTGAGCAAGGGTGTGGCTCTTCAATGCAGGGCCCTGTCCCGTCCCTCGTCCAAAGTAAGGAGACAATGAAAAGAAATCTCTCCAGTTTTATGATGCTTAACGAGGTGAAAGGACTGTGGTACTTCCGGTGAACAGGCCCAAAGCAAATAGTCGCTCTGAACTCGGGGCGAAAACTCTGATGTGTTGTTGTATAGCCGTTGGCTGACCACATAAGCATGTTGGACGGCCGATGTATGAACCAATAGTATATCTCGCAATGTACCTGGGCATGTCCTCGGGATCACCTCTTGTGATCAGCGGTTTACATGCAGTAAGCAAGCTGTTCAATTTCGACAGGCCGTTGCATGTGCATACACGGTGGGTAAATGTAATCTGTCAGGTTTTGTCTGTAGGCGGCTATGATTGCAGGAGCCATGTATGAGAGGCTTCAAGTCGGGCTAATTGCCCGATATCAGAATGATTCGCAAGCTTCTCCATTAACGACAGTTCGCTTTGTCCAGATAAGAACACAGCTGCTCAAGATCTCATCCCGATAGCCGAAACCTTCCCGCCCATTGCGATATGGCACGCTCGTAGTGGGTTACACGAACTACAGTAAGGGTTGCTAAAGCGAGCATGTCGTACAACGCTACGTATCTCACGACTTGGAGGCTTTGGTGCTGCAAGGCCTGCATGGGTGGTACCACAGCGTGAGTCGTGACGAGAAAAGGTGTGCTAGTCAACTGCATAAGCTTGCCTCGGGCGCCATAAGGTAAGGACGAGACTGGAGATAAGCAACCATGTTACATCGATCGGGCGAAGAGCGTTGCAAATGAGGCGCCGGAGGACGATCTCTAGCGTGCTGGTAGTGCCCAGTCAAGACCAGTTGCACGCCAGAGTTGTGGAATGCCGGCCCACAGCGCCCCGCTCGTGCTTTCCGAACCGTCAAGGATCAGCTTGCATAAACGCACCCACGCGGCCCTGCCTGGAGCAATATGGTGTTACAATCAGGGCTGGGGTCTAAGATATGGGGATTTGTTGGTTCGAGATGTTCGAGTATCGACCAAGTGCGCCAACGCACGCTGTAAACGGATAGACTTCCATGGTCGCTCAGCGTATCTAAGGTGAACTTTGCCAGGAGCTTTAAATAGCGGGTGGCGTGCACTTCTAATACCTTAACTGAAGCGTTACATTATCGCAGGGGCCTGAGCATTGCTTAATTAGCTCGCGTGCCTCGCTCACCTCTCTTCCTCTCCAAACGTCCCATACTCTGCGTGGATTCAGGACGCAGACAACATCCACCACCCACCATGGCGACCCACGAGAAGCCGGTGATGCCTGCGCACGATGTCCACACCCCAGAGCACTCGATGACCGATAACAATACGCTGGATCTTCCCAACTCATGGAAGTACAAGCGCATCACCATCGCTGGGTTCAAGCTCCCATGGTTCGCCTCACCACCCGTGCAGCTGGTCATTGTTGCTTTCGTCTGCTTCATGTGCCCGGGCATGTTCAATGCTCTCAATGGTATGGGTGGAGGTGGCCAGCTCGATCCAACCGCCAACAACCGCGCGAACACGGCCCTGTACTCGACCTTTGCTGTTATCGGCTTCTTTGCTGGAACCTTCACCAACAAGCTCGGTATCCGCACAGCGCTGTCATTTGGTGGCATTGGCTACTCCGTCTATGTTGCCTCTTACCTATGCTACAACCATACGCAGAACCTAGGCTTCACCACTTTTGCGGGTGCGCTCCTTGGTGTGTGCGCTGGTCTGCTGTGGTGCGCCCAGGGAGCTATTATGATGTCCTACCCGCCTGAGGAATCCAAGGGCCGCTACATTTCGTGGTTCTGGATGATCTTCAACTTGGGCGCCGTAATTGGTAGTTTGGTAAGTTATGCGACGACTCCTCACGCCATGTCAATCTACAAAAAAGCAAGGCTGACAATTGCAGATCCCTCTTGGTCAAAACATCCATACCACATCCGCCGCGACCGTGAATGATGGCACATATGTCGGCTTCCTTGTTCTTACTATTCTCGGCGCCTTTCTCGCCTGGACGCTCGTCGATGCACGAGATGTCATCCGCTCCGATGGATCCAAGGTCATCATCATGAAGCACCCTTCATGGAAGTCTGAAATCGTTGGGCTGTATGAGACCTTCTTCACGGACCCCTACATCATCCTCCTATTTCCCATGTTCCTGGCCAGTAACTGGTTTTACACCTACCACTTTACAGAAGTCAATGGCGCATATTTCAATACCCGCACCCGTGCTCTAAACGGTGTGTGCTACTACTTGTTCCAAATCATTGGGGCCTACATCTTCGGTTTCGCTCTCGACATCAAGGGCGTGCGACGAACCACCCGCGCTAAAGTTGCTTGGGGTGCCCTGTTTGCCATCATCATGATTATCTGGGGTTTCGGCTATATGTTCCAGAAGACTTACGACCGTGCATGGGCTTCGGACGAAACCCACGAGAAAAAGGATTGGTCTGACGCTGGCTACGCTGGCCCGTTCGTGCTCTACATGTTCTACGGCTTCTCTGATGCCGCGTGGCAGACATGCGTCTACTGGTTCATGGGCTCGTTGACCAACAACAGCCGCAAGCTTGCCAACTTTGCTGGGTTCTACAAGGGCATCCAGTCTGCCGGTAGTGCCATCACTTGGCGTCTGGACGACTACAAGATCCCGTACATGACCATGTTCGCATCCAACTGGGGCCTTCTCGCCGGCAGCTTGCTGGTCGCCCTTCCCGTCATCCTCTGGAAGGTTGAGGACACCGTCCCGATTGAGAAAGACGTCGCGTTCACTGACGAGACCGTCGCCGAAGTGGCGCCCAAGACCATTGTCACTAGTGGTCACCATGACGCCGAGAAGGTTTAGGTTTTGGGTTCAGGATCTTCATAAATGGTATTATGTGGGGGATTTTTATGATACTTTTTTCTCTATGATACCACATACTGTCTTTGCGATTGGTCTTTCACGGTGATGGACTTGACGGAGTTATGATACCTGGTTCTTGGACGCCTCATGTTGAGGGTCGTTCACTGGAAACTGCGTGAAGATCCCCTTTTGCTTCTGATTAGCATAGCGTGCGAGATACATCAAGCGGCATCTGGCTTATGTTCAATAGTACGTCTTCACTTCCACCGAATGAATGGTTCATGTAATGAATTGAATTATCTTTTGGATCAGTGAATATTGATAGACCGAAAGTGTGACGTTTGTTGCTTACATGAGATTTAACATTCTTAATAGCACGTGTTTGTGGTCACCGAGGTACACCTATCATGTTTTTAGAAACATGCTCAAACGAATCACGATGTTTCACCAACATCTCACGTCGTACACGCGGGGTACATCAGCATCAGATCCGAGTAACCTCGAATCTCGAATCTCTTGCAAGTGGTTGTTTTCGGCTCTAGCCTCACTCTGGCTGGATAATGTTGAGGGAAAACTGGACCTTAGCACGGCGCACTTCCACTTTATTGCTCCGCAGTTACTTCCCATCTTCGAATTGCAATCGTTCCGACTAACTACGTTGCCGTGACCGGCGATGTTGATGCGCCACACCAATGACGAAGGCAATCTCGTTGGGTTGGGATCGCGGTAACCTCACCAAACGCGGCCTAGCGGGCGTAACGGTAGCAATGGCTCAGGAACATTACGTCCACAAACCCCACCAGCGCTCTCGCCGTGAGAAACGCCATGTCCTCGCCTGCGTTCCTTTCGCGGAGCGCCTAGAGCGAGCGAGTCGTTGTCAGATGGCCTCGGTCTCAGGTCCTAGTTCCTGGCTACTAATCTTCCCTCCCCTGTAGCAACCTACGTCTGCCGTACTCAGCGGCGGACACCGCAAGCCTTACAATAATTGCCGAATCATTTCCAGGCTACGTCTCTAGCGGATACAACGTCTCCTACTCTTGTCCGTACAACCCATGCTTAGGAAAGCTGTTTGTAACAATTTCCGTTCTTGCCGGTCCCACTGAAGGCTCTATGCGTTGCAATCCACGGGCTTGGAATATCCTGTTGGGCCTGCCAACTCTTTTATAACTCCTGCAAACCACATTCACGTAAACCCGGCCTTGTTGTCACATCCAAGATATATACCAACCAACCACCCCTCCATGCCCTTTCTACAATTGCAACGCCCCTCAACACGCTGTGTCGCCGTCACATAAGGAACCGATAACAATACTCACCCCCAACGTTCGTCTGCGGACTACTCCGACTGTTGCTAGTACATGAGGTCTATGTTCGAGTTTTGGCAGGAACTACTTGCGGCTCTGGAGCAAATCACCATGTTACCCTCACTTATTCACACCATACTTCCATCCTTGTCCTCACGAAAGCGCATGCGAGATGCAGTGCGTACATACGAATGTTCTACGGACGACCTGTTGCGCGAAATCCAACGCTTGTTCGAGGCACCACTGGAATCTACGAAGCTGCTGCAAATGTCCACGCAATTACAGGACCAGTTCGCGCCAAAACTCCAAGCTAGTGATATTTGCATGCTGCCCTCTTACAACCACAAACTGCCAACAGGCCTCGAGAAGGGAACTTATCTGTCACTCGATGTTGGCGGGTCTACATTTCGCGTCGCGCTTGTGGAACTCAACGGAAAACGTGCTGGTGTTAAGAATATGCGAATCATTAACATGAAAAGTTTCCAGATTGATGAGAAGATTCATAGATTACAAGGAAGTGAATTCTTCGACTGGATGGCGGCCAGGCTTGAACAGGCACTCTCGGAATCTGATGTGCCGTTGTCCAACAATGGCAAAAGCTTTCCCATGGGCCTGGCGTGGTCTTTCCCGATTGAGTAGGTCAATCTCTATTCAGGAGAAATTTCACCAACTGACAAAATTTCAGACAAACGTCTACTCGCAGTGGCAATCTGTTAGACATGGGCAAAGGTTTCCGCGCAACAGAAGGCCTCCTCGGTCAGGATCTCAGCGAGCTGATCATGGCACCATGCAGAAGAAGAGTAAGTCTAACCACCACAGACGACATGTTGAGCTTTTACTGACGTTCTCCAGAACCTCCCAGTCCACATGGACTCCATCATCAACGACTCTTCTGCAACTCTACTATCACGTGCGTACGAAGATCCATCTACGCGCTTCGCAGTCATTCTCGGAACCGGCTTTAATATCTCGGTGCACCTTCCTATCTCATCACTTGCAATCACAAAGTACAAAGGCTATCCCCAAAAATGGCTCGACGAAGCCACCCATGTCCTTGTCAACACCGAATGCAGCATGTTTGGTAAGAACATTTTCCCCACCACGCGATGGGATGACCAGCTCAACGAAGCACACGTACGACCGGACTTCCAGCCCTTCGAGCATATGATCAGCGGCCGCTATCTCGGCGAAATTGTACGCCTGATCATCGTCGAGGCTGTGCGAACAGCGGGCTTGTTCAGCGGCGAGGTGCCAGACAAACTTAGCGAAGCCTACTCCCTGGACACCGGGACCATCGCGGCCATGGAGATGGACAACTCGAAGCACCTCACAAACGCCACGGCATTCTTCCAGTCGAGACACGCCCTCAGCAAACCGCCATCCTACAACGACATCCAATTCGTCCGCCAGATCTCACAGCTCGTCACGCACCGCGCCGCAGCCTTCCTCGCCACGGGAATCCATGCCCTATGGTCATTGCGCACCGCGGCTGAAGGCCTGACGCCGGCTTCTGCGGGACCTATGAGCATTGGCTGCAACGGCTCCGTGATAGAAAAGTACCCCTGCTTCAGGGACCTGTGCCAATCGCATCTCGACGAGCTGACAAGCGCATCTGGCGCGCAAGCAAAGTCCATATCGCTCGAAATCGCCATTGAGTCGGCTATCTACGGTGCTGCTGTTGCGGTTTGCTGCCTCGAAGATCAGCAGCAATAGTAGCAGTCATGACAGCGTCGTCGTCGTCGTCGTCTAGTATTTTGCTTTTATATCCTTTCAGCGACTGCGTTTGCATACATACACACGAGCATCTAGATATGACGAAGAGTATCTTTTTCCTTTTTCTGTACGGAGTGTCGGGAGGTCAACAGGGCGGGAGGGAGGGACTGGATACGGGAACAACGAACAGAACATGTGCATATGGGAACTGGAAGCGTATGGTTCCCTACGGCGTTGGGGAATAGGGCGTTCTTGTTTGTTTGTTTGCTTGCTTGTTTTGCGTGCATCGGGAGGGTGGCCCCAACTATCTAACTACTTGATGAATTCAACATCTTTTGTCGTCGTGCAATTATGCCCTGGAAAATCTATCTGCTGCTGAAATTCCATCTCATAGACTCAAAACCACACTATCTAACCACCAACCAACCGAGACCGAACTTTTCTACTCTCCAACGGCGTGTTTTGTCCCCCGCGGTATCGACAGATAGCCACATGCACGCATAGGTGCATGCGGCATTTCCAATCGCAATTGGAATCCCAATTCCAATAGATAGGTACAGATTTCCAAGCCATGACATGCCACACGACACGCCGATGCTCGCCGACAATGCAACGGCGTCGTGCCACCTCGGTCGGAGGGGCGCCGCACTGCACCGCACCGCCGGTTTCTGCACCAACACCAACACCAACACTAACATCGTTGATCTACCTACCTACCGTACTAGGAGTAGGTAGGATTCTGCTCAAAAGCAGGAAATTCCAAGACTAAACTAGCTAGTTGGTATCGATTGCCAGCGTTGAGCACGTTACTGTTACGCGTACTTCTCTCGCTATGGTGGATTATGTATCCGGTCTTGCACTATCTATCTGTCGGTCTAGGTATCTATCTATCTATCTATCTATCTAGCAGCCACGCATCATCTACCTACCTACTCAGACGGTCCAGACTTTCCATGGTGCGGGCTTTGCGTGCTTTACTTTGGCGCATAGCCGTGGGGAAATCACATGTATCCAAGGCAACTTACCTACCTCCGCTGTTACGCGCTTTCTCGCACACTTAACGGGGCGTGAAGGCCTAGTCTAGCCCGGCTGACAGTGACGATGACATGCATTGTAGGATTTCACATGGTAGTGCGTAAAACGGGTTGTATGCGAGGCGATCTTGCAAGTTCACGTGGGAGTGAGTAAGTGAGCTGGCGGTATGCATTAGGCGGTGTACTTCTGCATTCATTCATTCATTTATTCACGGTGCACGACTATTCTGCTAAAATGCCATATCTACGTATGTAGTATAGTAATTATTATCACCGCCTTGACACTCCAATACAAGTTCTAATAAACGCGAAATTTTGCCTACTAGGTAAACAAGCCATGCCAAGCCAGCGTAACCTCCCCACATAACCGAGGGAGACGAAGATGTAAAATTCGACATGACATGCCATGACATGCCATATACAGCTCAAGTAAGTAAGTAAGTAAATAACATGTGAACCCCATCCTTCCATCCATCCAGAACCTCGGATCCTCCCCCCATGCAACCTTCCCTTCCCATCCCATCCCATCCCGTAGCGCGGCATGGGCATACCTAGCCATCATCACATCGTTACATTTCCCCGCGATCGCACGTTACGACCCTTTCGCCGCACTAGTTGTAGTCAGATCTCCATCTTGCAGGGTGAAACATTCGACGTTGCAACGTTGCTGTATCGCGGCGTGTGGGGAAGGATTTCCATGTCGCATCTTGCGTGCGCTTCGCTGATGCAATGGTTGTGTTGTGTTGGATTGGGTTGTAGTGTGTGCCAATGGTTAGCGTGACATCGTGTCGAAGATGCGCGTGCAACTTTCTCTCTCTTTGCAAGAATGGTTCCAAGTGAGTATAATGCGGCATGTGTAGCCGAATTGATTAAAATAAAGATATAAAAAGCGCCGAGCCATGCATCTGATCTGCCTGAAGATGACGGGCTCCCGGCAGCAAAACAAGGTGGTATAGTGATAAGATGCCGAAAACATAAAAAAAAGTGTCTTTCGCCTTGTTGATATCTGCCTCTCTCTCTCTCTCTCTCCTCCTCTTCTTCTTCTTCTTCCTCCTGTTCTTCTTCCTCTCAATCTTCCCCTCCCCCCAACTCTCCAGTGGAAAGCCAAAGAAATCATTGCGTCGTAAGTTAAAAATCGTAGTTTTGTTGAGAAAATGCAATAGCCGAGACTGACAACTAGGACGGGCAGAGTTGTCTCTAAGCAACACCTATGGATGGCATCTTGTACTGTCGAAGCTGAGCGACTCTCGATTCGTCCCTAGAAAGGAAGACTCGTGGCCTACTGTTGAGGCCATCAAGGAGAACCAGGACCTGGATACGACGGAGCATCTGAAAAGGTCCGGGCTCGAAGGCGAGGCTGTCGAAGAAGGGTTGGACACATAACTGCGTAACAACGACAGACAGCAACCCCCGGGCTAAACAAACTCTCCGTCGACTGTCACGCCGTATTCCAACATAAACACAGCAGTCTCGAGCCCCGACAGAAGAAGACGGCCAGAAAATGCCGCGTACGAAGAGCGCAAAACAGCCGTCACCAGACATCCGAAAAGTACCGTTTCGATTTATTCTTAACCGACAGTGCCTTGGGGTCCTGGGGCAGATTTGTATGATGGACAACATGCGGCCGGTACACAGCATCAACCGGCGGCATCCAGTCGTCCAGGCCGAGCGGAAAGTACTCGTACAGCAGATCTGCGCTCTCATCCGGGCTGCCAATCAAGCCAATGGAGAAAGATGGCGGCCGTACTGGCGCGGCTCTTTTCTTGATGTGCTCCGAGGGCGATGTGACTTTCTTGGGTTCATCGTCGGTCAGAGACAGGGTGACGGGCGCCATGGACGTCTGCTGTGGATATGGAGTGCTTCTCGACACCTCGGGTGTTGAGCGTGCATAGGGCGTTGCGTGGGGCATCGTTGCGGATGGCGGGTCTGGCGGTATCGCGGTCATGGCTCCGCCGGGCACCTTCCAATCGAGGAAATCGGGGGAAACGGGTATTTCAGCGGCGGTGAAATCGTAGGGCAGCTGCATCGCGTCCATCGGTTTCGAGGTTGGCGCGGCATGCGTCTGGCCGTGGAATTGCGTGGCGTGACTCGACTCGCCCGTGGTTGTCCGGCTGGGCTGCGCAGGCAATGGCGCTTTTCGCACAGAGGCGGCGCCCCCGTTGATTGGCATGTCCTTTCGAGACTGGAAGTTTCTTGGACTGCGCCCCCGGACGATGACTGCACCAGAGTGTATTTCGCATAGCGGGACTTTGGCCCCGTTTGCAAGAGTCGCTACTGCTTTCAGACTAACCACAAAGTGTTGCTGCAGCTCTTTTCTACGCCCGTTGTTCGCTGTCGCTATTCGAAACTGCAACCGCTTCCAACTGATGGGGAAACTGACATATTCAGAGTCCATATCCTGCCCAGTAGAGAGATCCAATGGGTACGTTTGGGGTTCTTTTTCGGTCTTGTCTTCCGCCGGCGCGTTGCTTGTCGCGGGTGTTTTCCACGGCACAGTGATGATCTTGACGGGGTTGCCCTCGAGCGACTCGGTCGCAGATATGACGAGCTCCTGGGCGAGGATGGGTATTTGGTCGCCCTGGTCAGTCAGCAGACAGTGCAGCGTCCGCGGCAGCGTTATTGTGCCTGTGATTTGGAACAGGTTTCTTCGGTAGCAGGTGAGCTCAGTCGGCGGTGCTTGGACGTCACCTGCGGCCGCCCAGGGCGACTCGGCCAGGAAGAACATGCCGTGCAGCTGGGCAGCCATTGATATTGTGACGCGGCGCATTGCGTAGTCGAGGATGGTGTAGGGGACGTGGGGCAGCGAGAAGCCCAGCAGCTTGTTGTTGCTCTCGATGCTGGGGCTCTCGGGCACGCCATGCGGCTCGTGGGGGTGGACCGACTGCTCGTAGGTGCTGTGGACGTCGGAGAAGGGGTCCTCGTACGTGCTGAAGCGCTTGAGGTGCGGCGGCGGCGGCTGCTGGAGCTCGTACTGCGAGAAGGCGGCCTCGCTCCTGCAGGGTGGTATTAGCAAAGACGCTGCATGGGGGAGGTGCGCGCTTACCCGGCAAACGTCTCGGCGTCAAACGTCGAGCGCTGCTCGTAGGGGTCCATGGGCGCCATGGACATGGGCAGCTGCTGGTCGGGCGCGGGGGCGTTCTGCAGCGGCATGGGCGTCGCCAGATACGACATGGTGATGGTGTCGAAGCCCTCCATGGCGGCTCAGCGGGCGGGCCGGCGTCGAGGTGCGAGCGGGCGGCGGATGTGCGCATGCGCGCGCAACTGCACGGCGGAGCGGTGGCGACTGGCAGCCAGCAGCAGAGCGAACGGGTGGAGACTGGCGGCGCGGCACGTTGGGGGCGTGTTTAGCACGTAGCTTGGGGGAGAGCTTAGGCGAGAGGGCGGAGACGGAGACGGAGACTTGGGAGGCAGGAGCGCTCAGGAGGAGAGAGCCGGGCCAGGCACACGGCAGAGCTAGACACCGCGCGCGCACGAGACGGAGCTGCTGCTGAGGGCCCCCAGCACTTGTGCGACGCGAAGTGGCCGCAACAGATCACATGCAGCCCGGCCAAGATGCCACGGGAGCTCGTCGAATGCGGGAGCGGCGGGGCCGCAGAGCAGTACCTAGCCCTGTGCGACGAGAGGAGTGGTGCGCGGCCCGAGTCGGTCGTGTGCACGCAGGAAGGGCAGCTGGCTTCAGCGACGAGAGGTGCGAAGGCATGCTCTTCTAGAAGGCTTCTCGAATAGACAAGCCCTGCGCGACCAGATACCGTCAGCCTCCTGAAGCCACCAGTGGCGACCGGCTCATTCTCCGAGCTGTTAAAAATAAGTGCAGCCAAGGCACCTGGTGTCTCTATTTAGACGTCCATACTCGAGTTCAACGCTATCGAATGCCCAGCTGAGACGTCGATCCAGCAGCACTCAGACAGAAGCGACGAGAGAACCCCGGCATCGTCCTAAACTGGCCATACACGACCATATACGTGTAGAGAGCCGCGGACAGAGCAAGAACCCCACCAACCGCATCAATGCATCAATGTATCAATGCTGAGTCCAACCCTCATCAATTTCTAACCCTGTCCGTGTCGCAATATTATTTTGATTACATTGGAATGTCACCGTTCATGCATTAAGCTGGTGGGATCATAGTCCACGTCGCAGCATCGCAACTGACCTCCTCGAAGTTGTGCATCACGTCGAACCCCATGGCTGAGAAGCCGTCGAAATTGCCGTCACCGTCCATCTGCATGAGTCAGTTTGCTGCAGCAATTGGACCCTAATGGGTGGCCACTCACATAGTCAAGTAAGCAGGCATTGCACCCTTGTGCCTTGATCTGCCGCATCCCGAGGAGAATCAGTCCTTGGAGCAATGTCGAGTATTCGCCCACACCAGGTGAAATCACTGGAGACGATATGCCGCCAGCAGCTTCGTTGAGGTCTTTCAGCGGGGGAATATACTCTGAAAGCCGTGAGTGATGGTTGTAGAGCACCACTGTCCCCACCAAGGCGCCATCTTCCGGTCGCTTCGCTCGTATGATCCCGCAAGCTGCTGGGTCCGAGAGCGCAAGCTTATAGACTTCGGCCAATCCCTGTCGATTACTGGTCTTGATATGGTCGAGTATAGGCCCGGCATAGTCCCACCCGTATACGAGATCGAACTGTGCTCCAGCGCTTGCCAGGCTCTTTGCCATTCCCTCAGGGGGTGACCATGTCTGTAGATTACGGGCTACCATGTTACAAACTGGGCGAGAAAGCGCAGCATTCCAGCCAAGGTTCGCAAACCATGGGCGTAGTCGTTTTCGCTCAGATCCGTGGCCAGTCGGAATGCCCAGATACATGCTGGGTAGTCGTGAGCCCAGCTGGAAACGCTTGATTCCGTCCTTTTGTAGTAAGGTACGGATAGCTCGGTTGTGCAGAGAATGGCCAATTGAGAGTTTCCTCCTCGCTGGGTCAACGAAAAGAGCACCAATCACACCAGTCCCTGTCGATCTGAAGAAGTACGTGGAGCAGAAGCCGTACAAGGCTTGTGTGCTGCTATTCCTGACGACGAAATGAGATTCGTCGACTTCTGGATGATGCAGAATGAAGGAATTGGACGTGGAACTCGACAGCTCTGATCGTTGGTTCGACCCTGTGTCTTCCATGACCGCTTGGACAAGAGTGTCTAGAGCATTCGCATCTCGCTCCTCATTGAATATCTCAACCAGCCAGTGCTGTTTCGAAGGATGCAGCTTTTGGCTTTTGCTGATGGTGCCTGGAAGGGTTCCAGTAGGAGAAAGCTCGCCATAGAGTACTCTCACCAGCGAGTTGAGAGCCGTCTCTGTAAAGTCGTAGGTACAGATATATGTGCCAATCGAGGTGTCCATTGCGAAGTCGTAGGGCGAACTGACCGCAACCACGATCAGAGGCTTCTCGCGCCTTTCTCCGCCGGTCGTGTACTGCATGTTGCAGATCATGGATACATGTTTTGTGAACCCATGTTGATACAAGTTTCGGTTCGCATCTGCCGTGAGCACGATAATCGCACTTGCCCGGCTGATGAGGTTCTCGTGAACAGGTCGGACACCATTGGCAGTGTACGAAGTGTGCAGTACTCGTCCGTTGCGCTGTCTAGCCAAAGATCTTCCCAGTTCCCTGAAAACACCTTCCCCGCTCATGACAGACGAACTACGCTCCCAGGCAGCGGGCTCAGGCGAGTGGATAGCAGCTGCGTCTGACAATGCTCGCGATGCGGCGGATGCAGCCAAAGGCTTGACCAATGGCGTCAATAACAGCAGCTCCTCCTCGCTTTCCAGGATATTCGTGAGAGGGAGTAGCCTGTCCTTGTCGCGGACCACCGAGATAGAGCTGTTGTACGCTTTCGTTGAGAGTGCCGTGTGGGATGGCTGCAGAGTCTCGAGATAGCTCATGCCGGGAGGATTGAGTGCTTTTTCCCAGGATGTACACTTGGCCTTCATAGATAATACACGTCTGAGCGAGTTCAAAATCCTGTCTTTCGAGACCATTTCGTTCTCAATGCCGGTCTTTAGTCCTTTCAATCCGTCTTGTTGGAATGAAAACGAACGACATAATAGGACGACATCACAACCAGCATTAACCGCCATCACCGTGCCACCGCCTACACCGATGTTGTGGCTGAGCGCATCCATCTCCAGGCACTCTGAAACAACTACGCCATCAAACTTGAGGTCTGATCGAAGCAACCCGTCGACGACTTGCTCTGAAAGGCAGGCGTGCATGGCGTTCAGACCGGCTGAGGACATTGCGCAACCGCCTACCATCATCGAATCCAGACCCATTTCGATGGCCTTCTTGAATGGAATCAAGGCACTTAGGCTCAGTTGCTCCAACGATTCCGTGATGATAGGGACATCCAGAGTAGAGCCGAGGAACTCTAGATTCCCGTAGGACGGAAAGTGCTTGCCCAACGTCACCACGCCAGCTTCTTTGTAGCCTTGCATAAAAGCGCAGCCATACGCAGAGACCTCTTGGGGGTCGTCTCCAGCTGTTCTGACTCCGAGAGGTTGGTTTCGGGCATTGGTGAGTACGTCCAAACACGGTCCGAAGATCCAGTTGATTCCACAGGCAGCTATTTCTTGCGCAGTCGCTTTCGCTACTTCGAATGCCAGATCAGTCGAGCCAGTTGCTGCCATCCCCATGTTGCTGGGAAACTGGCGGATATAGATTTCGTCAAAAAGGCTGTTAACACCACCATTCTCTTGGTCAACGCCGATAGCCAACGGAACAGGGTGGCCGGCATCATATGCAATTTTCTGCAACTCGTAACAAAGCTTTGTTGTGTCCTCGGCGGCTTGAATAGATTAGTATAAATTCGAGCTACGTATCGTCGCGCTGAAGATGTGTGTCTCTCACATTTCAAGTTCTTCGCGGTGAGGAGTATACAGCCGACATGGTGTTCTTCGATGATAGTCCTGATATGAGGAGTAACCGCGGTTCCGTCAAAGCCCATCATGAACAATTGGCCCTTTCCAGCGATCCATTAGTCAAGTCACCAACACCATATGGAGGCTACCCACTATGGCCCTGCTTGGGTATTAGCCAGAGCTCGGTCACATTGCGCGTGATCTGTAAGCAGGCGATCGCGAAGCTCACCTGTCCATGTCGTCCCAAACAGGTTCCATCTTCACCTTCACGGGGTTGCCCGCCATGATGACGATGCCCAAATGAACGCGAACCGAGTCCTTGATGGGTACTAAAATTCGAATGTGCCTCGCAGCTCGTATGAGCAAGAGATGGGGAAGACTGTCGAACGAATGTTAAGTACAGTGCGACCGTTACATTCATGCGGGACGGAGGGCGCTAGTGAACTAGCAGCCTAGCTCCACAAGCCATCGTCGTGGGTGACACTCCATCCTGTGCACCGACCCCGACGATATTCCATCCTGCGTTCTCGTCAATGCCATCCGCTTTGATGGAACAATACTGATACCAAGTTGTTTGAGTAATGGGCACAAGCCACCCCTTGTTATGTCATATCGTTCGAACAGTCCTTTTCAAGCAGAGAACAGGCGGCTCACAATAACGATGTGATAGGGCGAGGCGTGTAAAGACGACAGCTGGATACAATCACATAAATATGACTTCGAGTTGGATACTTGGAGCGCATATTAGAGCATTTATCAAATGCATTCATGAATGACTTGCATTGTCTAACCGCGCACCAACGTTCTATCCAAAATAAGAAATCTTGCGCAGTACATGAAATGGCTGATCCTGCTCCCGTGAGCATCCTTCAGCTAATGCACCGTAACGTCGTTCATTAGGAAGAGGTGAAAAGAAAAGAGAATTGCTATTAACACGATTGGAGCAATGTAAGAAATTCGCTACAAAAACAATAACAGGAAATAGTGAGGAGTCGAAGAAGACGCTACATAGGCGAAGAAGTCCTAGTTTGGACGCGGCTTGATGACCCCAGACGCCCGTTGGAGTGTTGGAGTGTTGGAAATAGTTCGGTGAGGCAAGTATCAGCCGCAAACGGATTGTTCAAGTCGAGTTCGGCATGATGCTTGGCGCAGTGCAGAGGCCTGTCCAAAAACACGGGACTGGGTAGGACCGGTGGCGGACGGCGAACAAGGGCACATATCCAACTTGTGGCTGCCTTTTGGAAGAACAGCCCAACGACGCTGGTTGCTAGCTTGGAACGCGTGGTCTTAACAAGGGGCTCTGGCATGTTGATCCATCATCAGCAGCATCTCCCACTCTTGCTCTTCTGTACCCGATCGATATTCTCCTCCCATTCTTGTTGATGGCCAGCAGCGTTTGGTGTGGCAGGAAAGCCGAGCCAGCTCCGCCTCTTGTCTCCCGCACCCAATCTGAAGCTCCCATTCCCGTTTCCAGGGTAATCGAAGTATCCGTTCTGGTTGCGACTATTGTCAATCCCAGGTGTGACTCCCGCCATCGCAAGTTGTCTATGCTCTTCGTCGATCTTTCGTTGCTGTTGTTCAACCAGTTTCCGCGTGATGACGCGGAACACCTCATCAACACCCTCCCCGTCCTTCGCGCTTATCTCGTGGCAACAATCCCAACCTATATCCTGCGCCCAGAACCCACTTGATCGGTTGCTCTGCGGAGACATAGCGCCGCTTTGGACGGCTGCCGGTGCAGAGCCCCAACCAGTCGTCCTCCCGCTCTGTACCTCCTTGCTCTGTGTGGGATAGAGATTTTCGGCAACGTACGATATACAGCGCTCGAACGGCACTTTACGCTTCGGGGGGTCTTCGGTGACAATATCCGATTTGGTGCCTACAACATGAATTATGATATCGTCCCCGAGATTGGTCTTGAGCTCTTTCATCCAGCGGCCCATTTCGTCAAAGGAGTGCGTGTCTGTGATGTCATAGCACAATACAGCAGCGTTTGCGCCTGCGAATATTCAAGTCAGCATCTTCCATGTTGAGTGTGTGTCAGATGAGATGAAGCCATGACCTCAGAACCCCACTAGCGTTGCGGCAGCATGCCAGTTCAGGGTCTCGCGACCACAACAAAAGATATGCAGGGGAGACTGGACTAGTCAAAAGGGGCAGCGAGACAATACCAGGCAAGACAGAGTTCAAAGGAGATACAAGGTGACGAACATACCTCTGTAGTAGAGTTTGGAGATAGACCTGAATCTCTCCTGTCCAGCCGTGTCCCATATCTGCAGACGCACAACAGTGTGTGTGTCGATGTCCAGCACTCTTTTGGTCAGAAAGGAAGCGCCTATCGTGGACTGTGTAGAGGGTGGTGTGAACGCATTTCTGACGTAGCGGTGGACTAGGGACGTCTTCCCCACACCTTGACTGCCCAACACGACAATCTTGGCTTCCATACTGTTCGTCATTGCGATATTTGTTGTGTGTTCTTGGGCAACGTCGTGCGCGGATGTATGTGTGTGCGTAGTGTAAATATGTGCGAACGCGACGTGAGAGGTGAATGCGACCGGCCTGCGGGGATGCACTATGCGTGTTCAAGTAAGAACCGCGGTCCAAGAAGCAACGAAGGACAGTCTGGTGAGCGGACTTGGATACGGTTTCATGGCGCGTCGTGAAATACGTGTCTTGGGAGGATGCGAACCATGGGCTTGACGTAGGCAGGCACGAGTGAAAGTGACATAGCTGGAGAGCGTTTGGCGCGGCGGTAGGCTTGGCTTTAGGGGTAGTCATGCGGACGGACGGCCTGAGCCAGTCCACGACGGGGCGTCATGGTACTGCGGGCCAGCGAAGATGGACAAATGAGCAGCGTCCGTCATTGCGAAAACGAAAATCGCAAAGTGAGGAGGGAGGGCGAGCAGCGCGCGTGCTTGCTGGGGAACGACGACCTGGTAAAAGCCTATATGCGCGTCATCGCCCAGACATTTTGCCTGCAACTATGTTCCCCGCACATTGCGGAACGACGAGCACCGCCGATTGGAACTCTTCACGAGACGTTTGACACACAACGCTCGTGCTTGTGGCCGCGCCGAGATGCTGACCTTTCCAGCCCTCGCCATGGGCCCGTCTCGCCTCTGCAAGAGACATGGCCCCAGAAAAGTCCCGACGCGGAATGCTTGATCGGGCTACGGCATGCATCTTGACTCGCCGGCTTTTTGTGAGTGTGGGTTCCCGTGCCCCGTGTGCTATCCGACGCCAGCGGGGAGGAGATGCACCGAGCTAGACCTTGGGGAGAGGCTTGCCGTCAGCATCCTGGGGAATCCGCCCGGCAGGTGAGCTAGTGCCTGGAGATAACAGTATTCTCCCTCGGTTGCTCTTTGTAATTCTTGTTCTTGGCCTTTTAACTCGCCTTCATATATCTCCAAAACCCATTGCCTGGCTCCAGCTTCTCAATCGACACCACACCATCCACAGTCCAATCACCACAATGAACCGCGACAGCAACGATACCCAGGCGGTGAAGCTCTCGGGCGAGGAGGTCGCAAAGCACAACAACAAAGACTCGTGCTGGGTCATTGTCCACGGCCGCGCATACGATGTCACAGAGTTCATGCCAGAGCACCCGGGAGGTCCCAAGATCATCCTGAAGTATGCCGGCAAAGATGCGACGGAAGTGTATGAGCCAATCCATCCCCCCGACACGCTCGACAAGTACCTGGACAAGTCCAAGCACTTGGGAGAGGTGGACATGAACACGGTGCAGCAGGAAGAGAAGGAGTTTGACCCCGATGAGGAAGAGAGGCAGAAGCGCATCGAGCGCATGCCAATCCTCGAGCAGTGTTACAATCTGATGGACTTTGAGGCCGTTGCACGAAGGGTCATGAAGAAGTCGGCATGGGCATACTACTCCAGCGGTGCCGACGACGAGATTGTGAGTTTGCCACATCCTGCCATGTGCATCACACCCGCTAACCATTTCCCAGACACTACGCGAAAACCACACCGCCTTCCACAAGATCTGGTTCCGCCCCCGAGTCCTCGTAGACGTCGAGAAGGTGGACACAAGCACAACAATGCTCGGCACAAAAGTGGACCTCCCCTTCTACGTGACCGCGACCGCCCTAGGCAAACTTGGCAACCCAGAGGGAGAAGTCGTCTTGACGCGAGGCGCGAAGAAGCACAACGTGATCCAAATGATCCCAACACTCGCGTCTTGCTCGTTCGACGAGATCATGGACGAAGCAGACGGCAATCAAGTGCAATGGCTCCAGCTCTACGTCAACAAAGACCGCGAAGTCACAAAGCGAATCGTGGAGCATGCCGAGAAGCGCGGCTGCAAGGGCCTCTTCATCACTGTCGATGCACCGCAGCTCGGTCGTCGCGAGAAAGACATGCGATCCAAGTTTTCCGACGTCGGCTCGAATGTTCAGAGCACATCTGGGTCAGATGTAGACCGAAGCCAGGGCGCCGCACGTGCCATCTCGTCGTTCATTGACCCGAGCCTGAGCTGGAAAGACATCCCATGGTTCAAGAGCATTACAAAGATGCCCATCATTCTCAAGGGTGTGCAGTGTGTTGAGGATGTTATACGCGCTGTTGAAGTTGGCGTCGAAGGTGTTGTTCTCTCCAACCACGGAGGTCGCCAGCTAGACTTTGCCCGCTCTGGTATTGAGGTTCTCGCCGAAGTAATGCCAATTCTTCGTGCACGCGGCTGGCAAGATCGCATCGAGGTTTACATTGATGGCGGTGTACGACGAGCGACGGACATCATCAAGGCTGTATGCTTGGGTGCAAAGGGCGTGGGAATCGGGCGACCATTCCTCTACGCTATGTCTGCTTACGGTCTCCCTGGAGTGGACCGCGCTATGCAGTTGTTGAAGGATGAGATGGAGATGAACATGCGCCTGATTGGTGCCGCGAACGTCTCTGACCTCAACCCGTCAATGCTCGATACAAGAGGACTGAGCATGCACACTACATCGGTGCCGAGCGACACACTAGGCCTGAACGTGTACGACCCACTCCTTGGCCCTCAAGAGCAAATGATCAAAGAGAAGGCCAAATTGTAAACCAAGCAAGGCGTTGCAAGCTGTACTGTATATATGTGTAGTTTGAGAGCGTTTTTATATCCTGTTGCTGTACATAGATCTATACGATTAGTTTTTCTATTTCAACGAGAATTGCCTACCCGACCGTATATCTTTCCGAGCTGCTGCACATGTTCCTGGAAGAAAACCCCTCGTCAAAATCCAGCACGTGAGAGCGTGGTTTGTGGGTCTGTGGGGAAGTTAGCGTCGGGGCAGAACTCACCGATCATCGTCTTCTAGGGTTACAAAGAATCCACTCACCATTCACATCCACATTTTAACATTCACAGCTTCTCTACAATTGCAGCTTCATTCCTACCTTGGACTAACTGACTTCGCATCGTAATCCGTTTTGACTTATTCAGTAAATTCCATGGCCGCCCTCGACTCCACAGCGCAGCCGGGCGCGGGCTGGGACGAAGCGCAATGCACAGCAGCCCTCGCGCAGCTGGAACAGCTACAGGCGCAGGTGCGACGCGACGCCTCACCCACCACTATATGTCGAGACTAATAACTACTCAGATTGATGATCTTCGTCTCGCTATCCCACGAATCATCGAGCCCTTCCAACGCCCTCCCAATCCCTCGACGTTCAAACTATATTCTCAGGGCGTTATCGGCTCTCAAAACGGCATCAAAAGCCTCTCCGAGCAATGGAAGTCCCCAGAGATACAGGGAATGTATGACCACGTGAGAGAGAGCTTGGCTGCCAATGCAGATCTGGCTGCAAGCGCCTCGCTGCCATCGCATGGCTGGGTTGAAAGAGAGCGGAGGGAGCGCGAGGCGAAAAAGGGACAAGCGAAGAGGATTGAGGCTGTTGAGGAAGTCGGGGCTGTGCTTACGGATGAGGAAATTTCACAGATCGTTGTAGAGTTCCGCAAGGCGCACCCGAATATTAGGATGGACACGCAGGATGATAATCGCAGCATCTTAGTATGGCGGCCAGTGTAGTTTGATCAAAATCACCAACTGACAGACGGATAGGTGCAATTCGTGTCTGCTTCCACAAAGTACCGGTTTCGTATCACTATCGAGTGCGACGGCAATGGGCGACACAAACTCAACGCAGCATGTCTGGGCACAACGGAGCCATTCCTGGCCATCACAAGATGCATTGCGTCACGGCCGAATACAAACGATTTGAAGCATTTGTTGGTATGTTTTGATGTCTAATTTTTATGAAAACTTGGTGATGCTAAGATCTGCTACAGAACATGATTGCAAGTTACAAAAGCATAAAAGGAACGCCGTGTGTCAAGTGTAAAAAATTACTGGATAGTGCTGCGCTTACAACCACCGCAAGGCGCTGCATGCAAGTTGGTACGAACGAGACGCTGAAGGTAGAGTGGGCAGCTTTACATGAGAGCTGCCTTGGATGATGGCCCGTCCACGGTAACGCCAATACAGCGGAAAAGAGAGACAGGTTACACGAAGATGTTCTGCCCTATGTCGTTTTCTTCGAGGCCGTTGAAGGCGAATGGCCGCCACTGTGGATCCTGATACCATTTACCCCGGAGAGTTCGAACTGCTTCTGGATAAGTGTATTTGTCTGCGTCGCGCTGCCACACGGCATCCGTCCACGTATAGCGATCCGGCATGGCGTATTTTCTGGTGCGGAAGTCGTAGCTCATCCCAGGGGTCCGTCCACCCAGTATGCCCATCTGTGTCCAAGGAGCGCGCTTGGAGCTGATGGAGTGGTCGGGGCCGCTATCATCCAGGTTCGTCCAATTGGACCATCTGGGTCGCCTCTGTCGGTTGTACATGTGGTCTCGCTTGTCGGCACTGATGGAGAGATGGATGTCAGGGCCTGTGCCTGAGAGGATGTCTTTCATGCGGCCCAGCGTGGAGCCTCGCTTGCCGTCTTTGGGCCAGATGAAGGCGTAGGCTGGCTTCACGTTTGCGACTCTTCTGCCGTCTTGGACCCAGGCTCGGAGGTCGGGTGAGTACTCGGCTGGTCGGTGGCGGTGTGCATGGTCGGTGGGGTGGAAGATGGCAGGGAAATGTGTTGGTGGTGGTATGGGCATGGTGGAGATGTGGCAGGTCAGAAATGGAGTCAAATATTTGGGATGAGGATGTGAGAAGGTGTGCAATGGTGTTGGGAGTGTCTTCTACATTCGAGTATCACTTTTGGATGGTTTATAGCTGGGACGGTTTGCTAGAAGCTGCCAGATGGAGAAGAAGAGCATAGTCGTTCTTAGGGAGTGATTGTCGAGCAGCCTTGTGTATAACTGTTTGCGAGCATGCCTGTCACGAAATGTACTAGTCCGCCCTCACTTGACCGTGCCAGCCGATGCAAGAGTGAGGTCGTCCCCAGCAAGTCCAAACGCAAAGGCAGTGTGAAGGCAGTGTTGGTGGTACCTGAGTGCCTGACGCTAACGACCACCCCTGCCAGGCGCTAGTCACGGCAGCTCGAAAGCAACGCGACCAGCTCATTTTCCGCCGAGCGACAACCACAAGGGAAACCACTCGACTCCTCAACGCCCGCCACCGACATGTCGCTATTCAGTGGCCTTGGAGGAGCCCAGCCCGCGGCGAGCGGCACATCGACATCGACGCCGGGTACCAGCTCGCTGTTTGGCGGTGCACAAAACACAGCGTCGGGGACAACATCGAGCTTGTTTGGCGCCTCAACGGCCGCGTCTGGCAGCGCTCCGCCAGCAAGCAGCGGAGGAGGCCTGGGGCTGGGAGGGAGCCTGTTTGGCGGCGCCCTGGGGGGAGCACCCAAGCCCGCGGCCACGTCGACGCCCTCGCTCTTCGGCGCGGCATCGACATCGGCGGCGACGGCGCAACCGCAAACACAAACGAGCGGCTTCTCGTTGTTTTCCCAGCCGCCAGCTGCCCAGCCACCGCAAACGGGCGGCCTCGGACAGCCCTCGCTCTTCGGTGGCGCCTCGACACAGCAGCAACAGCCACCACAACAGCAGCAGCAGCAGCAGCAGCAGGACGCGTCGCTGTCGCAGTCAGCCGCCGGCACGGGGCGCTCGGCCCACTTCGACCACCTGCTCGAGCGCGGGCGCAAACGCAATGCGGGCGAGAACGGCTTTGGCAGCTTCGACGAGCTGCCGTCGCTGCAGCTGGGCCTGGGGGATATTGCCCGGAAGGTGCGCAACCTGGGCGTCGGCGGCCCCTCGGCGGACCAGGCCCAGGACCGCGCTGCGTGAGTTGCTCTGCCCGGAATGGCCCAAGTGTGTTTACTGACTGCCTCCAGCCACTACCTGCTCTCCGCCTCGGGCGTCAAGATGGGCAGCACCCTGCGCGACCTGAACCAATTCTCCACCCAAGCCGGCCTCAGCGCCGCCGGGCCCTCGCAGTCCTTCCTGGACACGGACGTCGACGGCTACGTCTCGAACCTGCACTCGCAGTCCACCCTGGCCCTCATACAGGAGGGCTTGGAGCAGTCCAAGCGCGACTTCGACACCTTCCTCGAGGACAACGTCCAGATTGAGTGGGACAAGCAGCGACAGAAGATCTACGAGCACTTTGGTCTGGGCAGGCAGAGCGAGGAACTGGCCGCATTGCAGACCGCCTTTGGCAGCACGGCGCGAGGTGCGTTTGGGCGCTCAACACGCAAGGGCCGCTCAATGGGTCCCAAGGGTGCATCTGTCAATGGCGCATCAACATTCGGCGCATCTGCAGGAGGACCCCCCGTCATTGGGCTTTCTCAGAGCGTGCTTGGCGGACGCGATGCGCTCGAGAAGTCTGTACTCGGTGGACAGGCCGGCCCTCAGGACCGATATGTCCGCGACAAGCAGGAAAAGTTCATGGAGGAAGTCAAGAGGCTCAACGATGCGAGACAACGGGACGACACTTCTTCGGTTCTGCATGCCTTTGCTAGCGTGGAGAAGGCTGCGAATGGCGAGTACTCGGACCACTTCATCAGCGCGTACGGAGCCCTCATCTCCATTACAGGCGAGGCGACTGAGCTGGACGCATCCACGCCGGGGTCCAAGACTCCAAAGGCAAGAAGCTTCGCTAAGGACTACCTGGACGACCAACCCAATTCTGCCTCGAGCGTCCGCATGCGCAAACGCATACTGGACGGATCGCGGAAATACCTGGAGAGCAAGTTCTTGGATCATGTAGAAGAAGTGCTGAAGAAGAATCCCACAGAGGCGCTTGTTGGCGGTATACCATCACTACTCAACAAGATGCGCGGCTTCGTGCGAGCCAAGGTAGCCTTCAAGGAGCTTGGTGCCGATACTGAGCTGTTCCAGAGGATAGGCGACACTGGCGAGGAATATCCCTGGGTTATTGTCTTCTACCTGCTCAGAGCCGGCCTCCTGACAGAGGCGGCCGAGTATGTCCGCGAGAAGAGGAATTTCTTCCAGAACAACGACCGCAACTTCCAAGCAGCCATAACACACTACGCCACTGATCCAGAACGCAGGCTCACCCCAGAACTGCACCAAAAGATCAGCCACGTGCATGCTCAGCGCTCCAGGATCGCGACTGCTAACGATCCATACCGGACGGCTTGCTACAAGATTGTTGGTCGTTGCGAGATGAGTCGCCGGAATCTGGAGCCGATCAGAGAAACCATGGACGACTGGGTATGGCTGCAGTTCAATCTTGCACGCGAGGGCAATCGAGCCGAGGAGAACGCTGGTGAGATATTTGGTCTGGAAGAGCTCCGAACAACGATCAAGGAGATTGGCCAGCGTCATTTCATGAACGACGAAACGGAAGCCGCGGGCGGGTACGGCGTGTACTTTTACCTTGCTACGCTGGCGGGTATGTTCGAACCGGCCATCAACTACCTCTACCAGCACAACTACGTCTCCGCTGTTCACTTTGCCATTGCCTTGGATTACTACGGTCTCCTGAGGGTTTCGGAGTGGACTACTGCGGGCTCGGAGATCTTGACCTACACTACTCGACAACAGCCGCAGCTGAACTTTGGACGCGTGATTGGTTACTACACCAGCGACTTCCGTTCTGCTCGAGCTGATGCTGCGGCTGACTATCTGGTCTTGATCTGCTTGAATGCGGATCTTCCTGGTGAAGCAGGCAAGCAACAGGCAGAGCTCTGCCATGAAGCGCTCCGTGAGCTTGTGCTCGAAACGCGTGAATTCTCTACGCTGCTGGGCGATGTCAGGTCTAATGGCCAGACGACACTGGGTCTCATTCAGGAGCGCGTACCACTACTGAAGCTCCAGGGTGAGAACGGTCTGCTCAACACCATCACTCGCGAGGCTGCGAAGATGGCGGACGACAACGGGCGCACCAACGACGCCGTTCTCCTCTGTCACCTTGCAGGCGAGTACGACAGCGTCGTCGCGATCCTGAACCGCGCTCTCGCCGAGGCTCTCTCAGTGGAACTCGGACAAGAACCACTCCGTCTCGAGCCCCTGAAGCCACGCTTAACGCCTGCAGATATCCAACAGCAGCAGCAGCAACAAGCCTCCAGCCTCAACTCCTCAAGCCTCAGCATGCTCGGCACAGACGACCCCGTCGAACTCGCACAACAGGTCATCGCGCTGTACAACGCAAACGGCCTGTGGTGGAAGAAGGTCTCGCAAATCAACCGCGACACATTGGGTGTATTATTCCAGCTCAACAACGCCAAGAAGACAATCGAATCACGCTCGTACATAGAAGCCCTCGACGTAAGCCCTCCCCATCCCCATCCTCCCTTACACACATACTAACCCAACCCGCAGCGCATCGAATCCCTCCGCGTCCTCCCCCTCTCCGCCCACGGCAACCTAAGCGAAATCCGCGCCTCGGCAAACAACTTCTCCAGCTACCCCCCCGAGATCGCGCGCAACATCGGAAACGTCCTGCTCTGGTGCATCGGCTGCTGCTCGCGCCACCGCGAGCACTTGTTGTCGGGCCAGTTTGACGACCCTGTGCGTAGGGAGCTTGCTGAGCAGCTGCTGCAGAAGGCGAAGGATTTGATGGTCTTTGCGGGCCTGATTAGGTATAAATTGCCGCCTAGGGTGTTTGAGACGCTTGCTAGGGAGGGGCAGGATGTTGGCGCTTATTAGGTTTATGCTAGGGGGTGGGGGGGGGGATCGGAGTTGTGTGGTGGGGGTGTGGGATGTAGGAGGGGGAGTGTCTGGGATTGGGATTGATGACCAATGCTATACTAAGTAATTCGTTCATATGAGTGTGGTTTTTTTCTTTATGTTGGTTGTTAGGTACACGTGATCTTGGGAATTGGAGTCGTGGGACTTGGGGGGATCGGCGATGACGCAACTTGTTCTCCACATGTTTATGGATGACAAAACGTTACTTGGTGTGCTGGAACATTGCGACTTCTCTACTACATTGCTTCTCACTCTTTCTACCTCACGGCTAGCTGCTAGACTTGAGAATCAACATGAGTGCGATTGAGCAGAAAGTCGTCATTTTGACGGGCGCTTCGAGGGGTATGTGTGTAATTTGATAGAAACGTCTTTTTCTTTCCTACAGATAGTCTTTCCTCTTTTTCTACTACCATTCTCCATATTCCACTCTCGTGCAAATCCCTATCATATCGCCAAAGAAAAATCCCGTCTTCCCCCCCAAAAAACCGCAGAAATCA